TCTTCTGACGCTATCCCCATTCGCCGAAAATAGCCCATACGAGATACTAGACTTACAGCAAGACGCCTCAGCGGACGACATCAAGAAGAAGTATCGACAGCTCTCGCTCTGTGAGCCTACCCCTCCCGGCCCAGCCGTGTTGTCCTGAATGTGCATATTGATTGGGCATTGTGTACGTTATTTGACACATAGTCATCCATCCTGACAAGAATCCCCACGCTCGCGCACCAGATGCATTCGAACTGCTCAAGCAGGTCAGTCTCTACCTCTACTCCTCATGTGCATGCCCAGTTTCTCACTTCCATTTGTCAATACATGCCCCTTCGGGTCTCATTCCTCGACCGTCCTTTTGATTTGTACACAGGCCGAGTCTCAACTCTCCGACAAACCGAAACGCGAAGAGATTGATGCAGTCCTTAACCAGGCTCGCATCATGCTGCTCAAGGGCTTGCAGCTCCCTACCACAACACAGGCTAACGACCCCAAACTAAAAGGGTTGAACCCTCCGTGGCAGCAACAATTCTTGGCACAGGCAAAGGAACTTTTGATCGAGGAAGAGGTCCGGCGGAGGAAGTAAGTCACTCATGCATGTTCCCCCCTCGCAGACGCTTTACTAACATACTTGTCGTCGTTAGGGCAATCAAGATGAACCTGGCGAATGAGGGTCTTGAGGCAAAGAAGAAGGAAGATGAAGTCAGCGCTAAGAAGCGCAAGGCAGAGGACGACGCGAGATGGGAAGGTGCGACCTCCGCCTGTTGCTTCTTTTCGACCCGCTCATCGGTTTTGAACGACAGACACACGTGAACAGCGAGTGGGCAACTGGCGGTCGTTCGCGCAGGGCAAATCTAAGAAAAAGAAGCAGAAAGTCGCCATCCTCGGGTGAGCTTCTCGCATAGATATGTCTGCTCGCGTGCCACAGGAACGCTGTATACAAGGGGCCTTGCCTCGACCGAGATGTATCCCACCGCTCTCCGCATTGTAGTATCTGCATACTGTATCATATGTACATAAGATGTCAATAGAACCCTCGGCCATGAACCTGCTGACACAGACAAGAAGTAGGAATCATATACAAGGGTATCGGTACGTCCCACAGCACACTCACGACACAGCCGCAACCGGGCGTTCCCGCTGCATCAGCTCACCGCTAGTCCGACAACTCGATGATGTCCCCGGATCCTGACTTGGAAGCGGCCTATTCACGCGCCTCCTGACATGACGCGTCGGAGCGGGTATGTTCTCCTTATCGTCGGTGTCAGAGTCTTCTATGGTGATAACTTCCGACGCGATCACCTCAGCCCCCGCACTCCTCTGAGTCTCCGGCCGGCTGCTCCCCGCTCTCCCTCCGAGTCGCGTAGAGCCCGATCCCCGGATCGTCGTACTTCCACCCTCAGAGCCAGACCGAGGGTTAGAGGGCGGCCCTGGGAAGGGCCCACTGGACGCAACGGCCGTCCTCGACGTAGATGCTGTCGCCACCACCGTCCTCCCGCTCGATGCCGTCTGAGGCAGCGCCGAGTCAGCGCGATTCTTCGCGCCCTGCGTCTGCGACTGCATCGCGAGCTCTTCCCTCTCCACACGATCCGCCAGCTCCAGGATCGCCTCGTCGTTGAAGTAGTCCTCGTCGCCCATGTCGAAGTCCGAGCTCGAGCCGTTCGCCGCGGGCACCGCAGGCTCGCGCGCCCCCGCCACTTGCCAGTCCATGTTCTCGTCCTCGTCCTCATCGCTGTCCGGGACGAAAATGGGCGGCCGCCCGTTCGGCGAGAGGATCCGTTCGCGCGCGAGGGCCGCGGAGGGGTTGGACGCGCCCGGGCCCGCGTTGGCGAAGTAGTGCGAGCGGGTGTTAGGCGGCGCGGGAGCTCGGGCGACCCGTGCGGGTGGCTCTGGCGAAGGGGTACGGTTCGCTCGACTGGGGACTTTACGTCGCCGCGGTTGGCCGGCGTCGTCATCGTGGTATGAGCCAGATGGCCCTGCCACCGGAGAGGCGGGTGGCTCAGAGACATCGCGTAGGGGCGAGCGAACTGGAGTTACGCGTATGCCTGGTGCTGCCTGGCGTTCTGGCGTACGTGGAGGGGCGTGTGCGGGTGCCTGCGGGACTGCCGCCGCGACTTGGGCTTGTGGCTCTGGCTCGTCGGGGGCTGGCTCGTGAGGCAAGCTGTATGCGTGTCGTGAGTTTGCTCAGCTATCGCGTGAAAAGATGCGTTGTAGACGTACCGCATTCGCTCTCGGAGAGCACGAGCGAAGTTCCGGTCTTGAAACGCTTCGAGGTCGGCGACGTGGTGGCCCTTCATGACCACACACTTGGGCTCGAGGAAGGCGATGCCTCTCCGGACGGGAACGTTTTTGAGTATCATCTACTGAGCATGGGTCACATTATGAACAAAGCAACTTCAAAGAGAGGGCACAATGGCCTGCGGCTTGTCGAGCCGAGAAGGAAAAGACCAGTGTAGGTTGGGGCGTGGATTGGGCGTGCATCTAACGCAGAACCAAATAGGGAGGCTACCGCTCACCTTAAGGCCGAGCCTGCTCTCTCCGAGCTTGAAATCTGGCAAGCGACGGTGTTCCACAGCAGGTAGGGTGACCGAGCCGTCTGTGAGCTCGAAGCGAAGCATTGAACGCGGGTAAGATGGGATAGGCCCTTCGTCCTCGTCATCCTCTTCCCCCGCGAGACCCGCCATATCCGCACGCTCGAGCTTCGCTTGCCGGACGCTCATCAACGAAAACGCGCTCTGCCCGATCTCCATTATGCTAAGGACTTGCACGAGAACAGGTCCGCGTATGGTCGTCTCCTTGGTGTCAGGCGAGATTTGGGGCAGCCCTGTTCCGGGCACCATGGAATCCCTGAGGTCGGATTCCAGCAGCTGTATGTCCACATTGTGTATGATTTGGTCCATGTGCGTCGCTGGCTCGTAGTTGTATTCCTCTCTGACCCAGTTATAGCAGTCGTTGAGCCATTCCTTACAAACCTGTCATGGATTGAGTGCATAACAAAGATACAACGACGCACTTGGTCCACCCTCGGACGGGGATAAGCACGCTGCAACCATTGTGTAACCTGAGGCGGGGGAGCCATAGCACGGTGAGATAGTAGTCGCGTTCTCCAGTTCCGAGAGTCTTGATGCCTGCGTTCAGGAGTGTCTGTTCCTAGAGAGATCAAGGGTCGTGTGCAAGCGAGAACACGCGTTTGTGGCGAGAGACGCGTTCCATTGGGCGCGTACGCGCCCCACGTGAGCTATATTCGAATTCCTGTACTGGCAGTACTACGACTCTGGCGGCGCCGAAACATAAGGCCTTAAGGCCTTAAGCTTTAAGCTTTATAGGCCGAGGAGAAAGCAGGGAGAAAGGGTATATTGATCTGAATCATATCGAATGCGGTACTGTGTCTGGAGTTCGGTCACACCTGTGGATTGGTTTTCTTCGCTGTAGCCTGCAGGGTGCTGTCACTGAGACCACCAGTAGGCTTTGGTCTACGATTCAGTGAGCCGTTGAAAGGCCTACGTGAAGGGTCGTATGCGCAGAGATGCCGATGCTTACTCTCGCCAGCAGAAACCCCACTAAATTGGGAATATGGTGTCGCTGGGGCTTAAGACAGGCATACTATACCTGTGTGCCGGCGAGTGAACTTGAACATGACAGCCTTCCAGTCGGACGCCGGTATGACAACAGCGACTCCATGATCGGGGCGAAGAACTGAAGTCTAGGCGAGGGGGTGCGGTACCAATTGTGACTGTACTGAGGTTGATTTTGCCTCGTTGACCACTATCAAGGTATCATGTAAAGGTTGCATTATCTTGTCGCCGTCGCCGATTTCAGGCTGTTGTGAATCAGCGGGTCCAGCATTAGATTATGTATTGAGTACTGATATACCATCCATCCTGAGATAAGCAGAAACGACAGAAGAGCAATGAGATGTGGCGCAGTGGACCAGAGAACAACCTAGGGTGCAAAATCGTTCTTTACCCAGACTTGCACCGCCCCGGGAAGGCAGGTGAAGGTGCCCCATCCGTCCGCAGACACATCAACGCTCCCGGTGCCAATCATCGAGTTGAACGTGCTGGGCCCGACGTTCTGTCCAATCCATCGGCATTGATGCGCAGGTCACCACTAAGAAACACGTACCGTTCCGACGTTCATCCGTACACTGTGAATCACACCCTGGGCACTGAATAGAAACGTCAGAGTTACCGTAGCGAAGCAAAGAAGACGTGACCGTACCCATGGCCTTGATCGGCATTGCTGACGAGGACCGCGCACCCTCCATGTTGAGCGTCACCGGAACGTACGAAGCCTATGCAGTTCCGCGAATGGAAGTAGTCGGTGCGATCGCCGTAGGCATACAGCTTTCGTGCCTTCATGAACACTTGCAGGGCATTCGCAACACGAGCGTCGTAGCACTCTTCATTGGGATAGAGATCGCCGTAGAAAACACATCTATGTGATTGCGTCGGAGGGGCACGATGGGCATGGAGTATGACGACTCACGGGTGACCTTCACCGCGGAGAAGGATTAGAGCGTAGGCCACAATCTTGAAGTTGGCACCGACCTGCCCAGCCGCAGTGAGTCTCTCCAGTCGTAGTGCCGTGACGCATACTGAACCTACCCAACTCTCCAGACTTTGACCGATTTGCTAGCAAGGAAGAATTAGGGTGCAATGTCGGCTGAGCCTTCCCCACTTACGGTGCTGGACATTGCTATCAGATCACGGCTCGAATGGCAGATATAAGAGAAGTACACACTCGTGATTGTCGACGAATGTAATAGCATCTCCAGGTCTAAACTTCACAACGGTATCGTTGAATATGGTCCTCAAATCGTATCGTGCACCAGCCTTGCTCGCTCGATAGAAATTGTGGTGCAGCGGAACGTCAAAGAACGTCACCTGAATGAGGTGAACTCGTATCCGAGCGACCAAGTGCGAAGCATAACTTACCAGCCCTTGGAAAACGTAGATATAGGGCTTGATTAGCTTCACGCTTTCAATAGGCATGAGCACGGCTTCCGGTGATGGAAGCGGGGCCTTACTTTGCAGACCAGTACTCCGCAACCACGAAAACATCTTCCCTCCCCGTCGCTCTTCGTACATGCTTGAGCTACGTCGGAACCATATGTTCAATGATAGACGCAACGCAAAATGAGTGACCTACGAAGTCAAGTAGGAAGTATCGATCTATGTGCTTGATGGCATCTAAGCGGAATCCCGCACCGCCGGTCGTCTGTGCCTTATGAGCACATAATGCGTAGATAGTAGTGTTTTGGCACCTTAAGCACCCATTCTCCCCATGCGAAGAGATCTTGTCGAACATCCGGATGATGATGGTCAATCTACTCGTTTGGTAGGTTTATGGCTGCTTTGAGGAATCGGTGTACGAACATCGGCTCCGAGTAGGTAGTCATAGTTGCCAAGTTCACTGTCGACGAACTTGGACCAGCCCTTGTGTGATCCACCGACGATACGATAGACCCCCTTGAGCCGTTTCTTGTGATCCCAATCCAAGCCTGTGTCGTTTCGGAATGGAAAGGTAATATCACTGCAACAGACGGTAGAGACGTACCAGTGAAGTGCTCTTGTGTCCATTTGAACGTACTATACTACGAGTCGTTCAGTATCCTTCTCATAGGGAATTGAAGAGTGTTACATGATTGTTCCTCCCAGGGAAATCAAACGCAGTCCAGCCCTGTATTCCGAGAAGTCTGGGTATCGCTGAAAGGACGGCATGCACTTCCAGCTACACACCTCGATCTCCCTCGGAGGCGTCAAGTCTCTGAGACGGTTCTGAGGATCCACGGGCACTGCTTCAAATGTCTCTGTTCTGTCCGCGCCTATCTTGTGCTATTGTAGCAACCATTATACAGTGAGAGCTCGCGCCAATCATTCGCTGAGAGACTACGTACATTCAGAATGGCATCGATCAGGACGTCAATGCCGTGGGCCTTCGCTATCTCAATGGCATGCACGAGCTGCTCTTTGGTACCCCATCTGGTAGAAACGACGCCCTTCTGGTCGAATTCACCTAAGTCCCACTGAAAGTCTTATTGAGTGGTCGGTGTAGATCAAAAACGTCCCCATACCAGGTCATAGGCATCGTAGCCTTGGCCTGTCTACTCGATACCTCATCAAATCTCGAAGGCGTAAGCAGTACAAAGCCCTGTTACCTCATTCATTGCCTTGTTGGGCGGCGGAAGCCAGACTTGAGTGACGCCGAGGTCGGCCAGCCTCGGGACTTCAGTCTCGAAGTGCTGCCACCAACTCATGTTGGGATGCTTGCTGTCCCAAGTGAAGAATTGAATCTAACAGACTGTTATGAGCAACCAGTTCAGTTCTAGACCTCGTCGACACGTACCATCAAACCATTGTCTGGAGTACTTCTATGACTTAACCGCATGCGCTCTAATGCGGGACGAGGGTATCCTCTCAGGCGCGTGAGCACCCAGTCTATCAGCGAGCCATTTTGGCCCATGTCAGGTAGTGTAACAAGCGAAATGGGTGCCAGGAGGGATGACCGTTGTCCGAGTCTAAGTTGAGCTGTGCGCTGACCGAGGCTGACCGGCGCAGCTGAAGGCGCGAACGGCATGGAGGGCGCGTTTCGGGCCGTTGGCGACGCGACGCGTCTAGTCACATGATCGAATGTTCCCACGAACCGCCAATAAATTTCCACCGCGCCTCGAAGGGTTTTCAACATTGCGACCACCACTGCACGCTCTCGCTTTCCGTCGGTATTCTTCTGGCTTTCAAGCGCGGGTCGATTGCTTTCTAGTTCGTGGTGGTCCGATTGAAAGAGCCTGTTTAATCGCTCTGATGGCACTGTTTCCATGTCATACGGAGTTTCATGCTTTGGCGACATATATACTTCACTCCATCTCTCCTTGTCCTCCATTTGTATAGTACGATCTGTGATACCATAGCGAATGCTATTGCTCTAGCTTCTGATGCTCGTCCACTCTGCTCGCCGGATGTCCTCCTCATCACTGGTTTGCTGTGCATTCTCTTACTCTTGGCATTCTCGCCGCATTGGCTAGACGGAATGACTCTCAACGGTGCGCTGGCACTACCAGGTATGAAGCTTTGAAGCTCGAGGGCTGCAGCATTATAATTGCACGACTACCGAACCCAGCTCTTACCAACGTATGTGCCGTCCAAATAAGCCTAACGTAAGATTATTCCACTCGCTGCTCAGATCTTTAGGTGGCCGAATCATACTAACAACGGAGCTAGGCACACTTGAGGCGCACGGAGCGGACTCAGATTCGATAGTAGCAGAGTGCACTCGCAGCAGGTCGTCTATGGCTTGTCCAGACAAATATAGCACTTGCACTTGACCGGCGTTCAAACGTTCAACGTTGCAACGTTGTGGCACCGTCCTGCTCGGGATATCCGAGTCGGTGCCGAGCGACTCGAGCGACTAGCCATCATTATGCAAGCCTCAATGCATACGTTCCAGTCGATGGAGAGGCATAGAGCATCACATGTGAGTACGTCCGAGTCTACTTGACATACGCACCAGTGCTCATCGATCATCGTTGCCAGGACACAGTGACAGGAGAGCTACCCGGATACAAGTCTGCACGCCGACAACACACTCGACCATGATTGTCAATGCTCCCATCATCAGGAATATCGGTAAGAAGAGCCGAAGGCAAGCCTGAAGAGGGATTCAGAGCACTCCAATTGTTAACTGTGTGATCAGAGGCATGAATTCACGGTCATGCGACCTCAAGCTGTGGATCGCACTTCCAGCGGCCTATAAAGAGGGCGCACGATGAACGGCAAGTCGAGCTTGGCTGGTCCTCCTCCTCCTACTGCATTCATCTTCTTTTCTCTTCCCTGCTCTTTCCTTTGATCTTCTCTATCCTCATCTTGGGTTTCTTTGACGATCTTTCCACGAGACTCCTTCTTTCCTCGTTGATCGCTGTGCGTTACAGGATGGGCTGCATCGGTCCTCCAGGGCACGGTAAGCATGGGATAGACTAGCCAGAAATTTGTATCATGCGCTGACTGTTTGTGTGAACAGTCCTCTGAGGTCTCAGATCTCAGTCCGCGACCTTTCGCCGCGTGCGCCACCGCCACGTATGTTCTGCTTGGTCATGCATAAGCATCACCCCATGACATTTTGACCATTGTAGATGACCAGATTGAAACACTGAGACTCGATGGCAAGAAGTTCAGGGTGCGGAAGAACCCACATCAAGGCGTGAATGGCGTCGTCTATCAAGTCCTCGACGGCAAATACAAGGGCGGGTACGCCAAGACGAGGATCATTCTACAAGAGGTCGAGGCGACTTCCGCCGTACGTTCCCTACGTTCTCTCGCCTCGCTTGTGCAAACTTGACGTGTCTACTCAGGTCGGAGCTCTGTGGAAGTAGTCTGGACGACCAACACCGGAATTGGATGATCGTGAGGCCATCGCCAGGCAAACGCCTCGACATCACGTCCGCGTATGCGCGTGTGCGACACAACCCGCAGCAATGTTGGGCGCTGCTGGACCACGCCGTCGACGTCGCGACAGACGCAATCCTGAAACATTTACCACCTCACTGGCTGGCTTCACCAAGATCTCGTTATGACGATCGTCCTCTTCAACGACCAGGCCTCCCGAGCATATCTTATCGACTGGGGACCTGCGTCGAAACAGGCTCACGTGGTGAGTACAGCTTTCCGCACACATAGCGACCAGTTGATAGATACTGCCGCGACGCTATGGTACACGGGAAGATGCGTAGCGATGTCAGAGCAGAGGTGACACGCACGGTGTCGGGCGCCGGTTTTTGCCTACGTGCGGCCTGCGTCAGGGCGTCCGCACGTAGAACACGTCCCCGCGCGCCACCCTGCGCCGGGGCGTCCGTCCGTACAATACGTCCCCGCGCGTCATCCTCAGGCTGGGGCGAGCCGTCCGTCCGCTCAATACATCCCCGCGCGCCACTAGAGACGTTCGTAGTCGCTGGAGCTTGGGGGATGCTGCCAGCCGGGCGACCGTTGTGGTCTTGCCAGAAATTCCAGCCACAGCGTGCTTGTGTCATGTCACAGTGTATGGCGCGACTCTACTACAAGGCCTGTCGGACATTTAGGTTGGATATTCGCGCTTGGGGACGTTGCAGTGCTCTTGACTCAGAATAGAGGTGTTTTCACGGTCTGGCACTTTTACCCTTCTGCCGCCACTGCACGACGCTCAGGCTCTGAGGACGACGGTTTGATGATTCGACGACGCACTTACCCAACTAGGCAGCACAACTCGTCCAACACTGACTGCGCTAGCGGCGAGAGCAACATGTCCCACACGGCATGCGGCACGGCCACTTCCCAATCATGACATTGATGAGGCCTGTCGCGCGACAGCCTATCGAGAAACAACATGCGTGATGTGACTGCGTCGACCCGCGGCGGCGACGCGAGGAGGGGCCGCTGCGAAGCCCGGCGAGCTCGTTCGAGCTCGGACGCTGCAGTGCTTCTCCTTGCTTGCGCGCGCCAAGCGCTGACCGGGACCGACCGCGATCTAAATTGCGATCAAGATCGCAATTTAGAGTTGAGCAAAACGGTATCCTCTTTCCTCTTCTCCTCCTCCTCCACCTCCTCTGTCGGAAGACACACCCGACCATGCGATTGGCCATGCTTCCATCATATCAGGAAATATCGGCAAGAACAGCCTAAGGTGTGATTCAGAGAACTCCAATACTACTCCAATTATGAATTGCAGTGTGATCAAAGGCATGGATCTGGCATGGATTCACGACTTGAAGCATGCATGCCGAGTCGAAAGGGAGCATGGGGAAACGGGCGACCGGAAGGACGGCCTTGTGAGGGCTAGACCATCGGCACAGACCTCGACGATGGCTCACCGAGGTCTGCTCGTGCATCGATGTCTGGGATCTATGGACACGGGCTCGATGAACTTTGCCTTCACCAACACTACGAAACAAGCTATGGTATTCAACGCCAGCCGCCAACCAACGACAACAAAGCCAGAACGGAGCTGCAGATGAAAGTCAACGGTAAGTTGACTATATTGCATCATGATGCTTCTTACGCGTATGTCGGCTTGCTATTCTCGTCCGAGCCCAAAGACATATTCACTGCCCCTAGTATTCTGAGCGTAAAGCTTCGGTGGCTAGGCGAATCATGAATGCTTGCCTATCAGTCGAGTCCTACGTGGCGGAGCTGCCGCCCTGGGCTGCGCTGTACCAGTAATCTCTGGATGCGAAGACGCGCTCGATGTCCGAATGGCCCCGCTCGCGCAGCTTGCCTCCGTCGAGCATGTCCGAGTCTCCGCGTGCGCCACGCGCTGAGGGCCGACCGCGATCGAAATTGCGATCAAGATCGCATTTTAGAGTTGAGCAACTCGGACACACTCGGCCATGATTGGCTATGCTTCCATCATATCGGCAAGAAGAGCACTGCAACTATTGATGGTGCGATCAGAGCAAGATCAGGGACATGAATTCACGGTCATGCAGAACGCACGGTGACAGGCGGTGGATCACACTTCCAGCGACCCATAAAGAGGGCGCACGATGAACTGCAAATCGAGCTTGGCTGGCCCTCCTCCTCTATTGCATTCGTCTTCAACTCTTCCCTTCTCTTTATCTTTATCTTCTCTATCCTCATCTTGAGTTTCGTTCGCATCGTTGACGATCTTTCCATGCGACTCCTTATTTCCTCGTTGATCGCCTTGTGTGTTACAGCATGGGCTGCACCGGTCGTCCAGGGCACGGTAAGCATGGAATAGACTGGCCAGAATATCGATTCAAGCGCTGACTGTTTGTATGAACAGTCCTTTGAGCTCCCACTGGTCCGCGACCTTTCGCGTGCTTCGTCGCATGGGCCACCGTCACGTACGTTCTGCTCGGTCATGGCCAAGCATCACTGCATGATGACAGTTTAACCACCGTAGATGACCTAACATTGTGGGTCGATAAGAAGAACTTGAAGTTCAAAGTGCGGAAGAACGAAGAGCAAGGCGAGCACGGCGTCGTGTATAAAGTCGTCGCAGGCAAATATAAGGGCGGGTACGCCAAGGCGTTAATATCTGAACAAGAGATCCAGGCGACTGCCGCCGTACGTTCCTTACGCTCCCTCTCGCCTCTCTTGTGCAAAGTTAACACGTCTACTCAGGTCGGTGCTCTGTGGTTGAAGGGTTCGGACCACCATAACGATAAGTGGATCATCGTGAAGCCATCGCCAGGCAAACGGTTCAACCAAACGTCCGCGTACGCGCACGTGCGACACAACCCGCAGCAATGCTGGGAGCTGCTAGAACACGCCATCGACGTCGCGACGAACACAATCCTACACACTTACCGCAACACTCACTGGCTTCACCAACACCCCACTCTGTCGAACGTCCTCTTCAACGATCAGGCCTCCCGAGCATATCTTATCGACTGGGGATGCGCGTCGAAACCGCCTCACGTGGTGAGTACAGCTTTCCGCACACATAGCGACGAATTGACTGACAAATTCTGCCGCGACGCTATGGTACACGTGAAGCACATCCCCGATGTCAGAGCACACGGTGCATACACGATGTCGCAATCCGGTCACAGTCTTTGCGGCGCGCGGCCTGCGACGGCGCATCCTCCCGTAATGCACGCCCCCACGTACCACTGTCCTGCGCCGGCACACGGCGCGGTCGCTCTCCAACCATGGCATTGATGAGGCACGTCGCACGACAGTGAACCAGCTACAAGGCGACATGATTCTGTTGTATCCCAGGTGTCCATAGAATGAGAAGTGATTGTTGTACTAGCACAAGACCGTCGTCGGTACAGCATGGGGGATAAATTGCTACACGCTCCCGATTCTAGCCACAAAGGAGCATCGGGTGGTCTAGTCTGCACAACTGACTGCCTCACGCCGGCGTCACGATCAGAAAGGTGTCGCCGAAGCCGGCCTCCGAGTCTGTCTAAGTAGGAATTTGTTATATGACCTAACCACCGGATAATGTCGAAAGCACCGTGAGCCTTTCGTTGAATCGCCACGGCTTTGAACTAGAAGAGTACAGGGTTCAAACTCCATGCCAATGTCATCCTCTGGACCATAGGTTCCAGTTACTGTACACGTTCCCGGTGCCACCTGGTGAGGGAGTCATAGGTCAACTGGTCAACCGGTCAAGGACGACTTTCCGAATGCTTCTACCATGACGCCACAAACGTATATGGTTCAGAACGGCGCGGTGTTACATATCCCCAGACAGAATGTTGGTAGTATTACAGAGATCTATGTTATGTATCTGTTCGCGGGCCTGAAGTTATCGTCCTTACAATGATGTTACACTAGACCTTGGATGTCACCCACGTGTACACTAAACAACAAGTTCATGCCAAGAAGAGCCCTCTTCACCTCGATCCACTCTGGAGACTTCATATTGAAGTCTTTGCTATCCAAAACCTTCACCCGTTTCAACAACACATTTCTCTCCTCCACAATGCTCTGGAGGAGCTCAGTGGCACGCGAGATCTCGAGGGTTTGCCCCGGGAGGTCATACAGGTCGTACGCCACTACACCCAGATCCATCCATGACGCCCAGGCACAGGCATAGCCGGGGGAGGTGAACGCACGGGCGTGCAGGGTATTCACCAATCGTGCGTGTTCCGTCACCCGCTCCTCCAAGCGTTTGCGTGCTTTAGCACCTTCATCCGTGAGCGGACTTGCATTCGTATCTCGGTCGAACGAGCGAACTTCTGACACCAGGTCAACGTTGGCCGCGGTGAGATAATCAGCTAGTTTGATGGTATCCTCGAGCTCTTGCCCCGCTGAGGCAGCAGTCTAAGGAGACACAACACGTCAGGATGGCCAATTGAGACTGAAGCTGACAGACATACTATGCTCTGCGGCAACCTGAGCCGACCGGAGACGGTCGCAACACACTGCGCTATGACGAGCTCGATGCGAACTCTGGCTAGCTTCGGTAACGTTCCGTCGCCTTGGGAGAGCTTGTCAACGACATGACTCAGGTCGTCGATGTGCTTCATGAGTAGATCCAGGAAGTCACGGGAGGGATACGATACCAGACTTGAGGGCCGGCTCTGCGGTGCTTGCGACGTGGACGCGTCGTCAGGTAGTGACAACGATTGAAGCTGGCATAGCTCCATCGCGCTGAAGATGAGAACACGGAGAAGCTCATCACCGATCGACCATCGCACAATGAGGTGCACATCGGAGGTTGGGTGGCGCTGTCTACCGAAAACTTCGCGACGGCGGCTGCGCTGACGGAGATGTACGATCTTGCTGGCCACCTCGAGGATGATATCGTCTGGGAGTGAAGTGAAGTGAAGCTCGAAGTCCATGACACAACGCGCCAGCGATTGGTATTCATCGCGAGCTCTCGGGATGACATCCTGGGGGTTGATGTGGTGATCGTCGCGCGGAAGAGCCTCGCTGGGGTAGTAGTGGGGTCGGTTCGACGACAGCTGTAGAAGCTGCTGAAGGGCGCTCTTGTACCATGCATCGCTTGCACCATGCGGGGGCCCGGGGTCGCATGCTTCCAGGACAACGTTGCCTAAGTTCTGAGGATGTGGACTGATGGGTTCGGCAGCGAGACCATCATCGACGAGCGGCGCGGGTACGGGTTTAAGGCCCGAGCGGCTTGAGTCTTCATCTGTAGGTTCATTTGGTTCAGTCATGATCTAGCAGTTGATGCTGGTCAAGGGCTCACCTTCAAACCGATCGGGGCTTAATGTCCACCCCACCGCTAGTAAAGGCTCTGGAATGATGGGCGCCGTTCCACGCCAGCAATCGTTCAGAGCTTGGGACTCTTGCTTGAACTGGATGCCTTCATCCCGAATGCCGCGCAAACTCGCTAGCTCGCTACCGGTGCTTTGTACGAGTGTCCGAAGGTTCCCTAAGCGCCGCTCTGCCTCCGCCATCCTCTGCAACAGCTGACGTACGTTCGCACTGTTTGTCGCCGCCGAATTGATGAATGCCAAGGTATCATTCTGTATTTGCATGATCATCGCATCCAAGGCCGTCGAGTGCGCTTCCAGCTTCGTGCGCTTCTCGTGCATTTCAACCGATGCCTCTTCTAGCTTGACGAGCGTCTTGCGCATTTCGCCTGATGTCGTCTCGACGGCTACGAGCCGGTCGTCTGTCTGCGTCCTCCACTCGTTCAGCTGCTGTATGTCATCTTCAAGTTGGGCGGTCTTTTCGTTGACGTTTGAGAGGGCGTCTGAGTCGATGTATGTTATGAGCTCCTCCAAGCAGGAGACGACCTCTGCTTTATGGGAGGAGAGTCTATCCGTAACGAACTTGATGTCGTTCACTGCATTCCTGCGGGATTCAAGGATGTTCGCAATGCCAGACTGGAGACTGGAGAGCGTTTCCAGTATGTCCGTGTCGCCGGAGCCCAGCGACACGATTCTTTCTTCGAGTGCACGCTGCCTGGATGACACAGACTGGACAAGATTCCACAGGTAGACGACAGACAGCGCCGGTAATACGACATTATAGGGCAGGAACATCATGCCAGAAAGGGACCATCGTGAGGAAATGCTAGGCAAGACAAATCGATGGCAGAGCAGACCCAGAACCAGACCAGCCAAGGCAACGCCGTACTGTCCGAGTCGGATTGAGAAGCCCCAGAGTGCCATGAGTTGCATCCCAAGTGGAGACGCGAGAAATCAGTTGAAGCTCGTGCTGCAGCCACAGGAGGCCGACCGATGTGACGACGCGAAGACCAGACGATTGCCAGGAATGTGACTGACGCAGTGACGTCCCGGGCGGCCACTGGGCCTGCCTGAAGGGCGGGCCTGCGGCAGGTGTAAACGAGGCTTGTCCAGGGTATTCCGTGGCAAGTGAAGAAAGAAGGAGACTTGTAGCCCGCTGTGGAAACGGTTTGCCTAGAGCGGAGTGCGGGGCTGCTGGACCGCCGCGGCGGGTGAAGAAGAGGTCGAACGACTGAATGAACCTTCGGTTGCCTAATTCAGACATGGACGCCTGGCGTGTGGCCGCCGGCGCCAGTGCATGTGGCCACCAACCCGCCGCCAACAGTGACACAAGAGCAGGCGCAGGCCGGGCATGCACTTAGCAGCGAGTTGGCACATAGCATGTCGACCCAGTTCAGCAGCGCAGCGAAGATGTTTGCATGACGCCGCCAGCCTCGCAACTGACTCGCTTCCCTTTGAATACGCTGCCTTTGAACGACATAAAGGACGTCACAAGTATCAATTGTAACACTACACTGGCACGGTAGCCAACACTACGAGTACATTTCCTGTCACAACGTAGCAACGTCAATTGTATCGTCGTACTTGAACATCTTCGTAGCGCACTCCAACCCCGAAACGGCACACTCGCTCCGCACAGCCTTGGCAATCAAGGTTGCATCCGCTTGAGTATCCCAATTTCAGCATCGATCTTGACAAGTGCAACCGCTCTGACGACCTGTCAGCCGGTGTGAGAGGAAACTAAACACCGGATGTACTCACGATGAAGCGCCTCATACCAGGCGTACCCCAGATGTGACCGTGTCGACAGTGATAACGTGATGTTAGACCAACTAGGGTTTGCCTCGTTAGCCTACGCAGCCGGAATTCACCATCCCGTCGAAGCCCTTACCTGACGGACCGCGACACAACTCAATCGCGGCGTGGCTGCGCGCACACCCCATCTCGACGGTATCCCGCCGGCACCGAGCCGCATAAGCGTCACCTGCACCAATCGTCAGCTCCAGGTGGTCGTACGGCGCTCAAACCCTTACCTGGACACCATGTTACGGCTCCCGAGTAAACCGTTGTGGCATTGCTGCCTCCGTTACCGTATGTGCGCCACGCCCTGCTCCCCTCGGGGTCATGTGCACTCCACTCCGATACACCCGGCAACGGTGTGCTTCAAGAGCCTGAGCCGCGTCCCGCGCCTGCTCCCGTTGCTTCCCCTTCTCCACCCCGCTGGAACTCGCTGACCACGCTGCTCATCTCTTCGACGATCTTCAGCTGGTCTTGCAGCTGTTCCATTCGCCTGTTCGCCTTCCGCAGGAAGTCGAGCAACTTCAGCTTCTCCAACCTGATAGCCTCGTCAAGCGGGTCGCTGTGCGTCACCGCTGGCTGAGCGGGTTGCTGCGTCACCTCGACCGACCTGACTACCGTCGGCTCATCGACGGCGGCGTCGTTCGTGGCACGAGTGCCCTGGCTGGCCTCGATAGTAGTGCGGACGGGCCCTGGACCGCGGCGCGGGACATCATGCGCTGGGCGCTGGTCGTTGATCCTGCCCGAGGTCATTTGTTTAGGAGACGGCACGATGTCGACGAACCACCCGCGGCACACGGGGCATGACCCATGCTGCAGCAAGCCGGTCCGGTCAGTCGAGCGAAAAGCTGTGCGCGAGATGTACTCACCCCACGACGGATCCATTCACGAATACTGATATCAACAGTCATGAGCATCCATAGTATAGCCCGTGCCACTAGCGTCGTAGATGGTACACTCACCACGGCTTGCAGAAGAAATGTCCGCAATTCAGTTTCGTGACGCGCCGGCTCTTGACAGGAACAGGCTCGCTAGTTGGCGTGCCGTCGTCGTTCACCACCCGGCCGTGGTGAATGTCCTCCAGCGTCTGGTAGCAGATAGTGCACACCTCCTCGGGCGGGATGGCCTCTCGCGCGAGTGTCGGCAGATACTCGACGACTTCGTCCACAAGCTATAGCAGAGTGAGGACATTGCGAATGACGACGACCTGCGCAACGTGAGATTCGCACCTGAGCCACCGCAAATGACGAGTAGTCGTTTCGCGAACGCATGATCCACGTCATGGTCGGCCACATGACGAGATCATCGAGCAGAACGGTGAAGAACATTCCCAGAATACGAACCCTCAAAGCCGACATGCCATCGAGGTAACCATGGCGTCCGAGGGCGGCTGCGGCAAGAATCGTAAGGCCTCCGGACATCGCACCGCGGCATGCCTTCACCACGCAGAACCCCATGCATCGGTAGAGAAACCCGCGCCGGGCGGGATTCTCACGACCGAAGTACCAAGCGAACTCCATGACAGGCAGGAGCAGCAGCAAGAAAAGCATCGTCCTCAGACTCCAGAACCTGTAGACTCTCCAGAGTAGCATAACTGGTAGACCGGTGGACGGAGCAACCGAGTCACGGAGGTAGATGAGGATGATGTCGTCTCCGATCCGGTCGGCGACGATGTTGTAGACGTACGAGACCAAGGTAGAGAACCATAGCAGCTTGCTTTGCGGCCGGTGTGTGACCAGATGCAGGAAGGCTGCCAAGTCGCCTAGTAGTGAGGGTAGCATAATGTTGTCCTAGTAGTCGCAATGAAGATGATGATGGTTGATGGAGAGAGGGCTGCCTCGCCAGCGGCGGAATTTATGAGCGGCGGCGGAGGCTGACCAGGACCGTCAGCGCGTCAGCCATCGGCACGACAGGCGATCGAGGCGTCGACGTCAGCCGCACGGTCCAAACCATTCCATCGGGACCGTCGCGTTGTGCAGCTGATGCGAGGCGGGCTATTCCAACTGCAATGTCTGCATCAATGAAAAGGCTCAGGATGCCAGAGCCGCAGCGCTGTTACGAAGACCTGACGAAGGCGGACTGGAGGGAGATCTGAGAAAAGGTGAACGACCTATTATTAGACACGCCCACGTGACTGCTGACGACACGTCGCGCCGTTTGTGAGTTTACAGGTATTCAAGTTGTTGGAGACGTTCAAGTTGTCCACAAATCGCGCACAAAAGCCGTGGCGTGTATGAGTGTTGATACTTACATGTGTGAAGCACGCGCGAGACGGTGCCGTCCATACCTGAAGCCTGATGCCTGCCAGTGCGAAATGCATATACACAACTATGCTAAACAAAACATGACTATGGACAATCGGAGTCGGATTAGGCTGATAAAAACGCGCGGTCATGGTCCATCCAACTCGTGTGACTCTGTCAAAGAGGACTTGAGCACGACACAGTGCGATACGAGAACATACGGCTGCTCACCTGCGAGCAGACTATGAATTCGTTCAGCCTCCGTCTCGAGCGTCTCTCGAAGGCGCCGGCGATTCGCGTGAGGATTGCCCGGGCCACCGTGAAGTGCCGCCTCTTCGTGGGTAGGTATCCCAAGAAAGCGGCAGATCCGCACCCTGCACAGCTTCCACAGCTCGACCGCGAGAATGAACAACAGGATCAGGACGAAGGGTCCCAATACACTGTCGTGCATCACATCGGCTAGCCAGGCGCCAAACGCATCGTCGACGGTGTTAGGTGCAAGCGGCTCCGTATTGAAGGTGGGCAATGCAGTGAAGTCGGGTTCAGGATTGACGGTGGTGTTTGATGGGTGATCTGCGAGGGATGCGCTGGGCGTACCGGGGAGTACGAGCAGGAATATGATGGGTGGCTCAGGCAGTTGTGGAGGTGGAGGACTGCGAATGTGATACAATCAGCCTCGGCAGCCACTGAGCGTCTGACAGCGGACAACTGGAACACATACGCTCGGTCCAGTAACAGCTTGATACTATCCACGATGATATCTTGCTTCCGTCGTATCTCCACTCCTAGCGACATTAGCACCACCGTTAGGAGGTGGGTCGCGCCAGCGAATATGTTCTCGAGGGACACAGGCAGCATGGTGGGTGGCGCGGTAGGTTGTGGATGGTGCGTCGACTGGATGCAACAGCCCCGGCCTAAATACCTGCGCTGGACTGACGATGGAGCGACGTCCGCACAACGAGTCAACATCTCATGCATCAGATGTCAAGTGAACAAGACACAGCGCCGTACCGATCGCCTGGCGATGCAAGTGACAGGTCTGGCTCTTGCTGCCGCGATATTGTGAGTCGTAAGACACTGAGTGCGATAGGAGAGGCCCTCCGACACAGGGGATCGTAAGCTGGCCCATATGTCCGTCCAACGTCCACATAGCCGTCCAGTACTCATATGAGCCGTGAGACAGTCACACAGACGAACATGTTCGAAGAGTAGTAACGATGACAGCAGGAGGATTCACGACATGTGTCGCACTTTCACATTTCACGCGATCACCTAGCGTTCCCGGCCCTCCCTTGGTGTACTGGCGAATGACAGAACATCTACAGAAACAGGCAGTCATAAACAGATGCCCGACCATCCGGCATGTCACTCGGATGGCATGTCTTCTGTGCCCCTCCGTCGGACTCGAGATAGCCAAGGACGATACACGTCATTCGCGGTCGGGGACTTCTTCTGTTTCGCAATATACGTGCCGTCGAAGTCGCTTCTCAGCCAGCCCCCTCAAACGAAAGCATCCAAGCCGGGAAGCACAATCTATGCGCCTCGGAGGAACAGAAAGACGAAGAGCCCAGTGCAGGGAGTCTTGTTCAGCGTTGGCACAGATTGGCACTCCAGTCAGCCACGGCGTGGCGGCGGATTTACTAGACTGTCAACGGCGCGACGTGTCGTCAGCAGTCACGTGGGCGTGTCTAATAATAGGTCGTTCACCTTTTCTCAGATCTCCCTCCAGTCCGCCTTCGTCAGGTCTTCGTAACAGCGCTGCGGCTCTGGCATCCTGAGCCTTTTCATTGATGCAGACATTGCAGTTGGAATAGCCCGCCTCGCATCAGCTGCACAACGCGACGGTCCCGATGGAATGGTTTGGACCGTGCGGCTGACGTCGACGCCTCGATCGCCTGTCGTGCCGATGGCTGACGCGCTGACGGTCCTGGTCAGCCTCCGCCGCCGCTCATAAATTCCGCCGCTGGCGAGGCAGCCCTCTCTCCATCAACCATCATCATCTTCATTGCGACTACTAGGACAACATTATGCTACCCTCACTACTAGGCGACTTGGCAGCCTTCCTGCATCTGGTCACACACCGGCCGCAAAGCAAGCTGCTATGGTTCTCTACCTTGGTCTCGTACGTCTACAACATCGTCGCCGACCGGATCGGAGACGACATCATCCTCATCTACCTCCGTGACTCGGTTGCTCCGTCCACCGGTCTACCAGTTATGCTACTCTGGAGAGTCTACAGGTTCTGGAGTCTGAGGACGATGCTTTTCTTGCTGCTGCTCCTGCCTGTCATGGAGTTCGCTTGGTACTTCGGTCGTGAGAATCCCGCCCGGCGCGGGTTTCTCTACCGATGCATGGGGTTCTGCGTGGTGAAGGCATGCCGCGGTGCGATGTCCGGAGGCCTTACGATTCTTGCCGCAGCCGCCCTCGGACGCCATGGTTACCTCGATGGCATGTCGGCTTTGAGGGTTCGTATTCTGGGAATGTTCTTCACCGTTCTGCTCGATGATCTCGTCATGTGGCCGACCATGACGTGGATCATGCGTTCGCGAAACGACTACTCGTCATTTGCGGTGGCTCAGGTGCGAATCTCACGTTGCGCAGGTCGTCGTCATTCGCAATGTCCTCACTCTGCTATAGCTTGTGGACGAAGTCGTCGAGTATCTGCCGACACTCGCGCGAGAGGCCATCCCGCCCGAGGAGGTGTGCACTATCTGCTACCAGACGCTGGAGGACATTCACCACGGCCGGGTGGTGAACGACGACGGCACGCCAACTAGCGAGCCTGTTCCTGTCAAGAGCCGGCGCGTCACGAAACTGAATTGCGGACATTTCTTCTGCAAGCCGTGGTGAGTGTACCATCTACGACGCTAGTGGCACGGGCTATACTATGGATGCTCATGACTGTTGATATCAGTATTCGTGAATGGATCCGTCGTGGGGTGAGTACATCTCGCGCACAGCTTTTCGCTCGACTGACCGGACCGGCTTGCTGCAGCATGGGTCATGCCCCGTGTGCCGCGGGTGGTTCGTCGACATCGTGCCGTCTCCTAAACAAATGACCTCGGGCAGGATCAACGACCAGCGCCCAGCGCATGATGTCCCGCGCCGCGGTCCAGGGCCCGTCCGCACTACTATCGAGGCCAGCCAGGGCACTCGTGCCACGAACGACGCCGCCGTCGATGAGCCGACGGTAGTCAGGTCGGTCGAGGTGACGCAGCAACCCGCTCAGCCAGCGGTGACGCACAGCGACCCGCTTGACGAGGCTATCAGGTTGGAGAAGCTGAAGTTGCTCGACTTCCTGCGGAAGGCGAACAGGCGAATGGAACAGCTGCAAGACCAGCTGAAGATCGTCGAAGAGATGAGCAGCGTGGTCAGCGAGTTCCAGCGGGGTGGAGAAGGGGAAGCAACGGGAGCAGGCGCGGGACGCGGCTCAGGCTCTTGAAGCACACCGTTGCCGGGTGTATCGGAGTGGAGTGCACATGACCCCGAGGGGAGCAGGGCGTGGCGCACATACGGTAACGGAGGCAGCAATGCCACAACGGTTTACTCGGGAGCCGTAACATGGTGTCCAGGTAAGGGTTTGAGCGCCGTACGACCACCTGGAGCTGACGATTGGTGCAGGTGACGCTTATGCGGCTCGGTGCCGGCGGGATACCGTCGAGATGGGGTGTGCGCGCAGCCACGCCGCGATTGAGTTGTGTCGCGGTCCGTCAGGTAAGGGCTTCGACGGGATGGTGAATTCCGGCTGCGTAGGCTAACGAGGCAAACCCTAGTTGGTCTAACATCACGTTATCACTGTCGACACGGTCACATCTGGGGTACGCCTGGTATGAGGCGCTTCATCGTGAGTACATCCGGTGTTTAGTTTCCTCTCACACCGGCTGACAGGTCGTCAGAGCGGTTGCACTTGTCAAGATCGATGCTGAAATTGGGATACTCAAGCGGATGCAACCTTGATTGCCAAGGCTGTGCGGAGCGAGTGTGCCGTTTCGGGGTTGGAGTGCGCTACGAAGATGTTCAAGTACGACGATACAATTGACGTTGCTACGTTGTGACAGGAAATGTACTCGTAGTGTTGGCTACCGTGCCAGTGTAGTGTTACAATTGATACTTGTGACGTCCTTTATGTCGTTCAAAGGCAGCGTATTCAAAGGGAAGCGAGTCAGTTGCGAGGCTGGCGGCGTCATGCAAACATCTTCGCTGCGCTGCTGAACTGGGTCGACATGCTATGTGCCAACTCGCTGCTAAGTGCATGCCCGGCCTGCGCCTGCTCTTGTGTCACTGTTGGCGGCGGGTTGGTGGCCACATGCACTGGCGCCGGCGGCCACACGCCAGGCGTCCATGTCTGAATTAGGCAACCGAAGGTTCATTCAGTCGTTCGACCTCTTCGGATTTGCCCACCGGCCACCTCACTGTTCGAACCAGAACTCGGACTTGGAGGTCCCTTCTGGCGCTACAGTCAGCTATTGTCAAGTGGTATCGCTCACCGGCACCGCAATGGTGGCTACCTATCAACGTATTCACGCAACGTTGCCAGCATCGAGAATGTACTAGTAAGTCACGGTAGTTCGACCTGGGATGCGGCGTTATTGATACTGGCTTATGAGGATGCCCAGGCCATGCTCGCATTGTTGGGCTGGCCTGTGCCCCCCCCCCCCCGGTCGCCTAAGGCCCAAGCTTCGCAGCTTCGATAGTACGGTCACGTCGCGGGCACCGCGAGCTGGAGAAAGCCAGTGCAGTGGCCCGACGTCACTGGCATCTTGAAAACTCCCGTAAGTGCCACAGCTGTCATGCAGGGAAGCTTCGAATCGGATCGATGTGTACATCCCATTCTTCACAGCTGCACATTTGAGGCTCTGCTCGCGCTCCCTCCTTAAGTCGCGTTCCCAACCAGTTGCTGCATCTCAGCCTGTACCGTCGCTATCGCTGAACCAGCCCTCTTTCGTCCGTGGAAGACAAAGCCGCTGCCCATCGAAAAGCCTATCAATCATTGCCCACAGTAGCTCTGGGAATCAAGGTAATGCCAGGTTTCATCGCGATGCATCGACTGCCATGGCCAGTGTCTCACGAACTTGTTGCCAGAACAGGCCAGTGGCTCGGTGCAACGCTTCCCACTCGACTCATCTCGACATCCTATCGAATCCACCTCCCTCAACTCACCGCCGTACCTATGCGTAGCAGCTCGCAGACGTTCACGTCCTCCGTAGCGCGTCTTGCGCGGAGCACAATCGACCAAGTTGGCACCGCCATCGTCGGCATGCTACTAGCCTCCGTCTGCACTCTCATGATTTTCTGCCTATCGCCCAGGCGTGCCCTAGTCTACTTTATACGCAGTCTGATCATACCAGCGCTGCCCGATCAGTACAAGTATGCGGTGGCCATCGTCGAACTCCCGACCTTGGTGTGGATCGTCTTGGCCATTCTATTCTGCACTTGGGCTCCGTTTGTCTGCGGTCGGGATCGCTTCTCGGGTCGAGGAATCGGTCTCGCGACACGGGCACTACTCTACGTTTCCGCTACAGCGTCTGGCGCGTTGATCACCCTCGCGTGCGCCCACTACGCGATCGTCCTCATGGCCGGCGACCCCGCTTCGCTGCGCTTCGTACAAGAAGCCAGTCCTCTCACTCTGTTCACTCTGGGCAACTTCATGCTTGTCTCGCAAGTGGCTTCCTTTGCGTCATGGGAAGACTTTGTGAAATCCTGCGTTGCTGTCCCGGGTGGCGACATCGTGATGTTCGAGGCTGGAAACCAGGTACATGGTATTGTCTGCAAATCTGTCAATCTATATCAACTGACTCTGTGGCTTCGACATAGAGTGCAGAAAGAAAAGAGCTCCGTGCCTCGAGTCACGGTAACACGACCCAGGAGGCCCATCTTCGAAACCAAAAAGACAAGACTACGTTGTGATGTACGTCCCCGTGATCCGCGAACATGGCTTGACTGATCACTGATACACCTGGTTGTCTCGTTCATCATAAACAGCCTCCACGAGGATCACCTGCCAGCATCGTTCCTTCCGCCCGAAGCTTCAACGACTCAAACTATCCTGTCCATCCACAATCTTTGTTGTTCCATTCGTACATGTATGCCCGATCTGTGTTATGCACTTACGCGTCTTACCACAAACGCCTGGTCTCGATTGCACAAGGACCTTTAGCCCTTACGTTGCCTGTGAACAGACACCGCTGGACTTAGGTGCCGAGAGCCACTCATACGCTGAATACTGTGAATGCTGAGTTTCCGTGTTATGGCTCCGGATCCATCCGGGCCCCAGGTCACTACACAGTTACTACAACGTACTGATCGATGATCCTCGCGCGCCCGTGAGGGTGGACCGAGTATACAACTGTGACCGAGCGGCGCACATGGTCAAACCAGCCTCGAAATATATTGTGAATTGATTCGAAAATGCTTCAAGCTTGCAGACCGCCCTCCTCTCCGTCAAAGAGATCTTCAGGGTCCGCCTATGGGAGACTAAATCGAAAGAGCACGATGTTACACGATTAGGCCATTACGTCTCCGATTTGCCGTGTGGGTACCGTACCATCGTAACTTACATTGCGGGTCATTAATACAACGATATGTGAAGAGCGAGTACCCGGCGACAATAGCGCGGGGCCCGTCGACTCTCTGGCAACAAGCGAAGCGCAACACGGTACTACCTACCAGTGACGAATTGTAATGCACCTATGCTTCTTCATTTGTCGACGGTCCTGTCAGTCTCCAAGTTCATGCCATATGACATAAGTTAGGAAGTGTTGTACTGATACAGAATGAGTGTGCTACAGATCAGATCCGCATACATACCGAAGATACAAAAGAAGGGCGTCGAGCATTTTACATATCACTGACCCCGGTCTATTGCTTCCAGGGCCGAGTTGAGCACGACCTTGGGAAGCAATAGTATGCGGTTATCAAAGGGCTCCTCCGCGTTATCGTCCGAGGCCGTCGATGCCCTCTTCGACTTACGCGTCATACAACGCAGCCCCAGCTCTGTCGTGCAGAGCACCTTCCCAGTGCTTGCCCCGCCCGCTCGCGCCCCGCCTGACTTGCCGCTCGAGTAACTGTGCACGCTCGCTGCGTCGTCTGCGATAAACTCCTCATAGTCCCTCATCTTGTTCGACATGCTTCCCTCGTCAAAGGTTTCTCCGCTCTCTACGAGGACGACTTCGAAGCTGGTGGAGAGGATCTCTTCACGCGTCACTCGTGCAAGTCTGTACACGGCTTCTGCGATACGCCGTAGCTGGGTGCTGGGCACGAGAGCAGGCGACGGCTCTGTCGTCGGCGACGAGCCGGCTAATGCGAAAACAGTCGATGACCACTTGAGCATGGTCGCCACAAGCTCCGTGATAGCGTACTCCTCCAGCCCAGGGTACAGCATCCGGATTGATCGATGCGTCAACGCGCGCCATCGCGCAGACGTCGCCTGCGGTTCTAGAGTAACCCACACCGCTCGTTGAGGTCATGGATCAAACACGAAGGGACCGCACGTACCGGATGACTGCATGTGCGTGAGCACGCGCGAGAGAAGCGCGTCGAGCTTGGACGGGAAGCCCACGCAGAACAGCGACAGCGAGCGTGCACAGCAGGTCGCGATGCTGGCCTGCAGCGCGAGCTGGACGAGGATCGGATCCTGCGTGTGGTCGCGGGACGACAATGCATGCGCGAATGCCGCGCCTAGCCAAGGTGCGCTCTCCTCGTCCTGCAGGGGACCCGTGTCCGACGTCGGGGGCGGCGACCTCGCCTTCAGCCTCTTCGCGAACGCACACGTCTCCGTCGCGCTCGCAGCAAACTGATTTATCTCGGCGTTCAGATCCTCTACGGCCTGAATGACCTGTGCGCCCGACCAATTGTCCGTCTTCGTCATGAAGATATCCATGCTCCGTGTCCGGGCTATCTGCTCGGCATCCATGACCGCCTGCGGCTTCTGGGGGACGGGGGGTACGTTCTCGATCCTGCGCGGTGCTCTACTCCGGCTCGGGGTCCGACTCCGGCGACAAGTGTTGTGCTGCACCCCGTTCTGCTCTCTGTTCTCGGCCGACCCACTCTCCAAAGGCGCCCTCTGGCTCTTCATTCGCTCCTGGTCGCGCTCCGTCCTCGCCTGGTCTCTCTCCACCCTCGCCTGGTCGCGCTCAGCGACCAACCTGTCTCTCTCCTGCCTCAACGTGTCGATCTCCCTATCCTTCGTCCGCAACGACTCCTGCATCTCCCGCAGGGTCTCCTGCAACGCCTTGTACCGTTCGGCGAGCTTCATGATTTCGATCTGTATGTGTGAGCGTGCGGCGTCGCGGTGCGCGTAGGCCGTCTCTAATGAGAGCTCGAATCGCGCTGATGGCGGCGTGCGTGCTTCGACGGGTGCTGTCGATGGGCCGAACGGACCTGATCGCTCGCGTCGCTCCGCGGTGGCTAGTCGCAACCGCAGCGCGCTGCACTCGCGCGTGAGCCGTGCAACGGAATTTGGGAGGGGCGCAACCTCGCCGGAGTCAAATCGGGGCCTGGTAGGATAGACCGCCGCACACCCGCGGGCGGTGTAAATTTCGAGAGAGGGATCGCTGTTATGCCTAACGTGCATCATGCAGTGAGTTTGCGGGATGATGGGGCAGGGGAAGATACAGGAGCGGGAAGCTCACCTTCCGTGCTATATGAAAGGCCTAGAGAGGGATCTGCCCACCTGTGACTTGAGAGCAGCGCTGTCGACTGGTGGTGTGCAGGAGAATCTTGAGTCGCTGCGTTAGGAGCGTGCCGCCATGCGCATCGGAGATCGCAAACGCGTGTTGATGGGGCGCTCAAGACGTAACTATCGAGTTCTCCTCGAGTTCTACAGCCACCGCATCGCGGGGTCGAGCAGGCACAGCGACGAAATGTTGCGCTGATCAGCCGCGACAGTGACTTTCCACCCTCACAGAGCTACAATTGAGATGTAGTAGACGACTCTGAGAAGTGGGCATTGTATTAGCGCTCGTGCGCCTTCGCGATCACAAGCCGCCGCATTAGGAAGGAAGAAAGTAGGAGGCGTAGATGCGCTTCACAGCTGCGCCTTTGCGGACATTCTCATTGATAAGTGATACAGTCGAATGTACGTCTCAACGGCGCAAGCACGTACGATTGTCGGGCATCCCAACGTGCTTCGAGTCTCGCAGCACCGTGAAGAGCTCCGGCTGCTTGATCATGTGCAGTGGTAGGACTGACCTGGACTTGCTCAGGGAAGTTAGCCTCTCCAATCGGAGCCTGTGCGTTCACTTAGCACTCAATGACCGAAGGACCTCCATCCGGAACCAGACCATCTTACCGCGCGGCCTTACGCTGCCTCAGTGGACAAGTCTCCAGCACCGCACAATAGCCGACGCATCGTTCCATCGCGTATCTGCGATGTGGCCGGAAATGAAGACCTCTCTTATACAACAAGATGCACGAGGATGCGTGAGGACACTGTCCTGCGTCATCTGTGGCACCGAACGACTCCGGCTGTGCAACAGGGTGTGCAGTCCGCCGGCAGCGGGAACGTGTAGGTTGTACGTTATTGTGGGAGATACGTGGGCGTCCTCGAAGTCGTGTTGACCTGAGACGTCGACCACAGCCACCGAAGGATGGCCCAGTAATGACCGGATGCTGCCCCGCGATGGGACGGACAGCGAGTCGGAGGGCCAGGATATCAGGGCTGCGTCTACCAGGGTTCTGGGTACAGGTGTGGGCGGTTGGTGTATTAGAGATCCGAGTGTCGGCATGTCCAGACCCAGGTTGTGGTAGCTGGGGCAGGACTCACGCACCTGCGGACTCGAGTCTAGTAATTGGCAAACAAGACTCCCAACCGTGCCCACGCGGGTCTGGACCACTACAGGGCATATCGCCTTTTGCTGCGCCATGATGCCAGATAGGTCGAGAGACGGATCTTCCTCATCGAGATGTTGTCTTCGGGATGACATGGAGGACCGTGGACGCGCTGCGAACGCGCCTCGCCACAACCGCGTTGCGGACGCATGTAGCTTACGTAAGCTGCTGTAACACCCGCGATCGCCCCATTCGCTCAGAAGCCAGAGCTCATAACTATGCCTCGTGGTCGACCTCACCATCTTTTCTTTCCTCAAGGCCTCAAGCCCCGAGCTCCGAGCTCTTCTTATATCTCGGACGGCGCGAACCTGGCGCGTCCTGCCCACCATTATCTCCAATCTACTCTTCACCGTGAAAGTACCGACTGTGTGCGCACTTCCTACTAACGATAACCAGCAATGAAGCCCACCTCGGGCACCCGCAAGCCCTACACCGGGCAGTCGCGGAGTCTCGTCCTTGCAGTGGACATTGGGACAACATTCAGCGGCGTGTCTTACGCCATTCTCGAGCCGGGCGAGGTGCCCAAGATCCATGGAGTTACACGGTTCGTGCATCGCAGGGCCTGATAAAGAGATACTTAAGCCCTTGCAGATTTCCGGGGCAAGAACATGTTGCAGGAAACTCGAAAGTCCCCACAATCATGTATTATGACAGTCATGGGCGGATGATGGCGGCAGGCGCAGAAGCAGAGAGCGCGTCGACGGTCGCGCAAGCGGAAGACGAGGGCTGGGTGAAGGCCGAGCTGTGAGTTCTCTACCGTGGTTACAATCGCACGTCACTGAACCTTGTGCAAGCTTCAAACTACGTCTCCGCCCCAAGAACATGAAACTCAAAATGAACGGCATGCGCTTCGCGCCGCTTCCCTCGGGGAAGACGGCCGTCGACGTCTTTGCTGATTTCCTGGCCTATCTATTCAACTGCACGCGGTCATTCATCGTTGACACGCATGCGAACGGCCCTGCGCTCTGGCATGCAGTCGAGCAGAACATCGAGTTTGTCCTCAGTCACCCGAACGGCTGGGAAGGCGCGCAGCAGACGAAGATGCGCCGTGCTGCTGTGTATGGAGGTTTGATACCCGATACAGATGAGGGAAAGGCACGAATACGCTTTGTGACGGAAGGCGAGGCAAGTCTGCACGCATGTGTACTGAATGGTCTTGCTGCGGATGTCCTGCAGGTAAGACAGCTGCCTTCTGCGCCAGGCTTCAACCTGACTTACGTTACTATAGAACCCATCAGGGCACGGGTTCATCGTTGCAGATGCTGGTGGTGGTACACTGGATATCAGCTCGTACGCCATCAGGGGAACGTCACCTCTCGTCATCGAAGAGATTGCTCCGCCGGACTGTATGCGCGTCATTTGCTCCCGTGTGTGCTGGCATTGATTGCTGTCCTTCACACAGGCGTCTTTGCTGGCTCTGTCTTCGTCAGCAGACGAGCACGAGCTTTCTTTGAGGGTATGTGAATGCTCTTTGCACATCGGCGAAGACTAATGTATCCATCTCCCAGAGAAACTGAAAAGTTCGAAGTACGGCACTCCCGACTCACTCGATCACATCACCAAACGCTTCGACGAGACCACTAAACGGCTGTTCCGTGATCGCAAGGAGCTGCAGTTTGTCCCATTTGGCTCACCACTTGACAAGGATCCGACCGTTGGTATCCGAGGTGGGCAACTGAAGCTTACTGGGTGAGTGTGCTTGAAGGGCGTCGAGGACACAACTTGCTCATGTAGTTCTCTCCACTAGCGCTGAGGTAGCCGCACTGTTCGAGCCGTCAGTCGAGGCCGCAGTACAATCAATCAAGGCGCAGATTGACGCGTCAGGCGGAGCTGTCAAGGTAAGGTGTAAGTAGCTCCCTGCGGTGATCGATTGACTAATACAAGAATGCTCTTGTAGTCGGTATGGCTCGTTGGAGGTTTCGCAGCAAGTCCTTGGCTTTTCAGTCAGCTACAGGAGCGTCTTGCTCCCTACCATGTCACCGTCAGTCGACCAGACAGCCAAACGTAAGAAGAGATCACGTCTGTGTGGGCATCGTGAAGTGCTAATCCTTGATTCAGGTCGAAGGCGGTCGCAGATGGTGCCATTGGTTTCTACTGCGACCATCACGTCTCAGCGCGCATGTCCAAGTTCATGTACGGTGTTGAGTACCTACGAGAATTCGATCCAAAAGATGAAGAACATGCCGCAAGGAAGCATCGCTTGTTCGAGTTGCCTTCGGGCCCGAAGTTGTTGCCAGACGCATTTGACTGCATCTTGAACAGAGTGGGTGCTCGAAGTACTCCCCCTGCCTTTCGATTGTACTAAGGTGTTGTGTGTCCGCTAGGGCGTGCGTGTGAAAGAGTCGACAGTATTCAGTAGAAAGTACTGCACGGAGGTCACGAACCTGTCAACGTTGTCCGTCTTTGAAGTCGAGATTTGGTGTTATAGAGGCGGAGGGTCAGTGCCCAAGTGGATCCTCAGAAATGCCGGTTAGTACCCTCACCTGTGCCGACCAGCACATGCTTATTGACTGTTACTGACATCTAATGCATAGACAACTTCTCGACTCTGTGTTACGTACGTGCGGACCTGTCCCCTCTGGCAGGGAGCGCACAATCGAAACAGGGCAGGAATGGGAAGACCTACTGGACCATCGTGTTCAATATCGAAATCCACTTTGGGCTGACGGAGTTCAGGGCCCGCATCAAGTGGTTGGACAATGTAAGTCGAGCCAACTCGTTCGCTTGAAATCGACGCTCACGTCCGTCGCGAATAATAGGGAAAGACCAGATAGTACGTATGAGACAGCCGCATTAACGACACACGGATTGATGTCTTCTTTTCAGCGGCCCTGCGTCAATCGTGTACAACGAGAGCGGTCATCGTGCGGAAGAAGACGAGCCCGACGAGTCTCCAGAAGACAATGTTACGATCCTCTCCACTCAGTCGGACAGGTCACGACAGCCCTCGCGAGTACCCTCGAGGGAGCCCTCCCAAGCTGCCCCGAGTTCACGCGTCAGCTATGCACCGCGCTCGCCAAGCGTAGAGACAACTCGCCCGGAGCTCTCGCGGTCTTCGACTACGCGTAGCGCAATGCGGTCCGAGACACGTACGCCCGTCGACAAGGGCAAGCAGCGAGAAATCATCCCGGAGACGCCGCGCCCTGCGACCCTTGACCGGTCTGTGAACGTGTCTGGTCGTTCGGCGGACTCAGGGAGGAGTGGCCAGTTGGCGGAGGCACTCAGCTCGGTTTGGGGCTCAGCGTCGAAGTATCAGTCTCCTGCAGTTTCCAGAGTAGAGTCGTCGAGGTCGACAGTACCGACGATGACAAGGGAGGAGCTCAGCCCGATCACGCCTCGAGAAGCCTCCAAGGTTGCGACACCATGGGAGGTCGTGTCTAAGCCGACGACCCCGAAGGAGGCATCGAAGGCGGCAACACCAAGGGAGGCTACCGCGCCCCCGACTCCCAGGGAGGTCTCTCGGATCCCCAGTCTCAAGGAGGCTACGGCTCCTCCGATCCCTAAGGAGCTGACCGCCCCGTCGACGCCTAAGGAGCCCTCCAAAGCGCCAACGCCGAGGGAGTCCAAGCTTCCAACACCGAGGGAAGTCTCGAAAGCCCCGACGCCGAAGGAAGTCTCGAAAGCCCCGACGCCCGAGGTCTCGAAAGCTCCAACACCCAAGGAGGTCTCGAAGGCCCCGACACCCAAGGAGACGTCGAAAGCTCCGACGCCCAAGGAGCAGTCTGTCGCGCCCACACCGAAGACAGTTTCCAAGGCACCTACGCCGAAGGCGGTTTCCAAGGCCCCTACGCCCAAGGAGACGTCGAAGGCACCCACCCCCAAGGCGACCACCCCTAAGGCATCGAAGGCGCCGACACCTCAGTCAACGTCGAAGGTGGCGACGCCCAGGGCTGACCCAGAGCCGTTGCCTGCAGAGCCCGCCAGCTCACTCGTCGACGCCGTCTCCTCCCTGTGGCCTCCCGCGCACGACGATACGGTCGTCCCTCCGCCACCAGTATGGGATATGCCGCCCACGATGCCTGATGGCACTCCGTCTGTGGCTGCCACGGAGAAGAAGGACGCACCCAAGACCGGGGCATCGACGCCGTTCACTGGCTGGTTCCCTGAGAACGAGACGAGCGCCACGAAGGAGCCCGAGTCGGCGGGTTTCTCGGACTTGGTGGGCTCCCCTGGTCATCCGAAACCAGGCGGGTTTTCGAGCTTCCTCAGTGGCGGTAGTTGGGGTGCCAAACCGTCGAGCAACGCTGGAGGCTTTGGCGGGTTCGGTGGCATTGGAAGTACCTTGTGGGGCAGTGGTGCTGATCCTGCGAAAGAGCAAGAAGAGAAGAGGAGACAGGAGGAAGAGCGGAAGGCACAGGAGGAGGCTGCCAAACAAGCCGCAGAGGTTGCTGCCGCCGCCCAGAAAGCCGAGGAGGAGGCTGCACAGAGGAGGGCCGAGGAGGAAGCTGCGCAGAGGGCCGAGGAGGAAGCTGCGCAGAGGGCCGAGGAGGCTCGGCGGAAGACAGAGGAAGAAGAAGCGGCTCGGAAGGCAGAGGACGAAGCCAAGGCCAAAGCAGACGAGGAAGAGGCTGCGCGGAAGAAAGCGGTGGAAGAGGAGGCTGCGAGGAAGCAAGCTGAGGAGGCAGAATCGGAGGCTGCCAGACAGAAGGCGGATGAAGAGGAGGCCGCTAGGAAGGCCGAGGAGGAGAAAGCGGCGGCGGAAACTGCAGGGGCCTCGAAGAATGCTGAGGAGGATGCTGAGGCTACGAAGAAAGCAGAAGATGACGCTGAAGCTACGAGGAAAGCGGAAGAGGAGGCAAAGAGGAAAGAGGAAGAGGAGGAAGAGGCGAAGAAGAAAGCTGATGAGGACGAGTGGGCCATCCCTGTCAAGAAGGGAAAGAAAAAGAAAGGCAAGAAAGGTGCCAAGGACGAGGACGAGGCCCCTCCTACTGCTGCGTCCACAGCCGCTCCGACAGCTGCTGCCACTCCTGAGGCCGTTTCGCGTACGACATCCGCTGCCGCGCCTCCGGACCCCAAGAACGCGAAGAAGACCGCGAAGAACAAGAAGAACAAGAAGAAGGGCAAGAACGCCGGCGGTGACGATGACGATGATAATAATGAAACGACACCAGCCCCTCCTGCCGCTGACGGTGGTTGGGGCAACTCGAACGCCTGGGGCGGCGGCGACGATGACGGTGGAGGCTGGGAACAAACATAGAGGATCATTCACGCTTAACGAATCCTATGGAGAACGTCCTTCCAGCATACTGGTTTCTTGGGCAGGCCCGTTGACGATGCACTGATCTGAATTCTTGTAGCGCAAGCTTGGTTTGTAGCCTGACAGTTTCTTACGCTATCATGTACCACTGTATACCATCTACCGTCTGCTTGTTCTACTATACGTCTTAATCTACATGGAGGTTATACTAGGGTGATGCGATACATGACGGTGACCGATACGCTTGTCGACGCTGTGAGATGGCTGATGATATCGTGCAGACAGTACGCACGACTGCACGTTCAGTCCGCGATCGTGCCAGGCATTCGAGGCTACTTATGAGGATCGAGAACTGCATCTCGGGACAGTCCTAAGTAGTCGTCGCATCCTGGAGTCCGGGCCCCATGTGCGATGCACAAGTCGTCTATAATGCGAGTCTCAGGCCTAGGGTAGATCAGGATATGAACGTGAGCCTCACCGCATAGGTTGCAGCTAGACGTGGATACACTTCGACTCCCGCTGCGATCACCTACCCGTGCATAGGGCCAAAGCCGTCCTCACCGCTCATCGCCCGCGTCATTCGCCGCCTTGGATCCGGCGAGTTCATCCCCATCCCCATCCCCATGTCTGGTCCGCCGTGCATGCCCATGCCCATTCCCATGCCCGACATGTTCATGTTCATACCACCCATAGTCTGGGCCATCCCGGCATTGTTCATGCGCATAGGGGAGTCGGCGTTGTTGCCGTAGAACTGGCCAGGCGGAACGGCGCCCATGCCCATGCCGCCCATGTTGCCGAGCCCCATGCCAGGCGGGCCCATGCCCTGCGCGGACGGGGGGAACGGGTGTCGAGGCGAGCCCATGTTGGGTGTGCCTTGGTTCGCGAAGAACTGCTGGGGTACATGGTGTGGCGCGATGGAAGAATTGTGTGTACGAGACGGCTGCGATTTCGGCGTGCCAGGCAGGTCGGACATCTGCCGGTCGTTCGATGCACTCTGGCTTGTCGATGCGCCGCCGTCACCGTCTGCGGGCGACTTGCCCTCTTTTTGGTATTCGAGCAAAGGGCTGGGGTCGTAGTAGAGCTCTGAGTACTCTTCAACGAGGAACCTTTTCACGGAGTCGTCAGCGACTGCCCTGGAGTAGCTCGATGTGTGTGAGTACGTACTGCTGAGTGCCTATATCCCACTGCGGCCCTCTCTCAGCTCGGGCCGTGAGGAGTAGCGAGTTCCATTCGGACGCGCTTTCCTGGCGCATGTATACACTCAGCACTTCGCGTGAAAACCGAGCTTCCCATTGAGGGACTCACAATGGCCTGCGCTAGTGCACTGCTGGGCTCATACGCGGTTTGTCGGACGTCGACGCGCACTTTCCCTTCACGAGCAAACGTCTCAACTTGAGCCGTTACTACTGGGCCAATCCGCTGAGAGTTGTGTCGCGGAACCTTGACCGTGATATTCCGCACTGGTTGAGTGGAAGGTGACATGGTTGCTCCAGAGGTACTTAGAGAATTAGGAGGAGGCAGCGCACTGAGCGCAGCGAGCCACTGAGGCGCTGCATAGTTTTGCAGGTTAAGTCCCTTGTCAGGAGTTGAATATCCTCTTATCCCTCACGTGGTCGCGTCGACCGCGCCTTCCTCCGCGTCGGCCATTGTGTTCTGTCTTCGTCGACTCTTCGACTCGGACGCGGTCTGACGCGGTGTCCCCGTCCTGCGTTTGTGTCTCGCCGCCTGGCTCGCTTGGATTTTGTTACTGGTTTCTTGTCTCTTTCGCTCCTTTCTTGCGTTGTTAGCTTACATGTCATCTATTGGAACAATGTCTCGTCGGGTTCCAACTCCTCTGCGCTCTGCTCCATCATCCGGGCCCATGGAAGCGATGGCCGCAAAGAAGCAGGAACAGATTGAAGAGCTCATTACCAAAAAGCGTACGCTCGAGCACACCATCGACAAGCTCCGCCAGGCCCTCACCGAGGAACAAAGCCGCGGGTCCGACGCCGTGGCCAGTATGCAGAAGCAGTTTCAGCAGGAGCGAGCTGAGTGGATCAGCGGCTGCGATGCGATACAGGCGATTCATCGTATGGCGCACGCGCGGACTGTGATCGAGCTGGATCGCGAGCACTTCGCGGCTCTCAAAGAGCGAGAGGCGATCCGCCTCGAGAAACTCGCCCGTCTGCAGCGCGACTACCGGCTCATCGGCTTTCAGCGTCGGGAATTTGACCTTGAGAGGCGCGTGCTGGACCTGGAGCGGGAGTTGGAGGAGCGGCAGAGGACGCATGAAGAGGAGACGCTGGAATTGAGCGAGGAGCTGGAAGAGCGATGCGCTACTCTTTCTGCTCAGTTGGAGGATACGGTGAAGGAGTTGGCTGCGACAACCAAGGGAAAGGACGCCACTGAGGTACGTCAAATTCGCAAATGCTGTTCTTATCTACACAGTCGTGAATATCAGAGTTTTGCCTTGTCATATGTGCGTACTTTCCCGGCATCCAGGATGCATTATCGAAACTACGGATCGAACACAACGCTCTTGTTGCCTCTACGAGCAGTTCCGCGACTAATCTCGAACGCACAAGTCTGCATTTGGATGGACTCAAATCTTCCTACGCCGAGCTGGAGGCCAAGCACGCTGAGGGTGAACGGACCATAGCTGACCTCCGACGGCAGCTGGAGAAGTGGCGCACACTCGAAAGCCGTGAGGGGGCCGAGATGGACACCCTACGACGCAGCAGGATCGAACTCGAGGTTCGCGTCAAGGAGCTAGAGACCCGCGTCGAGGAACTAGAGGAAGAATTGAGAGAGCGAGTTGAGAATGCGGAGAAACTGAAAGCGAAGATAGCCAGATACAAAACATCTTTCGAACAGTACAGAACCTCGATGGACGAGTATCAGGTGCGCACGCCCGACCTCGCAACTGACTCGCGTCCGCTGAACCGATACGAACCTACATCCTACGACAGAAAGCTATTGACGAGGCGCGCAGCGATGCTGACAAGGCAGAGGCAGAAGCAGAGGAAGTTAATGCACGATTGGTGCAGGCGGAAGCGCAACTTCAAGCTCTGCGTGTGACCTCCAATGTGATGATGACGGGCAAGGTAAGGCGTTGGTCGACTCTTGTTCAATTGTACGATGTTCTTAGCACGGTCGTGGCCGTGTTCAGGCCTCTCCCGCAGATTCTGCTTTCGTCCCGCCTTCGATATCTGACCATGAAGGAGAGGACGCTGCTACTGCAGATGAAAGAGCTCCCCCGTCGCCTTCGCCACCCGCGCCTCCGCGAAAACCCAAGATTCAACACCAGAGCGTGGCGGCGACGTCTCGGCAGATCAACGGCTCTGATGATGACGATGTCGTCATGGTTGAGCCCGACAGCCCACCGAAGACTCAGGAGGTTAAGAGGAAGAGGGGGCGTCCGAGGAAGAAACGACCTGAGGAAGACGAGGTTGAAGTGGTCGCCAAACCCGCTACGGATCGTAAGGGGAAGCGGAAGGTCAATGACACGCACGAATCCGACGACGAGCCGCCTCTGAAGAAGAACAAGGGGAAGACCAAGGACAAAGATGAGGTTGACGATGACGACGAAGAACCCCCCAAGGCGAAGGCGAAGGCGAAGAAGCCCGCCGCCTCCGCTACTCTCAACAAAGGCAAGCCGGGACGTAAGGCCAGCGTCTCGATAGCAGCTCCTGCCCCCGCGGTGGATGGAGATGATGAAGAGCATGTACCGACGCCGGTCAAGAAGAAACGGAAAATCAACTTGTTCCCGTCTTCGCAGCCGGTGTCGTTCGATTGGAACCAACTTCCGCAGGTGAGCCTACACAGGAAACGAAGCCCGTAAACTGAGCTGACCATGATGTGACTGGAGGGCGGCGGAGGGCTCGACATCCCGAAGACGTTGTCACCGGTCAAGGAGACAGATACAGTTCCCCCGAGATCTGTGTTCGGCGGCAGAGGAAGTTCGGCCTTTGGCAGCTTCGGTAGTTTGGGTGGCCGGCGCTAATTCAGACGTTCAATTTGACGGGTGCGGGTCTGTGTACAACCATGAATTCCCCTCCCCACTGGCATTCTATGACATATTTCTGTAGTATGTCGTGGACGCGCTATGCGCATCACGAATAGCGGCAGCCAGAGCACCCTGCTACAATCGGTACCTCCAGTATGGGCGGGAAAGCCAGAAACTTGACGAACGCCGGCGCCCGGGTTTAAGGTGTGTCGCTCTTAGCGGGTTCGAAGTGTAGACAGGAAAGGACAGAAGATCCATCATGCGATTGACGTGCCAGACTGGTGGTACGCCCTCCAAACTGCCTGTCCGCCGTGCGAGACGGTCAGTTGCCGGCCAATGCACCGATGTGACGAGAATGTGAACGCGTGAAGAGTGAGCTTCACCAGCGTTCACATCATTCCGGCGCTGTATATCAGTGCTATTGTTTTGTGGTACAGTACGGTCAACGACGCCTCAGGCTAGAGATCTCTTGCCCCAGGCGTGCGTTTCAGTACAGAAGCAACGCGACGTACTGTGCTAGTTCGAGCCGAAGCGCGCTCGGGCTCAGCACAGTGATAGGTTCTCGGCTCATGTCAGCGATGAATCGATGAGACCTCGAGGTGTCGATCGTTGACAAGTACTTGTTTACCTTGTCATGTTCGTACTGTCATCTGTGAAGTGATCGGTGGGTAACGGCGTGAATGTCATCGGGGCTACAGTTCAACAATGTATAAAGTGCCAGGCCATCTCTGCCCTCAACGTCTTCGTCTGGCACGACATCCACGACGCCTCGGTGCAGCCTGTCCACGCTCCCTCCTCAGACACCACCATGGACCGGTAATTTTCCAAGTGATTGTCAATAATTAATATTCTCTGCAATATCCTCATCTTGTTGGTGCTGTACGAGATGTTGAGGCAGCAAGGGATCATCGTGGCACAAATACAGCAGCTATTGGAGCAGAAGTACGTGCCCGGTGCCTATTCCAGAATGATGTATTGACCAAATGCTGTTTTGTTTCTACTAGTACCAGCTCGCCCTTACCTACGTGGCCGACTTTGAAAATGATTCTGATTCTCCTCGCGATCGGCTGGTGCATCACGACGACAGTAATCATAAGTTCCGCTAAGATGTCGCGACCGCGGGCAGAGCCAGCACGGCAGGCCCCGGAAGCGACGCGACAGCGGCAGCGGCAGGAAGCACGAGAATCGCAGCCTCTGCAAGGTTCGTCGCGAGCACGGGAGTCCGAGTCACCCTCGTTGTTGCGGTACTAATCTTGTGACAGCTACGCCAGTGGTCCAATAGGGTGGCGTACCGGAGGGGTAGGAGTAGCAAACTCTTCGCCGGTAAGTCTCTTGTCGTCATGGTCCGCGGGCTTGCAGTGTTGATGACAAGTCCTGTGCAGTGTATCATAACATGGGAAGCGGTTAGGTCTTCAACGGTGTTTGGAATTACAGAATAGGCATCGCGTCTTATGGCTTTCGTTTTGTATGAGGTCATGGTACATCAACTGAGTGCGATCAGTTTCGACCGAGCGACTCGGAGCGAGCGGTGAACGTACTTCGTTTCCGTTGCAGAACATAAGTGATACAGTAAGTAGCCGGCAAGCGTCTATTGTGGCAGAACACTTCTTTGTTTGTGATGCCACCAGCGGCCTCCACCATCCGCGTCAAGCAATGCGTTCACGAAGACGGGAGACCCGCCAGGCGGATGGGGCGAAGAAGACCAGGAACAGGAAGCGAAAGAAGAAGACGCGGAGGACGAAGAAGACGGAGACCCGAGCGGAGAGGAGGACCAGGGCCAGGACGAGGGAGAGGCGGAGAACGACGAGGACGACGAAGACTAAACGGTACTAGCTGCACGGCGAAGTACCGTCCCCACACCCTACCCATCACCACCATCGACACATCGTGCACTAGGGGAGCAATCCCGGCTTGCATCCCTAGGAGAAGGACGGGGCCGGAGAGCCGAGTATGGACAGTATGCTTCCCACTTATTTCTTCTTTATTCGCTATTTATTATCATGCGAGCTACGTCCCGACCTCAGACTACACCACTAGACACTGCTTCATTCCCCGACTTGACTGCCTAACCATTACAGTACAAATCCTCACGCATACAGACTACTACACTACCCTCGAACGGGGCGCAGGTCTGGGTGGCGCGTTTTAACGCCCGCCCATGCACAGGCCGGCGTCCGCCGCGTCTTAGCACATTGCTTGCTTGTTGCGGTTAATAAATGCTGAGTTCATCATCATCATCCACCATCCGCGTCGGTCACCCTCCTCAGTCCTCCTCCGCTCGGCTCTCGTTGCCTCCGTCCACTGGCACCCGCCCCCAAACGTCTAAGTTGTGCTCTCTCAAATGCTCGTTCTCTTTATGGTCAACTCTATGGTCAAACTTGACCTTCCGCCAATGTACGATGTGCTTCTTCCCTCGCCTCCCGGCTTCCTCTAACAAACACTGCGGCGCTTTTGGCTGTGATGTCACGAGCTATTGGGAACCAGACTCCCCGAGCGGACAACGATCTGACTGTATCGTCGATGGACCGCACCGACACGACCGACCCAGGTTCCATTCCTCCGAGGCCTACCTACGACAGACGCATCGAGCTCCCGGCGGTGATGCAATGGCTTGTCGCCATTGGCTTAGACGACCGGGTTAAACGTTAGGCAAGACAGTCATTTTAAAGTGTCTCGAGCGGCTTACGTTGTTTCAATGGAATTCCCTCCTCCTCCTCCTCCTCCCGGTCCGACCGCCTGCCTGAGGAATGCGATCACAGGCTGGGAAGCGGTGCGTAGTGCTGCGCGCCCCTCCTGCTTCTGAGGTGTAGATTCGGCGTGTCCGTCTGACTGCGTGCGAGGGTCAGACGGATACGACGATGAGGAAGACGGGATGTGTGATTGTATCAATGTATGTACCAAGTTACACTTAAGATCATTGCAGATCTAATCCTTACCGATGGCTGGACGAACGAGAGACGATGTTGGACCACTGGCACACCGCCGTCTACGATTTGCCCAGTCAAGTCGCGCATACCCGGGTTGGGCGAGCGTGAACACCGGATGAGCTCACTAATTCTCTTCACGTTGCGACCACGAGTGTTCTTTCTGCGGGTCGCTGACAGTCTCCCGTAGCCTGAGGGAGGTGGGAGACCATATGAAGTCGTCAATGCCTTCAGTCAAGTGAGCATCGCGTTGCTGGTCTTTTGTGCATGGTACGCAATTAATGAAGAAGCCGGCGGAGGACCCGACATTTCGAAGACGTTGCCACCGCGGGTCAAGAGTCCCTCCGAGACAGCTTTGCATGATAGATCGGCCGGTGGCCGGCGTTGACGTGGACGTTCAGTTTGACGGTTCCGGGTGTAGGTCTGTCACCGTCTGTATACATTCGCGAGCGTCACGCCGTCCTGGACACACTATGGGCACCGCGAACGGTGGAAACCAGAGCACTCAAGTCCGCCACGTCGATGGATTACTGCACCTTTACTACGGGGAACTGGAATTTGAGCGGGTTCGACTCGGCGTCGAAGACGGAAACGCACCACGCGTGACTGGCAGAACTTGAGCTTGAAGAGGAGTCTTGCGATCGCGTTGATGTGCCGTACTTACGGCGCGTCCACCGTGCGAAATGGCCCACCGCTAGCCAACGGGCCGACGTGACGAGAATGCAAACGCGTGAAGAGTGATCTTCACCGTGTTCTCATCGCCCTGCGTAACACTGTACTTCAGTGCCGTACCTATGCGACATGGTACAGTGAGCGACGTTTTATGTACTGAGACGCACGCGGTCGTTGTAGGCCTTACAGCGATAGTAGCATGCGTCTCAGTACAGAAACAGCACGAAAGACTTGTTGGTTCGAGCCGCAGCGCGTTCGGGCTCAGCACGCTGGTGACAGATTCTTGGCTCATGTCAGCGAAGACACCCCGATTCCGAGGAGGAGATCGCTGATGAGTGATTCGTTTTCTGTGACATGTTCGTACTGTGATAGCAGACGTCGAACGGCGCGTCTGAATGTCATCGTCGAAGTCTTGGGGGACTTGGGACCAACAGCAGAGAGCGGCAATGTTTTCGATTTGAACATTGCCGTGCTCTTTGGTTTGTTGCTGCCTCATGCAGTTGTCACGGTCGTTCCATTGGGTAAAGCCCGGGCGATCGGTGTGGCGGACGCTTCATGATATATCACAAGTTGACAGCTTCGAGGCCTGAAGTGATCGGAGAGTAACGACGCGAGTGCCCTCGAGGTTGCGGTCGAACAATTTATAAAGCGCGAGACCACCCATGGCCCCCACACGTTCGTCTGGTACGACATCCGCAACGACTCGCCGTAGCCTGATCACCTTGACGCTCCCTCAGACGCAACCATGCTGATCTTGGGCTGGGTGCTCGCGTTTCTCCTCGGCTCGATCGGCTCGTTCGTAGCCCACTTGACCTTGGAGCAGAATAGGATGCTGAGAGAACAGATGCAACGATCGTTGGAACGGGAGTACGTGCTTGACTTTTTTTCCACTTTGATGCGTTGACCAAATATGATTCCTTCTCAGTGCGCCTATAATGCTCATCGAGATGACGTCGGTCACCTACAACATCTTCCCCTCGCCAACGGATGATACAACTGCCGCTGAGAACCCGGCGCCGAACTCGTCGGTCGTGTATCCCTCGGGCTTCCTGGTGGACCAACAATACTCGGCTCTCCCCCAATTCGACCGCGACATGCACCTAGATGCCGAGGCAGAGTTGGGCCCCGAGCGAGTAGGCTACCAGTGGCCGCTCCGCATGCCAGTGTCGGCAGGCGAATTCGCCCGGGCCATCGGCGCCGTCGGCTCAGCCATCGTGATAATAGTCCTTGTCCTCCGCGCAACAGCAGATCGGCCAGCGCCGCAAGGTGGGCAGCTGCGGGAACCCCAGCCTCGGGGAACAGAGGACACGGAACCGCAATCCCCTTCGCCAGGCCCGTCGCGGCGACGGGAGCCATCGCGATCAGGATCGCAGCCTCAGCCCTCCCAGCCACCGCAAGCCCAGCCACAGTCGAGCCTACAGCTTGAGCTGGATCCGTGCTAAGGCGAACATTGCGGAGGTCTCATCGCAGGAAGTGGTGCCCGAGAGGCAGGCAAGTTTGACTGGGGAAAGCTTCCCATGGGTGAGTCCGACATGATGCGCTTGGTATATTCGCTGATTAGCTGAGCCTTGAGACCGGTGTAGCCAACTACATACGACACACTACTACGCTCACATCCACACGCGCCCCTCAACACACATACTATGGACGATCTGACTCTGATAGACACTTTCAAGTATGAGGACTAGTATTGTGGAGGTTCCGATTTTGCATCGAAGTCATGTAATAAGAACATTGCTAGGATATTAAGACGATTGGTCGGATTCATCTTTCACCGAAGAAAGGTCGTGCACGGTAAACGTACCGGACAGCTGGAAAAGTGGACCCTGCGAGTTCTCAAGATCTCAGTTCGCGCTGGTAGATTACCGTGACGTAGCAGCGCAGACGCAGCCATAACGACTTGATGGATGACCGTGCTCTACCAACGAGCGTCTCAAGACATTTATCTGCACCAATTGCAAGATGCAGTAAGTATGAGGAACAGACTGAGTGCGCTTGAATGATCGCTCAGCGTACCGTAAGTTAGCAGCGTCCCGCACGCTGAGCGGCGGCAGTGGCGGTGTCTGGGCCAGCGTCGACTAGCCACCGTCCGCTGCCATGATTGTTTTTAAGGCTGACAATGACTGTCCGCCTTCACAGCGATCATGGCAGCGGCGGGTATGTACGCCGCTGAGGCTAAAGAATTGGCGGGGGAGTGCCAGACAGCGTCAGCCTCCCTCGGCGTACATATAACAGGTGAGTTGGACTGTCTTCTCTCTCCCGCCCGCTTCCACTTCTACCACCACTACCCCGCCCTTGCGAACTGAAGTCGTCTTCACAGTATTCGATATGCTTATCCTCGAGGCCTTAGCAGCGCCCTTGCGGGCCTTACACCGTCGCCTCACATACTTCTACCGATTCCTTCTCATACTCGCACTATATCGCATCTATGCTGTCAGCGCTGCGCACCTCCTCGGACTAGTGGACCTACGCCGCCTCTGCCTAGATCCGACCTACACAGTCCCGCTCAAGCACGTCTTGGCCCCAGAACTTCACGGACCGAACGCTTTGATGTGGATGTCCTTCGTCTGGGACATCGCCTTCTGCCTTGTGCATGCTGCCTGGGCCTACCGAAGCCAAGATGGGGATGTCGTCCTTCGAGTCAGCAACCTGGCAAGTGAGTGGCAGCGTACTTTGGGTCTGGTGTGTCGATATACCCTCGCCGGGGGGCTCGTCGCCGTGCCTGCGCATTGCCTTGTCCTCTGCGGTCAAGCCACGGCCACAGACATCACCACCGCGATGCTTGCGACCTGGATCCTCGAAAGATACGTCATCTGGCCTGCTGTGGAGGCAGTCATGGATACCAGGGAATATCCTGTAGCATCCATGGACTCTGTGATGGTGTGTCTGTCTTTCTCCCAGTGTTTCCTTTTGCTGAGTGGGATAACAGCGGTGGACTCTCGATGACCTTGTTGCGGCACTGCCAGTCCTAAGGCCACGCTCTGTGCCTCATGAGGACGACTGCGCGATCTGTTGTCAGTCGCTGCAAGAGATTCGCAACGAAGCGCGCGCAATTGTCAAACTTCCCCAGTGTGGGCACGTATTCTGCAAGGCATGGTGAGCATCCAGGTCGTGTCTACCGCGTCGTCAGCTCTCTGACTCTGCTGTCGGGTAGCATCAGCGAGTGGATGCACATCGGGGTGAGTCTCATGCCGTCTTGTTGGTGTGATCGCAGCTGACGCGAACGGTACCAGCGTGGTTCCTGCCCTATGTGCCGTTACTGGTTCCCCGACGACCTCCGTGCCATCTGCGAGCGCCGGCGTTCTGCCCCAGTCATGTTTCTTCTGGAGGCGACAGCTTCATTCGTCTCGGCATGGCTCTGGGCACTCTTCGATGGACTCGTTGCGTTCTTCGGTCTACTCATGTCGTGCAGCCACCATTTCGTGATGCTCGTTCGCCGGCTCACGACGTTCTTCTGCCGACTTACGACTTTCCTCTGGCGACTCACGATGTGGTTCTTCCCTCGTCTCCCGGCGTTCTTTGGCACACTTGCGGCGCTTTGGGCTGAAACGGCACGAGTTCCTCAAGAATCTGACTGGTTCCTGAGCGGGCAACGTTCTGATCGTATCTTCGGCGACCGACAGCACCAACACGACACTCCTTTCCATCCTTCCGAGGCCTGCGACAAGCGTTTCGAAGAGCTCTTGGCGATGATGCAACAACATATCGGCATTAGCTCGGACGACATAGCTCGGCAAGACAGAGTCATACAGTGTCTCGAGCGGCTTGCGTTGTCTTTTGACCGCCTGGCCCATGCGACAGCGGAGGTGCGCGCCCCTCCGGCCTTCGATGTGTAGGTCTCGACGGGGAGGACGAGAGAGCGACTGGGCCAATCACAAGTCAAGACCCGTAGCTGGACGAATGAGAGGTGATGTTTACTAAGATCGTATTGTCTTTGGTGAGGCCTAGGTCGAATCTCTGCCTCGCGCATTTTCTGACTGCTCTCTGCAGGGTATTGCAGTCTTTCTAGGATCTGACCAGTCAATCTGCGCGCACCCGGCTTGGCTGAGCCCGGGTTTGCCATCGGTCGGATCCTCTGCGCTGCGACACAGAGAGGTTTTCTCTGAGTCGCTGTCGCCTTTTGTCGAGTAAGCTCCATTCTGATAGTTTGATGCGCACAGAGCTCATGTTCTCGTTGATGTCTAGGGTGGACGGCAGTGGAAGTGGCTTTGATGGCTCCATCTCAAAAGGCCTTTCAATTCTCCGCTGTCATCGTTATCTCTGGACTACCTAGCTCGTGCACGACACTTTGACGGTCAGTCCCTTCAGTTGCACAAATTCTTCGTCTAACCAAGGAGTGTTCCCAGTGCGGATACATCGGCAAAATCAAGTCTAAAGAGCGCAAAGCGGTTGCAACTCGGACCTTCAAGAGGTTGCGCGGAGCTAGTGCGCTGTTTAGGGTTGGATGTGCGGAGCCGTCGAAGAGCACGAATGGACGCAATACACACGGAGCATGATATGGTTGACATGTGCAGACCAATGTCAATCTCTGCACGTAGACACGCTTCTCGTTACCGTCCGGGGGCAGTCACTTGGTACTTGTACAATAGTACGAGTGACTATTGGTGAAGTTGGTCTGTTCTTTTCCTCCAGCATGGCATGTATAGTTATTCACGAAATGAATGATACAATTTGATCCTGTCGAGGCGTGTGCACCGCGCGACTCTTTCATTGGCCATGGTAAGAGCGAGTTTTTGTGTCAAGTCACTTATTACGGGGCTGAGGCCTTGAGGCCTTACATGCCATACTTGCTATACGATTAGTACTGCGGCATGAGCACAATATGGCCACTGGCACCTGAAGCTGAAGCGCTGAAGAACGAGAACGTGTCCTACTAGCCTCTCGTAGGCAAGCGCCGGCCCTTAGTATAGGTAGATACGGACTGGGCTGAAGTGACATCTGCGGGCCCCGCTAGAACTCTCAGTGAGCTGGTATTGGGGTTTGTCTGACGAGCCATGCAAGGGAAAAGTTGGAAAAGTTGCACTGAGAGACACTGACACTCCGACCTGCAGCGGCTAACCACTGGCAGCGGCATTGCCACTTGAAAGCTTGAACGTTTGAACCTGCCAGCGTTGAACGTAGAACACATTGAACGTAGAACGTAGAACACATTGAACGTAGAACGTAGAACACATTGAACGTAGAACGTTGAACACATTGAACGTAGAACACATTGAACGTAGAACGTTGAACGTAGAACGTCCTCCGAGTCCGACGTTTCATCGATCATCGATCATAATCCCCTCGTCGTCGTCGTCGTCGTCGTGTCAGTTGCTCGTCGGACCCGCATATCGACCGTATTCTCTCATCTCCTTCGTGTCCTCAGACTTTACCCTCACTCAGGCCTCCCAATCCAGGCTCGGCACTGTCTACTGTCAGGCGTTGCTTCCTGTTTTGTTCGCTCCTCGGGGACTCGAAGGCTTTCAACTCTGTCTCAGTCCTGGCTATAGCGAACTTCAAGCTCGCAAACCTTGTTACGGCTGCCAACTCTGGTCCCTCCAGATCTTGGATCACTACTCTGCCCTTGTGTACCTCGTCTTCTCATTGATCATGGTTCTGCGGCTACATCCCATTATGCTTCATACTGTGTTGCCCGGCGGACTTGTGGTCTGGTGGTGGATACTTCGACAGCTTGGTGCTATCGGGGGGCTGGTAATAGACACTATGTCTGTGTTCGCGATTGGTGCACTCGTCATGAACGCCGCTGCCAACAACACGCTCAAGACGGAGTTAAGGGACTTGGCTGAAGAACATAAACACGTTCTATCGGAGCTCTCTAGGCACACGGAAACGACTGCACAGCAGTACACCGACCTGACCAAGAAGGTCGAGGATCTCACGGTACGTTGCGATGCCTATTGTGATGCGATATATGCCGACTTAGACGTCTGCTACCTGCGCATACAGTCTTTGGTCAATGCAGAAAGCGCAGAATCAACGCGCCTCAGGGCTGAGCTGGCCGACTACAAAGCGATGACAAAAGTCAACAAGGAACTCGTTCTGGACGTCGCTCCTATCCCTGTAGCCTCGCCGGTCGAGACTAGTTCGATGCAGAAGATCGAGGTTGAACTCGCCGACCTTCGTCAGTCCGTCGGAGAGTGCAACCCCTCCATCCCAGAGACTGTTATGGAACGATTGCAGCTTCTCGAGTCCCAGGCGCGCTCCGTACCACTTCTTCGTCACCGGGACCCTATCGAACAGCAGCCGCTCGAGGAAATCAAGACGCACATCAAGGAGGCCTGTGGACCCCTCGAAACCAGGATAGCACTTGCCGAAATCTACGTGCGGTCTGCCCTAGATGTCAAGAAGGAAGTAGTTGACATTCGACAGCTGCTCAAAGACGTCAAGAGGTCCCTCTTGGACAAGATTGTGCCTGTCAAGACTGTCCCGGGTGTCAACCTTCTAAAAGACGTTGAACAATCACTCTCCGACAAGATCGCCCTTGTCGAGATCTATGCGCGGTCCATCCCAGGTGTCGAGCAGGAGGTGGACCTTCTTCGTCGTTCACTGGAAGATGTCGAACGATTCCTTTGGGGCACCATCATGTCTGTCGACACCCACGCGCGGTCCATTCCAGACATCGAGGAGGAGGTGACCAGCCTCTGTCAGTCGCTCAGTAAAGCCAAAGACAAGATTGAGCTTCTCGATATCCAGATGGCCCGTGTCGATGGTGGCTTATACAATGTCTACCAACGGCTGGCGCACATCGAGGAAGAGCAAGAATCCTTCGATGACAGGATTCTGTCTCCTGAAGACCTGGCGCTGTCTGCTCTGGATGCTGCGAGCGAACTCAGGAACGACCTCCGTGAGTCGCTTGAGGCTGTCAAGGCCAACGTAAAGACACACTGGGACCGCTTCGAGGAACAAGTCGCGTCTGTTGAAGCCCGAATGCAGTCTGTCCAGGACGTCAACAAGGAGTTGGTCAGCTTCCGTGAGACATTCACGAACAGCCAGAACAAGCTCGAGAGCAAAGTCGTTACCCTCGAGACCCGGATGCAGTCGGTCCCAGCTGCTGAAGAGCTTACCACCCTCCATCGATCGCTCGAGCGCATTGAGGCCAAGGTCAAGACGACTCAGGAGTCCGCTGACAAGATAGAAGGCCGGATTGCGGCTCTCGAGTCCCTGATACGGACCGTGTCGGGTGTGGAAGGCGTCACTCTCGGATGCCCGCTTATTGACACTGAGGGGTCTCGTGTGGAGGAGAGTATCACGTTCTTCGAGAGCGAGGTGCGCACTATGCCGACCGCTGGCCCCAAAGAGTCCCACCAGGAGATGCAATTGATCCCTCGTGAGCGTCCCAACACACTGCCCGAGCATCAAGACGATGAACTCGTGAGGCCCGAGCTGGTTTGCACTGAAGTATGCGAAATTGAGCAACCAGGCATACCACAGTACGTCGCACTATCAAATTGATGTTGCAATAACTGATTTGGTGGTGTCCAAGTTCCGAGACTGTCACCCTCGAACGGTCAAGGGCCATAGTCGAGGACCCCGTAGTCACCACGTCTCACTCATACCACATTACGTCCATTGGTCTCGGTGAACGTCTCGGAGCTTTACAGGAGAGCATGAAGACCAATGTCCGTCCTCGGCCACATTTTTACACAGACGACCATCAAGTCGATTCCGACGTTTCTCAGGCACGTCAAACCCTAGTCTGGCTCATGCAGGACACTATGGAGTTCGAATGCCGTTCAATTCCGGGTCAATTCCCTGAAAGCGACCTTAGATCTCTTGTCGACAAGGTCATCCACCTCAGGGGACAAGCTCGTCACTGGCATGGAGAGCTAGGACTAACACGTCAGAGGCGCAGAAGCTCGGGCAGTTTCCAGAGTCTGAAGTCGCCAGACTCAGAGACCCTGCTGCATGCCCTAGTCTTCAGCACCCTGGAACTGGTCCAGATCCACTCCCTTATCCCTGCCAGTGGTTCTCTACCGCGGCGACTCTTCGACGTGGAGTTGGATTGCTACCCCTCAGCCGAGTTCATGGACCTGGTGCTCAAACGTATCAGCAACCTTACTGGGTGTCTGCAGTCGTTCTCTCAAGCAGGGGGGAAGTTTGATAAACTCGCCTACTTGCGAGTCGAGACGGTGGTTCTGCAGTGTCTAGCCATACTCTCGGGTGAACTATCATTGGCCGGATGCGCTCAGGTTGTGATATTTCTCCTAGTGCAGAGAATGATTGATTGCTGATCATTGTTTTTCAACCAGGTCGTCGACATCTCGACAGAAAATGGAGAGATTGAGCTGATCGAGCATCTAGCGGAATGCACCTTAGACTTGGTGTCAAAAGGTCGCGAAATCAAGCAAACCACGGACGGGCCACTCGATGAACTGCAGGAATCCAAGGATATCATCGAACACAACAAACTCGTGCATGCGTTTAACACCAGCAAATTCTCTTCCAAGGGTCACGCGTGTACTTGGTCCCTGTGGATAGACCTCGCCGCCATCGCCGATGACCTGTTTGAGCAGCCTGGTGCTCCGATCAACAATTCGAGGTCAACCGACTTCCTCGTGGTCACTCTCAACGAACGGGACCGGGTTGGAAAGGTGCTGAAACGCCTTGGGCGATACGACGATGATGGCAGAGCATGGATCGCGGCGAAGATAGTACATCATCTTCTCAACATGCTATATAGTACGCATGTCGGGGAACTTACGAAGTAGCGAGACAGGTTCGGCTCTTTCATCGCATACGCTTGGATACATCCAAATAGATAAAGGACGGTACTCTGATTACGTTGGCATTCGTTGTTTGGCTTCGACACGGACATGGACTGGTGTACTGTATACATTATAATCGTGATGTAATCCCAAGATCTTCCAGACGTGTGCAGTACCTACGGTGTGCTAGATCGCGCAGGCAAAGCGTCGCGCCGATACCAAAAATTGAGCATACGGTAAATCTCCCGTATGCTCAATATTTGAAGCTATACGCAAATGCTGCGATACTGCGCAGGTTAGGTCGTCAGTTCTCAATCCCCACTGAGCAGCACGCACTAACGGGCCTCACCAGGATGGTCCTCAACCACGCGTTTGGACATCACCATGCACCAGGAATGTGCACAGCAGAACCTGAGTCCGTCCGGTGACCCCGACTCTGAGCAGGCGCACCGTCCGTCGGATCAGACTGTCCACTCGAATCCTCCTCCGCGAGATTCAGCTCCATATCAAGCTTCTTCGCAAGTTCTTCGTCTGCGCGTTCGCGTTCTTCGGCCTCCCGCCGCCTCGCCTCCTCCTCCCGCTCGAGCTCCAGCGCGAGAAGCTTGTCGCGACCCTCTTGCTCCACGCCCCGCGTGAGCACTGCCTTCCGCGGATTGTTAGCGGGCGCGGCGGCCGATGCGAGGGGGTTGAGGTGCGGCTGAGGATGCGCGGGCGTAGGTGTGTGGACACCCTCAGGCTCGTCTGGGAGGGGGAGCGGTGTAGTGTATCGCTCGGCGACAGGGAATGAAGGAACGGGGAATGACGGTAGGGCTTGCGAGCTCTGGGGAGGGTAGTATTGGGCGTACGATTGTGTGCGGGCAGCTGGCGCGTTGTTATGAAATGCGTGAGGACCGTAATTGTGGGGCGCAGACGGCGGCGCCTCGTTGTGCGGGATAGGTGGCGGAGCGTAACTGTACGGTGCTCCCCGCGTTGGCTGAGTTTCTTGAGGTCCAGGAAGAGGAGGCAGCGGCGGACTGGGAGATAGCGGCGGTGACGCAGGGTATTGCGCATGGATAGGGTTTTGCGGTGGGAACATGTTTCTTGCGGGCCCGGGAGGGCTGCTGCTAGTCGAGCGAGCATCCCTGCCTGGAGGTGGGCCAGCTCTGAGCGAGGAGGGCACACCGAAGGAGCCCGGCGGCGATGCGCGAGGAGGAATCGCGACCGGGGCTCGGGGCGGAGAGTGAGGAGGGGACACATTGACAGCGGTGTATGCGCCGTAAGCAGGAGGCGTAGGGGTATGACTGGGAATACTGTGTGAGTGCGACGAGTCTCGTTGATGGGGCTTTTCGCTGTAGTGGATGTCTCCTTTCGGGTTCCCAGGTCGTAGAATGTCGGGTATGGACGCAGGGGAAAGGTGATCCTGCGGGATTGGCGGGAGCGCATCGTACTTGGACCGCGGCGACGTCCGTGGCGAGGTGTGTGTGGACGTAGGCGGTGACAGGTAGGTAGGTGCACCCGCATTATATGCGGGGGTGAGCGTTGCCGGAGGATTGCGCGAAGGCGATGTCGACGGGCGTGATGTACGCGTTTGTGGTGGGGATTGGTTTTGCTGCAAGCTCGAGTACGAATAAGCCTGAGAAGAGCGTACAAGTCGTTCTGAGGTGGGCATCTTCGTCTTCCGCCGCTGCAGGGGCGCAGGACCCGTCGCGAAGTAGGTCATCTCGAGGTAGAGCTCTCCGCGGTAGGTGCCGTTCTCCTCGAGCTTCACCCAGTCTGCGTGAGCGATTATATATGAGCCTGCACATAATTTCGGACGAATGTCGCGAGCACGCACCATCGAACTCTCCTGTCCTCAAGGTCTCCTCGATATCGACGGCACCCTTGCCGATGCACTCCACGCCGCGAGGCTCCTTCCGCCAGCAGCTCACCTCCATGGTTCTGTCCTCCTGCTTCGTCTTCTGGTAGATCGGGAAGCGAAGCTCTTCGTCCCAGACGGGGTGCTGCCCGCCTTTAACATCGACCTTGGTGGACTTCGTGCTGCCCCCTATTGCCACCTGTGACAAGACGTCTTGCTTGTAGAGCGAGTGCCTGTCGGGGAGGTTCCGGGCCTTCAGCACGACAACGACCAGTGTTCCGATTTCCATAGTGCACGCGGTAGACAGAGTTCGTGTATGCGGTAGGCAGAGAGTAATTTGTGGTTCAGAGAACAAGATAGGAGTGTATAAATAAGCTGCGTCGTGCGCTGGTATCAAGAGAGATCAGGGTATACGCCAGGGGATGCGCCGGCCAAGGCCAAGTCCGAGCATCATAAGAGGGGTACTCCAACACCGCCCCCACTCTTCCGCAGCGGGAGGTGTGTAACTTACTTGGTTCACATTGTACAGCGTTGTTCATCAGCACACTGCATCCGACAAGCCTGAGTCAGAGCAGAGCCTTGGGCAGAATATTTACCGGATGTGTCGGCAGTGCACGGCGCACCTAAGCTTATCTTACAGCTAATTTCAGAACGATAGTCACTTGCAAACGCGCGCGACAGACGATGACTAAGCGCTCCAACCTTCAAGAAGGCGGCGCGCACCGCTCTTCTGCACCACTGTCGTTCATCGTCTCCTGTCAATTTTGCGCGAGCAGACACAACAGATGATATATGATCTGAAATCTGAATTATGGACCTGTCTCTCTACCATTTACAGTAGTAGTGTAGAGCTACCATGACTCTCGCAGAGTCCGAATAGTTGAACTCTTTCTACATGGCTCGCGACTGGCAAGGCATGGGATTCACTGGAATGTCAGTGGTGTTGTAGAGCAAGGCTGACCAGACACATTCTGCATAATTATTGGTTCGCATCAACCTGATTGCTCACGGGATCGTGTCGTGTATGTCGTTGCGAGGGGCTGGTCCTGGACAGGTCGCTGTGTGTGGAAGATCTCGCGCAGGTTGCAGTGGTGCAGAAGAACGGTGCGCGCCGCTCCCGAAGCGCGGAGCGCTTAGTCATCATATGTCGCGCGCGTTCGAGAGTGACTATCGTTCTGAAATTAGCTGTAAGAGAAAGCCTTTACAATGAGCTACTCAGTGCGGTGCGCGTGGCAACGACTGCATCACAAGCAAATGATTTCTCAATTCGACGGTAGTCCCGGACGATGTATGTTGTACTACTATTACATTGAGCAGAGCTTTCCACAGCAGATATCAGATGCACCACTGTCATGAGAGCGCGACTACGACGACAAAAGAGGGGGAAATAGGGACTCGGGCGCAAATAATGAAGATGGTAACGGTATGAGGGGGAAGAAACCACTATACTGCCAGCCAAAGGAAGACGATAAGTGAGATTAAAGGCAGGAGAAAATCTAGACTGGAAAGAGGGGAAGCGAGAGATATGTCGTCACAGGTCATTAAGTGGGACGCCATTGGGTCCAGCGCAGCAAACTGCGTTACGCCGGCGAGCCCGCGTACTCCTCCGACAACGGCGCTGGAGCCTCGAGGAGTGGCTGGCCATGTACCCGCACTCTGTAGAGGCAAGTGAAGTCGTCCCGGCCCCAGTTGTTCTCGATCACCAGCGCCACGACGCCAAAGTCGATGCCGAGCTCCTTGACCTCCTGCGAGACGGCGAACGTTTGGATGTGGTCTGGCGCATAGATGTTGTACGAGAAGTTCGCGACGCGGACGGACTCGCCCCAGTGCTTCAGCAACGGCGGGACGGGTGGCTCGGCGTCCTCGACGAGGGGCTCGCCGCTCAGCGCCGCCTCCATGCGCGCCTCCTCCTGCCTCGCTGAACGCGCCTCCCGCCACTCTCGCAGCTTGCCGAGGTTGTCCTTGCCCTCGACGAGGCCCCAGAGCTCCATGTATCGCGGGGCCGAGCGGCGATCAGGCGCAAGCTCCTTCGCAACGTGGTCGATCGTGACATCGCTGATGAAGGTCGGCCCGGCGAGCTTGATCCCAAGCTGTCCTTGGGTGCCAGGGAAGGGCCAGCAATGTCCAGGGTTGCTTTCGTGGTGCAGCGCGGTGACGGGCGGACGACCGATCGCACCGTTTCCGCCGCCAGTGAAGAAGCCCGCGACCTGGCTGATGAGTCCGCCGGGCGGAATCTCGTACGTCTGCGTCGTGAGCGCCGGGATGACCTGCGCGCCCGCGGAATACAGCGCGTAGTCCGGTCGCGCAACAACGTCCTTGGCCAGACGATATACCGACGAGCCAACTAGTTGGTTGATCAACGCCGTCACGTCCTGGCCGTCGCTCGACTTGATCGTCAGCGCTGAGCCCGCATTTCCGGAGGCAAGCTTGCTCCACCATGCAGCAGCGGTGCCCGTGGACGCACCGACCTTGGCCACGTTCTTCCCGAGCTCAAGAGCCTCCTTGACCCCGCTCTCCGCGCTGCCCAGGCGTTCCTCCAGCGTGCGCAACTTGGCCCGCGCCTCCTCGTCGTTGTTGGGGACCGGCGTGCTGCGCGCCGCGCTCTCCTGATGCGCGCGAAGCTGCGCCTGCAGTGAGTCCACTTCCTGCTTCACGACCTGGATCGCATCGCTCGTCGACGCCCTGAACTTGGTCTCCGAGTCGTGGAAGCGGACGCTCTCTTTGTGCACCTGCGACTCCAGCGCACCGACGAGGCCGACGAGCTCGGACCGGCTGCCCTCGATCCACGACTTGGACTTCTCGGAATCTTGCGTCAGCTTGTTGAGCGCACCCTCCAAGCGCATCAGCCGATCCGCGAACTCGCCCAGGTTGGTGACGGGAGCTTCGGGCGGGTGGTACGGCGAACGCGACGGCATGAACTTGGACAAGTCCAGCGAACCGCTCCTCAGAGTATACCATGCTGCGTAGATCGTGATACCGACGAAGGCAGCCTTTAGGAACGGCGTGAAGTCCGCATGCGTGAGCCACCGGAAGGGTTTGTGAACGGTTATGTCTAGCGTCAGCCCGAGCACCTTGCCGACGAATCGCGCGATGAACCCGAGGAGGCCGAAGAACCATCGTATTATCATCCACCCCAGGCTGAAGGTGCCATGTACGCCGTGACCGAGACTCGCACCTATCGAGAACGTTGATTGTCGAGGCGTCTCGAAATCGTCCACAAGGAGGTCCTCGTCAATTTCGCGGATTGGCGGCAATGTGTTTTCAGGATCAGACTGGTCGGAGCGGATCAGGTCGTCGGGGTGTGATGTGGGGGGTATTGAAGATCGTGATAGTGGTGGATTGGAACCTCGTGGCACAGACGGCGCACGGATAACTGGTGTTTGGCCGCGTACCGAACGCTATAAGTGCACATGAGACGTATGTCGCTCTCAAGGCACCGTCATGCATACCTGCTCTGCGACCGCTTCCTGCTCTTCGCTACTCTCCTCATCTTCGTCGCCGTTCGTCTTTCCGTTCGCTCGCTTCTTCTTCTTCCTCTTGTCGTAGGCGGCGATGGGCAGGGATGTCAACGGTGGCCCTCCCATGCCACCTTTCTTCTTCTTTCGACGCGTTCTCTTTCCGTTCTCGTCATCGAAGTCTTCGTCGGAAACCTCAAGGTCAGACTGCGTCGGCTTGTATGCCTTGTTGTCTGTAGACATCCGATTGCGCTTATGCGCGACCGTGTTTCGCCTTGGAGGGCCTATCGGAATAGTCTTCTCTGTGGTCAGCTGTGCCTGGTAGTCACGCTCCTCCGCGGAGTAGTCGTAGCTCGAGCTTTCGTTGGCGGCACCATTCCCGATCGACCGAGAATGTGACTGATCCGCTTCGGGCTCTCGAGATCGAGCCTGCATAAAGATCGAAGTAGGGGCGTAACGCTGTGCGGCATCGAGGATGTGTTCGAATGGGCTCTTGCCGCGACTGCGCTCTTGGGACTGGGAAGGCTCGGTTTGTTCACCCTCCGAGTCAGGTACGTGGCGGATGGACGCGGCCTTGGAGAGGGGTTTGCGTGCGCCCGTTCGACTGGGAGGGGGTGCGAGACGTCGATTAACTGTCGACTGCGTCTCCTTCTCGTACTCCACGGACGTGCTCCGGGGGACCTGCCTGCGGGCGCCGGACGTCCAAGAGTCGTTGGGATTCATGCTGTCGTCGGTATTGGCTGCGGTGTGGAATGCGCTTGCGATGTTTACTGAAGTGTCTTTGACGGACCACTTCTCGGGATGGGGAGATGTGTTGGGCTGGGGGCCCGATGGGGCGTTGGTGCTTGCTTGCTCGCGTTGCTTGAGACGCGCGAAGCGGACAAGGGCGGGTTCTTCTGTGTCGTCTGGCGGATCGGCGAGAGCGGGTGCGTTCTGTGATTTGGGAGGGGAGCGCGTTCCGAGGGTGGGTCCTCTGGCCATGGATAAGTGGTCAGCACGCAGCACACGATATTATAAGCACGCTACGCGCAGACGTACCCGTACGCGTAGGATGCAGGGATGGTGCGGCGAGGCGGTGAGTGTGCCTTTGGACGGGGCTTGTTGAGGAAGGTTTGGTGATCCAGACGTCTTCCTTGACCTAGCGGCGTGCTCGAGAAGGACATGTACTGCGTGTATCGTGTTCGGTCACAGAGAGCACGCGAATTTAGATGCGGACACGGTGAGGATTAAATTGCAGCAGCAGTGGATTGCGTTTGCGGGTATGCATGCACTGGATATCAAGAGACAAGCCTCGCGGACGGCGCGTGCAGGGAGCAGGTTCGTTCGTGGCCGCGGCGTGCAGCGTTCGCGATGGTGACCGCAATTCCTGTTTGGCCTTGTTTGTCTTCCACGCCCTCCGCATATGGGCATCAATGTTGTTCGCTTTAGCTGCCAACAATGCCTCGAATTCATTGCGGTGGGCCCGTCTCTCGCTCGCTCGCTCTTAGCTGACACGCACTGCACGCAACTGGAGGAGCCGGCAAGTCTGTCCTCACTTAATCGGAACACTCGTCACAGCCCAACTCATTTGACCACACTCCACTTTTTACGACAAGGAGTAAGTACTGACTTACAGTACATCCACTCACTCCTGTTGAGTCGCTCAGGAGAACGTGGTCTCATCAAAGCGTTATTTCAGGTCTTCACTGTCGAGGGTCAATAATTAAGTCAAATTCAACTGCAAAAGTGTACGGCATGACGAACTAACCTGCACCTCCACAGACCTCCATAGGTCTGCCAATAACGCTCGGGGCGCCTCCGACGGAAACTGAGTGATGCGGACGTCCTGTCGCGCGGTCGCCAAGTAATGCAAGAATTCCGCGCAGTCATCAGCCAGAGCTCTGAGACCCTCGTCTGCATTGCACGCGTCGATGAACGGCTGGCGGAATCGATCCGGGACTTGTTTCTGCGGAAGATTCGTCCGTTCGTGCAGCACCCGCAGCTTGGGGCACACCTCCTTGTGAGGTGCCTTCGCATGTTTCCAGGCGCTCTTCTGGCACTCCCGCGAGCAGTAGCACAGTATGCCGCAACCGGCGCATCGGGGGAAGGGTCGTCCTGCAGTGGCAAAGGTCTCCTTGCATTCGGGCGCGCAGCAGTGCCGCAACTGGGCCGCCCAGCGAAAGCCCTCGAATGCGAGCTGCACAGGGTCTGCGATGGCGGCGTCCGTCTCCGCTCGCAGCCGTAGGATTTCGGGGTCGTACTCCATGCCGTCGTTGTCGGGCCTGTAACAGTAGAACATCGCGGCGAAGCTCTTGGATTGAAGGGTGAGCCGTTCGATGACTTCGTCCGTGAAAAGAGTCGTACCATTTTGGAAGGACGGCAGCGCTCTGAAAATGAGGGTGCACACAAGCAGTAGGCCGCAATTCACGGCCTTGGTCTCGCCCACCTTTCCTGCTTCGAGTCGAATAAATAGTGCAATGTCGAATGGATATCTTTGCCCTTCCTCGTTGACTCTCGAGCAGAACTTCATGATCAGGGTGAGAGTGTGAAGCCAGCCCACTTGCATATCCATCCTGACAAGCCTTCCCATGGTCTCCTTGCGCTCACGAAGGATAGCATCGGTCATAAGGGTGACGCGCATAGGCCACTCGGCCTCAGACTGTTGGATATGCCAGAGGACGGGTCCTCCAAACAGGGAAAGCAACTCCGTGACAAACAGAAGGGTGTCCTGAAATCTGCGATTGCGGCATAACTTGAAAAACACGGCGTATCCCTTCATCGACTGCTCGAGACCGTATGGGATGAGTTGCGTCGTGTCCACGGGCCATGGTCGACATTGGGTGCGCTTTTTCGAGTTCTGTTTGAGGCCGGCCGACGCGACGGCGCCGCTGACAGTCTTCGTCTGTATAGCGTTATTCAGGATACCACCGAGGTGCCGAACGAGCGCTTCCCCGAAGTCCTGGAGCGTGAACCGACGAGTAGGCCGGAAGCGGTGCAGCCGGGCTAACAATGATCTTGACGTCCTGTTGCGCGACGACGTCGGACACGAGCACACAGACAGGGATGCGTAGAGCTCCTCGAGTTCCTCGTTCGAGCGCGGCATGCTCAAGAAGGCGACGCACGCATCCAAGTACGCGTGGTGTGCCTTGCGGATGTCCTCGTAGCCATCATATTGAGGCAGGAAGAAAGGCAGATCCATCGCGTAGAGGTCGTTGTCGTCCCTCCCGTCCAAGACATGAAGGCATGCACAGAGGACTCGGGCACAGCGAGTCGGCCATGCTGGATCCCTCATGCAAGTTGTGAAAAACTGTGCGATTGCGTCTGTTCTGCGAGTCGCCATGGCGTCTTGGAGAGCCGGTAGTCTGTACTGAGCACCACGGGTCAGCTACCGTAATCAAAATTCTGCAACAACGACGGACTATTAATACTCACCTTCAAGCAAGAGAAAAGAGTTGAAGAAAAACCTGTGTTCTGTGCTTTTCGGCAATTGCTATGGGCGGGCGTGGGACTAATGAGAGCACATCACGGCAGCAGCGACTTGGCAGCAACTATGTAGCGGCGAGTGATGCAGGCAGCAGGGAAAGCCATTACACGCAATGAGGGGCCTTCGCATGTCTCCAGGCGCTCCTCTGGCACTCTCGCGAACAATAGCACAAGATGCCGCACCCGGCGCATCGTGCGAAGGGTCGCCCTGCAGTGGCGAAGGTCTCGTTGCATTCAGGCGAACAGCAGTGCCGCAGCTGGGCGGCCCAGCAAAAGCTATCGAATGCGAACTGCACAGGGTCTGCAATGGCAGCGTCTGTCTTCGCTCGTAGCCGGAGGATTTCGGGGTCGTAGTCCATGCTGTCGTTGTCAGGCCTGTGACCGTAGGGCATCGTGGCGAAGCACTTGGATTGGAAGGCAAACCGCTCGACGACTTCGTCCGTGAAGAGAGTTGTACCAATGCGGAAGGACGGGAGTGTTTCAAGGATGAGGGTGCACACGAACAGCAGGCCGCAATTTAGAGTCTTAGGGGAGCCATCCTTCTGCCCGCTCGCCTCGCATCGAACAAAGTCTGCAATGTCCCGTGGGTTCCGTCGCCCTTCCTCGGTGATTCTCGCGCAAAACATCAAGACCATAGAGAGGGAGTGAACCCAGCCCACTTCCATGTACATACTGACGGGCCTTCCAATGGTCTCATCGCGCTCACCAATAACGAAACAAGTGAGGGCGCTGACGCGCAAAGCCCAGTCGGGCTCGAACTGGAGAATATGTCGGAGGACGGGTCCTCCGAAGAGAGAAAGCAGCTCCGTGACTACCAGAAGGGTGTCTGGAAATCTGCTGTTACGGCACCACCGGAAGGAAGTGACATATCCCTTCATCGACTGCTCAAGGCCATAAGGAATGAGCTGCCTCGTGTCCACCGGCCACGGGCGGGATTGCGCATTCTTTTTCGAGTTCTTTTTGAGGCCGGCCGACGCGACGGCGCCGCTGAATGTCTTCGTCTCGACCGCTTTATTCAGGATACCGCCGAGGTGCCGAACGAGCGCTTCCACGAAGTCCCTGAGCGTGAACCGACGACGAGGCATGAACCGGTGCAGCCGTGCTAGTAGTGCCCCCGTCGTCCCGTTGCGCGGCGACACCGGGCAGGCGCACACAGAGAGGGATGTGTAGAGCCCCTCGAGCTCCTCCTGCGAGCGCGGCATGCTCAAGAAGGCCACGCACGCACTCAAGTACGCATGATGTGACTTGCGGATGCTCTCGTAGCCCTCAAACCGAGGCGGGAAGAAAGGCAGGTCCATCGCGTAGACGTGGTTATCGTCCTTCCCGTCCAAGACGTGAAGACATCCGCAGAGGACTCGGGCACAGTGAGTCGGGCGTGCCGGGTCCCTCATGCAAGCTGTGAAAAGCCGTGCGATCTCGTCTGTTCTACGAGTCGCCATGGTGTCTTGGATAACTGTCCTGTACAGAGCACTATGAGTTAGCTACCGTGATCAAAGTCCTGCAACAATGATGGGCTAATACTCACCTTCAAGCAAGAGAGAAGAGTTGAGGAAAACGCTCTCTGCGCTTGCCGGCACTGATTGCTATGGGCGGGCGTGAGACTGATGGGAGTACTTATATGACGACAGCAGCGACTAGTGGCCATTGAACCAAATGCCCGGATTGCTCGTAATCCTCTTCGTAGGTATGATGGCCACCGCCCGTCTTGTTGGCGAGCAGCATGCGGGACACTTAGTCGAACTTTGACAACCCCTCAGCACCAGACCACCAAACACGGCGACTTGAGAAGCGTCACGACCTGATGCATATCGTACAATTTGAACCGCATCCGAGTACAGTGCTAACTTACTTTACATCCAAGCTTGTATATCCAGCCTCCCCTTCATCGTATCAGCCTGGATAAGCCCTGCTCCAGCTCAGAGATCAGCGAACTTGTCCGCTGCCTCGACGAGCAGTTTCGACGTCCCCGGCTCTCGCGCGGAGTGCCCCGCGTCGGGGACGATGTGCAGCGTGATCTCCGGCCAGACCTGCCAAACACTATCAGTCATGCTTTGGAGAATTCAGAGTGAGAACGTAAGGCGCACCTTCTTGAGATCATACGCCGTGGTTGCCTGTGTGACAGAGACTGATGTTAGAAGTGTACAAGACGTGTGATGTGGTGGCACGCGTACCGGGCAGACCACGTCGTACCGCCCTTGCACGACGATGCACGGGATGTGGCGGCTGGGGGGCGATGTCAAATTCTGTCGTTAGTCAGAAGTTGATACTGGTACGCACATCTTGTCGATCTCTTGCTTCTCCAGCAGCTGGCCGTCCCGCATGAAGCCCTGCCCAAGAACCGTCAATATGTACCGTCCACAGGCTACGAAGCAGAGAATGCTGATACTTACATCATTGACGAAGTAGTGATTCTCGATCTTCGCAAACGCGCTACGGACACAACCAGACGACCGATCAACTTCTTACGATCTGACAGAGTCGCAGGGCCACCGACACTCACGTCGCCCACTTATCGTCCTCGACGTGCGCAAGCTGCGCCGGGTCGACATACAGCTTTGACGTCGCCATCCTGCACACTTCCGCAATCAGATTTACGCCCCCGTCGCAGGGAAGGACGAGGGGACGTACTCCCACTTGGACCATGCCTTCGCGGCGCGCAGGCTCACCTCTTCGTCGGCGGAGTTGAGCTGCGCGTGATACGCCGTGACCATGTCTTGCCGCTCGGGCTCAGGGATGGGCGCGATGTATTCTTCCCTGCGTCGAGTCGGATGTCAGGTCGATGGAGGAGCTGGAGTGATGCGGAGGGCAGATGGCTCACCATGCGTCTGGGAAGAGATGGGAGGTGCCTTCTTGGTAGAAGAAGCGGAGCTCGCTGAAGGAATCAGAATCCATCCATATTCTCCGAAATGTCTCATTTCACCTTTTGCGCAAAGTGAATATCCCGCTGCACGATGGAGCTGTTAATGGCATATTCATTGACCCCGGACTCGGACAGCTTGGACATACCGAAGTACGAGCGACTTCACGCGGTCGGGGTGGCTCTCCGAGTAAGCCAGGGCCAAGGTCGATCCCTGTGCAACGCATGAGACGGCGTGACGGCGATACAGACATCCGCAGACACGTACCCACGATCCTCCAAAGACGTTCCACTTGTCGATCTTGAGCTGTTCGCGGAGCTTCTCCATGTCCTTCACCAGGTCCCAGGTGGTGTTCTCCTCCAGAGACGCGGTGCTGTCGGACGATGAGGCGATGACTCAAACTGTTGTGAATGAACCTACGGTGTTGACTTTCCCGAGCCTCTTTGGTCGAAGAGTACGATCTGGGTTCCATGTCAGTAGTGAGTGCCGAGAGGAGCTGTGGGACAGACATACCTTGTACTTCTCGGGGTTGAAGTAGGCGCGATCTTTCGCATCTGTACCATTTCCAGGACCACCTATGATGCACCGTAAGACTCTGCATCTATTGACTATTCTCAAAGGCGACTTACCATGAAGGAAAACGACTTCGACAACATCGGATTAGTAGCAGCCACACGAGCGTTCCGCGACGTGGAGACGCGTACCTGGGTTGCCCTTGGGGTTGCCGCTCACTTCATAGCTGCACCCCTCCATTGAGACTAATCACGCACATCAGTTGATATTGGACGTACTAGAGCGTATGCAGGTCCGAGACCTTCAGCTTCCCCGTCTCGTACGGCTCGATGGGCGGGTACATCTTCGGCGCGCGTCGCGATCCCTCGAGGTTCTGGCTCATGTTGCGTTGAGGCGAGTGGAGTCTGGCTTGTAGTAGAGGTCTGGGGAGACGGGCGGGCCCTGAGGAATGTATTGGGGCTGTGAGTCTCAGTGGGTCGGACCGAGAGCCTCTGCCAGTGCGAGCGAGGAGGACGGGGTTGTATCGTGAGATCGCGATCATACTTACTATTAGACGCCTTCCTTTCCCGGCGACGACTCGGACTTGTGCACCTCGATCATCTACCGATCGCAGTACTCTGTCTCTCGCTCCCACTGCTACTCTTCGCTCTCTCGTCCAAGCCCACTTTCCTGGCTGAATCTCGACATATCATATGTTCACAGCCAGGCTGCTGTATCCAGGCTGAATATAAGGAGAACTCCTCGAGCGCAGGCGCCGTTCGTACGATCCCTATCGGACGTAGCAGCCGGGACGGACCTGCGGTACGGCTGGAATGCATTGGGCTAGTCAAGACCTGCTGGTATGTCTATGAGCCGACCGGAGAGTGAGGCATTGACAGGCATACGGGAATGTTGCAGCTTCTGCCGTCGGAAGACCCGACCAGTGTGAAAGCCCGTGTCGCAAGGCTGTGCAGCATCCTGAGCAGCAGAATGCGCCTCCGCGTCGTCAATTCCACTCCTCGTGCAATGAAGAGCCTTACGGTGATTTGCTCTCAGATTCGGATGGTGAACGGAACTCTAACACAACTTGACAGAGGCTGATGCCCAGGAGCGAATCACAAGGGCTGAATGTGCGCTTCTAGAGGCCGTCGAGGCGCTACGCATGAGAATAGACGGACGCGGGCTCACAATCTCCATCATGGACGGACGCGAGCCTGTCAGGTGGCCCTCTCGCCGCAGCGCGACTCGTCCGGAATGGACAGGCTGCATGTGCGTCTGGGCCTTGTGACGACGGCGACGTCCTCCAACACCGCGCCGTGCCCCGATATGCCTGTGGACGAGCCGGGTCTGCAGGAACCATCTTTCATACACCATCACACGTCCGGCGTCCGCGCCCACTCTCGTCTCGCCTCCCCACACCCGAGCATAAGAGCCTCCGGGGACGGTTCCCACCCCGCGTTTCGACACACCTTCCCCGCATTCGCAGGTGCCTACTGTCCCCGTACCCGCACTCGCGCTCGCACGGCCAAGGTGAGATGGCGCACCCCGAGAAAGACGACCACGAGCCCGAGAAAGTCAACCATGGGCCCGAGCACGTCGAGGACGCGGCGAGCATCGACAAGGGGAAACCGCCGCCATACAGCAACCTGACAGCGCTCGCGCACGCTGCCGCGTCGGAGAAGGCGTACACGCCATGGCAGGCGGTCCGGGTGTACTGGCAGGCGACGCTTTGGTGTCTGTTCATGTGCATGGGCGCGCTGCTGTGGGGCTATGACTCTCAAGTGAGCACGCACTGCACGGGCATCTCGCAGGTCACTCACTCGTGCTGTGTAGGTCGGAGGCGGTCTGCTCAGTGTACCGTCTTTCCGTCGGGACTTCGGCTTCTACAGCGGAGGCGCAGGAGAATACATACTTGCGGCGCAATGGCAGAGCGCCTTCAACAGTGTCAGCTCCATTGGCGGCATGTTTGGTGGCCTGTCCCTGGGCTATGTCTCTGATAAGCTCGGGTGAGCGCTCAGGATTCTATACCAGCAAATGTACGGTGCTGAATGCGCGCGCGACAATGCACAGACGGAGAGGTGCAATGGGTGTTTGCTGCATTGTGTCCATCGTGGGCATTTTCATCCAATTCTTCACGTACCCGCACAAGAACGCGCAGCTCATCGTCGGGAAACTAGTCAACGGGTATGCCTTGGGTAAGCGTCCTCGCAGTCCCTGGTCTATGCAAAACTGAGTCTGATGCACTCCGCCCAGGCATGTACGTCTCCGGGGCAAGCTCGTACTGTGCCGAGGTGTCGCCCCTGGCGCTGCGTGGTATCACGACGTCATCGGTGAACCTCTGGATCGTTCGTGAGTACTGCACTCTATCGCTGGCCCGGACCTCAGCTCACGCCGCCGTCTCTTTCCACAGTCGGACAATTGTGAGTTCTACATAGCACATGGCATCGGGCCACTCTGATGACCCCGGCGAAGGATGTCGAACGGCGTCATTGAAGGCACAGGCAGCTGGACGTCCTCATACGCATATAGGCTACCCTTGTGAGTCCTAATCCTCTCACTTCATCACGTACTGACCCCACTTGGGTGCAGCGCCCTCCAATGGATCTTCCCGGTCATCCTGCTCATTGGCCTCCCCTTCGCGCCCGAGTCGCCGTGGTGGCTCGTGCGCAGGGGCCGGAAGGACGATGCGCGCGGGATCCTCGTGCGCCTCTCGGACGGCTCGTCGGACGTCGACATGCAGCTCCGGCAAATCCAGGACACGATCGCGCTCGAGGACAGCTTCGCGGCGAACTCGACGTATGCGGATTGCTTCAGAGGTGAGCTGGTGATGTGGTGTGTATTGAAGGTGGGCGGGAGGCTGATGCGCAGCAGGGGTGAATGGCAGGCGGACGATGATTGCGTGTATGGTGTTCGTTCTGCAGCAGGCGGCAGGTGAGGAGATGATTGACATTTGATAGGTTGAATGGATCGCTGACCGAGAAATAGGCGTGGTATTCGTCCTGGGATACAGCACGTACTTCTTCGAGCTCGCCGGATTCCAGGACAGCAACGCGTTCCGGCTCGGCGTTGGCGTGACTGGCATTGGTGTAAGCCCCCTCACCTTCCCCATCTAGTCTTGTTTGATAATCTCTATGTGCACTCCAAGGTCGCGGGCAACCTGATCAACTTCTACACGGTGAACAAGGTCGGCCGGCGATCTATGTTCAACTGGACGATGTTCGCGAGCACGATCGTGCTCTTCCTCATCGGCTTCCTCGCCATCCCGTCGAATAACCAGAGCGCGAAGTGGGCGATGGCGTCCTTCGTACGTGCTCCGCGTCCTCCTACCCTCATACCACTGCGCATGCTAACGAATCGCTGCTGACTAGACGATCATCTACAACTTCATCTATCAACTCGGATTGTGAGTAGACTGATTCAACGTATGCGGTGCATATAGCTGACCACGACATATCAGGGGCCCACTCGGGTACGTCATCTTCGCCGAAGTCTCCTCCGCGAAGCTGCGCTCCAAGACGGTTGGCATTGGTATCCTCGTCAATTCGCTCTGCGGTATGGTCATGAACATCATCATCCCGTACCTGTACGTCCTTCCCATCGCACGCCCGTTTCTCCATGCACTAAGTCGTGATGCGCCTGCGCCAGGGTGACCCCGGACGAGGCGAACCTCGGCGGGAAGGTCGGCTTCATCTTTGGCGGGCTCTGCGCGATCGGCACGGCGTGGGGATACTTCTACATCCCCGAGACCAAGAACCGGACCGTTGACGAGTGAGTGCCCTTTTCCGCTGTGTCGATGGTTGGCGGGGGTTGACGCGATGTGAAAGGCTGGACACGATGTTCGAGCGCAAGGTCGCGCCACGCAAGTTCGGCACGTACGTGATCGAGGAGGAGGATCTGCCTGTGCCTGCGCAGGAGATTGCAAGTTCATGACATGTGTCGCGGAATGTATTGCCAGCGTCGCTGGGGCATAGGAAATTAATGATACAGATACACGATGTCCTTGGAAGCGATGGACAGTGTTGTAACGAACGTGACTGCGATGATCCATGTCTTGACGCTTGGTACTTGCGATTGTATCCTCTAGGGATGTACTGGTATCGTCTGCGCTTCGTAATACTTGCTATCGAGGGTGAATGACTAGGATGCGACTCGGCGAGTCTGATATTCCGCAGTGCTTGTGCTGATCATGAACCTTCCTAAATGCACGGTGCAAGAAAATGAGACCTGAAGCTTTATATTTCAGCCATGTTCCCTAACTCGAAATGCCGCCAAGAAGGGCGGCGCTATCTTACTCGCGCAAGTCTTTGGTCAGGGAGGCGAGAGTCTCTTCCACTATCGAAACATTGAGGTACTGGCATGGTGTCCGGATCCGGGACCGCTGTAGTAATACTAAGTATCAGCAGCGCTAGCGAGCACTTATTACACCATATTTTCTACTCTTTACCACAGCGCGTTCGAGAATCCAAACGTCACGCACCCAGGACAAGTTCTTTCAGAACGCCAAAGTTGGGCGTGCCCCACCCAGTGACAGGATCCCATCCTATGGTTGCCTAGTCACAATTCAATGAGTAAACCCTTCACTGACATCACACAATCAACCTCACGTTAAAGCCCTCTGTACCACACCCCGGGTTGTTACCGACAGTGATATCGTTGAACCCCGTTGTCGTCTGCGCGTTGAGCGAATAAATCAATGGATTGAGGAAGCCAAGTGGGAACTTCCCGCTGGCGATGCGCGCGTCATTGAGTAGGGACACGAATGCTGTGAACGTGGGCGTGGAGCAGGAGGTCCCGTCGACGAGGCCAGTTTCCGCGTCCCATACAATAGTGAAATCGACGCCCTCAGCAGAGACGTCAGGGTAGGCCTGTTGGATCGTCAGTGGAACTGCTTAGATGTTATGGAGAGAATGACACACTCGGCCAGACCTTCGGAGAGCGAGATATCAGTCTGTGTGCGAGCTATCCTATCATCACTGGCACCTCACTACTCACGCGTTATACAGACCCGCATACGTCCCTGGAGCCAGCTCGCCGAGGTACTTCGTCACCGCAGTGTCCTGGTAGGATGGTCGAGCGAACTAGACAGACGATTCAGCGCGTCCCCAAGACCAGTAACACCAAAGCCTCACGCACGTAGTTGCTGAACCCACCGCCAGAGAACCACGCCGCAATCTCTGGCACCCCCGAAGTCGCTCCCACAGCCGTGACGCTGACAAGCATCTGTTAGTGCACACTGTGGCCAGCAGAATGGATTCTCACTAAGGGCAGCTAGCTGGGAATCCGGGTATGAACATCGTCACGTTGCGACCATCGTTGCTGTAGCACTCCTGGGTAGCCGGGTCCGGGTCACCGTCGCCCACACCCGCGTCTCCGGAGCCGAACATAATCGAGATCCCTCGGGCACCTAAGAAATCTTGGGTCAGCGATCGTGTCCACACGGGGATCAACGTCGCATACACACCAAGCTGCGCGAACTCTGCGCAGACGCGCGTCGCATAGCTGTACGGGACTGCAGAACCCTATGAAGTACAGTTACACCATCACTAGAAAAACATCGTACCGGTCTGCTCGTCGTCTTCGTAGCTGGTGGAGATCGACTGTGGCAGGTCCTCTGCAGAGAGCACGTATTCGAGCCACTACAAATGCGTCAGGTCCCAAGTTGAAAAACTTCGCACAAGTACCTAGGACCAGCCACTCGCCTGCATGTATGGCTCATTTGAGTCCGTAGGCTCGAGATCATCAGGGATGAAAGGCGGGCTCCCGCCAGTCGTGTAGAACGTTCCCGGCGTCGGGTACGTAAGGCTGAACGCATATTGTGTATCTGACCTCCCGGTTTAGTCGCAGATTTCACAGCGTCAATACATTTCCTACCCAAGTTCGCTTCAATCCCAGCATCAGCCGGTGTCTGGTTGTTAAGTCCACCTACGAACGTAGTGATGGCTAAGTTACAGCAAAAGATCGACCACGGACTGCTCTCACCATTGATATAGACCACCGAGAACGTGCTGTTAGCAGCATATGACACCTCCTCTCCCAAAAACTGATAGTAATCTGCGTAGTTCGCGTACTGCTCCAAGTAGCCCGTCACAGCGATTTTGTTCTCCCCGGGCACCTGCGGCGTGTACCCTGTCGCGTTGTACAGCTCCAGCAAGCACTCCGGGGTGATGGTCCCGTTGCAACTTGCGGCGACTTGCCCCCCGGAAGCGCTGGGCACGGCGATCCTAGCGCCGTCTGACTGAGGAATAGCGGTGTTTGCGCGGAAGGAGCGGTAAGTGGTCCGCATCGGAGTGAAGCGGGAGAACATGGTGGTGGGCTGGACGACCTCGATGTGGTCGTGCAGGTACTCCGGAAGGCTGTACGACGTCGTGCGGACGAGCGAATCGCCGCTGGCGGTGTGCGCCCACACATGGTAGGTCTAGGCGACATGTGAGCATTATCAGACATGCTTGAAGACGGAGCCATAGCTTACAGTGTCCAACATTGTCTCCGCCAACGAGACAGGCACCCTGACAGTGACCCAGTCGCCAGCGGGGGACCGCGACAACGCGTCACTCAAGAGACCATGCGACGCAAGCCACTCCTCGACCAACTGCACGCTCTCCGGACGAGGCGCGACGAGCGCCTCCACGTCTTCCTTCGACAAGTGCTCTCCGTACCTCTCACTCGACGGATCACTATATCGCGCGACCAACATTCCAATCAGCACCTTCGCTCGCGCATGCATGTCCAGTAGATAACTCGAGACGCACCTCACAGCGTACAGATGCTCCTCCAGCTCAGCGAACTTGGGCTGTGGCAGGCCGATGCGAAGCTCCATCGTGTGCGCGGGCGGCGCAGGGCGCAGGGCGTTCCAACCCCGGGGCGGGTGCACCGTCTCCTTCACCCTGTGCGTATACTCCGCAGGCGCCGCGGCAGCGAGCGCACCCAGTACGGCCCATAGCAAGGCGGACCGCAGCGACGGCATCGTGTTATTCGGAACTGGAGAGCCCGAGACGAGGATGAGCTATCGAGGTCAGAGGGGCTGGTCTGCGGATGGACCGTCGACTCTATTATGTAGGTGGACACCTGTATGGTGTCATCCTACAGACGGACACGGTAGGGTATTCACAGCGCTATGACACCCGAATACGCATGCAGTCTGCCAGGAACAGAGGGCGTGCATGACCTGCGGCGTAAGCGGAGGGAATGATTCGTCTATCTTTAATCAAGGGACATGTTGTGAGACGCACTGACTGAGGGATCGCAGGGATCGAGTTGCCTGCAGATGACACAGGTCAGCGTTCGCCGTGAGAATGGACAGTGCGCTGCTCACCTCGGATACGGTATAATCATATTCAAGTGCTTTGTACCCCACAAGGGAATAGCGACCCCGCAGAGGGACCGATGCAGGAAGATATTATAAGGGTACCGGTATAGCAATTGCCCTATAGAGCAACATCTGCAGCAGTATTCATGGACTTCTAACGCTCTCGACTGAGAAGAGACTCGGAGCAAGGAACAATTATGTCACGTAAGGGTACGTCACGAGATGCCACTGGCCGCAAACCAAGATACTTAGCGAGCGAATGCAGCCTGAGAGCGGAAAAGTGCTTGACCACTCTCGTCGTTCTTCTCGTCTGCTTGTCCTCCGTCGCCGCTCCCTGCCTGCCCTTGCCCTCTTGCTAGCTAGCCTGCAGGCCTGCTTGATTGCCCACTCGGCCTATCGCCGTTTCACTGGCTCCGAGTCGCTCGGGCTGTCTTTCCTGCTCGTTCTTGCCGGCCCATGCTCCTCCTCTAGCCAGCTCACCCACGTGCCCGCCGATGCTCGCCTTCTCGCCCGCTTTTCCTCGCCTTCTCGCCCACTTGTCCTCGCCTTCTTGTCCGTCCACCCAACTTCCCGCCAGCTCACTTGCTCGACCACTTGCCCACCCTATGCAGGATAATCTACACAGCCCGTACTTGACCCCGCCCGAACCCTGTACCCGGACAGGTACGGGTCCGGGGCGCAAGACAAGGCAAACAAGTGTTCAGGCGCCCGGCAACAATTACAGACGAGAGAGCCTTGCTCGAGCAAGGGACTCATAGCAAGTAAAGATAGTCTCGACGTCAAGTCACCTGTCTCGTCTTCAGAGTTCACGGACTCGGGAGGACGTCTCGCGACTGCTGTCCTCTTTCCTCCTTCGGTTCTCGCGCGAGATGTCGTAATAGTAGGCGCAATAGGCGATGATAGCGATGCATGTAGCGGCGATGCAGACGCTGTAGCCTGCTATGTATCGGGGAAGGAGTGGCTATACATAGATGATTCCGCCAACTAAAGTATCTTCAGCACGAGCTCCGCACGAGAGTAGTATCGGGCGATGCACGATTGCCAAACCCGACTTGCCAGACTGTTCTGCTCTTTGATGATGCCCACCCACTAGTCACGAGTATCGGGCTCGATTCAAGTCCGCGTCAGTGAGCCCGCACTCACAGTCGATGCCGAACCGATAATCGCAATCGGCATAGCGTGCCCTGTGCTGCAAGTTCGTGTTGTCATGCACGACAAGCAACATTATGTGGCCCGTGAATGCAAGCGCCGTGAACGAGACGGCGAAAAGGAAGCGGCGCCGGATGTGGTCCGATATCGTTGCGACGACGAAGGCGCACGCCCAGGGGGGGCAGATCAGCTGCATCCGAGTGCTGCTATGGTCAAGTCTGGATGATTGCAGGGGAGAAGTATGCTATAAAGAGCGTGATCCCAATTGTCAGCGAGCGTGAATGGGATAGGCTATTGACGCGAACCGTAGCCGTATCATGAACACACGAGGCAGAGATACATGAACCCGCCTATGGTGATCTTGACTAGGCGACGTAAGTCCACAAGACATCCTACCTGGCGCTACAACTTGAACCCGACTGGCAGACCTACCGTGAAGTTTGTGGGTCGTCCCGATGCGATACACCGACGTCTTCAGGAAGCCTCGCCTTGACGAAGCCTCACTCTGGCGAGAGCCTGCCTGCTTCCTCGGGGAAGTCGGGGAAGTCGGGGATGAAGAAGGACAGAAAGCGGACACCGCGCACATCAGTGTACTTACCTTCTGTGGGACTCTGCAAGAACACTGTTCCATGGGAGAGGGACCCGGGGAACGAGGAGCTACGGCCTACGAGGTTGTTAAGGAGAAGAAGAGTGCCCATTTTGTGCTTTCGCTGGCCTGTGCCACCTACACGGTCCTGAGTATAAGACTACGGGCCGTCGCGCATCGAGAGACTAGAACGTACACATTGGCACGAGGCATAGGCAAGCGGGGATGACACCGTCCCTGACCAGACCTAACACATCCAGCGGCTGTTATCAGAAGCGCTTCTGCCGCTTCACGGATAGATACACCTACCGAGGAAGGATCGCGCTGCAACAAGCCCAGAAAGGTTCTGCGTCAAGCCTTGGCACACAGACAGGAAGAACATAGACGCAGACACTGAGTTCACTTCGTGTTGAGTGAGATTGGACGCAAAGGTCGACGTACGTGGGGCTTCAGCCTTTTACAAGCGCATTGAAGGGGATGTCAAGGAGTATGCAAGGGCTGAAGCTGAACCGCATTCAGATCCTTGGGGGACGATCGAGCGAGGACACTGTTGCACTGTGTCCCTTCGAGCTTCGGGTCGTCTTTGAGCCCCAACAGGACAGCGTTGCCTACGTTTGTTCTATGATTCTGAAGACGCGTCAACGCTTCGTTCGGCGACACGTGAACGAACTCACCCGAGTCACCGGTCGAAGTAGGTCAACAGGTACATCACAGAAAGCACCGGCATGACCCTCATGTCGATCTTGCGCATCATCCTCGCTTCGTCTACCGCGGGGAACCGCAGCCTATACTGCTTTCCGCACTGAATCAGCTTCTCAATGTTCACCTTGCAACGCTATGGGGATGCGGCAGCGCCCTTTGAGGATACAGACCCCGACGAGGGGCAACATACTCTTTTCCTGAAGATCGCGGGACGCCAAATGTCGTCAATTTCGAAGTCACAGGAGGGCAGATGATATGGAAGACCACTCACACTCCAAGTCGGCGTCTTCGGTCATCGCCTCTTCGCTGAGTTCACAACCTCAACGTTCAACAGGTCAACACATCTTATACTGTGGCGCACCGGCGCAGACTGGGATATCCTAGCAGCTCCGCGTAGTAGCGCACTATCAGTGCTTTCTGGATGTTGGGATGGTTCCAACCGGCGGCGAAATCATAACGGAAGATGCTGTAAAGGACAAGTCTCGCGAATCGTTAAACGACTGGCCTCCGGGCTCCGGCCCGGGAAAAGGTCACGATCGACTGAGGACTACCGTTTGCACACCGTCCTGACAACGGTGGTAGCGAGCCTAGAACGCTAGCCCAAAGAGGTCAAGTCATAGCGTTGGACTCATCACGAACTCGCCCCCTCGACAACGCAACACCGAACGAGATCATGATCCTGCCAATGAGACTTTGATGGGATTGTTTTCTTTTGAGTTTGATGCGCCCCCAAGCGTAAGTAGCGTGGATCGACGAATTCGAGGGACAACGAATACGTGCTAGTGCGTACTTTGTGGCGCAGAGGCGGTGAGGCAGGTGAGCTAACTTGGAGATAACGCGTACGTTGTCGGGATCAGGCAGCTGGTTCTCTCGGTTACTTTTAGAACACGGGAGATTGATGAAGGCTACGTCAGGACGGATAACAATGCCGGTGGGAGTAGTAGTAGTAAGGGGAACGCGGGCTCGCGTTCGATCAGGCACGTTCGCTCTCGGAGACGGGTACCCAGGGCCAGCGGAAACCGCAGAGTCCTCGAAAGAGAACGCGTGTGCGGAGAAGAGGGAAGACGGGGCTGCAGCTATCGCCCTGCAGCTTGGCATCAGCTATGGGATTTGCGTGGATCGTGATCTGAAGACAGTGATGATGAATCTTGTTAGGAATGGTTCGCCGTAGCAGTAACCGCAAGCCGCACGCTGAGCACAGGACTGCTCGGTTCCTATACGGGCAACGCCGCAGCACGTCATAGAGCTGGCCTCTCACTGAAGAACCGAACAATGCTGTGTCCGGCGCACCACACGCAGGCGCGGAGACGACTCACATTGTTCAGCTTGATTTCTGTCAGGGGGCGGTTCTTCGCATTCACTGGGGCGCGCTCCATGCGTCCAGTGCGGTGTCCGCGCCGTCGATGACCTGTGCAAGCGTCTTTCAGCAGTAGTCCGTACGGCGCAGCGGGAGCCGTACCTTGCCAAAGATAGTGTACTTCCCATCCAGGTGGGGTTGTTTTGCGTAGGTGATGAAAAACTGGGACTTGTTCGTGTCCGGGCCTGCATTTGCCATAGCCACATTCCACGGTGTTGAACTGAACGGCGTCCGGGGCTATCAGCGGGGGGTTCGCACGGGGTGTGCACCGGCCGACCTTGAGCGTGGAACGAATCTCGTCCGCGAAGGGGGCCCGTAGATGCTCTGGCCGCCCTTGCCCGAGCCAGAGGGATCACCCGTTTGAATCATGAAGCCCTTGATGTTTCGGTGCCAGATGCAGCCATCATAGTAGCCCGAGGCACACAATGCTAAGAAGTTCTGTCGAATGGAGGTTATTCATTGCAATGTAGGAAGGTCGCGGCACGCTCACCTCAGCTGCCTTGGGCACTGCCTCGCAGAAGAGTTCGATCTGGAGGGCGACAGGAAATGAGCTCACGGTGTGTGAGGATATATGGGTGTGCGAGCAGACCTTGATGTCGCCGGAAGACGTATGGAGGGTGACTGACTAGAGTGGATCAGGCCATCACGATGTCATCAGATGCGGACGGAGCATGCGGGCGTACCATTTTTCTCGCTATCAGCTGCGAGCAGTGCTCGAGCTAGTTTCAGCAGGCAGGATGCAGGCGCAGTGGTCGCACGGCGGACGGCAGCGGTGCTCGAAGCGCGGGCAGGACAGGCTGGTGGCTGTGGGCGCGCTCCCGCCGGGCATCAGGCGCACACACAAACGCCACAAAGGGCCGCGTGCCGGGCGGCGCCGGCCACGCTCGCGGAGGCATTCGCGCAGCGATCGCGGGCGCGGGCTGTGATTGGCTGGGGCGCCGGGTGAGAGGCCGGAGCCCGGAGATCGGGGAGGAGGCGATCGGTGTGCAGGAGCGAGGGTTCCATCTACGGGCTGCTTCTAACATACATCACGTCGATGGGCGGCCGTCACTCCAGCCAGCCTAAAAGAGGGCGGGCATCACCTGCCATCTCCCACTGTCTGCCCTCTCGCTGCCACCACCACCACCCTCGTCGCCGTCGCCGTCGCCAGCATCGGCCATGATCTCCACATCGAGGCCCCCCTCCCTGCAAAGTGTAGCTACGGAGGATCCCCTCTCTGCCATCATGCGTCCCCCGCCGGCGGAGTCCTCCGAGAACCGCCTGGCGCGTCTCCAGCGCGAGGCCAACGCGAAGAAGATCAGCGACAGCATCGACGAGGCCATCAAGCAGGACAGGGAGCGGTTGAAGAAGCGCAAGGAGGATGTCAAGGTGAGTGCACATTCCCGTCTCGTGCCGTGGGCAGCGTGTGTCCACGTCTGCTCTACCCTCTGCTCGGCGGTAGCCGCCGCTCGACTGCGCTTTCCTGACCCCAAGTGCAGTGCGCTGCCATTGCCAGTTTGTCAAATTTCTGAAACGCTTCGTTCACATCATCTTCTGTGGACCCGAGCGACTCTGTGCTCATCCCCGGGTCGTTGTAGCTTCTCCTTCTCGGTCAGGCCGAGTCAGGCAAATCCACGCTCCAGAAGCAGTTCCAACTCATATACAACCCGGCATCTCTCGACGAAGAGCGACTCTCATGGCGAGTCGTAATCCAATATAACATCGTCCGGCCTGTGCTGCGCATCTCGAGGCGCTCGACTTGTATGCCGAGGGAGACTCGGATGATGACGTCGCGGAGAAGATGAACCTTGCCTACGGCACGCCGGAGATCCGCATCAGGAATGCCGACAAGAGCGAGAAACTGGGAAGAAACGCGGACGCGAGTGCGAGCCGGGAGACCCTGCAACCGTCCCGTCCCGTCCCGTCCATGGATCAGCAGCTAGCAACTCTCCGGCTTCGCCTGTCACCGCTTGTCCAACTCGAGTCGCAGCTCGCTGACCGCTTAGGCGGCGTATCGGTGTCTGGCTCCGGCAAAGGCAGCGTGATGGTGCGCTCGGGTTGGCAAGCACGAACCTTCGGTCTCACATTCGGCAAGGCAAGAGAACGGACTAGCAGCTCGAGGGGTCGCTTTAGCTTCACGGGCCAACGCAGCGCGCTCGAGAACGCCCCGATCGAGCGAAAGAGTATGGATGTGGACGGCTCGGAGTACCCGGTAGTGGAGAAGGACAAGCTCGTGGAAGAGGTTGCAATGGTTCTCAACTCATGTAAGGACGACGTCCGGGAACTGTGGCGACATCCCGCCGTGAAGCGGCTGCGAGAGAACCGGAAACTGCGGCTAGAAGAGTGGGCTGAATAGTGAGTGTTCCACGTCGTAGCACTTGGAATGCATTATTGATCCCAGGACAAGCTTTATGGATAACATCGCTCGCGTCTCCTCACCAGGATACATCCCCATAACCGGTGAGCAGGCACCTGGAATCCCGTCCTGGAAGACAGGGCTAATTCTCTCACAGATGACATCCTTCACGCGCGAATACAGACCATGGGAGTCGCAGAGCACATCTTTGACGTGCCGCTCCATGGCCGCAATGTCACTTGGCATTTATACGATGTTGGTGGTGCTAGGGACAGAGACACACATGGGTCCCGTACTTCGATGACGCCACCGCTATTATTTTCCTGGCGCCGGTCAGCGCATTCGATCAGGTGAATTTTTACGCATCAGTTTGTTGGGGACACCGCAACTGACAGATTGGCAGTACCTGAGCGAGGACCCCCGGACAAACCGTATAGACGACTCATTGCAGCTCTTCAAACAGATATGCTCAAATCCGCTGCTCAAACAAGCACATCTGGTTCTCTTTCTTAGTACGTCGTACACTAGTTCTCATTGCAGACGCCTAACCTGATTCTGTGATGCTCAGATAAGGCGGATGTCCTTGCTGAGAAGCTTGCCCGGGGGGTCAGAGTTAAGAAATAGTCTGTATCTCTACCTGTATCGGAGTGACTATGCCCTGACAGTCCGGTGACAGCATCACGTCCTACGGCGACCGGCCAAATGAGGTCGACGCGGTTGTATCATACTTCAAGGCACACTTCACACAAGTGCATACACGTAACAACGAGGGCAAGCGTGTGCTCTATACCCACCTAACAAGCGTCGTGGTATGTTGCGCGTTGTCCTTCTCTCAATGACGTCGACGCTGATGTGCGCCGCAGGACACGAAGGCGATGCAGAGCATCATCTCCAATGTGCGCGACTCGATATTCCGCGATTACCTCAAGTCCGCTGCGCTCGTGTAATCCCGGCTCCGCCCTCTCCCTGCATTCAACCCTGTATCCACCGCACAAACACACTGTGGCATACCCGCCAAGCCACTTATCCACGCTTCCCGCCTATCTTATCGCCTTCCCCTTCGCCGCCATGTTGTTTTCGTACTCTGATTCTTTTCCACTGTCCTGCTCCGTCATAACTGTTAGCGTCTCGTTGTAATTTTCTCTTCTCGGTGCCATACAAGCTCTCGGACTGCTCTCTTCGCTTTCTTAATACGTTTCCTTTCATCGGAGTCGTTATTGTTGTGTGTTGTAGACTGGACATCCGCAGGTGGTGTCGTATATCATACGTAGAGTCCAGCTGGAGGTGCGGTGCGCCGGTGTTGTAAAACCTTCATGATTGTTTTCGTAGCGACGTATGGTACTGTACAATGTTGGGTTCTGATACGTATTCATAAGTTATCGTGTCTTTTCTCCGTCTCATCCGTCTGCGCGAGCGCTACAACATAGCTTGAATACTAGTGCAGTCAAGTTCTGTTGCGTGGATTGTGCTTTATCCGCGCAAACGCTGGTACAAAGTAACTTACAAGGGTCTGCTTACGTTAGCGCTCTCGAATGACGTGGGCGCAGCGCGCTGCTTGGGTGGCTCTCGCGGGTACTACCGTACATGGGCAGTGACATTTTAACACACCATCCCTGTTCTCGACGTCCGCCCCCTCAGGCCCAAAACCATTAATTATCTGAAGCGAAGAAACGGCGATGGTCACTAGTATGTACTTGCGTCAGACACCTCAGTGCTCAGCGCTCAGCCTTCAAGTTCGGGTGAGCATATGCACTTACAGACGTGGACAAGTCATCCTTCAACGTTTCAACATTCAATGTTCAACCTACGTGCCTCACCTAGACTGGCAGGACAAATAAAACCGTTTGCCATCACGAATACCTCACTCGCACGACTCCCAAAAATTACTGTTGAAGAAGCCTCTGTTCTACGGCTATCCATATATAGATCGTTGTAAATGGGATTGGGCACAGGTTCAGACATATAAAAGACTCATACCGTGCGTCGTCCCTGTCTCTGAGATATTCCTGGCTGATACTACAACCTACAAAACCAGCGCAATACTATGCGATTGTATGCATACCTCCAAACCCGTGAAGTTCGTCGTTCGAGGTCGAGGTCACATATGTATTCAGGTCGTCTCGTCATATGCGTTGCTCGCGACCCGACCCTCTTGTGGCACGTTCATGCTTGCATTCGACGACCGAACAGAGCCAAATCACAGGAATTCACTACGGCGACTAGATATCAGGTCTATCACCTGGCGCCAACGCGGCGTTCTTGTGGTCCCGATTGTCTCCCTGCGCGGCGTACTCTCCTTTGTAGTAACTCATTTGAAACCTTCCAGATATATGCACGTGAAGTGTGCTTGACCTCAATTTTGGATTGTCTCTGTGTCTTGCTGCGCCTTGCATTGTCGCGCTTCCCGGACTCCTGGGAACCCGGGTCTTGGCCGCGAGGAGAAGGTCTGGCTGGAATACATAAGCTGCATGGCGGCCCCTCAGGCTGCCCGCTCTCCCTGTCGTCGCAGACACCATCCTATCACCAGTGGCACTCACCCGTCGATTTGCGGGTCGATCATAGATCTCGCGCTCGTCGAGAGAACCCTTGACGCTACGTCTTATGTCCCTGTTGGTGCCTTTGTCCTCCTCCTGGGCCATCAGCTTACTCATTGTCGGTGGCAAAATGTGGTCTGTGACTGCGCTCACCAGCAATCCTCAGGGTCGATGGCGCTTCAGTGTCCGGTGGGTGACGGTGTCCTTCGTTTCCGTTCGAGCGCTCACTGGCAGAACTACAGATGAGAGAGGGATCGGCCTCACGTTGAGCGCGTGGTCGAGGCGTACCAGGACAAGCAAAGTAGTACCCTGAGGCAGGGGAATGTATGGGTCGTAAGTTTCCTTTAGAGATTGGTGTGCACGCTATACCGTCGCACGCGTGCATCCCTCATTGAGTCGCTGTAATCAATGCCAATCATTCCTGTTGGAGACAGCCCCCGTTGTGGTGTGGCTGCAGAGTTGCTTCGAGTCGTCACTCCTCAGTCACGGATGCACAAACGAGCGAGTCCTCTGTTCCTCTGCACATGCGTGCGAGGTAAAATTGATTATCTGACAGTCGAGGAAAGATCGCGATGCTGATACAAACCCCAGATCCACAGGACAAAACGGAAGGAACTACACGACGGATACTACAACATACAATCCACAGTTATACACGACACAAGCAGGACAGTAGCCTACCATCAGCCGCGACGAGCGCGTTTGGATAATGGGAACAATGCCTCTCTTCTTCCAACACCCCGCAATACGTCTTGCGGGTCGTAGGGTCTCGCCCATGGATAGTCCGGCTCGGAGACGTCGTCTTCGAAGCCGTTGTAGCCGGAACGGGCTTGGGGACGTAGCCTCGCGGCTGGCTAGGACCTGCCGTCGGCTGAGCAATAGTACTGCGTCGAAGGTGAGCGGACTCCCGACCACTGTCGGAGCTCGCTTCCTCGTCATCGTCCTCGCCTTCGCCTCGTCGTCGCTTCCTAAATTGAGAGATCGAAGAACCATATTCCACGACGAAAGACGGACGGTGCGACTGGGGCGTAAAGCGTGCAGGCCGCAGCGAACCAGTCGGACCTGCCTCGGGAGTGTCAGCCCGCCGGGAGGGCCCTGCCTGGGGTTGAGCGCGCGTACCTCGCCCGGCCTCGTCAACCATCCTCGATGGATGAAAAGCCTTCGGGCGCCTTCCACTGTCAGGGGACTCGAAGGATTCGCCGTCGAGGTCGTCCGAATCGGGCTGCCTTCTCCGCGGTACAGCACCTCGAGTACGTCGAGGGGGGGTCACCGGCTCCGGGCTTTGCTCGACGGCAGGCAATGGATCCGAGACGGGAGGGGACGACGGTGGCAGGGGCGACGAGTTGAAGTCTCGCCGAGGCCTCCGTGGCCGGAACTTAAAGGCCGGCCGCAGGGGAGGCGCACTGGGGGGCTCGAAGTCTTCGCTGCAGAAGAATTCGGCGTCGTCGATGTCCACTGGTGGCCCCTGCGCCTGCGGTTCTTCCACCGAGGAAGGGACCGAGGAAGGGATCTCGTCCAAGTAGAACGCACTCTGGTCGTTCTCGTCCGGCAGCGGCTCCCCTGCAGCCTGCATCATCTGGGCAAGTGACGGCCTCCACTTCCCCTCCAGCCAGCCAGAAGACGGGTCCTTCAGTTCCACTATGAGGGCCTCGGTGACTAGGCGCTTCGCCTGCATCTCGATGACCCACTCTGCAACCAAGTCCGACTGCGCCTTGAGGAAGTCAATCATCTCGTTGAGCTGCTTCCTCTTCGCCTTCAAACCGCGCAGCTTTTGAACAGCGGCGCGGGCCTCGTCCCTGAGCCTGAGCGCGATAGCCTTCTCCATCCCCTCGGTCCGCATCGGAGGCTCCCCGTCGGCGGCAAAAGCGGCAACAACGGCAGCATCGTACACCGCCTTCACCTGCTTCTGCAACTTAGCGAGTCTGGCATCCTCCACGTCCTCCTCATCCTCCGACTCGACGTCGACAAGGCTGTCGACGAATTTGCTGTGGAGCGCGGCGTGTTCTCGCTCCTTGAGCTCGATGTCGCCGATTGGCTCAGGGGATCCGTCTTGTGCCGCGAACTCTAGGAAAGAGTGATGGATGGCTTTGAGCGGGCTTGGGGGCTCGTCCTCATCGGCGGCAGCGTTGCTAAGTTGGCCCGACGGACCGGCTTGTGCGGCGGGCGCGGGCGCAGACGTGGCCTGTGCGGCCGCCTCGATGTTCTCCTGGTTATCCTGGTCCTCAGACGAGGTCATCTCCGCAGGCGGGGGGACACGCTGAGGCCGAGGCGCGGAGGGGCGCGGCTGACGCACTGCGACCTCTTCGTCGCTGAGAGCCACAAAGGCTATACATAATGATAGGTGAGCGACGTTCAGTGATCTTCCGAGTCAATGACACAAACACTTACGCTCACGGCGCTCTCGGCGGACATGCTCCGGCGTCTCGGGCACCTTGAAGCGGACGTCGTGCGGTGAGAGGCGGGGCCTTGAAGGACCGGCGACTGGCTGCGGCTGGGGGACAGGGCTCCGCGGCACCACTGGTCGCCTGAGGATCGACAGCCCGGGCGCGCACGTCGGGAAGGGCGAAGGCTCAGGAGTCGGGGTCCGAGGCCTCGGGCAGATGAAGAATGGGTTTGAAGACCCTTCCTCGTGCTGCTGCGACCACGACGGCGCGCGGCGACGCGAAGGCCCTGCCTGAGCAGACAGTCTCGATGGGCCCGCTTCGGGTTGCGCGGGCGGGGGAGGAGGCCGCGTGAAGACGGGCGGCCGTGGTGGGAGTTTGATGTCGAGCGGTGTCGATTGGTGAGGGCGTGGGCGCGGATTGGCGGGGGCGGGTTGAAGGTGGAACAATGGGGAGATGCGGAGTGGCGAGAGCTTGCGCAAGAGTCCAGGTAAGAAGGTGCGACGAGTCGACCCCTCACCATCCGTCGCTGAGTCGGGCGGCCCGAGGTCGGGGCCGAGGTCGTGCACCGATGCTGTTCCGAGTGGCTGGGGTTTGATCCCGAACTTGTCCATGACCTCCAAGATGCCCCTAGTGCCGTATGAGATGCCGTCTGGCACTGTCTGGAAATGTGATGTTGGTGCTGCCGCGCTAGTGGGAACACCTATCGCGAGGTGTCCCCACTGGCGCTGCTGCGCCGGCGCCTCGTATTCAAAGAGTCTTGATGACCCTTGAACAAAACGAGGCGCGGGTTGGAGCCGAGCCGCTGGAGAGTCGCGTTCCGCGCGCGCTTTTTTGAGAGGCTCATCAGTGGCCACTACAACTAGAACCAGGTGAGCGTACCTCTCGAACTAGCGGCCGGGACATGGGTCGGGGCGACTGGAAGCGGTGCTTCCTCGGGACGTGGCGGCGATGGTGGCGGCGGTGTCGGGATGAGCTGCTGCCTGACAGCCTCTTCATCATCCTCGTCGGACACATCCTCGACGACGACCTTCGGCTTCTTTCTCAGCCTTGGCGGTCTATCTAAGAAAGGGTAAGTGACGCTCTGAAGATAATGGAGATGATGAGTTACATTGTGATATACTTCCACCGTATATCGCAGGTTGAAATGTGATCTCCTCTTCTACCTCCTCTTCTTTGGGCTCCGCGCCGGTGTCGAAACGTCTCGACCTTCTAACGGGCCCTTGCTCCTTTTTCAATCTAATGTGGCGTTGGATCGCCTGTCGGACAACACCAAGAACAACTCACGGTTCAACACCATCGGGATGCCTGGACACCAGCGCGTCGATGATATCCAACGTCTTACCGTTCGCGCGAACACCCTCTCGCTGAACGCCACGATGGTCAGTAGCTGGGTGAAGCGAAGGACGCGTAACTGAGACGCCGCACACGTACCTTCGCCAGTTGCTGGATTTCGGCGCGTTTCATTGCGCGAAGGGCCTTTTTGTTCAGAACTTTTTGTGTTCATTGTGATGGAGTTCGATGTAAAGTGTGCTAATGCTCGACTTAGACAGGGGATGGGGACCAAGTGGGTCGCAGGGGAGGGAGGAGCAAAGCGCAGGTGATGGGTAATGCACAAGAGTTGAACTTCGGACAAGAGGACATGTGCGATTTATAACATTTGGAGAACAAAGGCTGCGGCTAATTGCCCACGGTCCGAATTCGGTCAAGTCTGCTCAGCCACAGGCCTCCGGGCCTGGACTCCGAAACCTGGAGAATCCAAGCGATGTTCCGACGAATATGGAAACTGTTAACAAGAGCGGTGCCCGAGTCGACCTCTTGTGACTGAGCGATACAAGGCTATATCGACAACATGCGCAGCCTCTGTGCTTCCTCCAGCATATCATGGGCTGTCAAAGCGCTATATGTATCATGCCTCGTAACAGGATGTATGCTCGCTAGCGACGAAGTGAATTGATAGTATTATGTGCAGTAGAACAACACAGTGAGTGGGACGTTCGTGTGATAAAGCCGATTGGGAGTCAATGCAGGACATCTGATTGTTGACCACGAGTAGAACACCGTACCGCAAGGCGGTCTACGTACCCGAGTCTCGCGGGTCCCCAAGATGGTACAGACGGCGTGACGTCCGCTACTAAGTACTAAGACTTGCCACTCTTGTCCAGGGCCGCCTGCGCAGCTTGTGCGAGCGTGGTCTCGTTCTTCAAGCGCGGCCTGCAACCGCAGAGCTCAATGCACCTTGCCTCCTTTTATATCTTCATATCGGCTTTCTGCAACGCAAGAGCCTGACTGCGGACGATGTGAGCTCGTTCGCGGCGTGCATCACAACCCACAAACTGACCTCTGCGAAATCCGGATCAGCTGCAAAGCGTGCACGATTGAAGGACGACTATCGGCGTACCTCCGAGTCAACGTACAATAAGGCTTGCCATAACTATCCTCAAGATACTGCCAATGGATGCCTTTCTGCAAAGCTTCGTCCCAAAGCCACTGCAAAAACAAAACATCTCATTATCACGTTGAATGCGGCTCGAGGTACGTCATAACACACGGGTACACAGGTGACAACGAGAACGAAAGCCCATACACAACGACAAGCTCTGAGTACTGAGTACATGTGTACATGAGTGAAGCACGGAGAGCATAATCAGCAACTACACATCAATCCAGGTCATCGATCACCATCCTAGCCAACAGGTCCGCGAGATCCGCACGCTTGTGTGCCCTATGCCCCGGCTCGGGGGTGTTCGGAGGGGGAGGGGAGGCGGCGGTGGGGAAGGGCTGTGAGGCCGCCCCTGAGGAGAGCGTGCTTCCAGGTAATCTACGACATCGTAGAGACTGCGCTTGTGTCCCCTGTTCCCCGGCTCGGGAGTGTTCGGAGGAGGCGGAGGAGGAGGTGGAGGCGACGGAGGCGGAGTATAAGGGCGGGGGACTTGGTGAGGATCGCGTGCTTCCAGGTAGTCGACGACATCGTAGAGACTGCGCTTGTGTTTCCTGTTTCCCGGCTCAGGAGTGTTCGGAGGGGGAGAAGGAGGCGGCGGCGGAGAAGGGCTGTGAGGCCGAGGCCACTGAGGATCGCGTGCCTCCAAGTACTCAATCAGATCGTCGAGGACACGCTTGTGCTTCCTGTTCCCCGGCTCCGGAGTGTTCGGTGGTGGCGGAGGAGGAGGCGGTGGAGAAGGGCTGTGAGGCCGAGGCCGCAACTGGGAGAGCGCGCTTCTAGTTGCTCTTGCGATGCACGGGCATCGAGCGACTCGTCGTAGAATCCGCGAGTAACCCTGAGGATGGGTCAGCATTGTCAATGCAATTCTATCATGATGACGCACACGTACAGATCGACAGGAAGAGCAATGGCCGGAATCACAGCACCGGCAACGAGGGCCGCCGTCGCAACGATGGAATAACGCATGTTGGCTGATGTTTGAAGTCGTGAGGTGGCGTAGAGAGAATGAGAGTTGGTCGTGAACACGAAAAGCGCGACTGGTTGAAATGAGGAATTATCAACAACTGCATAGTAGCGTCGCAATGTAATGGCCACTTACCTGCCAGAGTCTGCGCTTGAGTTGAGCTCGAAGAGGAAGAGGGCTGAGGGAAGTTGACGATGAGAGCACTCCTTATATACATGCTAGACACGTACCTCGGCGACCAAATGGTATGGCGAAACCGTGTACATTACACGCAACTCTGCATGAGCCCATCGGTCCTCTACGGACTCTTTCCACACTGTTGCACCCTGATGTTGATTGTCCACGAGTGTCAGCCGACGCTGCGATTGCGGTTCTGCGACATACCATGCAGTTGTGTCCTGGCGTGTTGCTAATTAAGCGTCCTCATTCCACTGTTCCGTCAATGAACGCTTATAGCACGCCTTGGGACTGTATGGCTGCCCTTGACTTTGTGTATACTTGGTGATGGAATGACTTACAGTCGTGTGGTGAGAAGGCCTCGAAATTGCTATGCCAACAACGGTAGAACCACATAATAGTGCCAGAGTCAGATACTGCGCCATCACGGCGCATCCCACAGCGCTCCTGGTCAACTGGACGATCTCTACAGTCGGTGAGTATTCTGGCTGGCCGGCCGGATGTTTCAGCAAGTAAGTGCGATGTTATGCCGCGCGAGACTGAACTTATGACTCACCTGCGGTTCAATGTACAAGGCGGTCGAAGCTGCGCGGCAAAAGTTCCACTCGTCGCATCAGAAGGCCAGGCAGTCTCCTATTCAAACGTTTTGCGACACCCTTCCTCGGCGTGCGGTATAGCAGCCATATATCTATTTATACCGAGGGGTTCTGAAAGTCAGTGGATCTTGAACGCAGAGATTCATGCATGCAACACACCTGCAGCTGTCCGTGACCGTAAATCTAGGCCATGCCATTTGGCCAGCACAGGCTTGCAACCTGTCGAGCGCCCTTTTACTACGGAAGCACACGGGCAGCGCGGAACTGAGCAATACAATCATCACGTCGAGCCTCAGTTGCAGTTCCTGAACATATCAGCAAGTATTACTTACTTGTTTATGCATGCACCATCGAACTTGTACACTTGTACGTGGTCCATCATGATATGTGGTGCGCACCACACGGCACGAACAGTTCCGGGTTCCTCGGGGGTTTCTGCCAGTGCATGATCGCCGTAGCCGTAGTTGAGTATGGCGACACTGTACGTATCGTCAAAATGATTGGCGAAAAGGTCTCCCGTGTCAGTACACGTTCGTGCAGTATACAGCCACCTCCGTGTGAATAGGCGGTGGTGAGCTGAGCCTGAGTCTCGCGTTGGAACCACCGCATTAAAATACAGTGAACCCAGCTATATTTACAGCTTACCGAGCGGTTGTTACTGCGCTAGACCAACTGATCCAATAGCTGCCTAGGTAACCAGAGTTGTTAATACTAGCGGAGACAAATATACCGTAGACATGTTGCTTCAAGCTACTTGCTAGTTAAGTGAAGTGGTCTGCAGCCCTGGTCGACGTCTTTAGAAACTCGCATATCAGCCGGATTTGCATTGCAACACCACCGCTCTTCAACGCGAAGTCCGTGCCCTCTATCTGATGAGTCATGCCCGGCCCTTCTCTAAGTTAACAGCAAGACATCTTTCTCACCAGTTCATCTAGTTTCCAGCTCTGCAGCGACCACCTGTTTTTGTACCAATACTCCTATTGGCAAGTAGTATCAGAAACGAGAAACGGGTTGAAATTGGATGTGACGCCATGCTACTGACCAGCGTTAGAGACTGTCGGGATTAGGTCGGGATGTGGATGTGGCACACGCTCGATTTGGAAGGTGTTGTGGATGGCCTTCGGCGCTCCAAATTAGGCACTCTGCGCGGTCATGTGACCATGCACGCTTGCGGCTTCCTCAAGCCTAAGGGTTCTCATTGCTGGCGGATCGAGAACTTGATTCACTTGGTCTACCTCTATACTTGCTGCTCATGGGTTCCGCCCTCCCAGCCAGCCTTGCTTGAAGACAGCATGACACGTCATACAAGCACGATGCAGACCATGTTGCTCATCGGGTTTCCAACTCCCGTCAGGGTCACGACCATGTCAGCCTCATGCGGGGAGAACTGTAACCAGCCTACTGCAATTTCTCTAGCGAGACGAACCCTGGACCGCGGAGGCTGGCATCTAATGCAGGCCTGCCGTCAGCATCGGGATGCTGATAAATGGTGGGACACCCCAGGTATCGTCTCTTCGTCCGTTCCTCCTTCTCCACCATCTGCTCGCGCAGCAACACGCTCACTACCACGCTCACTACCTACTGCCAATCATGCGAAAGAAGACTACTATCGTATGGCCCTTCGGTAGAGGGCTGTCCTCCCTCGTCGCCGTGGCTCTGGTACACTCGCTCTTGTTGGATGGACCCCTGAAGGCCGTCTCGGACTCACTTGAGCGTACGTGCGGTCCAGCTATCTCCATTGGCTTTCTTCTGGCCTACGGAATGGTCGTATACTATGCGGTCTACATCAGCGTCATACCCCGTCTGTTGCGCTACGTTTATGGTGAGAGCGTTTTGGTTGGCAAATCAAACGGCATGTCGGAGGTATGTTCACTGCATCGATCCCAAACCCGTGCTCATTGATTCGGAAGATCCAGACACTTCGCATCACCTTTCTTGGGTATATGAACAAAGCAATCCAGGCGTACAAAGAGAGAAAGTCTCGCTCTCAGGTACTACCATGCATCGACTTCCCTGCGGTTACTGACGTCTGCAAAGCTCCTAGCCGACATTCTCGTCTTGCGCGATACGCTCACGGAGCACCGCCAATTCTCCAAGCGACAGAGGCGGAACCTGGCTCGTCTCAACTGCCGGCATACGAGCATCGTCTCTTCATACAAGCGCCTCAAGAGCGATCTCGAGGTCGAGCAGGTCAGATACGGACACGTCCTTTCGAGTCTGGAAGAGGCCAACGAGGAGAATCTCGCTTTGGAACTGCGCGTCTTCTCGCTCACGGACGACCTCGCCACCATGGAACGCCTCTTGCAGACTGAGAGACACGAACGCACGGAACTCGAGGGCCGCCTTGAGACTGAGAAGCTCGGTCGCGCAGGACTCAATGGTCTTCTCCAGGTCGAGAAGCGTAGTCGTCTGGCACAGGAGGATCTCCTCAACGCTGAGACGGACAAGTGCTCGGAACTGGAGGAACGGCTAAAGGCTGAGACGCGCGAACACTATGAGCTGGAGATACTCATCAAGAACGCATACAAAGAGGTTGCTCACTCCGCTGGTCTTCGTCTAAACAACGACACGATGTCCGTTTCCCAGAAGCTCACCAAGATGCTGCTGCAGTTCAACAGGCAGCAGCGCGAGGCGAAAGCACTTCAAGGGACACTCGACGCTGCGCACTCCGACGTCTGCGCGAGGGGCACCTTGGCTTCCCAGCTTGAAAAGGAGAAACGTGCACTGATCCGGGCAGCGGAGGACAAGGACGCTATGATCGTGGAGCTCAACATCGACAAGGAACGTCTTCTCGGCGCCAATGCTCGCGAAGCCGTGAAGGTTATCAAGCTTCTGAGCAGGGAGGACGACTTGATTAGCGACCGGGACTGTGCAAAGATGGAGGCTGCTAGGCTCCGCGAGGAGAACGACGAGTTGCGCCGCGCAGGGCTGGACAAGGATCAACAGATCGAGAACATGGGCCGGCAGATCACGGACCTGCATGGATACACGGACGTTCTCATGGACGTTCTCAGGGACGAGAAAATCGAGAACTTGGAGATGGACACGAAGATGGACGCGCTTCAATACAAGGTTCACAGCTTGCAGAACAACGTCGTCGACAAGAATGCGACCATCGCCACGCTCAACAGCCAGATCTCCACGCTTCAGACCTCGTACTCTGCTCTTCAGGTCTCCCACACTGCTCTTCAGGACTCGTGCGCTGCTCTTCAGGGCTCGTACACTGCTCTTCAGGACTCGTGCACTGCTCTTCAGGACTCGAACGCCTCTCTTCAGAACTCGAACACCTCTCTTCAGAACTCGATTGACGCTTTCTGGGGTTCCATCGACTTCGCAAACCTCGAATACTCGGTTAACAACAAGACAATTGCGACGCTTCAAGACCGGGTCCACGGTCTGCGGAACGACGTACTCGAGAAGGACGAGGCTATCATCACCCTCAAGAACCAGAACGTCACTCTCCAGAAGTCGATCGACGCCTTCCACGGTGCCTTTGATCTGGCGAACCTCAAGTACCTGGCGAAGATCAAGGTCATCGCCACCCTGGAGAACCAGATCCGCGGGCTGCAGGACGACGCAGTCGGGAAGGACGAGATCATCATCACGCTCAGGAACGAGAACACCACTCTGCAAAACTCGGTAGACGCCTTCTACGGATCGATCGATTTTGCTAACCTCGAGGGTCTGGTGAAGGACGAGATGATCGCCAAGCTCGAGGGCGAGAATCGGGCGAAGGACGAGCAGATTTCGGTGTTGGAGAACAAGGTCAAGGCTTTCCGAGGGAATGCGAGACTGGGTTCGCCGGTTGTCCGGCGGCCCTGAGGGGAAGGAGGATGGAGAGGGGGGAGAAGGAAGCGGAGGCGGAGGGGGGAGTGCGACGGGTGGCGATTGAGGCGCGTATGGGGACAAGGTGAGATGAGGTCAAGGGCAGGGGGGGCAGCGCAGAGAGGAGATCAATTGCAGGAGAAGAACCGGGACGGGAGCCCAAAGTGGCGGGCATGCGAACGCATGGGTTTAATGCCCTTCATGGTATGTAGTCGCTTTCTCACTCCGTGCATTCGCTATAGGGGAACTGATTTCTCTCACAGGAGGTGGATTCTGACATGTCGAGTCATCAGTCGAGTTTCGCGGGGCTCGTCAGGATCTCAGCGCTCGGGCGCTCACCGGCGAAGGGTATTGTAGCATCTCAAGCGGGGGAATGTGCGATGGGTCGACAGGTTTGCACTTTCGTCGCAGCATCCTAAAACATCAAAATCATTGACCATCCTTATTCTAGTCGGTGCACCGTGATCTGTTACTTACAACGGATCTTTGCAAGGACACAATCTCTAACTGGTCAGCGTGCCGTGGAAAAGACACGTAGTCCGACACGCAGACCCACACCAGACGGACCACATCCCCGACAGATCGTTGGTATCGGAACATATGATTCCTGTTGAACAACTTCACGGTTCGTGCTATTCCTCTGAGAATGCTCACCCGTTACTCATAGGCTGTTTTAGAGCGGACAATATTGTGCGGAGCTAGTCGAAGCAACACGAACTATGCGAAGACGAGACGAAGATGATGCGAGGAAACCTTGGACAATGTTCATTCGGTGTGTCCTTCTCTCATACGCAGCAGTGCCCTGTACTTAACGCCTTCACAGATGCGCGGGAGAAGCAAAGTCATATGAAAGGGCCAAACGATTCCTTTGTCTTGGGTTCGTGTCCCTGTATGTGCTGATCAAGTGTCATTGGCACGTTCTGCCGCCTGTCGCCAATCTTGTGCATTGCGTCTATGTAATACGGTTGGGTTCGATGCGTAACATGGATTATATCGAATCTTATGCTCTTCAAACCTTATATACGTGACCCGCTGCATAGAGCCGATATGCCGCTGAAGCTGAAGTGTGCACCCGAATGTGAACGAAACGCGTCCTGCAACGCGCCTCCTGCTGCACACGTGATCGCGACTGAAGCTGACGACTCCACGCGGCAGCAGGCTCAGTTTGTCGCTCAAGCTCGCATCCGAGCGAATGCAATCTAGTCAACTCCTTCCTCGAGCTCTGTAATCTGCTTTCTTTTCTTGACAAGAACTACCACTGCAACATAGATCTACTGTCATTTCAAGCCGCGGTGCAGGACTGAAGTCTTCAAGTTGCCGGACGCGCTCAATACTCTTCACGGATTGATGAGCAATGCGGGGCAGCACCTTCTCTCTGGTACGGCTCTATGCATGTGTCCGTTGCTTCAATCGAGGGGATGACACTAGCTCTAGGAGCCATTTCCGGCCTGGCCTCTACCATAACATTGCAGCCGCGTGAGTGTTGCTGAACATCTAGTAGGATGCCGTCCAGTGGTAACATTCTGAGTGCGTGCACTAGTTGACCTGCTGAAGACGCGCATGCAGCAGGGGGATGGGAGGGTGTCAACATCACGGTATGTTATTCACGTTTGACGTGGATCCTGAAGTCATCTTCTCTAGCCATACAGGTACAGTTGTCTCACTTGTACGCGACATCGTGCGTACAGACGGCGTACTTGGACTATGGCGAGGAACGGCGCCAACACTTTTGCGGTACGTCCCCGATCTCCTTAGACTCACCAGCCATGACTCAATGTTGGTCAGTAACGTCCCCGGTGTCGCGCTCTACTTCGCCGGCATGAACCAAATACGTACAACGCTTGCTACGACCGCCTACTTCGCCGCCGGGTCAGAGCGTACAAGTTCAGGCTCAGTCCTCCCAAAATTGAACAAGCAGGGAAACCTTCTCGCCGGAGCCTTTACTCGCGTGGCGGTCGGCGCGCTACTGAACCCGTTCACCGTGCTGAAAGCTCGGTACGAGGTGCGCTGCCGCATTCACTAATTCTAATATCTTGACATCCACCACACGCGATGCAGAGCAAACTTTACCAGTACAGCAGCATGACTAGCGCGATAGGCTCCTTGACACGCGCAGGGCCGTCTGAGCTCTTTCGTGGCGTAGTCGCTACCTCTCTCCGCGATGCTCCGTATGCGGGGCTTTTCGTCCTCTGTTACGAACAGCTGAAGCATGAATTATGTACGTATCCGAACCATGATGCATGTACAGCCGACCTGGAACTGACCTGTCTTCGTCAGCAATCCTTGCATCGCCTACCTCATCAGCGCAGTCCGGAATTGTGCACGGGTTGTCAGCTGCAACCTCAGGCGCCCTCGCGACGCTGGCTACTCATCCGCTGGACGTCGTGAAGGCGCGTTCTTTCTTATTACAGTTATGTTCTCTTACGGGTGATTCTTCTAGACAAAGATGCAAGTCCGCACCGATGCGAAATACCAAGGTTTCAATCGGAGCATTCTTACGATCCAACGGGTGCGTGAAACGCCTGCCACGCTTCGTTCTTCATCCTCATGCACGATGTTCCGGTATTTGATAGGAGCGCGGGCTACTCGGATTCTTCGATGGTGCTCTCCTCAGGCTCTCGCGCAAGCCATTAAATTCGGCGATTGCATGGGCGACATACGAAGCTGTCTTGATGTTCATGCGGAGTGCGTAAACCAGGGGAGTTGGGACTGTGCACGATGCGAGTATGATGGTAGTACGACACCGATGGATGAGTCGCACGTACATATCGTCGCAGCAATGTTTCTCATACTGTGGCCTCCCCATATTGGCTTCATACTCGTGGACAGAGAGATTGACGGTGAGTCCTCGGCTACTTGCATCTCGTTTGTTCGTCATTGCTGCGAGTTGCGTTCGAGTACTCAGCATACTTGAGCTTCAACAGGACTCTAGAGTCCGTGGCCGAGTGCTCATGAGTTGTCGCGATGGCGATGCCCTCCACAGCAATTCGAAGGATATGTTGTTCATTGTACGGTACATGCAGGCACCGGACTGTTCAATAGAGCGAGTAATAGGGGCTAAACACGTCCACGATACTACACCGACAGCCATGTCTGTTTCGACCACACTGGCGACCACACAACGTCCCGAGCACCATGTGAGGACGGACGGTAGCTGATAGTATTACGGCGTCCCGTAAGTACGACAGACACGCGCATCCCCGCCTCAATGACACGTTTGATGCGCGCCTTCAGAGGGTCGACAATAGACGGCACGTCCCAATAGTACGCGAACGTGAACGTGAATGCGACTGTTGCAGATGGATACCTCTCATGCAGGGACAAGAGGGCCTCCGTCATCTCCTTCCAGGTGACAAAACCCCAGTGGAGGCGGGAATTGAGGTCTTCAAATTGCAGCTTCACTTCCCGCAGGCTAACCGAGTTGATCTGCGAGATAAATGCGGGGATAGATGGTCAAATAGCTGGGCGATATCGGGAGAAGCGAAACGTCAGAGTGAGGACAGTCAGCGAATGATGCCGAGAGATGTCGTTTTTCCTCAACCATCCTATACACGATATCATCATAAGCTGAGTCAGAATATGCAAGGCAGACTGGGTCATACCGTCGCGGTCAAAGTTAACCTCAAATTTCTTGAGCGTCTCCTCAACTCTACGGAACATCTCAGTCAACGCCGGCGTACCCGAGTCATTCGAGGCTCTCATCCCATCGGAACACTTCCACCGCAGTGTTCTCGGCCGCAGGTCGAAAGGAGGCTTCAACAAGCCCTTCAATATTTTGTCAAGAACAGGTGGCGAGCTAGTCCAGCTGTCTACAACCAGCTCTTGAATGTGGATGCGGGCGGTCTTGCAACGAGTAATGGTCGCGTAAGGGCCGCCTGTTCTGGAACCACCGGTGATCCCGGAAAGTTACAGGAAAGCCATAGAGGGAAACGTAGAGATGAGCTGTAGGACCTCCGAGGGCGACCGAATGGTCATGCTCCGTAGAACCAACCTGCTCAAGCGGGGGAAAGGGAAGACGGAACGTATTGCGTGCACCAGGCTAACCTTGGAGTCATCCGGAATGAGAGATTCCGCGAGACTGCGCCAGTCAAAGCGTTCCATGATGAGGACCTCAACGTTGGGAAGATGGCGTAGGACCTGGCACACCAAGTCTAAGGGCATCCCTTTCTTCCTGTCCTCCTGACAGAGTTTCATAGTCGGCAGCTTCAGTTCGCGGATAAGGGCGCCTACGCCTCCACCGCTGTGTGCCTCTGAGGTCGATTCCAGAGTGCCAAAGAAGCGCAGACAGTTCCTCGTGTTACGCAACTTGACGGCCCTGAAGATATGCAGTCGCGTCGTCGGGACCCAAGCAGAGCAAGTGAGACAGCACGCTCTGAGGGTCGGAGGATCATCGTAGAGGTGATCGAGGATGTGTTCTTGGATCTCAATGCGCAGCTCCGGGCGGGGCATTATGCATTATGTCTCAGTGACTACAATATCTGCAAATGCCGATGAGCGTCGTGAGCTCCTGATGCCATACACTTATTCAATGATTGGCGACTTACTGCGTTATGCAGCACCTCCTCGGTGGCCTTCGAGCTTGATGCTTGACCGATATTGGTGCGCCAGCGACAGCTGTGATCTACCTACACATGGCTCGCGCGGTTAGTTGCTCCGGCCCACCAAATGTTCAGTCCAAGATGTCAAATTGACTGGAAACTTGAAGGTCCCTGCACGACAAGATTCTTGGACCAACACGAGTTCTTCGTGGGAGGACGGTGCTCGCAACGTCGACACGTTTGCCAACAAGCTCAAGACGCGTACGAGGTGCCGGTGATGACTGCCAGTGGCAGTGGCGGCTGCATCCGAGTCGATGGGCAGTCGGGAATTGCCGGCCACGAAGGACCCAAACGAGACGTACCCGAATTCTTACTACTACTGTCACCTCGTACTGTAGCTGTAATCGACCCGGGCCCTCAGCTTTCTGCAACGAGTCCGGCGAACAGAAAGCACGCAGATACTGGACATATAACGCTTGCCCTCGAAGACAACGGCAGGCTGCAGGCTTGTTATTAACTAGTAAGTGTGCAATTCTCGCCCATGATAGAACTTACCTGGTCAATCATCAGCATCGTTCGAGGACATCGAAAGTCTCGACATGCCAGCCCCAGAGCTGCCAATCGAAATTCAAGAACAAGTGCTGGACCACCTACACGACGACCCTTCCGCACTGAAGACGTGTAGCCAGACTTGCTCCGCTTGGCTCCCGACAGCGCGTCTGCACTTCTTCAGAACAGTCAAGTTAAAGAAAGTACGACACTGTCTGCGCTTTCTCGCCGTGCTCGAGTCGACCTCAGAAGCATCCGGCGGTGTGGGCGTAGGTGCCCTCGTACGGGAACTGCATTTGCCGACGATGGGTCTTCGGCAGAGGGGCAGACGGAAGGGGCAGCGCTACGACTTGCTATGCCAGATTCTGCGCCACATCCCCAACACCGATACTCTGGTTGTGCGTCAATTTGAGTGGCAGAACTTCCTGGATCTGGCCAGTCCGAAAGGCGCCGATACCGACGTTGATCTTCGCGGCGTCTTTACGTCCGTCTGTGCTTTCCCTCGGCTCAAGACGTTGGTCCTGCAGCGAACATCGGTCCGTACTGTCAGGGAGGTATTGCAACTCATCTCTGCATTTCCTTCCTTGACTACTCTGCGGATCTCTGAAATCAACGACCTGATCCTCGACGACGTCCACCGGGATACCACCCAGAGCACCGATATCCGCGTATGCATCCAGGAATTGCGCTTCGAACGCTGGTTAGGCAATCCCGTTCCATTGCAAGACGCAATGAATGCATTCTTAGAAGCCCCCTACGAGCTAGAGCTACGAAGGCTGCTGTGGATACCTAGGCTCCGGCAGGCAGACTTCGGTGGGCATGCGTTGAACGAGATATTTCACAGATCTGCACGGACTCTGGAGATGCTGGAACTCGAGGTTGACGAGGCTGCCCAACGTAAGAGCCCAAACTAGTCGCATGTCTCGTTGAACTGAACAGGTCACGCAGGCATAGATTGGCTGATGAGCCAGGGCTTGTCTCACCACCGGTCCCTCAAGATCCTTATCCTGTCATTCGACCTCATGTACAGTCCCCGCACGAACCGCGGGTCGATCATCCCTTTGTTCATCTCGAGCCTTGATTCGAGCAGCCTGCGAGAATTGAACCTACACTTCGATGCGTTTGACGAAAGTGACTCTCAGTATGCCGTTGACTGGGTGGAGTTGCCGAAGGCCTTGGTTTCGTTGCATCGGAGGTGCCCCGCCGTGACGCTGACATTGAGTTGGTGCATCCCCACTCATCGGCAAACCAAGTTACCAGACTTGGCTCCCATCTACCGGAAAAAGTTACAGGACGCCCTGCATGCAGGGATGCGCATCGCTGTCGTTTGCAAAGCGCTCGATTATGAATCTTACTCTCGCTCCGGCGGAGGCTGGTTTGAAGCCGTTGTGGACAATCGATGGTGGCCAGCTCGCCCAGCACTCACCTGGTTGTGAGCCTGGTGCCCGATGACACTCGTGCTCTGCCGCTCGCCACTTTCCCGTTTATGCTTCCCGTCCTCGGTATCTCTCCTTACCCGAATCATTTCTTCAATCCCTCGATAGGCTCAAGATCTCCTTCCTCAGCTCGCTCTGCGTCTCCTTCCGTGTCACCTCCACTAGCATCGTCGTGCTGATGAGACTCTCTTCACCCGACGGTCCTGCTAGTCCACACGCTCTCTGGCCGGCGTCATCGACAGTGTCCAATACGGCCATCCACGTCACGAGCTATGACATGAACTCCAATGACATGAACTCCTGGATGACTGGAGTGCCGTGCACCGGTCGTCGCTGTCTTGCACAAGGGATGTTCTCCCGGCCGCATACCCACCTCGTACCAGGATGCAACTCGCAGTCGTTTGCACGGTATTCGATACTTCCGAGCAGCGCTTCCGTTCTGACTTGGGCAATACCTCGTAGTCGGTTCGCCGAAGACATACCTGACCGTCAGTGCGACGTGCGACGACCATCATACAGGCCTCGTGTCCGCCTGCTCACCCCTCACCTCGGTACTGCGTCTCCATACCACCCCTCCACCTCTCCAAATCCTCCTCTTCGTCCTTCGGCAGCGTCAACACCGCCTTTGTCAGCTCGCTTTGCGTCTCCCGCATCCACTCCGCCAGCTCGCTCCCGCCGTCGGGGATGCCCTCGCTCGGGCGGTCCTGCCAGTGTGCGCGATCTTGCCGGCTGCGTCGACGGCGATCGTCATGACGGTGCCGACCGAGATCGTCTTCGGGACGAGTTTCGGCGTGAACTCCTGGAGGACATGGAGGGAAGTCGTGCGCGCGTCGGAGGCGGTGATCCGCGCGTACTCCGTGGTGCAGGCGCGGACGAGCTCGGAGAGGCCGTAGAACTGCGCTGCTATCGACATCCGCTCTTCGCCACGCTGGCGGCGGGCGGGCTGTGTGAGAGGGTGGCGGCGTGAGGAGAGGTGAATGTACGTACGGGTTTTTGTAGACGGCATTCTCAGCGAAGAAGTTCATGTTCTGAGAGGTCGAGTGTCAACGTACTAGAGGTGATCGAGGTTGTGTTCTTAGGTCCCGACGATCAACTCTGGGGAGGGCATGTTCGAAGTATTGCGCTCGTGAGTTCCTACTTACAAAGGTGAACGTATGCAGCACTCCTTCGATACTAGTGTTCTATATGACATCTCACTGCAAACATCAATGCTATCGCTCTAGCTTCTGGCAGCCCAATACCGTTACCCGCTAGTCCGTGGATGAAGGTCCCGCGCCACACGCCTCAGCCACCTCGCGTCTCGCGGCCGTCGCCTTCATGCAATGCCCAATACCTCGCTCGAAACCCATCGTATGGCCTCGGCGACCTCATTTTCGGAATCTACGCGTCAAACACTACTCAGGCATGTTGTCAGAAAGGCCAAATCGAGAGGCAGCTGCGCGCAAGACCCCACAAGAGTCTGGATGAGTCGGCGAACACCCGCACGCAGCGTAAACGGCGTGTGTGTGTCACATATCGCGTGTCGGGAGGCTGGAGGGTGCTATGAGTGGTTGATTGAGCCAGGGTTGAAGCTGTTTGTATAGTGAGTCTTCAATGCTAGTGTTGTTGTCCTTTCGTCCTTCTGTACTCGCGCGAGCAGTCCCGGGCATATGGGATAAGTACTGGTTCACCACATTATAAGTTACGTCGCACCGTGACACTATATTCAATCTTCATATATGTATCACTGTCGATATAATATTACTGCTCGTAGGAAGTCCAGCCGAGCCGATACAGTGGTCTTCAAGTTCATGACTGTTGGGTATAATCTCACACCTAACAATCAAATGGTATTCTACGCTGTATGCAATATTTCATGAGTGCATCAAGGGTCTACCATTGCATCAGTACCAAGGCCTGGAGCCAAGATTCACGACCATTGATAATTGCACACTGTACAGTATGTGCACCCGAGTGATGAACCCACTTGAACGGTCTTGACTCCTGAGCTCGAGTTCTCCGTGTCCGGGACATACTATATGTCGGAATGTTAGATCCGTATAGATAGAGTTGTACTCACAAAACTCACCTTAGACTCGAGGCCGATATGCGGTCCTCGTTGTATGCTTGCGCTGTCGCTTATCACCGGCTGAACATCGCCCGCCTTGGGCGATAGCCTCAAGACTACCGTGTGCGACGTGCGCCATCCGACACCGTCATATTTGATCAGTACCAATGTACATGTATAAGTAGACAGACAGAAATACGAACCTTAGAGTTTTTCCCCCGAGCTCTCCGGTCTGCGCCCCGACCCTCAAGCACCTGCGCGTCGAGTCGATACTCGCCGCTGTTCCATCGCGTCGTATACGCGATACTATAGTTCAGTCACCCTACCCTGGTCTCCTGGCCCACGATGTATATACTATGTATGGCACTCACGCGCCGTTTAGCTGCGTGCGGGTGTTCGCCGACTCGTCCAGACTCTTGTGGGGTCTTGCGCGCAGCTGCCTCTCGATTTGGCCTTTCTGACAACATGCCTGAGTAGTGTTTGACGCGTAGATTCCGAAAATGAGGTCGCCGAGGCCATACGATGAGTTTCGAGCGAGGTATTGGGCATTGCATGAAGGCGACGGCCGCGAGACGCGAGGTGGCTGAGGCGTGTGGCGCGGGATCTTCATCCACGGACTAGCGGGTAACGGTAGCCCAATGCTTATATACTTTGCTGGCCGGCCCGGTATGTCCACCACAACGCCGTGTTTTGGACTCTGCTACGCAGTCTAGATCAGCGCATTATCGCTGCATCGGCTGGACGGAAAAACTCAACGGCACGCTGGCACTGCCAGGTATGAAGATTGCATGCATAACCACTCGAACTTGGCATACCGGTACCGCACGGCGCTGTATGCCGCCGGTGCCGTCAACATTGGTCTAACGTAAGATCATTCCACTCGCTACTCTGATTTTCAGGTGACTGACTCGTTCGATAGGAGCAGAGTGCACTTGGAGCTCCTCTGGAGCAGGTTGCGTCTCACTTGTCAGTCTCGACCGCGAAGCATCTACCTCCTCCTCCAGTCCTCCTCTCTGCCTAACTTACATAGTTCAACGCAACGTCCAGACTCCAAAGTCCAGACTGCCATATAACCTGAAACTGAACGTTTGAACGCCCGCTGGTGCTAGACAAGCAGGACCGTACTACGAAAGAAGGTCCAGAACTGCAGCTTTGGGGCCGCCGAGGTCTGCAGTTCGTTCGCGGTGAGGCTGACAATTCGGCATAGACGGCGGATCCTAGATCTCCGAGTCGTTGAGCTCGAGGCTGACGGGACGTGAACACGGAGTCGAGCTGGCATCGTGTCAGCCTCTCCCGGGTCGTCAAACATATAACGGACCAGCGGGACTCTGTCTCCCACGTAACTTACCCTCATCGACTCGCCCACTACCAACCGCAGCGACGGCTAGTATTCAGCAAGTCAACATGACACTTCTACTCGAAGCGATAACCATGATCTGGCGCGACATTTCACGCCACCCTAAATCTTACTTCTGCGAGTTTCTTCTCATCTGCGTTCTCACTCGTATCTACGCAGTCAGCGTTGCGGTCGACCTCGGATTCCTGGATCTGCGTCGCCTCTTCATCGATCCACACTACCCCTTCCCAATCTGCAAAGTCTTCGCACCCGAATTCCACGGATATCGCGGCTTCCTATGGATGGTCAACCCTTGGCAAGTTCCTTGGCTCCTTGTGTTCTATGCTTGGAAGTACCAACGTCGAGACGATGACGTCGCTCTCCGGTTCGGTAGCCTGGCGAGGCGTGCTATTGGGCTAGTCTGCAAGTACTCCATCGCCGGGAGCATCATGGCCGTTGTCGCGCACACTTTACTCGTCCTCGGTGTAGTTGGGGATGTCCGGAGTAGAGCCAAGGTGCTGTTAGGACTAGTCTTCGGGACCTGGGTCCTTACTGTGGCCGTCATCTGGCCCCTTGTGACGAAGATGATGCTTTCCCGGGACGCTGAGGGACCTGGGAAGGTACGTCAGGCTCTCCTGTAGCGTTCCCCCTTTCACTAATCTGCGGTCCGAACAGTGGATGGTACTCGATGACGTTCATGCGGGCCTTGCGGCATTGCCAATGATATTGCTACACGAGACTCCTCCAGCCGATGACTGCCCAATCTGTTACGAGTCGCTGGTGGAGATTTTCGATGAAGCGCAAGGTGTTGTCAAACTCCCTCAATGTGGGCACGTATTCTGCAAGACGTGGTAAGCACTTAGACTCTTGTCTACTACGGTACTGTCAGTGTACTAACCATTCTGCTGGTAGCATTAAGGAATGGATCTGCAACTGGGTGAGCGTTGCGCTCTTGTGTTGGCCTAATAGCCACTGAAAGTTTTGGCACCAGCATGGATCTTGCCCTTTGTGCCGCTATGAGTTCCTTGACGACCTCATCGACATGTGCGAAGACGACGAGGCTGGGGAGTATCCGAGTCAATGGTCTGGTATCGTGACGGATTATTTGATGGCGCCGGCCAAGTTCATCTCGGCGTCGTTTGAGGTGCTCCACAACCAACTCGTTGCATTCTTCGGTCTAGTCGTAGCATTTTCCTACGGAGTCGTCGCCTTTTGCCTTGTGACGTTCCCCAACCGACTCATGGCACTCTTCCACCGACTCATAACCCTCTCCTACTGCCGACTCGAAGCCCTCTCTAACCGGGTCGTAGCCCTGTCCTGCCGACTCGCAACCCTGTCCTACCGACTTGTGGCGCTCTTTCATCGAATCACGATGCTCTTGGACAGGCTTGTTCCGCCATGGTATGAACCTGACTCAGTTCCTCAAGAGCGGCTGGGGCTCGCGGACGGGCAACATCTCGGCGGTGTCTTCTTCGACGGACGGCAGCCGTCTCACACCCCCTTAGATTCCTACGAGGACCGTCATAGGCGTATCGAGGACCTCTTAACGGCCATGGAACAACGCAACGCCACTCGTATGAATAGAATGGCTCAGCAAGACAGACACTTACAAAGCCTCGAGCTGCGTATGTTGTCTCTCGATCGCCGGTCCGATGTAATAACGGGCAGGGGAACGATGCACAATGGTGCGCATCACTCCGGTTTCTGAGACGCCGTGCCGACGTGTCCTTTGACTCCGTACAACTGGGTCTTGACGTCCGTCTTTGCTTTCCCTCGGCTCAAGACGTTGGTCCTGCAGCATTTTGCGGTCCGTACCGTCAGGGCGGTCTTGCAGCTCGTCTCTGCATTTCCCTCATTGGCTGCCTTGTGTATCTCTAGGATAGTGATCACTACTTCGAGCCCCAACGACAATCACCTGGATAGCACGCAAAGTACCGATATCCGCATATGTATCCAGGAACTGCGCTTAGGACGATGGATAGACGATCGCCTTTTATTGCAAGCTTCAATGGGGATGTTGCTAGCAGCACCCTACAAGCTACAGCTCCGAAAGCTGCAGTGGATGCCCAGCCTCTGGCCTACGGACTTTCAAGTTGGTGAGCCAGCGTTGCACGAGATGTTTGACAGATCTGGACGAACTCTGGAGACGCTAGAGCTTGAAGTTGATTGCGCTGCCCAACGTAAGAGGTCAGACAGAACATTGCATATCTCGTTGAGCTGAACAGGTCATGCAGGCATAGAATGGCTGATGGGTCAGGGCCTGTCTCATCACCGGTCCCTCAAGTTCCTTACCCTGTCATTTAATTCCTTGTATTGCAATTGGGCCCAAAGGGACTGGTCGATCGTCCCTTTGTTCATCTCGAGCCTTGATTCGAGCAGCCTGCGAGAATTGCACCTACACTTCGATGCACACCATGAAATCGACTCTGGGGATGCTTTTGACTGGCAGAGATTACCGAAGGCCTTGATCTCGTTGCATGGGAGGTGCCCTGCCGTAACGCTTCTTTTGAGCTGGTGTAGCCCCATTCGTATGCAAACCGAGTTTCAAGACCTGGTAGCCTTCTATGGGAAAACGTTGCGGGACGTCCTGCGTGCAGGGATGCGCATCGCTGTCGTCCGCATAAAGCTCGATGAGTCTTCCGATGGGAACGGGTATGAAGCCGCCGTGGATTATGGATGGTGGCCAGCTCGTACAGCACTCACCTGGTTGTGAGCCTCGTGCCCGACAATGCAGTACCCATGCTCTGCCGCTCGACAAGTTCCCGTTCATGCTTCCCGTCCTCGGTACCTCTCCCAATCCGAACCTTTCCTCCAATCCTTTGGTAGGCTCAAGGCCTCCCTCATCAGCTCGCACTACTTCTCCTTCTGCGTCCCCTCCGCTAGCATCGTCACGCCGACGGGAGTCTCTCACGGACGGTCCTGCTAGTGCGCGCGCTCTCTGGCCGGCGTTGTCGGTGGTGCCTGCCATGAAGGTGTTCACTACGGCCATTGGCGTCGCGAGAGGCATCAACTCTTGGGTGACTGGAGCGCCGTGCCACCGTCGTCGTTGTCTTGCACCGGGCCTGTTCTCCAGAGGTCGAGCTTGCCACAGGAATACCTCGAGATCGGGGTATCGTTCACGTTTGGTCGCAGGCCGCATACACTCGCCCGCCGAGTCGTACGATGTGATCCACGGTCGTTTGCGCGGGGCTCGATACGTCCGAACAGCGCTTCCGTTGCGACGCCGACTTGGACCATTATTCCGCTCCTCTTTCGGTACATCCCCGCTATGGGCCGCTTCGCGGTAACATACAGCAACCTGGAGTCGACGGAGAGGGCGGCGACGAGCAGGACAGTGGGGCGGACGGAAGACCGCGAACGACGCGCGGATAATATCATGGTAACGATTGGGACTATGGCACTCTACCAGACAGTTCGGTGGGAGGCTATGCTGCGCGACGACATGCGTGCGGAAGTTACCTACCCAGTCTCGGTCCTACTACCCTACTCTATACTCTTGTTCGTTTGTCGCGTAGCATCGCCCTCCATTACTCTCCATGACATACCCTCGGTCTAGCTCCGGCCCCGACAAGTGCATGCCCAGTCTGGACCTGATTGCACGACCTCGTACACACAGTTCTACTGCTAGTCTTGTAGACGTAGCGCTCGGCCCTCGCAAGCATTGGCAAAAGAAAGATCCGCGACAACGACGACGGAAGACTTCATCATCACTAAGGATTATACGCATGTAGTGTCTACATATGTAGGGCTCTGCCCTCAGCGACACTAAAGGGACTCGGATGTCACAAACAAAGCCGACTTTGTAGTCGGTCCGCCCAGGTATACCTGGCTGTCGGTGCGATGTGTGACGTCTATCATACAGGTCTCGTGTCCGCTTGCTCGCCCCTCACCTCGGTACCTCGTCTCCATACCACCTCCTCCACCTCTCCAAATCCTCCTCCTCGTCCTTCGGAAGGGTCAACACCGCCTTCGTCAGCTCGCTCTGCGTCTCCCGCATCCACTCCGCGAGCCCGCTCCCGCCGGCGGGGATGCCCTCGCTTGGGCGGTCCTGCCAGTGCGCGATCTTGCCGGCGGCGTCGACGGTGATCGTCATGACGGTGTCGAACGCGATCGTCTTCGGGACGAGCTTCGGCGTGAACGCCTGGCGGACGTGGAACGAGGTCGTGCGCGCGTCGGAGGCGGTGATCCGCGCGGACTCCGTGGTGGAGGCGCGCACGAGCTCGGGGAGGCCGTAGAACTGCGCTGCTATCGAGATCCGGCCGACGCTCTTGGCGACGCTGGCGGCGGGCGACGTGAGAGGGGCGGAGGGAGGAGGGGGGAGGACGTACGGGTCTTCGTAGACGGCGTCCTCGGCGAAGAAGGACATCTTGTGGAGGCTGGGCTTGCCCTGGAAGAGGTCGAGCACGACGCCGACGAGGGTGCGCCGGTGCTCGTCGATGGCGACGCCTGGCGCGACTGCGACGGACGCGTTGATGATGATGTGGTTAGGCGGGGTCGACCCGGACATGGTGGGTACTGCTGGTGGAAATGTTGGTGTGGCTGTTGTGAGGTCTGGGGGAGCGTATGAGCGGGTCGACGTCGCTGGCCATTGCCTTATAGGCTGGCTGTCGCGGGCAGCGGCCAGCGCACGTCGCTGACGTCGACGTTCGAGCGCTGTCACTGCAATCTCTTTCGGAAAGTGCGTCAGACGCATCATGGCACGGTACTGACAGTCGAATCCTCAGAAGACGCAGGACGTCATACGGGAAGCGTAGAGGCGTCGTGTGCGCATACTGGACTTGGGTTGAGGATGTCGAGACTTCGGGTGCTGCTACGTATAGCGATGTCTGCTGAGCAGGCTGCTAGCGCTGTAGCGTCCAGCTGCCCAGGTGTTTTCTGCATTGACACAGCTTCGTGTAACCGCGACGGACAGGTGGACTCACCTCCAGCCGCGTTGCACCATAAGTTCTGAAACCAGTTCGTCGTTGCGATACATCTCTCGATTTCAGTTGCGCGTTCTCCGCTTGCCCACCTGGGGCCCAGCATGATGCATCGACGAGGATCAGCCTGTGTACGCACAAGCAGTGCACCGCAAGATTTCGATGGCTGAGTTGGATGGCAACATTGCTAGCGGTCGCACTGTGGTCGGTTTGCGAACAAAACAGATATAGCATTGCGGGATGCGGGTGAGAGGCCGTGTCGGCGAGGAGGGCGTACCGGACAGGGAGGCACGCAGAGGCTGTCGTACGTCATGCGCGCAGAAACGGGGGGACTCCACACGCCCCATCCGCACCCGAGCACGCGACGCGACGCGCTCACGCAGGGGACAGCGCAGGCGGACGGCTTGTCGACGAGCACCAGGTCTGTTCGCTACACTCGTGCACATGGCCGTGTCATCGAGAGACGAGTGCGCGGGAGGACGGCGACGCCGAGGAAAGGCCGGACGCAACGGCGCGGGAGCAGGCTATCGGCCCAGATCTGGTGTCCCGATACGGCCACAAGCATACAGGTCGCATCACCGCGAAGCGAACCCTTCCGGGATCCGTTGCGAAGGCCCAAGCCGCCTCTCTCTCTTCCTCCCTCCCTCCGCACGCCCCCCCGCTGCGCTCGTCGTCGGCCAGCCCCCTTTGACGACGGCACACGCCCGGATCGCCCTCCAGCTGGACAGCGCATCCGTCGACACTCCTTTCCCTCACGCTCTCTCAAAAAATCACCTTCCCTCTCTGAATATTCGCCTGCGCAGCCGGTTGTACTGCAGCAAGGGCCAGACACGACTCTTCCGCAAGACGAGCTCATTCCACAGCCCCCGATCAGCCGCCTACCTCACCTCTGGCTCGCACCCGCACCCGCACGCTCTCTCGCTCCACCCACCATGCCGGCTTGCGACATCCTCACCCGTCGCAGCGACGGCGACAGCAGCCTCGGCTCGGACGTCGTCCCCATCATCGGCATCGCCATAGCCGCGGCCATAGCTGGCATCGCAGCCATCGCCGTCGGTGTCTACTTCTGGCGGAAACGCCGCGCCGCGAAGCGGGAACGCGACGCATGGCAGAGCCGCATCTCTGTCTTCCCTACGGTCCGCATCGAGACTACGCCGTCGAGAGCGGCAGACGGAAGGTGAGCGCCCCTCCATACATGTCTTTCTGTGCGTCGGCTTTCGCAAGGGGTACTGTTTTCTGGCCCGCTCGCTCCTCGACCGCACGCCCGACGTCGCCTCGCAGTTCGCCGCACGGCGCGGGCGCGTCGTGCTTCGCGAGTTCCGAGTTCCGGAGCGCGCTGTGGCCGATCAGTCTCCTCGCGCGCTCCGTTCCCCGTTCCTCTCCCTCCAAGCAGCACGCTCGAGAGCACTACATGCCCGCCGGGGCAGCACTCTCGAGTCCGCTTCCTCGCAGCCTGTCCCACTCAGTGTAGCGCCTGGCCCACCGTATCAGACGCGCGAGCGCTCTGACGAGCAGAAAGCTGTTCGTTGCTCGACATGATAATCACGACTACTGACACGCTGCGACGTTGGTTGGCTGTTGTGCCTGAGCGGTTGACCAGAGGCGCGCTGCTTGCACGCAGCGCACTTCTGCATAGCGCATACGGTCTCATGCGCCCCCCACGACTGCGTGTGCGTGCTAGCGTGCTACAGGCGCTTATTCTTCGATCTGGCTTGCTGTGGTACGAAATCATGCGTAGGATGATTGGACGCGCCGCGACTTGGTGATGACACATAGTGCTCTTGATGTGGCCCACTTACGCAGACTTTTCTGTCGAGTCATTTTGAGTGCGCCCCTTGATCCGGTCGAGGGCAGTCAACATCATGGCTCGGGAAATGCTGCAATCCAGTTCCTCTCGCACTCGTAAAAAGCCCGGCCCTTCACTAACTCGTCTTTCCCCAGCGTTGCACAGATGACCCAAGCCAAGGGGAACGGCTTCTCGCGCGCGCAGCTCACGAAGAGCGTGATCATGCCCGAAAGGGCCGTGCTGAAGAACAACGCGTCCAAGGAGGAGATAGTGGACTACTACGCCGCGGAGGGCAAGCTCCCGCGCCCGTTCGCGCCGTTCACGCGGGACGGGTCGCTGAGCAGCGGGCCGCCGTCGCCGAAGGAGTCGAGCCGGAGCTCGCGCAGCTCGATGCTGCGGCCGACGTCGACGGCGTCGTTCCTGAGCGTCGCGTCGGCGTACTCGAGCCGGTCGAGCGCGAAGCGGCAGAGCACGGCGTCGGCGATGTCGTCGTTCGACGAGGGCAACAAGCGCAAGGTCCGCCAGCTGTTCCACCCGACGCTCCCCGACGAGCTCGTGCTGAACCTCGGCGAGCGCGTGACGATCGTGAACACGTTCGACGACGGGTGGTGCATCGTGGGGCGGGACAGCGTGTTCGCGCCGGGCGACGTCGACCTCGGCGCGGTGCCCGCGTGGGTGTTCGTCAAGCCGATTAAGGGCTTGCGGGCGGAGCGGCCGATACGCACGACGAGCTTGGGCGTCACCGTGACGCTCGACATGCCCGGCGCGGCGAGGCAGGACGTCGTCTCGTGGTCCAACTTCTCTTGAGCGGCCCGTTCGTCTCGACTCGATCCCAGTACAGCCGTCGTGAATTGTTGTTGCCGCATCAGAAACATTGTAATCAAACCCCACCAAGACCACTTATTACTTATGACCGGTTCGCCGAGTCGAACCGTCCCCGACCGCTCCTGATCACCCGATACCCATCCCCGTCTCCCGCCACCCCATTTCGCATCACCTCGCTGGCCACTGGCAGTGTTCCGACGCCGACGCACGCCCCTCCTCCCGCCCTCCGCACCCCCATCCACGGACCCCGTCTCCGTCACCCCTCTCCACCCGATTACCCGTTCGCGTTCACCGTATCTATCGCGGGCCACGCATTGCATGCGCCGCCTGCGTCCCGCTTCCCCCGATTCATGTGCGCGCGACGGGGCGCGAGGCGCCCCGCCCCGTGTGCACTTCCAGCTTGGACGGGTGCACGTTTCGTTGCAGGTCCATCGGCCCGCACGCCGTCCGCCCCATCTCCACCCCCGTTCCCGTTCACGACGTCCCTTCAGCGGGACGCGATCCCGGTCCCACAGCCGCAGCGCTCGCTCGCTGCCGCTAGTATCAGTACAAGGTCCCCGCATCCGTCTTCTAGCCTGTCCCCAACTAGTATCGACGCGTCTGTCCTGTAATCGCCTCCTCGTCTCGTTCTCGCCGCGCACTGTCCAGTCTGCCAGCCTGTTATAGTCGTCTGAGTAGATAGATGTATATTGTATCTCTTTCTCTCTTTCTTCTGCGAGCTCGTAAGTTCTCCGTGTGTGTGTTAAGCTGAGCTGTGGACGGCATGCGGAGTGGTGCTATCAGCTGGACGGTGGGTTCGTGTCAAGCGCGGGTACTGTCTCCGATTCCTGTTCTACGGAACGATTATGGCTTGAATTTGAGGAGGCTTAGCGTGACTGGCAGAGACGTCCTACGTTCACTTGATCCATTTTGGAGCAATGGGAAAACGGGATATGAACGTTTGAGCATTGAATGTACATTCGTGAGTCCATGCATATAGTGTACCGAGTAGCTGAGGAACGGTACGACTGCAATTATTGGCAAGCAATTCTCCCAGCTCTTCCGTTCCCCAAAACTATGTGCGTCCGCGGTCGCGACCGTCGGCGCCCACAGGACCTCCGTGGACGTCATCCAGATCCCGGGGTTCACGGCGTAGCTCGAGTCTAGAGACTGTCGGTCGTGTTGGACACCATTATAACGGACGCCGACGACGCCGATCGCGAGTGCGTGTGCACTCGCAGAACCGTGTGGGTGAGGAAGGGGTTTCCATCGGCGTGACGAGGCTGGCAGGGCGGACGAAGGAGAAGCAGGGTCAAGCGGCAGAGAATGAGTTCTGTCAGGCACCTCACAACCAGGCGATTCCTGGGCGAGCTGGCCACCATCGATTGTCCCAAACCGCTTCAGACCAACCTCCGTGTAAACGAGGATGAGGCTTGAGCTCTGTGCACACGATAGCGATTCGCATCCCTGCATGCAAGGCATCCTGTAACCTTTTCCGGTAGACGGCGACCAGGTTTGGCAGCGTCTTTTGTCGATGAGCGGGGACACACCAACTCAGTGTAAGCGTCACGGCGGGGCACCTCCGATGCAACGAGATCAAGGCCTTGGGCAACTCTTGCCAAGTAAAACCATCCCGATCGTCGTCCCCGTCAAGGTCATCGAGGTGCAACCTCAATGCCCGCAGGCTGCTCGAATCAAGGCTCGAGATGAAAAAGGGATGATCGACCCGCGGTTCGTGCAGAGACTATACATGGGGTCAAATGAGAGGATGAGGCTATTGAGAGACCGGTAGTGAGACAGGCCCTGGTCCATCAGCCATTTTATGCCTGCGCGACCTATTCAGTCCAACGAGACACGCGACTAGTCTGGATTCTTACGTTGGCCAGCCCTGTCAACTTCGAGCTCTAGCGTCTCCAGAGTTCTTGCAGATTTGTGAAATATCTCCTTCAACGCATGCCCACCAAATTCCACATGCCGCAGGCTCAGGGAAGGCATCCACTGCAGCTTTCGGAGCTGCAGCTCGTAGGGTGCTGCTAGCAGTGCCCCCAACATGTCTTGCAATGAAACGAGACTGCCTTGCCAGCGTCCCAAGCGCAGTTCCTGAATACATATGCGGATGTCCGTACTTTCCCTGGTATTCAGTTGAACGTCGTTGGGGATCGAGGTGGTGATATCAGAGATCCACAAAGTAGCCAAGGAAGGAAATGCAGAGATGAGCTGCAAAACCTCCCTGGCAGTACAACCGGACGTTCGCTGCAGTACCAACGCCTTGAGCTGAGGGAAAGCAAAGACGGACGTAAAGACGCCGCGAAGATCGGTATCGGTGCCCTTCGGGTTGGCTAGTGCTAAAAAGTCCTGCCAGCCAAAGCGACGTACAACCAAGGTGTCGGTGTTGGGGACGCGACGCAAAATCTGGCATAGCAAGTCGTAGCGCTGCCCCTTCTGTCTGCCGTACGCGCCCGCCGATAGCCCATCATCGGCAAGTGCAATTCCCGGACGAGCGTGCCTACGCTTGTAGCGCCGGATGCGTCTGAGGTCGACTCGAGCACGGCGAGGAAGCGCAGACAGTGTCGTACTTTCTTTAATTTGACTGTCCTGAAGAAGTGCAGACGCGCTGTGGGAGCCAAGCGGAGCAAGTCTGGCTACACGTCTTCAGTGCGGAAGGGTCGTCGTGCAGGTGGTCCAGCACTTGTTCTTGGATTTCGATTGGCAGTTCCGGGGTTGGCATGTCGCGACTTTCGATGTCCTCGAACGATGCTGATGCTTGAACAGGTAAGTTCTACCAAGGGTGAGAATTGCATACTTACTAGTTGATAACAAGCCTGCAGCCTGACGTCGTCTTCGAAGCAAGTGTCGGATGTCCAGTATGTGCGTGCTTTCTGTTCGCCGGACTCGGTGTAGAATGCTGAAGGCCCGGGTCGATTACAGCCTTTACAGTACGAGTGACGGTAGTGGTAAGAATTCGGATACGTCTCGTTTGGGTCCATCGTGGCCGGCAATTCCCGACTGCCCATCCATGCAGCCGCTACTGCCACTGGCAGTCCATCACCTCGTACGCGTCTTGAACTTGTTGGTAAATGCGTTGAGGAGGCGAGCACTGTCCACCCACGAGAAACACGTGTTGGCTTATACCTCTGGCGTACAGAAACCTTTCCTGTCAGTATGACATCTTGACCTGAGCATTTGGTGGGCCGGAGCATCTAACCGCGCGGTATGTAGGCTGTCGCTGCCAACTGGCGCACCAAATATCGGTCAAGCATCAAGGTCAAAGGCCACCGAGGAGGTGCTGCATAACGCAGTAAGTCGCCAATCATTGAATAAGTGTATGGCATCAGGAGCTCACGCCGCTCATCGGCATGTCATTTGTAGATATTGTAGTCACTGAGACATGCCTCGCCCGGAGCTGCCCATTGAGATCCAAGAACACATCCTCGATCACCTCTACGATGATCCTCCGACCCTCAGAGCATGCTGTCTCACTTGCTCTACTTGGGTCCCGACGACGCGACTGCATATCTTCAGGGTCGTCAAGTTGCGTAACACGAGGGACTGTTTGCGCTTTCTTAGCACTCTGGAATCGACCTCAGAGGCACACGGCGGTGGAGGCGTAGGCGCCCTTATTCGCGAACTGAAGCTGCCGACTATGCAACTCTGTCAGGAGGACAGGAAGAAAGGAATGCGCTTAGACTTGGTGTGCCAGATCCTGCGCCGTCTCCCCAACGTTGAGGTCCTCGTCATGGAACGCTTTGACTGGCGCAGTCTCGCGGAATCTCTCATTCCGGATGACTCCGGGGTTAGCCTGGTGCACGCAATACGTTCCGTCTTCCCCTTCCCCCGCTTGAGCAGATTGCTTCTGCGGAGCATAATCATCCGGTCGCCCTCGGAGGTCCTACAGTTCATCTCTGCATTTCCCTCTTTGGCTTTCTTGGAACTTTCCGGGATTACCGCTGGTCTGGGAATAGGCGACCCCTTCGCGACCATCCCTCATTGCAAGAGCGTCCGCATCCGCATCCAAGAGGTGGTTGTGGACAGGTGGACTAGCTCGTCAGCTACTCTTGACCAAATATTGAAAGGTTTGTTGAAACCTCCTTTCGACCCGCGGCCTAGAAGACTGCAGTGGAAGTGTTCCGATGGGATGGGATACTCGAGTGACTCAAATGAGTCGGCGTTGACTAAGCTGTTCCGTAGAGCTGAGGAGACGCTCGAGGAATTTGAGGTTAACTTTGAACGCGACGGTATGACCCAGTCTGCCTTGCATATTCTAACTCAACTTATGATGCTGTCGTTGTATAGGATGGTTGAGGAAGAACGAAATCTCTCGACACCGTTCGCTGACTGTCCTCACTCTGACGTTTCGCTTCTCCCTATATCACCCAAATTTCTGGCCATCTATCCCCGCATTTATCTCGCAGATCAATTCGAGTGGCCTTCGGGAAGTGAAGCTGCAATTTGAAGACCTCTATTCCCGCTTCCATTGGAAGTTTGTCATCTGGAAAGAAATGACGGATGCCCTCTTGTCCTTGCACGAGAGGTATCCATTTGCAACCGTCACATTCACATTCAGCTTCCATGCTGCGTACCGGGACATGCCGTCTGTAGTCGGCCCCCTCAAGGCACTCATCGAGCGTGTCATCGAGGCGCAGATGCGCGTGTCTGTCGTACATACGAGACTCGGTAAATCCTTCGTTTGCGGTCCGTACTCACATGGCGCTCAGGATGTTGTATGGTCGCCAGTGTGGTCGGAACGTACATGGCTGTAAATGTAGTATCATGGACGTGTTCAGCCCCTATATATTACTCGCTGTATTGAACGGTCCGGTGCCCGCATGTACCGTACAATGAACAACATGTCCTTCGAGTTGCTGTGGAGGGGGTCAACATTGTAACAACTCAAATGAACACTCTGCCAACGACTCCAGAGTCGTTCAAGCTCAAGTATGCTGATTACTCGTCAGACCACTCGGCCGCGATAACAACGCATCTGCGCACTCTCACCATCGTCCAATTGCAGCACACGGGGGATTGTCTGCGTTTCCTCAATGTCGGAGGCTCGTGGCGATGTCGGCCCATCGGCATGCGTCAGATTGTTGTTAGGACGTCGCCCAGGATGATGCTGTCAGACGGCACACACGAAGGACTTTATTACGATATGTTATGCCCTGTCCTCCGACGTCTGCCTAACGCCGAGAGCCAGAAGACTCCCACCTTTATTTGAGTGATTCATGTTTCCTCGCTCAGAGTGTCCTTCACTGGTAAGACCTTGGCTGCTGCACTGACTGAGAACGCAACTCGCAGCGATGACGAACAAACGAGGTGCAAGTACCCGAGGGCTCACCGTCAATCTCTGTCCAAGATCATGAAGCCGATAAGAGTGGTCATAATACGATGAACATTTCTTCGACGATGTGTACGTGTGACACATACATCGGTGTCATGCTATCATCACACTCGTATCACGCAGAGTACCAACTCCCCTGTGTTTACGCAGTCCGCGTGGACATCAAGACAGGCTCGTATGACGCCCACGCAATCGCCGAATTTAGTGGCTTGCGCGAGAGCCTGAGGAGAGCTCCCTACGAAGACCCGTGCGTTGTCCCAGCTCTCCTCACACCGCCCCCTCTCACGTAGCCCGCCTGCCGACCAGCGTGGCAAAGAGCGTCAGCCGGATGTCGATCGCCGCGCAGTTCTACGGCCTCCCCGAGCTCGTCCGCGCCTCCACCACGGAGTCCGCGCAGGTCACCGCCTCCGACGCGCGCACGAGCCTCCTCCTTCCACGTCCTCCAGGAGTTCACACCGAAGCTCGTCCCGAAGACGTGCTCATTCGACACCGTCATGACGATCACCTTCGACGACGCCGGCAAGATCGCGCACTGGCAGGACTGCCCGAGCGAGGGCATTCCCGACGGCGGGAGCAGGCTCGCGGAGTGGATGCGGGAGAAGCAGAGCGAGCTGACGAAGGCGGTGTTGTCGCTGCCGAAGGACGAGGAGGAGGATTTGGAGAGGTGGAGGAACTGGTATGGAGACGCGGCACCGAGGTGAGGCGCGAGTAGGCGAACACGAGTACTTTGAGCGGACCGACTACGAATGATTGTCGAAGTCCGTGTCAGAAAGGGAGCGCTGTTCGGAAGTATCGAATGCCGTGCAAACGACTGCGGATCGCATCCTCGTAACTTACGAGGCGGGCTAGCGTATGCGGCCTGTGATCACACATGTGCATGAACGACGCCTCGATGTTGTGGTCGTTTGCCATTGGCCCGGAGACGACCTTTGTGCAAGACAGCGACGACGTTTGCACGGCACCCCAGTCATCCAAGAGTTCATGCCATAGCTCGCGGCGCGGATGGCCGTAGTGGACACCGTCATGATGGCACGTCGACGACGCCGGCTCAGAGAGCGTAGCAGGGCCGCCCGGGCGGCGAAGAGATTCCTGTCGGCGTGACGATGATAGCGGAGGGGACGCGGGAGAAGCAGTGCGAGCTGACGAAGGTCTTGAGCCTACCGAAGGATAAGGAAAAGATTCGGATTAGGAGGTAGCGAGGACGGGAAGCATAAAGGCCTCCGCGCTAGCGCCGCGTGGAGGGTCTTGAGCGAGACTAGCATAAAGGGGAAAGTGACGAGCGGCAGGGCATGAGTTTCATCGGGCACCAGGCTCACAACCAGGCGATTCCTGGGCGAACTGGCCACCATCGATTATCCATAGCGGCCTCAAACCAGCCTGAGCCAGTGCGAGAGTACGTTTCATCGAGCTCTGTGCGGACGACAGCTATGCGCAGCCCTGCATGCAGGGCATCCTGTAGCGTTTTCCCATAGACGGCGGCCAGGTCTGGCAACTTGGTTTGCCGATGAATGGGGACGCACCAACTCAGTGTAAGCGCTACGGCGGGGCACCTCTGATGCAACGAAATCAAGGCCTTCGACAGCTCCACCCAGTCAAAAGCGGTCTGAGAGTCGCGTTCATGCCAGACATCGAAGTGTAACTTCAATTCCCGCAGGCTGCTCGAATCAAGGCTCGAGATGAATAGAGGGATGATCGACTGGTCCCTTTGATTACTATGCAAGAGATCAAATGCCAGGGTAAGGATCTTGAGGGACCGGTGATGAGACAGGCCCTGGCCCATCAGCCATTCTATGCCTGCATGACCTGCTCAGCTCAACGAGATATGCAATGTTCTGTCTGACCTCTTACGTTGTGCAGCGCGATCAACTTCAAGCTCTAGCGTCTCCAGAGTTCGTCCAGATCTGTCAAAGATCTCGTGCAACGCTGGCTCACCAACTTGAAAGTCCGCAGGCCAGAGGTTGGGTATCCACTGCAACTTTCGGAGCTGTAGCTCGTAGGGTGCCGCTAGCAACATCCCCATTAACGCTTGCAATGAAAGGTGATCGTCTACCCATTGTCCCAAGCGCAGTTCTTGGATACGTCTGCAGATATCGGTACTTTGGGTGGTATCCAGGCGAACGTCGTGTGGGCTCGAGATGTAGATATCAGAGATCCACAAAATAGCCAAGGAGGGAAATGCAGAGACAAGCTGCAAGACCGCCCTGACGGTACGGACCGCAAACTGCTGCAGGACCAACGTCTTGAGGCGAGGGAACGCAAAGACGGACGTCAAGACGCCGCGAAGATCGGCGTCGGTGTTGGTGCCCTTCGGACTGGCCAGATCCAGGAAGCTCTGCAACTCAAAGTGACCGATAACCAGAGTGTCAATGTTGGGGACACGGCGCAGAATCTGGCATAGCAAGTCGCAACGCTGCCCTTTCTGTCTGCCCGTACATCTCCGCCGGAAACTCATCATCGGCAAGTGCAGTTCCCGGACGAGCGTGGCTGCGCCCATATCGCCGGGTACGCCTGAGGTCGATTCGAGAACGGCGAGGAAGCGCAGACAGTCTCGCACTGTCCTTAATTTGACTGTCCTGAAGAGGTGCAGACGCGCCGTCGGGAGCCAAGCGGAGCAGACCAGGCTACACGCCTCCAGCGCGGAAGGGTCATCGTGCAGGTGGTCCAGAACCTGTTCTTGTATTTCGAGTGGAAGATCCGAGGGAGGCATGCCGCGGTTGTCGATGTTCGTTGTGTAACGTGGCAACTGGGGACGACTTGTCGGCAAGCTCTGTGAGGGACGCGCCAAAATCTCAACCTGCTGCCGCATCTGAAAAGTAAGAAGACACCCGCAGTGCTTGTATGCCTTCGTACTCGCCTGACTGCTGTAGAAAGAATGGCTACAATCCAGTATGTGCAAGGGAGGGAGGAGAAGAACGATCGTCTTGGATTGGCAAGTACGCATGGCCGACGGTGTGCCGGCAATTTCCGATAACATGTTCCTGTGACTGTCGGTCCAGTCAGATTCACTGTCATGAAGCAATACATACTAGTTTCCTTCACTTGCGTACGATTCCTTCTGGCTGCAACCAGGGAGACTGAGTTACAGCTACTTCCAGTGAGATACCTCTCACGACAGTTTGGTTGCGGAGGCAGACTCATACTACTAATACACCTCACTGGCTCAGATCTAGCCATCGATATCGGCACGACAGTATAGAGCTCTCGGTTGCAAGTAAGTAGGCTGTTAACACATCGCAGCACTGAGCGTATCCATGATAAGTCAAATCTTAGCATATTAGCATACCTCCGTGTTCAAACGTTCAAGCGTTCAAACGTTCAACGTTCAACCTCCGTGTCACCGCACTTCCGCGAGGCGCTGGCATAGTTCTAGTGGCTGCTATCACGACTACAGCTGCGCACAAGACTCGAAGATATGTCACGCATCGAGTTGCCAATCGAAATCCAAGAGCAAGTCCTCGATCACCTACACGATGACCCGCTCACTCTGAGAGCCTGCAGCCTGACGTGCCTCGCCTGGGTACCGACGACGAGACTTCATTCATTCAGACTCGTCCGGCTGCGTGGCAAGAGACACTGCCTGCGTTTCCTCCGCGTTATCGAGTCCACTAGTACTCCGGAGGCATACGGTCATCATGATGTGGGAGTAGGCGTGCTCGTCCGGGAGCTGCACCTGTCGACCATGGGTCTTCGCCAGGTGGGTGTGAAGGAAGGGCTACGATTTGACTTGCTACGCCAAATCCTGCGTCATCTACCAAACGTCGAGCTCCTCGGCATGCAATCCTTCGATCTCTTCAGTTGTGCGAAGCTGCTCACTCCAGAGGCCCGGGACACCGGCATCGAACTGCGGGACACGATCGCCTCCATCTTTCCCTTTCCTCGGTTGACCATTTGACTTCTGTGGAGCATGGCCGCTGGCTTCCCCTCACAAGCATTGCACCTGATCTCCGCATTCCCGGCCTTGGCTACTCTGGAATTCGCACACGCCAGATGCCCTTGGGTACCAATCAGCGATGTTCCTGCACCAGTTCATCAAAGCCAAAATTCATCTGCATTCACGAGCTCATCGTGGATAGATGCAGCAGTAACCCTCTAGACATGCGGACGATGTTGGAGGGCTTGCTGGAGTCGCCGTTCGAGTTACGGCTCCGAAAGTTATGGTGAAAATCCCACGATGGAGATTTGGGTTCAAGTTCTGGATCGGGCGCGGGCGCAGTGTCGCAGTATTTCGATGGACCGATATGATTGACACAGATATTCCATGGAGCTGCGGACACTCTGAAGGACTTTGGGATCAACGTTGTACGAGACGGTAAGCACGGTGCCGATCATGCAGTTTTTAGCGAGGTCTGAATTACAGCTGCCATACGCAGGCTGGCTGATGGAAAATGACATCTCTCGCCATCGGTCACTGACCGTTCTCACTCTGACATGTCGCTTTCGTCCTTTTTTCTCCCCTCGGACCCCTCCGAGTCATTGGCCCGCTATCCCCAAATTCATCTGACAAGTCAACTCGAGCGGCCTACGGGAAGTAAACTTACGATTCGAGGCTTTAGAGTTCCCTAGCAGCTTCCATTTGTGGTTCCTCAATTGGACCGAGATGGAAGCAGCTCTTCTGTCTTTGCACGAGAGGTGGCCGTCAGTGACGATTACGTTCACTTTCCTCTTCCCTGTTGCGCGGGACGATATCCCGCCTATCGTGGATCATATAAAACAATCGCTAAGCCGCGTCCTCACGGCGGGTATGCGGATTGCAGTCATACGCACGGAGCTTCCGGAGCCAGTCGTCCGCAACTCACCATCGCCCTACAACACGGTCCCCACATGGTCAGAAGCATGGTCGGAACATACCTGGTTGTCGGTGTAACCTTACAATTCTCGCCTCGCTAGCAAGTGCTACTGCAATATATGCCGCTTATTGTGTCACTTGTTACGCATACATAGGCGGACGTAACCATCGGTTTCGCCACCATATTGGCGAAAGGTGACGCACTATCAGGGAATAGGACGACTCACTCGCTTCGCAGTACAAGAGTTTCGAAAGATGTTGGACTGGAGTCCCACTTTCATTCGACGATAATAGCGACGTACAGTTGCCGGTCATGCGCAACTTTCATCGACTGGAGTAACGTCTATCGGCGCATATCCTTCACCGTGCCACCCCTCAGGCCTCAGGCCTCAGGCCTCAGGCATTGGCGCTCAGCGCTCAGCCCTAATAGTTGCTGCCTTCCCTCAGGGGTCTAGGTTCGAACTGGGCCGGACAGCCTGAGGTCGTAGTCGTTTGCAGTTGTTCAGGCGCTCCTGTACGCAGATCGCTTCGCGCGGGTCTACTCCTTTGAACTCGTAGGGATCTCCAAGCGCATCGGCGACGGGAGGGCGGTTGCGGGAGGGGGGGCGATATGCGGCTGTGGGAATGCAGGGAGCGTGTCGTACAGCTCGACGCGCCCGAAGCGGTCGAAGTTTCCTAGGCGCATCCAGGGGACTGGTATGCGGAGGCACATTCGCGCATGTCCGCTCGTCAGCCTCACCGTGATCTGCGTTTCTGTCAAGGCGCTTTGCAGATTTCGCTTCACGTTGGCCTAACTCGCATCTTGGTATGCAAGAGACACCAAGGAGAGCGTTTAGTAGCCTTCGTCGCGCCATTCGCAGCGCGCGAGTGGCGCTTACGGCATCCAATGGATTTCTCGCTCGACGTCATTACGAGACTCCCTAGCCGAGGAAGGATCGATATGTGGTGTACGCGGCGAGGACACTGTGCCGATCCTCGGAACAGAATGCGCCAGTCTGCACGCAATGACTGCGAAACGACTGAAAGGGAAGCGAAGAGCCCGATGCAACAAACAGACTAGTGCCGAATACACCGCGCACGGTCGTGTCCTCGTCAATCACGAAGAGGACTCGCACCAGCAGCTAACGTCGAAACGGACACTCTAGGGCGAGAATCGCCTTGGAGGTGACACGGAGCTTGCTCCGTATCTCGAGTGATAGATCCGGATGTGGTGTATCACAATCGCGTGCATGTTCGTCGAACGTTGCTGATGGTCCACAATCTTCACAGGCACTACAAGATCATCGCGAAGTCAGCGCTGAGCGCTGAGTACTAATAGTACTGAGCATCTACTGTCTGTGGTCAAGTCTCGCGCCTACCTGACGCTTCGTAACCCTGGCTTCCGCGAAAACGGAACTTGCAGTGTCTGTCCTCCGATGTTCAGTGACAAGCTCATTGCTAACGCAGCGGCAAATGTCGTACCGTATCGCACCTGATTGTACGCATCCGTCGCGCTCCGTCGACCCTTCGTCCCAGCTTGAAGACTCTGGCGGCGACTGCAGATGATCTGGATGAGTCGCTAGAGGCAACTTCTCATACATAAATAAACGCGACACACGCATGCGTCATTCCGTGGTTCGCGAGTCTTCGTGTTCTCAACAGATCGCCGTCCCCTGAGAAGGTCACTGTAGCATCTAAGAAACAGGGGACCATCCCAACGAGGGACGGGTAGTGCCAACACTAGCATATGCTCAGCGCATATGGATGTACGTACCGCGGTGTCCGGACGCGACGCGAATAAGACTGCTCGATCGGCCCGGGCTTGACAGTGCTTGCCCGATGAGGTGATGGTGTTTCCATTTGAGGCAGGTTCACCATTCCTGGTGGCGCGGCTTGAGACGGTCTGTAAGATCAGGCAATTACCACACCTAAGTAGGCACTTGTGGCAGAGTACGGGGGTCACCGATCGAAGACATCATCGTGTAGACCTGTGCGCTATGCATAGAGGCTGTAGTTCCCTGCGGTGCGGCGAAGGTGACCGCAACAGTTACTCCCTTGGCAGCCCGAACTTTCGCCTTAGGCCGTGAGCCTGCAAACGTTAACGTGGGTTGTTGAGATGCTGACGGACCGCGCAAAAGAGGGAGATACGTACGCTCTGAGGCATATCCGGGGCATGGCAGCTGTCATTGTATCAACTACGACTGCAGAGTGCCGGCCAGGGCATGCCGGACGCCGTCAGGCACATACTGGGCAGGGCTCGGTCCTCCGACAGACCGCCAGACAAGGATCCGACCACAATCTTGACGCCATGCAGTCCTCTTCAGCGCGCACCATCCTCGAATTGTGTGTGCTTGAGTGCCCTGTGGTAGGCGAGACACCTCTTCCTTGACGTACGTTGAGAAGACACGCACTTATCGTCTCAAAATGGGGGAGATTCTTCCGCCTTGCGCCCGACCCGGCGTGCTTTGGCTTAATCAAGCCCTGCGTAAGCATCACCGTTCGCGTGAGACGCCTCCGATGGGCATGCTATATTCGTGCAGCGTCAGTTCCCAGGCGTCCGCTTCCGCTCGCTCGCTCGCTCGCCCGTGCGCGAGATCGCCTCACTTTCCTGTCTCCTCCCAACCGTTTCCAACACTCCCGCCAGCGTACTTGAGCCGTGCACGCGGCCAGTGCTGCGACAATGGTGCCTCCCTCCGCCATTCTCCTCGCTCGCGCAACGTCTGACGCCCTCGGGGGCGGCCCGTCTCCGCCGGAGTCTCTGCGCACCGACAGGGCGGCGCTGGCTGGGATCGCATTCGCGGGGGTCTTGGTGATTGGGTGCGGGATATGGCTGGCGATTTACTTCTTCAGGAGGCGGGGAAGGACCAGGCGGGAGAGGGAAACGATAGTGGAGGACAGAAAGCGCATAGCGAGGAAGTCCTTGCTCATCCAGGCCGAGGAAAAGGCAGAGTACGTCTGTCCGCCATCTTCGTCCGCTGCACGCTGATTAGCACACTGCGCGCAGTGTGCTGGAAAGCCCCGCCCCACGGCCGAGGGAGGTGTCGAAGTCCAAGGCCGTAAACAGAGCACTAGTCACCGCTAGCGTTGTCATGCCCGAAAAGACGCTGACGCCGAGAGCGGGCCACACACGACAGACAAGCGACTTTACCGTGGACACCACCCAGACTCTACCTCTCCCCCCACCGATCCTCCTCCAGCCGCCGTCTCCGATCTGGAAGAGGTAGTGTACCTCACTCACGCGAACGCAGCGACCGCCGCAGTCCGTCCAGGAGGCCCCGCGCTCGCTCTCGAGCCGGCCGGGCAGCAGCTCGCGGCCCGTGTCCTTCGTCTCGCGCAGCAGCCCGCTGCGGAACAGCGTCAACTCCGGCACGTCCTCGCACTCCGCGTCGGCGTCCATGTTCGAGGAGGGCCAGATGCGGCGGGTGCACCAGGTCTTCCTGCGCGCGCTCCCGGACGAGCTCATCGTCACGCGCGGCGAGCACCTCGCGATCGTGCAGGGGTTCGACGACGGCTGGTGCGTGGTCGGGCGCGAGAGCCGCGGGCGCCGGGGCGACGTTGAGTTTGGGGCGGTGCCGGCGTGGGTGTTCGTCCGATCGGAGGAGGGCGTGCGCCCGACGCGCCCTGTGAGGCTGCGAGTTTGAACGCGCGGGTGTCATTAGAGTCGCCAGGCGGTCCGTCGTTTATGTGGACGAACACATGACATGGGAGCCCTCGGACGTAGGGAGGGCAGGGACTGTATCTGGATGTAAGTTACTTGTTGTTCTGGCGCGAGGCGCGTTAAGGGTCCTTGCAGTGGAATTGGAGGGTCATCATTTGGATGCTTCAGAGTTGGAACCATGTAGAGTACTGTATACTTTGCGCACATAGACCAATTCATCATATTACGCACTCTGTAGATTCACTGTTACATCATTCATCGCTTGTCGTTGTGGACCAGCGCGGAGGCTCTGTCTGTGCGTATCTTGCGAGGCAGTGACTGGAAAACAAGAGCGAACGTCAACAGACTCAGTACTGGCATCCGCATGTGTGCCGGATCGGGAACTGCCGATGTCGCACTCCACTGCGATCTCAGATCACCACGTCGACGCGAAACCCCTTGCCAGGCAGGGTGCTCCTCCAGTACATCTTTCGGAATCCCATACCCCAGCTAGAATCTACTAGTGCGATAGCCCTAAGACAGAAACGTAGACAGGTATGCAGTGTCTAACACATGCTTGTTCACTCGCTCAGCAGTCCGACTAATTTGATTCCGTGTAGGTTGTGACAAAGTCTGGGCGTACCGTGACCTTCGTTCCATTGAGGTCTTCATAACGCCGTACGTCGTAGAATCTGTACCGTGTGGACTTCATTGAGGACTGATTACTCATGCGGGTAGCTCAGTGAAAGGGCAGAATTATACGATGCCACCCGTCGAGCTTCCCATCGAGATCGAGGAACGTATCCTCGATCTCCTCTGTGGCGATCCCGTCACCCTCAGAGCGTGCTGCCTCGTCTGCTCCGCGTGGGTTCCGACGGCGCGTCTCCATCTCTTTAAAGTCGTCGAGCTGCGCCGCAGAACGTCTATCATACGCTTTCTGAGCACCCTCGATTCGACCTTGGATGCTCCTGGCCGTATAGGTGTGGGCAATCTGGTCCGAGAGCTGCACCTACCCAGCTTCCCCCTCCGTTTCACACGCAGAAAGGGTGTACGTCACTACCACCTGCTATGCGAAATAGCCCGCCGGCTCCCCAACGTCGAGTCTCTGGACATGCCCTTCTTCGATTGGTACAACTTCGTGCAGCTGGTTTGCCCAGGCGCCGCTGAATGTAACCTGCGGGATGCGATCGCCTCCGTCTTTCCCTTTCACCGCTTGAAGTCGCTCTCCCTAGAGCACGTCACCTTTGGTACAGGCGATGAGGCCCTACACCTCGTTGCCGCTTTTCCCTCCCTGGAGACTCTGAAGATTATTCAGCCGGAAGTCGGGGAGATAGCCCTCGACGCCGCCACCCTTCCTATCAGCAGCCCTCGTGATGGAGGACACTGCATTCCTCTACAAGAGCTTTATCTAGAGAGGCGTGTCATGCATCACTCTATCGTACACGAGATGTTAGAGGGCTTGCTACGGGCACCATTCGAGCTACCGCTCAGAAGACTGGAATGGTGGTCTTTCGGACCGGAAACGGAACAGCTTATCCAAGAGTGGACAACATTATCTGAAATCTTTAGGAGAGCTGCGGAGACGCTCGAGGAGTATGTCTTCCATGCTGCACATGATGGTGAGCTCGAATGTCTTAATCCCTCAAATTAGCTCATCATTTCTGCTCTCACTATTGGTAGGATGGCTTTCGAAGACCGACATCTCCCGTCATCGCTCGCTGGAGGTGCTCACCTTGGCGTTTGTTTTTGCTTCACATAACGCGAATTGCTGGCCCTCTATCCCGATGTTCATCTCGAAAATCAACTCACGCGACATGCGTGAAGTGAAACTTCAGTTTGACGTCGTCTATGGTCGCTTTCACTGGGAATTCATTGACTGGAATGAGATGTCCGACGCCCTGCTATCCTTGCACGAGAAGTACCCAACAATGAAGATCTCATTCTCATTTCGGACACTCCTGGAACGCGATGAACAAGGCCCGCATTTGGCTGCTGGAGACCTTGTCAGCCTCTGGCGGCTCATAGCACCTGTGCTCAAGACGAACATGCAGATCACAGTCGTCCATACCTCCTCACGAATATACTAGTGACTGCCATCTACTCAGTTGGGACGTGACCGCCAGCACCGTCGCGGTATTTTCTCCTGGTTCGTGTATCTAACTGCTGCATATACTCGTCTTACGCCAACTGTCCGCAGGATTGACGACGTCTGAGTGGCATCTTCCAGAATTGTGGAATCATCGTCCATGCCCTCTGGCCTCGTGTGTATCTGTTGGAGCTGTAATGATGTTGTCACCTTCTCGCGCACTCCGAAGCCGGGCGACCACGTTCGCACATCGCCATACCACTGCCCATGACCCGCCTCAGGCTGCATGGCAGTAGAAGTTGTAGACGTTAGTCTGCATAGCACGTCGCTAGATCTAAGTAATTCGTTGGTGAAGCACCGTTCGACTTGAACCGCATACTCAGCCTCACAGTCCATCATGGATCAGTTAGTATTGACGGAGCCAAGGAGCAACGTTTGTCTCGTGTCAAATAACACGTTCTCGGGTCCCTTCGCAGTCGGTATCCCACGATACGATAGCGTTCGACTGTTCTTGAACGACTTCGCTGCCCAAGCGTTCACAGGACGTGAGTTGGTTCGTCGATATTTTCAATAACAACAAGGTCAGGATCGCCTGGAGGCCGCTCATCACTCAAGACCGGGTACGATGCGACCGGTCGCATGTAGCGAGACGAGACAGATGGCTTGCAAGAAGCGTACGCGAAGACACTTTTTGTTCAAAGGGGAGGCGGTGGAATACGCGACCGCCTTGAACGTAAAGTACTGAAGGATGTGGGGCGTTACCATTTCCGGCACAACACGCCTGTTGCCATCGTGACGCCGCGCAGCGTGACTATCAACGGTTAAGCAGCTGTCACGGACATGTCACGTGTTTCCGCTGCTGTGCCCGTCACACGTTGCTCCTTCGCATCCATCGCGCGGTCGTCCATCTGTCCCCCCGCTGTTCCCAACGACGAGGCCGCAAGCGAGTCCGGGCGACTCTTTCGCAGGTGCGCACCTTCAAGCTTCACCTCTCTGCTTATGGCTGAAATCTGACTGTCTCTCGCGCGCGCCCAGCGCCCTCAGCTTTGGCTTCAGCGTCCCCGCCCATCCCCTGCCCTCGCAGGGTGTACTCTCATTGAGACGACGCTCCTTACACCTCACCATCATTCAGTCCTTTCGCAGCGATGCATATCAAGAAACATGCCAAGAGGCAAGAAGATGCGGAGACAGCTCTTCCAACCATAGCAGGTTTCTCTGGCGTCGCGTCAGCAGCGACTGCCTTGGCCAGCACCTCCCTTATCCTCAACACCGACGCCGCGGGCTCAGTGACGAGTGAAACCGTACACTACTCCATAGCCGCCAATGGCGGCATCACTCTCACGTCTACGGTATCCCATTCGCCCACTTCGCAAGCTAGCTCGACAGCAACATCATCGGCTACCTCTGCCGCCGCGTCTTCGCATAATTCTGACATATCTATCGGTGCTGTGGTGGGCATTTGCGTCGGCGCTTTCGCAGGTCTCGCTCTGCTGCTGTTCGCTTTCTACCTCTATTCGAAGCGCTCGATCAAGAAGGAGCAGAAGAACCGGGCAGGTCGGTGGGACAAGTTGGCCGAGGGCGGAGACAGATGGGAAGGGTCGTCACCAACGTCGCCAGGCGAGCGGGAGTTGCAGGAGAAGAATTCGCAGATGTTCAAAAAGTCCTCTCCCAGCATGCGTACCACGCGCACCAAGGCCCTCGACGACGACCAAGGCGGGTTCAGTCTTCCGCCCCTCGAATTTGCGAAGTATCATCCTGGCCTTGCCAAGGAGCTTGCTCTCGAGCAGCCCTCTCGTCCATATGCTGCACATCGCGGTGAGAGCGGGGTCTCGTGGGACGGATCAACGGTCCACGAGGACTCCTTCCTGGAGATGCGTTCCGTGCGTGTAGAGTCCGGTGCGGTGTCACCGACGTTGGGTTTTGCCAAGATGACCCCTGTTGCGGAGGCGACCACCATTCACCAGTGGGAGTCCGCTGAGGTGTTGACCATGGGCGACGAGATCATCGACAGCCCGACGGAGGTGCAGAACCCCTTCAACGATGTCTCGGAGCAGCGTCGGAGCGTCGCAAACCCCTTCTTCAACGCCCAGGAGCTGCAGCGTCGCCCTACGCGCAGTCGCAGCAATAGCCTCAACTACAGTCGGAGGAGCCGGGCGCACAGCATCGGTGAATCGACGGCCGCCAGCCGTGCAGCCAGCATTCGCAAGTCCGAGCGCGTCTCTAATCCGTTCGCCGACATCCAAGAGGTCCCAGTCTACCGCGTGGCACCGCCTGACGCCTTCAGTCACAGCCATATGGACTCTGTCGCGAGCGGAAACAGCGTGAATGTGTTCGGTGCTCATGCGATGAAGTCGCTGATCGCAGCGCTTGACCTGCGGCCGGAGGAGATCGAGGAGCGTCTCCGCGTTTTGTCGATGGACGGCTCGACCGCGTCGCGCATGTCGACTCTCAGTGGACAGGACGATGACGCCGACATTGCTACTGTTCGTTCATTCCCCATGCCACCTCCTGCCGTCCACATCCAGCCGTAGGCTCGATCCAATCAGTTTTGTGCTCAGCCTTCATGATTGCTCTGTAACGCCCTTCGACCCGACGTTCGCTCCGGCCCACCTTGCTCTTCCGCCTTATATTGGATCAGGCCTTTGACCTACTATCGCTGTGCAACCTGTTATACCTTGCCTTTATGACGTGCAACTGTGATGATAGCTTGTTCGCCATCCCTTCGCCTTCCTGTGTCATATCACTGCCCCCTTCTATTGCGCGGCACGCCTGATCTGGCATCGCTGTTATTCATGACCATCTTGTCCTCTCCCTGCTCCCCGGGACTCTTGGAAGGAGTCTTCTTCCTACCTGTTCTCCGTGCCGCCTACCCCCACCTTTGCTCCTCCCCTCCGTCGTCTGACCGTACTGTACTAATCCCTGACATGCCGCTGGCGTCGCCGCCCTTTATTTATTTGCTCGCCTGCCCAGGGCGGCGTCGTCCCTCTTCTGGAGAAGTAGCAGAGTGAATTGGAATGCTTTCGATGCATTAAGTGAATACTATCATCTGTGCATGCGAGACGGCTGGCACTGCAACTAAGTATGCATGTCGGAGTATGCACTCACGACATGTTTCGTGCGTGTATCATATCATAACAAGTATTGCCTCGCGCTGACAGTGATACAACAGTTTCTATATGTCGTAGGCCGTGACCCTCGGCTTCCACCGCCGACAGCCCATGGACGCTTCATGTACTCGCTTGACCGCGTCGGTTCCTCGTAATAGAAGATACCCTCAACCGTGCCGTCACCTTTCACAGTACTCAACTCGTCATGGGTAACTCTGTCTCCGTTCTGTCTCGGGAGGCACCCACGCGGTCCCAGAAGATCGACCAACAGATACAAGAGGAGATGAAGAAGGATCTTAAGATTCTTGTGCTCGGTACGTCCCCTCGGTGACGGTTCATGTATGCAGGAACGCTAGTGCGGAAATCGCGTAGTCCGCGCTTCGCCATCATGCACTCATTGCAAGGCTCTTCTACCACGCCCACCGGGCGTACAGGTCCGGCAGAGTCGGGCAAGTCAACGATCGTGAAGCAGATGAAGATCGTACATCAAGGCAGCTACACCACAGAGGAACTCATAGCCTACCGCACTATCTTCCACAACCTGTTCGAGTCTGCGCATGACATCGTCCGCGCAAAGCATGAGTTGGGCGTCGAGTGTGTCGAGCCGGAGAATCACGCACGAATGGAACGCATTGTCAGATACAGACTCTCCGTCGACGCAGCCATACAACGGACGAGAGGTGCCCGCGCGATGTACAGGCTGGCAGGACCCTCATTCCGGGCTTATGAACCGGCGCAGTGAGTTCTACCTCATGGATAACGCGAGTTAGTGAGTAGGCCTTATTTGTGCCGCTATAACACGTTAAATGCGTCTCAGCTTCTTGAAGAGGCGCGGCGCCCGGACTACATCCGACGACGAAGACGTGCTGTGCGCGCGAGAGGAGAGCGGTACGCCATCGCAGAGACGCGGCTGCGCTCTCTCCTGGCCACAGCCGTGAGCACCTATTCTTTCGCCGTATGCGAACCTGACCGTCATTCTTCAACAGGATATACGTCTTTGAGATGGGTAGCCAGCGGACGGGCTTTCGATGACGCACACCGTTCTGCACCGCGCTCAGCGACTACGATCAGGTACTGTCTGAGGATTGCGTTCAGGTTTGTAGTCGTCTCTCACCGTTTTGACTGGCTCTTCTTTGCTGATGATTGCCTTCGCGATGGTCAGAATCGCATGTCGGAATCGCTGATGTCATTTGAGTCGGTCGCGAACTCAGGATGTTCTTCCGGACGTCCATAATCCTGTTCTGAACAAGCTCGATGTATTCAGGAGCAAGATTCAGAGGATACCACTTGGGTAAACTTCCCGGAGTACACTGGCGGGCCGGACGTTAACAAGGCTGTGAAATACATCCTCTGGAGATTCATGCAGAAGAAACACGGAAGACGAAGCGTGTATCCCAGTGAGTGACCTCTCCCTCCTGATCCCCTTCTTGACATAGCTGCATCACTATTGATGGTCTCAGTATCACGCAGGCGACGAGTATGGATGACGCGAGTAATCTCCGGGTGGTGGTGGTGCGGTGAAGGAGACATATTGCAAAATGCCCTTCAGATATGAGGAAGGACGCAGGTGTCCTGTGATTGACTGGAAGTATTGTGCAATCATGCGTATCCACGTCGGTGCGTTAAACACTTTTCTCTCCGTTGGACCTCCAAATGCGCAGCGTTCGCGTGAGGTACGGACGTGTCAGGGCAGGTTTGCCAGCAGGAGTTCCGTACAAATCGGGGAATCTGTGCCTTCTCGCGAAGCTCGCACGGAACACGCGGGATGCAGCAGTACAGGTGGTCGCAACGGACAATTGACTGTCAAATCATTCTACATGGTACGAACATTACTCTTACATTAGGCTAAGGGCATGCTAGACAAGCTTAGTCGAACACCCATGATCGAAATATGTCTCCTGGAGTGTCTACGCAGCCCTTTGTCCGATTCTCGCAATCCACGTGTGATCGTGATTATTATGACGCACCACGTACTGCAAATCTGTGAATGCTGGCAGACAAATGATTGAACGCATCGCTCAGACGTACGCTGACAAAATGGACGTCTACCGCCTCCCAGATGACCTAAGTCCGAATTTGAAGAATGGCCTTCTGCTGGTAGAAACCGACAGGGATGCGTGCAGCTAAAATGGGGGCAATCCGTGTCCACAAAGGCGCATGCACCTCAGGCATCGTCCCCTTCCCATAGTAGTAGACGCGAAAACCGAGCGACATGGAGGGACACTTCCTGTGCAGCGAGAGTACTGCTTCAATTAGAGCCGGCCAGTCGAGGAATTCCTGGACAAACAGCTGGTCGTGGAAGTGGAGGTGGATTGCGAGTGTGTGAAGACTGGTGGAGGTGATTTTCGATAGGAACGACGCGATGTGATCCCATCGGCTTGGCTGATCGCGAGAAAACCGGAAGGCGAGTGTCAACGATTGCAGACGAAGATGTTCAGAGGGATCGAGGTGTTCCAGCCATCCTGTGAGGAGGCCATGAGTCAATTAGATGATCAAGAGAATAAACCTCTCGGCTGTGCAGGACTCACTATCGCCGGCATCTAAAGTGCACTGGAAAAATTCTAGCGTCGCTTTTGCCCCATAGAACATCATCTCCAGTAGTGGAAGAAAATCCTTCCCATCGCGCTTTATCGTCATCCATCCCAGTCTCTTGAGCTGCAACTCGAATGGAGGCGCTGCCAATGTTTCCAGAAGTTCCGACAACTGCTCTATCGGTATGATGCAGTTGGTCATGGTTAGCTCTTGTATACAGATGAGCCCCTTTCGACGACTCGCGAGAAAGTCTTGGATAGAGGCTACGTTGAACATCGGGCTGAACCCTTCGCTGGTTACCTTGCGTAATCGGATCCTCGAGACCGACGGGAAGGCCCCAATGAACTGCGGGAGGTAGCCAATGCCGAAAAGGTCCAAAGAATCGCAATATACGACCTTCAGATGGCGGAAGTCGAAAATCGAAGATATAGCGTCCTGCATGTTCGAAGTCTCCTCACGGCAGTACAAGTGAAATAGCAGGGAGCTAATGCTGAATCCGTTCACGTGGAGGAGCTCGACCATCGGGAGGTGGCGCATAACGCTGCGCAATAGCTCGCAACGCATGATCGCGCGCGTAGGAATCTGGGTAGAAAATCCCATGCTGGGCAGCTGGAGTATTCGAACGAAGTTACCGGCGCCGGTGCCGAGTCGCTGAGACTCCTCTAGGACGGACAGTAGACGAATACAGTCGCGTCGGTTGTTCAACTTGACGGTCCTCCAGTAATGTGATCGCGCTGTCCAGCTCCATGTACGGCAGACCATATTGCATGACTTCAGAGTCTCACGGTCATCATGGAGCTGATCCACGACGCGTTCCTGCACTTCAATCGGTAGTTCCGGAGGGGCCATTCTATATGCTTGTAAGTGGGTTAGCTGATCTATTGACAATGCAAGACTCACTTCAGACAACTTGAACGTATCTAGCGAAGTAGCTATAAGCTACCGATGCTGGTACTTGTCTTGACAACTAGGTCAATAGCACCCAACTGCACGTCGCGATGTACAACAGTATTGGTGATATGTGGGCGGGCTTGGTGCCAGTGCCAATCGTGATTCGTAACACCAATTAGCTCGAGCGCGTCGTTACCCGGCGGCCGGGCTCTCGGGATGGCGGAAAAGTTGATGTGCGGGTCGTCGACGCGTGCGGGTGAGGGGATGTTTTCCCTACGCAGATGAGCGCAGACTCGGAGGAGATGATTGCAGGAGGAGACTCAGAGAGGCGATCCTTGATCGGTCCGATCGACTCCTCCTTCCACGTGCCTGCGACTCGGAGGGCAGATAGCCCGAGGTGCACTACTACTTAGTCTCCCGTAGGCAGACCCTAAACACGACCTTGTTGAGTGGGGAGGGCGGTCGTATATGGGTCTGCTTCAATTCGCGCCCTCGTCACCGCTCGACTCCTCCAGGACCCATTCTGTGATAGCCGAGCGATGCCGGTGGCTACGGCAGGGCACGGCCAGGCTGCCGGTGGCTGGTCATTAGATCCATCGCAGATATAATTGAACTGTACTTGCCAGTGCTTACAGTATGACTGAGCTTGTCATGCTCTCGCGCGAATTCGTTACAGCGGTCAAATACCGCTTCAGACCCTCCTTCGTATATCGGTCGTTGTACGGTAGTCAATACGTACAAACATCATATTGGGGTCTATTGAATGCTGCTGTAGTGAGTCGCGGTAGATATCATACTCGGAGTGAGCGGACGGATGAGAAGGCGTAGGCATTTGAATATATGACTAGGTGAGCTGCGAGGATGAAGGAAGTGAGCGGACAGGTGAATGAACGGACCAGCGAGGAGCCAAGAATGGTCGGATGCGTGCGTGGCTGGGTGCACGGCCCGGGGCAAGTACTACAGTAAGAAATCGGCTCGGTTAGATGTGCGGGCAATTATCGAGTGGGCAGGCAAGTGATATGAATGTTCGGGCAAGCGAGTGCACAAAGTTCCCTGACTCAGCGCCCACTTGCGCTCCTCCTTGAACCGGCGCCGCTCCGAGTCTGCGAGGCTCGCACGCCGCATGCGAAGGACCGCCACCGTACGTTCCTGCGGGGTCATGCAGCCATCCAGGTCAATGGGCGACGGAACGGAGTCGAGGGACTCGGAGGGACTCGATGGAGGGTGCAGTGAGCTTGCGTAGGTGAGCGTAGATGTGATGGGGTGAGGCTACTTCGAGGCGGCAAGGATTCCGCTCGCGTTCTCTGTCCCGTTTACAGTCTCGGTCGTCCAAGTCGTGGTGGGGTCTATGGCCGTCCTCGCGCCGATGCCGTGTGCGTTCCTGCCAGTCAAACGAGACGAGCCGCACACGTCTGCTCGGTTCGTGCGTCTCGCGCAGCGCGGCGGTGCGTGACCACGTCGTCGTCTTAGTCGTCTCGGTTGTCTTAGAGTCCTCGAGAGTCTTGGGGAGCGCGTCCGTGAAGACAAGCCCAGTGCCACACCAAGAACAGTGCCTACGCACTGCATGTCATCGAGGCTGCGGGAGTAGGCACAGTGCAGACAATTAGGTAGTTGTGAAGGCGAGTGGGCACAAGTGTGCAGGTGAGAAAGCGAGTGGCTGCGGATAAGTCGTTAGACGAGCGGGCAGTCGATAGAATGAGCAAGTGGGCGGGGAAACGGGCAAGACCAGATGAGCGAGGCAAATGCGCCAGAGGCAAGTGAACAAGTGAGGAGGCGAGTGAACGCAATGTGCTAAATGTTCATCAACAGATCTAAGGGCACCGGCAGAGAAAGCAGATTATGTGACGCATCAAACAAGCACACACCTCGCTTTCAAACCTTCGTGCTCGCTGTGCTCGACCTCACTATCCATTCCCTCCCCAGTCTTTGCATTACCCTTGCCACCTCCAAGTTCTGCACTCGTCGTGGTCAGGGCAGATCACGTAACATGTCGATATGACGGGAGCATGGAATACACCAGTGGATGTCGGTCTCGCTGACACAGCAAGCATAACAAAGTATCTGCACGTGCGATACCCTATGCAATACCGTATGAAATACTTAAAGTAACCTCGCTCCGGATACTGTATATGCGGATACCGAAATCGTAGATACTTTAAGTATCCCAGAATGGAATACTTAAAGTTTCCCATTATGGTATCACAGGCTGGGATACTTAAAGTGTCCGCGCAGATTACGAGTGACACTGTGACCGACAATAGATGAGAATGAAGACAATTAGTTCAGATGGACCATTGACCGCCACACTCGGAACTCGAAGCCTCGCTGAAGGGAATTACGTAATACTGGTGGCACAATGCACGGTGGCGGCAAGTCACGTCGCGTCGCGGCATGTCACGTTGCGTCGCGGCAGGTCGCGTCAAGTCGTGTCATGGCAAGTCGCGTCGCGTCATGTCGTGTCGTGTCGCGTCGCGTCGTGTCATGTCACGGCGTGGCATGTCATGTCATGTCATGTCGCGTCGTGTCATGTCATGTCAAGTCAAGTCGTGGCACGGCGCGGCGCGTCATGTCATGTCTCTGTTGTACTGTGTTTGCCCCGACGAGTCTCTTGATTCCGAGTTGGTCAATCCTATGAGTAACTGAGTGCCCCCAAGCTTAATTCTTTGATTCACACAGCTGTTATAACATGTGGCTAGATCTATGGCATATTCCTACTGTATTTAGTCACTTGGTCGAGAGGACTGGAGAACCGACCGGCTCGAAAGAGTGGCTCCGAGACAAACACAGTACAACAGAGACATGACATGACGCGCCGCGCCGTGCCACGACTTGACTTGACATGACATGACACGACGCGACATGACATGACATGACATGCCACGCCGTGACATGACACGACGCGACGCGACACGACACGACATGACGCGACGCGACTTGCCATGACACGACTTGACGCGACCTGCCGCGACGCAACGTGACATGCCGCGACGCGACGTGACTTGCCGCCACCGTGCATTGTGCCACCAGTATTACGTAATTCCCTTCAGCGAGGCTTCGAGTTCCGAGTGTGGCGGTCAATGGTCCATCTGAACTAATTGTCTTCATTCTCATCTATTGTCGGTCACAGTGTCACTCGTAATCTGCGCGGACACTTTAAGTATCCCAGCCTGTGATACCATAATGGGAAACTTTAAGTATTCCATTCTGGGATACTTAAAGTATCTACGATTTCGGTATCCGCATATACAGTACTGACGCCGGCCGGGATCTCGGCCACCTAAGGAGTCGATGCGGGCCTTCGGGTCCATGTTTACTTCGACCGCTTGGGTGAGTATCTGGGACCACGTTAGAACATCCTATGTATGCAGGAAAATTGTTAGAAGAATTTACTGACCACTGGGTCGAAGGTAGTAAGCACTTTCGTGACAAGAATCCTGGGAACCAGATTGACTACGAAGTCGGCCATGCAGCCAGAGCTGGCCCGCTACAAGGCTTAATATTATCCGAATCAGCATATATGTACTCCAGAATGTCAATAGATATATCCCCAGTAATTCAGCAGCTGTTCAGCCCGAGATACAAGCACAATGGCTGAATACTGTCGATGGGTTGAGAATATGCACTCGGCACTTACCATATATGGACAGCATCGTACAGACTGATTTTTTCTACCTTCAGTTCGTACTGTATTGGCTTGAGGTGGTGTATATACATTGTACAGATGGATAGCTCGACCCTAGTATTTTTTTCGTGGCTAGAGGACAGGTTGCAGTAGACTAGGAGTGCGATGACCGACTGCCTAGGGTGGCCGAGATCCTGGCCGGCGTCAGTATCCGGAGCGAGGTTACTTTAAGTATTTCATACGGTATTGCATAGGGTATCGCACGTGCAGATACTTTGTTATGCTTGCTGTGTGAAGTTAGGGAAGCCGCGGGCGCACAAGTCGGCAGACGACCAGAGTGACTATAGAGTCACGCGCCTTCACCAGTGTACGCTGCTGACGAGCACTTGCATCGGTACTCCGGAGTAACGAGTTCATACATTCCCTCATTTTGGTCACGTTGATCTTGTCGAGCATGACAAGCAGTGGTAGGTGTAGGCTCCTCGAAGCGATGCCGCAGCAGAACATAGTGTCATGGGGCGTGCCAAGCCTATCGAAAAGGTGCTGTGCAATGAGAGCGGGAGCTCAAAGAATCGTAGAATCGTGGATGGCTGTATGTAGAGAGTGGGGAAGCGCAAGGGAAGTGAAAGTCACTGAGACGACCGCGTCGCCTCAGACGCGTCGCGCGCGGCGAGATTTACACGCGCGTTTCGGAGATCGACCTGCTTATGTAACTCCGCCAAAAAGTCGACCAGTGTTCGACCCCCATATCGAAACAGACTAACTACTACTGTAAGCCCCCGGGGGGCCTCGTCGTCGACGAGGCCCTGCGCAGACCTTCTCGTGGTCCCGGGGGGTGAGTAGTCCCGCAAGGGATGAAACGAACATGCGCTATAAGGCCCACACTCAGCTGTTGAGCAGAGCGGCCGGGATACTCCTCCCAACGACATCCGTTACACCGGTTGTCCATCCACCCTTGCGTGGTCACACAGAGACACCGTCTCCGCGAGCTCTACATAGCCCACCTGTCTACCCCGCGAGACAGACTCCTCACTGGAGGTGCTATCCTGCCCAAGAGGCCTTCGCCGTCGCTTTTTTTCCTCCCCTCCCTTCCCCTGTGCCAGCGCACCAGCGCCTATCGCCGTAGCCGCGCAACACTTACGTCAGACACTGCCGACAGCCGGCTCACAAACATAACATAACACTCTCACGCCCAGTGTGGCTTCGAGTCTGTATATTCTGCATCCAATACCGAGCACCTCCAGCACCCTGTCTGCCCTACGCATTCCGCCTAGCCATCCCATACCCTCCATTCCAATAATTCTTGGATGCCATGACAACACCATGCACCTTGCACCTTCCTTTCCTTGAGCGCTTGTGCCTCCCTGCCTCCCACGTTCCCTCCGAAATGATCGTATGTACGTCCGCATAACGGCATTCCACCAAGCTGTAAACGCCCAGCACCCTTATAAAACTAGCTCAGTCCACCGCTGAGGCAAGAACGCTGCAGGCTCACCAACTATTATCTTTAACGAACGACCATGCCCAACCCTCCATATTTCCACCCGAGCCGTCTCCCCAGCCATCTAGTCGCCTCGCCCCAGATGCAGATCCCAAAGATCCGGAGGCCCAACCTCGCACCACCACCCCCGCCAACCCTCCCAGTCCTCCAACTGCCCTCCGATCCCGAAATAGCAGTCCCGATCGTGGTGCAGGGACGACCGGAGAGGCAAGGCGCGTTCCTAACGTGGATAGCGGACGAACGCCCGACTGAGCGCATTCGGAGCGGCCAACTCATCCGACTCACCACCGGACATCTCCGGTCTGGTCTAGGCCGTCTGGCGAACATCGTCTTCACCCAACGTCACTGGGTCACGTGGCGAATCGAAGGAGCGCCCGGGAACTGCGGCCTCCGCGTCCCGGTCTCATGGGCTTTCCTCGACTCAACCGAAAGCCTAGACCACGACCGACTGTACCGCTACCTCCCAGATGTCCCCGCCCCCCACCGGTCCCTAGCAGACGACCCACTCCTTCTGTCGGGCCCAGAGAACCCCTATGAATTCGACAGTGACTGTGAGTACGCCGTCTCACAGACTCAACGACACGATCCACGGGTGCCGACACTCTCTCCACCTGACGCCGCCACAATCACCAGAACAACACACCCTCTTTACCACTGAAATAGGCACCACACGCGACGTGACTAGATTTGAAGCCCTGCTCCACCATCCTCGATCATCACCCGCATTCGATGAGCGCCCACCAGCTGCGATCAAAGAACCGCTGAAGACCCTGACCAGGACCCTGACCTACCGCCGACAGCGTGCACGTAAGCAATAAGCAATAACGTCTTACTGACACCGTACCAGCGCCGCGAGTGCAAGACACGAAACACGGCTACGCACCACACGCTCCACCTCTCCTGCTCTACACACTCTGGCCACAGCTCCCACCGCTCTACACCGCTGGCAACAGAACTCGTCACCCCTATAACCATGCCACAGCGAACGGACACATCTATCGACGAATGCAAGGACTCCGCAGCGCTTCCACCTCCGCGACGCGGGGTTATACGATCCGCGAACACCGCCACACACCATCAGACAACGCAGCGACAGTTACAAAACTACCGAGCGCGATCTACAACAACCGCCCGTACCTTTCCTGCAAGTCCCCGGGCCCACCCTGAGTCGACGACACGCCAGGATGACGCGAAATGCCTGCATATGCTGGCGACTTGCCCTTGCTAGCATCACGCTTCCAGGACTCCATCTGCACTCCAGGTTGGCTGCTCCGACGCAGTCTTAGAACGGTGACTCCAACTATCCGCTCCAAGTCGACGTGCAGACTGACCGACCCTACTCAGCCTCTACGACGTATGGCTATACTCTAGGCACACACACACGGCGCCCAATTGACAGCCGCGTGAACACGAACCTGCCCATCTCGAATGATTACGGCCCTCTGACCTCCCTAACACCACCCGGCGCGAGACAGTGCGAGGAAACCGGAGTGAAGACGCGAACGGACCAAACTTACCTTGCCTGAAAAACAGCTTTTCATCGCACTCGTACTCCAGTACCTCCACTCTCAACTCTCCTACGATGCAGCAGTCCCAGTCCTCTCCCGCCGCGAACACCGGCAACGACCAGACCCTCTCCGCCGACCGCCCTTCCGCCTCGATCGAACGCCTCCGAGCGGCCTCGCTCGTGAAGTCTTCCTCTGCGATACGCGTCAACGCCGAACCCAACACCCCGTCTTCGGGCAACCCGTGGGGGTCTCCCCGCGCGGTATCCCCGGTCAACCGCACGGGTCTCAGCTATGCCGCCATGTCGGTGCGACCCGCCTCACCTTCGCTTGCCAGCACGGCCCCGCCCGTAACCGCTGACGCCGGCCCCGCCTCAACCGAGCAACAGGCCGTCGCGAACGCCGCCACGCCAGCTACACCTGCGACGGAGTCCACCGTGACCGAAGTAAAGGTCAAAAGTAAGCGCAGCCGTCTCCATCTAGCTCTCCCTTCCTCACGCACACCAGCGGAAGAAGTCGAGCCCACCCTCGACACTGGACGTACTCGATCTGGCCGGCTGCCCTCGGCGCCGAAGAAAAAGGCCTCCAAGCCGAGAGGCAAGAAGGCCAACAAGCGTGAGCGCAAGCAGCCGGCCGAGACGGAAGACGAACTCCACGTCCCCAGCTCGTCGGACGTGTCTTCACCGTCCCCGCCATCCGCGGCTCCACGCCAGCCCAGCGACGTGCGCAAACGCCGCCGTGTTTCCACCGACACGGGCGACAACTTCGACGAGAACACCGGCACCGTTGACCGCGTCCAAGTCTCGCCACCCCCTATCTCTCATAACACACTCCAGGCTGTCAACGAGGCGATACTCGTCTCCTCGACCTCGCCGGTCAGCGGCGGCGAAGAACGCGACGACCCCCCTGCCGTCACCACCTCGGACATCGAGCCGGAGGACGTCGTTATGCGCAGCCCGGACGGGAGCGGTCACGCCTCCAATCACCCGCGTACGTCTACCGCTTCCACTCTAACGGACCCCGAACTGACGAGGCCTTACACACCTCTCCCCTCGCCCGGTCAACGACCTGCAGAGGGACAGCCGGCGCCACGACGCTCTCGCCCGCCATACGGCAGCACCGCCATGATTCGGCAGTACATAGAGGACCAGAACCCTCCGTTACGTACCATACAGTCCCCGGTGCATCGTGTGTACACGGAGAACGACATCGAGGGTCAGCGAGCGTTCCGTCACTAATATACTGTAACCTGTATCTCTGATTCAAATGCCATAGACCTCTACACGCCTGCTGGCTCCCCCGACGCGAGACAGACACGCGACTTACCTCCGCACCTCACGCCAGTCGCTGGCCCGTCACATCCTATGAATCCCGCCGCCCAGGTCGACGTCCCCTTCCTCGCGCAAGGCGACGCGACGCCCCCGGCGCTCTACGCAGCCGAACTAGCAAGCGCATCGCAGGCGCGAGCGTCCGCTGCCGACAAAGGAAAAGGGGTGCTCCGCCGGATGTTCGACAACCCGCTCGACTTCCCCTACGGCGACGCTCTCGACAGACCGCCTCCTCCTGCACGATCTCCGTCTATCCTCCACCCCCACCCTGTCCACTATGCACCGGGTCCCTTTAACGTCCCGCCCGCCGCTCCGATCGCCCTACCCACCAGTGCTCCCATACCTCCCTCTACGCTGCCCGCCGGCCCAATCGCTCCGCTTGCTCCGGCCCCCGGCGCGCCTCCACCGCGCACGATGACACGGACTCCACCCGGCGGCTGGATCCCAATCCAGGGCGACGACCTCGACTGGGCCTACCAGAACATTCTCCAATCGCAGATCGAGGAATGGGATAGAGAAGAAGGTGAATCTCTGTTCATTCACTTCCCCGGACAAGGCAGCGAGGACAAGGGCCACCACGGTCGTCTTACCACGGCAGAAACAATCTTTACGGTTCACCTTCGAGCCCCGAACGCACGTATTACGCAGCCCATCCCGGCGATAAAACCAACTACGCCGAACTCTAAACCCACGTTCTATCGCGTCAGTGATCTTACCCCTCAGCAACGTGCAGAGTTCATCCGCCGCCCTTTCGTCTCTACCGTCGACGGCACCATCGGCGTCTTCAGCACCTCACGCGAACCACCCACCTTCATAGGCGGATGGTGGCAGCCCGAACGTCTAGGCAAGACCGACGAGGAGATCGTCCTCGGGTTCCTAAAAGGCCTCACCTCCAAAGAGATCTACGACCTAGTCCGCTCACTCATCGCAGTCGACATCGGGACCGGCGGTCGGTGGCGTCATCTCACGGTCGAAGAGGCTCACCGCCTTGTTCTAAAGTCGGTCCGCGTCCGACAAATCAGAGTCCGTGAGGGGCGCGACGACTCTGACGAAGCACCTGTGGTCCTCCTCTATATAGAATCGCCGACGTCTGACGCGAACGGCTGGCACGCCTTCCGTACTCGTGTTCGCGAATTCGCCTTTGGTGGTAAGTATGCCGGCCCACCTACACTTGTGACACAGGCGTTCTTCTGCCTCTACTGTCACAGCACAGATCACCCCCCTAGCGCGTGCACCCTTCCTGCGATACCAGGCTGGCACGGCCCGACTATGGAGCAGGTCCGCGAAACCATTGCCGGCGCGCGTCGCGCCATGGAAGCTGACCAACGTGCTGAGCAGCGCGCAATCGGCGCCGGGCGAGGAGGTCGTGGCGGTCGTGGTGGCCGCGCACGAGGAGGTGGTGGCCGTGGTCGCCGTAACGGTACGGGCGCGGGACGCGGTTCGCGTAACGGCTACTCATAGAAGTATCGTAGGCATCTCATATCCCTCCTGAATGTATCCTTGTCTGAGCTGTACGGTCTTCGTTTACGACTATAAGCACTATTCTCTACGCGACAAACTAGTCTACGCACTTCTCGCGTGCCCGCCCAGAACACTGTCACTTACTAACCTTCCAACCGTCAGGAACACGACGGCCCACATTTACTGACCGCTCTGCGGGACAGGAAAGCCCGATGGTCCCTGACGCGATCCCCACAGCAAACGGGGCACTATTAGACTTGTCCCGGCCGAGAGGCCACGCTACACTTCTAGCATGTCCCCTGAAGAGACCAGGAGCGTCTCTCGACTCCGACGGATCGTTGTAGTCGGATGCGCGTATACCAACGGTGAACATACATGATAAACAACCCCCCACGGACGTATCTCTGGCTCCCGGTACACCTCTCCTCCACCCGAGAGAGACCACCGTGTCCCCCGCCCCCGCTGATCTCGATGATCGGATGGAGGAACTCGGCGACGGGGCTGCCTCGGCTGCTCTACCTAACTTGCCCTCCCGACTTGACATCCACCGAGGCCGACCACCACGGGCATTACTGCGTCCCACGGCTGGTCAACCCAACATACCCTCCGGACGACGCACAAAGGCGAGCCTCAAAGTTTGCTCCCTCAACCTCAACGGGAAAGGTGGTTCGGCAGGCTCCCCGAACCAAAAATGGAACGAACTAAATCAGCTTCTTCGCGAAGACAAGATAGGCCTTCTGTGCCTACAGGAAACCCATCTGAACGACGAGGAAGTCAACATGCTCAATAACCTGTACGGCCGACGCATGGCTATATGGAACTCGCCCTCGGAAGCAGCATCTTCCCGGCAAGGAGTCGCGATGGTGCTTAACAGAGAGCTCGTCGATACAGCTAATGTACAATTCTATGAAATTGTCCCCGGACGAGCTGTACTGCTCCGCTTCCACTGGCACGCGGACAGATATCTCACTGTCCTCAATGTCTATGCCCCTAACGCCCCCCACGACAACGCTGCCTTCTGGCGGCTCCTCCTCCAACTGGCCGAGACTGGCCAACTCTGCCCCCAGACGTCGTGGTAGGCGACTTCAACCTTGTAGAAGAAGCAATTGACCGCCTACCGGCGAAAGAAGATAACGCCACCGCTGTCACCTGTCTGCGTGCCCTTCTCCGCCGTTTCAACCTATATGACGGCTGGCGCATCTCGGAGCCCTCCCGAAAAGAATTCACCTACCCCCAGAGGGGCAGCCTGTCATGCTCCAGACTTGACCGGATCTACTCTACAGTGGACCTGATTAACTCCTCCAACGAATGGACGATCCGAACCACCGGAGTCCACACAGACCACAGACTCGTCAGCGCGGCCCTGAACGCGTCCAACACGCCCTACATCGGACGGGGCCGATGGACGATGCCATTACACCTCCTTGCAGATGATCAATTCATGCAAGAGGTCGCCGAAGTCGGAAAAACCACACTATGCGAAATGAAAATCCTCGCGAAGGCCCCGTCCCGAGACCAAAACCACACAATACAACACGCCCACGCCGCTTTAAAACACGCGATTCAACAGATGGCCCGCAAACGCCTCAAAACAAAGATTCCGAAACTCGCTGCTGAAATCCGACGCCTGACGGCACACATTGCCGCCCTCGAACGCGCCCCTGAATTCGCCACGTCGCCCTCTTTGCAACACACCGCAGCGGCCGTGACTAACCGCATCCTCGAGCTCGAGCGACGCAGGTACTCGTCAGCGAAACTCAGCACAACGACACGATATGTGCTCAATGCTGAACGTGTAACGAAATATTGGTCCGCAATTAACAGAGACAGGAAACCGAGAGACGTCATATACGCTCTTCGCGACCCCAAATCTTCCCCCCCTACCTTTGTCAAGCGATCAGACCACATGGCCGAGCTGGCTAAAGTCTACCACGACGAAATCCAACTCGCTGACTCACCTGGTTGGTGCACCGAATCACAGGAAACCGCCATACGGGCCGTCCTCTCTGGCATACCATCGTCGCTGGACCACGCTGACGCAGACAGCCTGTCCTGCGATGTTAGCAGCGACGAAGTAAAGCAAGCCCTGCGTAGTACACAGACCGGCCGCGCCGCAGGCGTTGACGGCATCCCTTATGAATTCTGGTCCGCCCTCACAGGCGCCCACTCCGAGGACGGGGCCTTCAACAGCCTGGACTACCTCACACTCGTCTTCAACGACATCGAGACGTACGGCCTAATCGCTGACAGCACCTTTGCAGACGGCTGGATGTGCCCTCTCTACAAGAAGGGAGACCGTCGTGAAATTAGTAACTACCGCCCCATTACCCTCCTAAACTCTGACTACAAGCTGTACACTAAAGTACTCACAACTCGTCTTGGCCAGGTAGCAGATAAACTCATCCATAGAGACCAAGCCGGTTTCGTACCGGGCCGCCACATCGAAGACCAGACACAGACGTGCCGCGTCCTTGTGGACTACGCCGAGGCAACTGAAGAGAATGGGGTCATTGTTGCCCTGGACCAAGAGAAGGCTTACGATAAAATCGACCACAGCTACCTCTGGAGCACGCTGGACGCCCTCCAACTCCCCCCGCGCTTCGTCAACAAAGTGAAAGCCTTGTACGCGACTGCATACACTCAGGTAATGATCAACGGCGAACCGAGCTCACGCTTCCGAGTAATCAGAGGCGTCAGACAAGGTGACCCACTTTCCTGCCTCCTCTTTGACCTAGCCATAGAACCTCTGGCACACTCCCTACGCTGCTCCGACCTCCATGGCTTCCAGATCCCCGGGGCCGTCGATCGCCTCATCACAAAACTTTTCGCTGATGATACGTCCGCCTTTCTGAGTCAGCACGACGATTGGGATCAACTGTGGCGGCTCCTCTCCAGCTGGTGTACTGCCGCACGTGCCAAGTTCAACGACGGGAAGACTGAGGTCATCCCCGTGGGTACCGACTCCTACAGACTCTCAGTACTCTCCACCCGCAAGCTTAACCCCAACAACCCTGCCTCCGTGCTCATCCCCCCTCACGTCCGCATAGCCAGGGATGGAGAGCCCGTACGAATACTTGGAGCCTGGATAGGAAACAAAGTCGATCAGGTCGGTGTCTGGGCACCAGCCCTCCAGAAAATACACACCTTCCTCGAACGATGGGGAAAGTGCCGCCCATCCATGATAGGAAAACGTCACATAGTGCAAATGGGCCCAGGCGGGATATCCCAATACCTGTCAGTCGTCCAAGGTATGCCGTCCTCGATCGAATCCGAACTCACTAAGGCAATTCGCTCCTTCATGTGGGGAACTGACGTGTCTCCCCCATAAGTCTCCGCACTCTACATAGGCCTATAAAGCAGGGCGGACTTGGCCTCCTCGACATCAAAGCGAGAAACGAAGCTATCAACCTCATGTGGCTCCGCCGCTACCTTACCCTTGACAGCGACCGCCCCGTCTGGGCCTTCGCCATGGACACCATTATTAACAAGCATGCCACGAGAGATGCGGGTGCCATACGCCCGAAAGCGCAAATCAATTCCTACCTCCAAAGCTGGTCCCCATCCACCCAAGCCCGATCTGGTCTCCCTTGGTACATAAGGGACATGCTCTCTGCGGGCCGCAAGTACGGGGTCCATCTAGAAGCCCTGAAGGTCGATAGCTCTCTCAAATCCCAACTGCCCTCCTGGTACCACCTTGGAGCCACGAAGGCACTCAGGAAACTGAACAACTCGAAACTCGCCGACTGCCTACGCGACCACCACGACGTCACTCTCCTCACTGACCTCCTGAAACTAACCCGTGCCGCCTGTGGAAACTCTCCCCTACCTCCGCTACCTCTCTGGGGACGGACAAATGCCCATGCACCGACTGCTCGCAATCCAGAATTAACGGATGTCACCACCCGTCCAAGTGCCGCGACGCAGCTTTTCGACTCCTCAGTGAGATCCGACCCAAATGGAATCCGCTTTTCGAGAACTACACGGACGGGTTTACACTCACGACACGGCGACGCTCAAAAAACCTCGAGGCCAACCTCGACGACGGCGACGCCCTCCTCTTCGACCCCTCGATCACGGCCCGCGGTGGCCTCTCCGAAGCTTTCAGGGCTTTCACAACCCTTAACTCTACCGATTGGCCGCCGTCCCATCGTGTCCGACCAGGACGCCCCGTGCCGGAGGAAACAACAACGATTTTCATCTTCCGCACCCTACCTCAAACCGAGCGGAATCGGATTGATAGACCTCCCGGGGTGGCCCCGCAGCCGCATGTCGTATGGTTCGGAGACGCAGACCCCGGAACGCCATCTTCCACCCGCTACAAGACATGTCCTCCCACGCGGACATCCCTGCTGAGTTGGTAGCCGCGGCGTACGCCACGAGCGTCACTCCACTGGATGCGCCCCTACATCTCCTATGTGCCTCTGACGACCTAGTTGAACTGGTCTTTGACAAGATACCGCGATGGGAAGAGCGGGGTTGGATCGACGTCCTGCACTCCGAATATGTGCGGGCCCTCCTGAGTCGACTACGCCAACGCTGCGCAGTCACCTCTTTCGGTAAAATTACTTCACCTGAGAACTGGAAAGCCCTTGACTCTGCACGACAAATGGCGTCCGGCCCACTACAAAGTCATCTCCTCTGCCTGGACCGGTTCGACCCTACGCGCGACCCCAGGTTCGACATCTCTGGTGCACGGCTATGCTCCATGACCCAAGCCCTAGCCTACAAGGGTATCATCGAATGGACCGCCACACCTGACCGCCCACCACAACCAAGAATACCGCCGCTATTCGCGCCCACCGTACTGAAGCTGGCCCCTACCAGACAGTGTACTTTGGGCCAGTCTCAGCCACAGCGACTTTAGCCGCCCTTCTCGGTCTTCCTCTGGAAGTGCGTGCACGGCGCCCTGCGGTGTGGGACCTACTGGCTTAAAATACCATCATACTCGGACCGCGCCCTCTGTAGTTTCTGTGGGACGCTTGAAACGGAATCGCACATCCTTTTGAATGCCCCGCGACGGGTCAGTCCACCGTCTGGCAGACTGCGGCCACCCTCTGGATCAGAAAAGGCTTACTTTGGCCGCCCCTCTCCGTCCCGGATATTCACTCTCTCGGTCTCAAGATCTGGAAAAGCGACACGGGCCGTGCGCGACACGGTGCCTCACGCTTCTGGAGGATACTAATCTCTGAAGCCACACACTTGATCTGGAAGCTCCGCTGTGAGCGAGTTATCGGCCATTCGGATGAACCACACTGGGAACACAGCGACCTTCAAGTCCGCCGTCGTTTCACTTACGTTATGAATAATCGACTCTTGATTGACGTCGCGACAACTCATAAGAAGTACGGGAAACTAGCACGAAAGTCGGATCTCGTGCTCGCCACATGGAACGGAACGATCCTTGATGAATTGGCGCTCCCGGAAGACTGGACAAAGTGCAAAGGTATTTTAGTGGGTAGTGTCCCGGTTTTACGGCTAGATTTTGACCCGGGCTGACGAGTCCCACACTGACTGTACAGTCGTGCGTAAAAGCATTTTTTCTCCCTGGATTGCACTGACGGACACCCGTCCGCAAGCTGGACGTGTCGGGGTCGACCAATTGTCGCCTGCCGCCGTCCGTAAAGCCCTCCAAAAAAAAAAAAAAAAAAAAAAAAAAAAAAAAACTACTACTGTAAGTCTGGACATCAGTGAGCGACAAACCTTGAACATACTGAGCCATGACCATGGTGTCTCTGTTTTGTGCTACTACTAATCACTCTCTCAACCTGATTTCCAGTCCTGCAAGGGCGCGCCAGTCGACATCTTCAATGATCGTGGCAATTGTTCGGACGAGCATAGTTCTGAATGTCCGAGGATACTTGCATGCAGCTTGGGATAATATGAAGGTATACGGCCCGCTCGAGCACTTGGTCATACAAGGGACATGATGGGGAGAGGCCTAGTCAATGTATACAGCGTCCCCAAATTATCTGTCGTGGATCGTTCGTCAACACAATCCTAAGTACACAATATCACAAGAGATCGAGCCGGAGACTTTTACAGACTATACAAGAGGACTAGATTACACCGTTCAAGAAAGATATCAGCGACAAGATGTGTCCGAAGCCTTAAGTCTAGATACAGCTCTTGGTCACCAGTCAAGCTTCAAGTACGACGCGCTTTGACACCATAGGTATCCACCCATCCGTGAAAAGTCCGCCTTTGCTAGTGACGACGCGCCGATCGACAACTACACGCATTCCTATGGCGAGAACTGAAGCAATTCGTACCCTCAGAGGATCGATTGCATCGGGGATGCCAGTGGTGCCACACCCCGCATATGTACAGAAGTAGAATGTGACCGTCATCGTCAGGCATTTGCGATGCAAAGCGATCAATGCATCGCTCAGAGCCGGCCAATCGAAGAACTCCCGGAGAAAGTGTTGTTCGGAGGAATAGAAGTGGAAGTCCACAGTGCGCAATTCCGTAGAGGTAATCCTCGACAGGAACAATGGGACGTGGGGCCAATGATCTCGGGAGGAGAGACGGAAGGTGAGTGAGAGGGACTTCAGACGACAATGATTAGCCAAGTCGAGATGTTCCAGCCACACTGAAACATAATCACAGTCTAGTCAGAGATCTGACATTCAGAGTGCCACAAAACTGCCACTTACCGTCACTGGACGTGAAGGCAAACTCGAGGTGCTCCAATGTTGCTTCTGCTCTGCGGAACATCGGCACCAGCACAGGCAGAAAGTCGTCCCATCCAGCTACCATTCCCTCATCCGTCCATCCCAATCTCTTGAGCCGTAAGTCAAATGGGGGAACCGTTAGCGCCGCCAGTAGCTCGGACAGCGCTTCTAGCCGTGTGACGAAGTTGTCTCCCATGATATCTTGTATAGTGATACATCCCTGATGACGCCTTGCGACAAAGTCCTGGATGGCGGTTCTCTCGAGAGGCCACGGTTCTACCCGCCGGTGGTCACTAATGTTATGCGCGTGCAGGGAAGAGACTGTTGGGAAGGCCCCGAGGAACTCCAAAAGTTCGCTAGTGCTTCTGAGCTCCAAATAGTTGTAGTGAATCGCTTTGAGGCGGGGGAAGACGAGAATCGAGGATATAGCATCTTGCAAATTGAAAGCCTCGTCATCGGACCATAAGTATTCCATGAACGCGGTTATATTGAAGTGCTTGACATAGAGAACCTCGACCACAGGAAGGCGGCGCGAGATGCTGCGCAACAATTCGTAGGTCATCTCTGTGTGCTCCTGGTAGTAAGAATCCCCCATCGGCAGCTGAAGCTCCCGCACTCCGGATGCAACACCGGTGCCGAGCTGATCAGATTCCTCTAGAAGAGACAGGAAACGGATGGCATCGTGTTCTGTGTTCAACACGATGGTCCAGAGAAGGTGCAATCGCGTCGTATGAGTCCATGCGCGACAGATGAAGCTGCAAGACTTCAAACTTTTGAGGTCGCCGTGAAGGTGGTCCAGGGCACGTTCCTGGACCTCCAAGGGTAGCTCCGACGGTGCCATGTCGTGTGTCCTAGTAGACGGGCTATCATTCGTCAGAAACACATAGAAAGGTCAATAAAGCATCCATTCAAAACTCACCTCAAGTATGCACACTATGCAGACTGCGTCCGGTTGGCTACAAGCTGAGGGCGACTCAATGAACAGCGTACAGCGTGAACTAGCTCTACAACGTACAATACTGTATCCGCTTGCGCAGCGACACAGAGAAGTACCGTAGCTTTGACCTGATTGCGCCCGACGATTTTGGTTTGGAGATCGACGACGACGCACGTCGCGCGTCTCGCGGCGATTGCGTGGCGCCACTTACGCGCTCGCACGTGATCGCGAAGCGCTACTTACCCCGACGTCTGACGGTGGGACGACTCGCGACTGCAAGAGTCCGACCCAGTCTACTTACTAATTGTATGCCATCAGTCGCCGCATCAGCCTTTGCTAAGTGCACTAGGCTACTACAGCGAGAGCGCCGTGGCGCATGCCGGTTTGTATGAACATAGTCGGATATTTCTGCCAGTGGTATACTAATTGGAGCCTAACTTGCCAGTCCACTGGCAAGACTACATACCGCGCCCAGAACGTACTAGTGTCATGTATGTACGTCTATCGTGTATGTCTGCTAACGACGGCGCTGACAAGACAAGTTCAGATGCCCATGCGACTTCTGGCGTCACATGCGGTAAGGTATGCTCAGCGATCGGAACTGCATACTTTTCCTCACATCGTTTCTGTCTCCAGCTCCAAGTCTGCACTGGGGAACTAGCGACGACCAAGCGCCAGTGCGAGAAAAAAGTCGGCGGAGCTTCCACCTGTGCCTGAAGTATGATATATCTGGACGCTGCGCGCTAGCAGAGAAGATACCTTGCTCACGATACTTTGTCTCCTTCGTCAGTTGATAGGCGACTCACGTTCCGAGGCAGAACCTCCCATCCCTGTGTCCGCGTGGCGTTGGGAGAATACGTGTAAGGTGGCTTGCAGTGTGGCCTTATTGAGTCCGTTCATTATCAGGAATGCATTGTTGTAACAGAATCTTAGAAGAACGTAGGCATCTCGTGTCGCTGATGGATCGTCGTTTTTCATAACCCGCATTGCTCTCACATGCGACTCGTAGAGGAATCGCCAGTCGGTGGGTTCGGACAGCACACTCGCTGCGTCGGCCGACGGTCAATGTAAGCAATCACCAAAGAGAAGGCTCAGTCTCTGTCAATGCAATACAGGTGAGTTCGTGACTTCCAGAGATATCTCACATAGTCCTGCCAAAGTCTGCAGCATTTTCCCTGCGCAGATGTTTGATGACTCCTCCTCGGTAAGCCATCGCTTCGCCGTGTGAACTAACTGACAGAGGGAACGAAGCCCGGGACCTCGATGGAGGACGTTCGTCTCAGGTTACGAAATGCGCGCAGTGCGGGATCAACACGATGCTTTGATGAAGAAGCACCACGCATACGGATTGAACGAGGCTTCTTTCGAATCCCGGTGCCTTTCATGCCGAATCAAACCCAATCACCTTGACCGACTGCACCTCGGACGACGCGCAACCCTGGATGCATACGACCGCTCCGCCTGACACTGTACGCACGACACAGTGAATGAATCTTCTGCTGACTGACTTGCTTACCCTGCAGCCACCCACGCCTCTGCGTGCTTGATGCCGAAGCCGGGTCACAGACACTAGTAATGTCATCTGCAAGGCGAGGAAGAGCTGACCAGCAAAATCTCTGTCGGGCTAGGCAGCCGAAGTAGTGCAGTCCGTGCGCTGCTGTATGTTTCTATCGGATACATGTGCCGCAGGGGTTCACCGCCGATACTCACGAAGGACCCTGACAAGAAGACCAGAGTACATATCCTATCAACCAGCTCACGGAGAAACACCTCGTTGGCAAACCGATGTGCCGGCGGCTGACGTGAAGCCGTCTTGCCTAGGTACGTCGCTGGCATGCAACTCTATACAATTTACTATCGCGCCTTTCAACTTGCAAACTCGCCGGCGTCCCACTGGTTGCCCCGTGACGGACGTAGGTCAAAAAACGCCCAGAAGGATCATCTAGAATGCGCAACGTGTATCTGGCCCTGGATAACACGCGACAATTGTTTGTATTGCAGTGGCTTTTGAGGGGCAATCCTCAGTGACGTGCCGGCAGAGCTTTGGTAACACAAGGAGTCTTCTTTGGCGCAGCGATGAAGCATCTTCGGACCAGCAGCGTAGGACATATCCAACAGAGTGCGAACGACAGCACAACTTCAAGATGTGCCAGCCGATACAATATTTTCTTCAGCATTTTTGATCGAACGCGGCGCGGCGCCCGGGTGATACGCAACCATAGAGTAGGGGCCATCGCCAGAGCGGGATCTTTCCCCAAGGTTGCGCTCAATGGGATCGCTGTCGCTGTGCTGTCGTAGAACACGTCCGGAGCCCGGACAACGCAGCCGGCAAGTTTGGATTTGCCGCCGCCGATGGGCGGAAGACCGTCCGAAGGCCTCATCTTGGTGTTACTTTGGTCGCAACTATGGCGGCGATGCCAGTTGCGAATTCATCATCGTGTCAGGGGGGATCTCTCACTGCAATTTACTGAGTGCGAGTGCACTTAGGTGACTAGGGAGCTCCGTGACTCTGGAAGGAGTCGATAATGTGATTACAGAATCCCCCGCGCAACAGCCGAAGGAGGCGCGTAAAGCGGTGCGTGGCGTGTAGTTTTCGGCGAGAATGAATGCGTACCAACTCCGATCCAGTGGGGGTAGGACCAATCGTCGATTGGATCCGCGCAAGAAGGTTCAAAATCACATCGGGGGAAGGTGCATCCCGACGCGTCGAGGTTTCAGCTCTACCGTACGTTACATTCTCCTCTAGGAGTACGAATCGAGCTACGGGCCGTAGATTCCATTCCTATGTAATTATTGATGTGTCCTTCTCAGCTTCGAAACACTTCTGTAAGGGGATAAAACTCGGAACTGGTCACGTATAGTTTTCATTTCACCTCGCCAATTCCGCAACGAGCTGACGAAGTGAGTACAGACCTAGACCGGCTGCTCGCATGGCGGAGGCGAAGTCGCGCTGAAGGCCGACAGTGTAGCTGCTGTAGCATGCACAGCACATTCATGTGGCTGTGAAGGTACACACAACAACGCGACCGTTCCGAGTCGGCGGAGGCGCTTTCAGTAATCGCGCTGATGCAAAGCCGCGGCGCTGATTCTACCATTGGGCACATGCTGTCAACGTGGATCGTGGGAGGCTCGGAAAGATCGCATCGCGGTGCTTAGGGGCAGATCGAACGAAGAAGATCCGCGAGGCGTTGGTTACCGACTCGAGCAGTACGTACCTTCACCGGGGGCACGGCCCAATAATCCACCCTGGGAAATGTTGATTTTACGCTGATCTTTGTCATTCTATGCAACCAATAAAAGAGGACGATACATTAAGATGAAATCAATAATAATCACTTCATGCAGTAGCTGGCAGCATTGCGAACGAACCGGAACAGCATTCATTGTTAAATCACAATAAATCTCAGATGTGCCACCCTGCCACTCCTTGATCATATGCTGAGAACATTGAAACATTGATCACGATGTGATCAGCATGAGTCCACGGGTAATATCCTAGCATTATCTTGAACACATAGGGATACCATTCTAAAAGGCTTCACAATGTTGTCAGCTATCACACTGATGCTACATCAGGAACACATTGGTAGAGCTTTATAAATGAAAACACAATGATATACCAATGTGATCAGAATATCATTTCAGCAATCTCAGCATGTAGCATCATGCAACATAGAGATCAAATCATGAATTGGCTCAGAATGAAATCTGTATGTGGCCATTGACCATATAAAGGATATCCTTTCAATGAAAAAAGCATATTATCTCAGCAATCTCAGCATGTATCATCATGCAATATAGATATCAAATAATGGATTGGCTCAGAATGAATTCTGTATGTAATCATTGATCATATACAGGATATCCTCCCAATAAAACAAGCATATTATCCCAGCAATCTCAGCATGTATCATCATGCAATATAGATATCACATAATGGATTGGCTCAGAATGAAATCTGTATGTGATCATTGATCATATAAAGAATAACCCCCCAATAAAACCAGCATATGTCATCATGTATCATATATCTCTGCAAATGAGCAAATGAGTTTTGACATGGTCATGTATGCTCCATGCAGGCCACTGCTCATCTATGCTACTGAGTAGAGTCAGTTTCAATGACTGTGGTCAGGAACATACTACAGTCATTCTACCCATGGACTGTTCTGTCATCTTACTAGTAGCACAGGGAGCCCAAAACCTATTGCCTATAATTGGGTGAAAACTCATACCTTGCCATATTCAGCCCCTGCACATTGCCTATAGTTGGATGAAACCTATAGTTGGATGAAAACCCATCTTAGTCAGCTCCAGAACAAAACACATTGCCTATAGTTGGATGGAAACTCATCTTAGTCAGCTCCAGGCTCCAGCACATAACCTATTGCCTATAGTTGGATGAAAACCCATCTTAGTCAGCTCCAGAACAAAACATATTGCCTATAGTTGGATGAAAACCCATCTTAGTCAGCTCCAACACATAACCCATTGCCCATACTGGGATGAAAACCCATCTTAGTCAGCTCCAGCACATAACTTATTGCCTATGTTTGGATGAGAACACATCTTACATAGTTAGCAAACAGCACCTCGTACTAAGTGGAGCGCGACCGTCGTGCACGCCCACCCCGTCCGGCACGATCTCAATGCCCTTCATTAGCGTGCCCGCACCACGCAAAACGACTTCACATCTCCTTGCGGACCCATCGCACCGCGAGCGACACCTTCACTAGCCGCGGCATTACACGATCTCTGCGTCCGTGAAGTCGCGCTCGACGACCGTCGGCTTCCATGAGAGCATGGACGAGACGAGCTCTGCCCATGGTGTCAGTTCTAGGAGGCCACTGGCAGAGAGATGTGCGGTGACCTTGGTGGACGCCAACACCACTCGACCTGAGCGCGAGCGTCGCCGTCGCCGCTTCACGTTGGCCTTGTCTACCGCAGCCTCCGTTCAATACGAGCTTCGAGAATGCATATGAGCCGATCTTGGGGCTACACGACGAGCGCGGGAGCGGGTTCAGCATCACGCTCGCCCTCCTTCGTGGACGGCGGACCATCCTTCACGCGCGCGAGCGACATCTCCTCATTGCCTTGTACGCCAGCCGTGCGCGCCGCACGTGCCCCGGGCCCCCGCCTCATAGGCAGACGGATCGAGTGCACCGAGGGAACGCAGGTTGAGCAGGTGCCATCGATTTGGCCGAAGTTGAAGGAGAGCTGTTTCGAAGGATGAGAAACTTGTAGGGGACGAGTCGATAATTCTTTGAATTACCATGATATCCATGCGGATGCCGTCGGTGTATATAGACTTCTAAGGTAAGTTAGCACGAAGTACGTGTAGTCTTTGAAGTGCGAGTCATTGCTGCTGCGCATCTTATCGTCACATAGAACCGAGGGCGGTGTTGCGCTGCGTCCTGTGGATAGTCGAGATGATGTTCCAATCGTGAGTCTGTAATGTAACAGATCAGCGCACACTACAGCCCCCAAGGACATATCACATACGTTCGAGCCGGTACCAGTACCGTGGACGAACAGGACACCACTGCCATTGCCATACTGGTGCCAACCTCGGACGGGCACATGTACTCATAGATGTCGTATGGAAAACCGATAACGCGAGCTTGGTGCAGTGTGCACATGTACATCGAATCCCCGTTGATGCCGAACAAAACAGTAAGGGATCAGCAAGGCAGAAGACGGAATGGGTCGAATTGGGAATCAATATACAAAAAAGGAGGCACAAGAAATACTGAGGCCTTGAAGCTGGGCCCAAGAGAGAGATTTGTATCCGAATGCTCAGCATCTACTCGTTGTGAGACAAATTAGTGCACGTTTAACATATGATATAGTACACACGTACCGTGCTGATCATGCTGGGTCAATGTGTGAGCACGTATCCAGCCAACAACTGCATAAACCCCTCGACCTTCATGTGTCGCATTAGTGCACAGTAGCTCTTCCGTGTCCATCACACACGCACCTTGTTGACCGTGATAGCAATCTCCTCAGGACTGACCACCATGGGATCGTCACCATCCCTAACTTCTTCGAAGAACCGGATGTGCGCCACTCGGAGCGTGAACTGGTTCACTGAGGCCCTGACCTGGGCGAGGGCATTGACGCAGAGGTCGCGATGCTGCAGTGCCTAGTAACGACGAGATCAGTGGACGTGCGAACTGATGATAGTCGTGAGGGGCCCTGACCTGGGCCCTGCTTAACGTTACCCCTGGGACCGTCTCATATCTATGGGGTTAGATGACCGGCGTGAGTCTTGCCCAATGATCATAATAGTTAGTCGTTGAACGTACTTCACCAGTCCGCGATGGTTGATTCGGACTGCGCCTGTCTCTTTGTTGTAGGATAGACGTCGCCTTCGTTGCTAATTCGCGATTTCAGTGGCATGACTCGTGACGCAATGGAAAGAGACTGACCTCTTTCGCGAGAGCCTTTCTAATGAAGGTCTTGTAGTGCGGGCCAGATTTCCGACCCATGATTGCATCCACGTCTCGAACTAGGCTCCCGCCCTATGAGCCTACTCACGCAGGGTCACCTAGCTCGATCACTCACCCAGCGCCGAGATTGAATCAACATCAAGCTCGCGAGTGCCCCCTTTAACGAACCAAGTCAAGGCCCTTTCCACGCCTGGCACACAGCATGAGGTGACCCATTACATCAGCGAACCAGACGACTTACGGGTCAGGTAGGTGGGAGCGGGGCGACCTTGCGGCATTTGGGCAAAAAGCAGAGACAAAGGCTGAATCGTCGGAGCAGTGTCGAGTGTCTCAACAACGTTAGGGCGAGGAAGCGCGAAGGGGGCAGGCCTTAAGTACCTGCAGCTGCAGCATCTAAGCGATGTTGCATTGTGCCTTAGGCCGCCACACCTCGGGCTCATCTACATGTGATCTCCTTGCACAAGCTGTAAGTGCGTGTACCATGGGGAGGATGGGATTGCACTGTCGGGCGCGTGCGAGGGCAAGGGGGCTTCAAGTCGCTTTCCACTTCGGCGGAATCCATCTCGCCCTGCGGTCAGAGTCGGGGATGTGATTACGAGTAGCACGAGCGGAGAGACAAGCTTGCGACAAAGGTGGGTGTAGAATGCAGACTGGAGTGGGGAAACAAAAAGGAAACCAAGGGCGAAGAACGTCTGCTTGCGATCTACGAATCTGCGTGAGACTCCGGAAGCCGGCGCACGTGTAATAAGCGCCCGACACTGGTCCGTCCTCGAAGGGCGGATGTCATAGCAGTGGGCTGTGCGAACCCTGCTGGGTACCGTAACGTTGGAGGTATGCGAGTACGGGTTGCCCTGGCTGTCGTCTGCAGGAAGCCGATTGAACTGACCTTGACGAGGCGTTTAAGCTGGTCACGGACGAGGATGTCGCCAGAAACAGAGACGGGCTTGAAGAACATTTTGCTGCGATGCGTGACCTCAGACCGGACGCGGAACACAAGGCCAGTGCCCGCTTGGAGAGGCTTGGACTCATCGTCCCATTCGAACAACCCACTCAGGCCCTATGACGATCTCGAAAGTGTTCTCGTAGTCGGAGTGTCGCTGGACCTCAGCTTCCAGTAGAAGTCTTTGATACGCGCCTTACGGCCTCGGCAACATCATGGATGGGGGTTTAGCCCGTGCTCGGGTTTTAAACGAGGTTGAAGTGAAGGGGCACGGAGACGCTGAGGCGATCCTTGAACAGCGTGACGTGGATCGCCTAAGACGCCGGATGATACTTGACCTCGACGGCCTTGTCAAACCTGTGATGGCGGTACGAACGATCGGCGTCGTGGAGGGCGACAAACACAGGCGTCTGGCTCCGACGAAGAGCGAAGAGGCGGCACATCGGGTTGGCGACGCGCGATGTACCCTGGACGATGGTCGTCGACGTAAGGAGGGCCCTGAGCCAATTTTGACAAGGGCCTGCGAGCGTCCGAGTCTCCAGCCAAGTCGACGCCTCAGGCAAGGCGCTTCCAACGGAATAGACGATTTTGTGACGCTCGACACCAAGCGAGCTGATGACTCTCTGGGAGAGGTGAAGCCTTCATACCGAGATAGTCGGTAGTCGGGATGCGACTGAGGTCGCCGTCGTAGAGGCACTTCGCCAACCTGTCGACGACGATATCGGGGATGTTGTCGAGCATCTCCTTGATCGGCTCGTCCTTCTTCGTAGCATGCTTCATTGCGACAGGGCCCTGGAGGATGCACACACGCTGCGGGCCCTGGTCGAAGACGGCCTCGATGTCCCCGGCTGCCCACAGAAAGTCCTACCCACAAGGTCAGCTACAGCTCCTTATCAGGCGAATCCAACATACCTTCTTGAACCACACCTCGAAGTTCGCGTCGAGGACGGGGATGAACGGCTTGTGGACGGCACCGGCTTCCGGCCTGGACGCTACGAAGTGGCGAGAAAGAAAGCCTTCCGGGTGCGTCGCGAAGAAGAGCTTGATGACGTCGACGGGCTTGTCCAAAGAAGAACAAGACTGTAGGATCGACGCCTTTGATCCGCAGTCAATGCCCGCGGAGCGTCCTCCACGCGGCGGAGCCAATCACCCGTCAAGTTTCTGAGCGACAGGTCGACCTAACGCTCCTCGTGCTTGACGTACATGAGACGGGCCGTACGAAAGACGACCTCCCCGTAGGCCATGTCGGCGATGTCTTCGACGACGCTGCCGTCCTTCTTCTACCCGAACCACGGCTTTGCGAAATCCTTCTTCAGCTTCACGACAATCTCTGCACGCGTCTCGTTGACCCACGCAGCGCGTTCCTGGCCATCTTTAGGACAACGTCATCGAACTCCTTCCACAGCTTGACGGCGCGCGTGGCAGCCTTGTGGATGGGCTCGCCGAGCTCAGACTTTACGGCCACAATGCCGCTGGTCTCCTCGGCGTAGGTTCTTTCTCGCTGAGAATCATCGACACCCTTCGCGGCGACGATGAGATCCTTGACTGAAGAGCTCGTGTGCCCCTGCTTGGCGACCATGACGCGAGATGCTAAAAGGAAACCGTCGAACGGCAGGGGCTGCATCCCGAACTTCTCGGCGGACCAGTCACCAGTAAGGCCAGACGGATGCCGTCGACGAATCCGGGCTTGAGTGAGACGTTACAGACGCCCGACGCCTTGAGACCAACGAAGATGTCCGCCGCCTTCTCCGTGCTATGATTACCGGCGGCGAGACAGAGACCCTCGATGAGCAGGCCATGACGGCGCATTTTCTGCTGTGATGGGAACTGGAAGCCGAACCGGCGTGGATTGATGTAGAACGAGTTGAGGGTGATACCAACACCAGCGGGGATCTTGCACTGACCTCCAGCGACCTTTGAGCGAAGCGCCGTAGCGTTGTAGTGTCCGTCACCAGCAACTTCTCGACGTGGTACCCAGCCGCCAGGACGACGCTGATGAAACCAGCCTTGACGGCCATGGGGGTCACACCAGCCGCCGTGATTGGCGGCTTGCCCAGGAGACGAGGGAACGGCGTTTCAAGGTGGATTTTGCCATCGCTATGCAAAGATTAACGCTGTACCAGCTGACGAATATTGTAGCGAACGTACCTCGTCCTGACGAGACGGGGCACGAAGTACCGACTCCACCACTCCTCCCTATTCACTGTCTGCGCGTCGTAAAATTCGACGATATCCCTCGACTTGTCTCCCGCGACGATGACGCAGACACCACGACCGTTGAGGCCTTGAGGCTCCGCGCCGTCAGAGGACCGACGCCGCTAGAGCAACCCGGGCCGAAGTCGATAGCATGTGTGGCGGTCGTAGCCTTCGCTCAGTGCAGCGAAGAAGAGAAAACATGGCCACCCAGGGAGCACGTCAGGCGCGTCCTAAGCTCGCGGAGATAGTTACCTATGATTAGTCCGATTGGCCCTCAGTATGAGCATGTAGCACTCACCGGTCTCGGTATGATAAACCGCCATACCCAGGTCCTCCTTCGTCCACAGCTCCTCACCACCCAAGTCCTCCTCGAACAGCTTCTCCGTCATCCCCCGGAGGTACTCGCTGTGGTAGAGTACGCCGACCACCAAGAAGCGCACAGAAAACACGGGCTTCCGCTGCGAGAACGGGATCTTGCTCTGGTCGAGGCCGTTCGGGGCGCGGACCTTGCGCAGGAGGGTGACGAGGCCGTATAGGGCGCGCGCAGGGCCCGTGACAACGAACGCCTTCGGCGCGTTGTGGGGCAATACGCAAAGCTACGAGTTCGCCGGGAGGTGCTTGTTCATGCTTTGGACGTGTTGCCCAAGATCCTTGAGCGCGAGCCCTCGCCGCCATCGATCACGTCTTCCACAGTGCTCGACTCGAGCGCGAGTACGGGGAACGCCTGCTGGCCGCGATACCGCAGTAGAACGGCCACTTCATTCCTTTCTTGCGGTTCTCGAAGTACGACTCGAGGCTTGTTGAGGCCGCGACGACCACGGCAGAGGCAACACCCTAGAGTGACCGGTCGCACCTTGAAGATTCTCGCGCATCTCGCCGGGGTCAATACGCGCCGCGCGGCAGGTGGCCAGGTATTGGGTGGGCTGCATGAGCCCAAAGAGGGGATGGGATGCGGGGACGGACGCGAGGTACGCGGTAGGAGGCGTGGGACCAGTGAACCAGGACATGAAGTCCAGGCCATGGGTGTGGTGTGCGGAGGACGAAGCACCTCTGTCATCTCAGCGAGGAAAGACGAGGCATAAGGCGTGTGCCTGCGGTAAAGCGATTGCAACTCGTCGAAATTGACCTCGTCTGTACCCCGTCAACAACTCGTAGATTTGACGCGCCAGACGTTGTGACAAGCGCAGGTGCTGATGCATAGCCTGGAGATACCAGCGACATTGATATTCCTTTCCTCTAGGGCCCCGAGAGCGTGGAGACAGTATACACGTCCTGCTATGACAAGTGAGGAGGAGGACCGCCTTGCAGAGAACGGGATACGGTGGCAGTCGGCTTTGACAGCGGCCAGCTAGTAGCATAGTCGTTGAGTGCGTAGTAGTTAGGCCCTTTAAGACCATTTGATTCCCAAGCGTGCTCGTCTAGCAGATGGATGAAGGGAGCGGTTCGAACGCTGATGATACTAATAGACTGTACTGGGCTTTCGAGACCAATGGGGAAGTGGGCACGCGGCTGCAGACTCACTTCTACGCGGTGCTCGTGCCTCGCTCGGCTTCGAATATGTAGCATACATCACAGGGCGTGCTACATATGACGTAGCATGTCGCGCGCCGTCAGTCACGGCATCTTAGCACGCATCAGTCTAGATAGATGCGGGTTTATTGTGCTTGCTATACGTTTAAGAATTGACGGTGGCGAGTTGGTTGACAAGCTCCGACAATTCAATGTCCTCCAGGGATTGCTCGACCTCCTCGTCCGTTGAGGGTGTCACGAGTCTGAGTAGCTATTCAATTAGGCGTCGATGAGCTGCACCCTACATCAATAGATGAACGGGACCACTCACCCTGTTCAGCTGCAGGACATGAACGCAAGGAGCGGTGATTTCGCCGACCGTCGTCGTCGTTCTGGCAAAATGCGAAACAATGTGATCAGGTCTGACGACTACGGGATCAGGCAGGTATCTGTCGTAGCAGAGACGACCCCCGACGTGAGGGAACCTGCGGTAGTCATCATAGCGGGCATCTTCCGCAGACAACTCGTCGAGGCGATCAATGGACAGGAAGACGTCTTCAATTGCTTCGCCCTTTTCTCCCCGCCTCATATGCGCGAAGATGCGGTTGATGCGCCCAGCGTAGAGGTCGTCCCCGCGGCCTGGTATGCGGAAAACTACGTTGCTATCCTTGACGGATTTCGACGCGGTCATGTATGATATGCCGTGGAGAACCAGACGGGTACAGTTAATTACTTTGTTGCCGAGCTGCCTGAGATTTGGAGCGACCCTGAATTCGCGAAAGTCAGCGAATGAATCGCGCCCGCTCTCGCCGTTCAGAAGAGAGATGAGTCCGCGAAAGGTATCGTCGTCGAGTGAAACCGCCACTTTGTCCTTGCGTACCGCCGGTTGCCGTCGAGCAGCCTCGTTTCCCAACATCGTCTCCCGCAATCTTGTGCCGCGTTTGTTTTCGTTGAACAGTCCCTCATAAGTGTCCACGAAGGCCTTAACGACAGAGCGAACGCTTTCCTTCTGTAAAAGGGCACGTAAATTCGCTGCACGGCAGGCCGTCGTCATGAAGGTGACCTCCAACTCCCCTGCACAGGTGTTAGTAATAGGCACCAGACGCGACAGATCTATTGGGCACTAAACTCACCGAATATCCTGGTTGAGTTCGTACGCTGCAGCACGAAGTTCATCCGCTCGGAGAAGAATGTTCGAACTGAATGCACTGGGCCGAACCTGCGTAGGAAGGCGCCAACGTGAAGCGCCATATGGTGGTTCACTTTGACCTCTGACTCCTTGTAAAGTCGCTTGAGACCCCGAAGGTAACGAAGGATTGCTGTTTCGTATGCTTGGATGTGGTGGTCGTCGATCTCCAACATACTGCTCATGACTATTGCGGTCACAAGGTCCATATAGTTTTGCAGCATGTCTGCCTTCCTGCCGGCCTCCTTTCCCCAAAGCCGGATGAGGGTGAAGGGGAAGTTGATTGTGCACGCGGAGAACCATTGATCAGCACTGAGTTTCCCTCGTTCCTTGGTCCCAAGATTTCTCGGCGCCGGATCTACCCAAGAGGGAACCACAGTCCGGCGCATATCGCTGTGTATCTCACCGAGTGTGCCACGACCTAGCACGGCGCGATGGTCGTCCTCGCCCTCGTGATCCGGCAGTGGGGGTATATGGGGCTGTCAGACGTAAGTTAGTATCCGTGTATAGTTACCGGTTGAGCGCACGCGTACGACACTACGTTGCGCATCCTCCGCCCTTCTGTGCTCAGTTGCGGCAGAACGGTTCGGTACCGCAGACGGACCTGGAAACAGTCAGACGATCATTGAACGGAAACCAAGGCAGGAGTATGGCATGCGTACGTACCCGGTGTCCCCTCCGGCACAGCACATGCCGACGTCTCGCGCTGATGCCCTTCGTCAGATGTGTCTCGAATAGAATATGCTCGGCGCTCACATTTCGAACGAGCAAACTAGCAAGTTGTGCCTTCTTAAGCTTCTCCAGATTCTCACCGTTCAAGCCTTTTCGTCGGCACAGCTCGATTAGCACATCCTTGTTGGATCCAGCAAGGGTCTTCTCTGGCTTTCCAGCCTCCAGAGCCTTCTGAGCCTTCAGGACGCCGGTAATCAGTTTGAGTTGACCATCGTCTGCAGGCAAGTCTTGCGACTGGGCCTTCTTGCCATTGGGATCTGCACCGACTTGACTGTCTCCTAGTCTTCCATAGCCATTCTGAACGCGCTGTGTGAGACACACCATTCGGAAGGTCAGTAGAATGTTCGAGTGAATTAGTCGAGACGTACCCATTCGAACAGGGTCTTCAGCAGCCTCTTAGTCTTCTTTGATCTTCGCAGATTGTGTCGATAACAGAGATGCCACAGTGTATTATTGTCGAGCCCGCGTAGTATCTCGTCGCTTCCATGATACAGGCATTGCATGGCATGGTCCATTTCCGCAGGAGTCGGTTGCCGAGGAGCGCTGCGCGGTATATCGGAGCCGTCCTCAAGATCCATCGACATGCCCCAGATATCCCGGCAGTGATTTTTGAGCAGCCCCAAGTAATGATTATGCATCGTGTCAACAATCGTGAAAAGGATGGGGTCCCAGTATGGCAGGCGAAGTAGTTCAGACCAACGCACGCCAGCCTCGTCAAATAGACGCTTTCGTTCCTGAGGCGAAGTAGCTGCCTTCCACTTGAGTGCCGCATCACGATGCTCTTTCGCCGATCGCATCGTCCAAGTCATGGGCTCGAGGTTCTCGATATCTTCCAGTCGTAGCTTGCAAAAGGTACAAAAGTTGCTCGCGCTGTGCGATCCATGTCCGGATACTTGACGGGCGGCAGGTAGATCGCAAACGAGGGGTACTAGAGCACAACGGACCAGCCTCCCACTTGGATACGACGCGGTGCGTGTGAACCTGACCCCAGGGTGCCAGAAGTCTAATAAATCGCTGACGAGCGGCTCCAAGAAGTGGTTGATTTCCTCGAGAGACGGCTCGGAGGGCCCCGGGACTATACCGACCAGGTACATGTTCTCGGGGAGGTAGCGCATATCAGGGGGTAGATTCATGCAAACCATATAGATACCTGATATGGACACCTTCTGTTTCGCCTCCTTGGCCTGGAACGGGTTGAATCCATCGACAGTCAGACTGAAGAGATACCGTCCCTCGCCTTCAGGGCCATCAATGAACGTCCGACCTGTCGCGTCTTTGAAGTTTCGGAACACTGGCGCATCCCATATATCGGAGCGAATGTCCGGCAGTGCGGCATGGGCCAGATTTCTCCGCGCGTCGATCACAGGCTCAATGTCCGGTCTGGAGAGGAATCGAGCCATCCATTCCTTCATGTTCTGATATACGTAGGTCTTCTCTGGGAAGGAGTATGTCTTGCCATTGATGGTTCGGCTCCGACAAAGCGTTGCGTGACACACCGCACTTGTAGCAGTGGCTTTGTACGAGCATGTCTCTGGACATTGTCGAGCGGGATACAGAGCATTGCATGTGGGACAGCAGGCGTACGGAGTCGTATGCGGATCCAGATTGAACTGATTGGTGATCCACCGTATGTCGGTATGCAGGTTATTCAGGAGCATGTGATCGTCTACGCCGAGTGCGCCGCCTCTGGCGAACTGAAGCGTGGATTGCACAATCATTCGAATACCGTGGAGAAGTGACGTACATCCCCGGCGAGGTAGGCGATGCAGCAGATTCATGGACAGGGCGACGAGATTGTATCCGAGGATGATGGGATTCATGACGTCGTATGATCGATAGAAAAACCGGTCTTGAATCCCTGTCAGTTTCGTACTGAAACAGTAGAATAGATGACGCACCGGTGTCAATGGACCGAGGGTGCATCGGACCAGGTTCGGTAGCTTGACCACTGGTGCGCCTGTATCTCTCCCACTGCTCCGCCTTCACGCGCTCGAGCCCATCCAACTCGCGGTGCAGATAGCTTAGCAAATCAGCGCGCGCTTTGTCGAGAGCTGCATCATTGTAGGCCGGCGCAGCGATCACATCCCTGACCAATGAAACCAACCATTCCTCCTGCTCCAGAAAAGACGCGTTTTCCGGATTCTTGACTGAGAGGGCATGAGGTCCACTGTTCGCTGGCGCCAGCGTCTGCGAGTCTTGTAGTTGGTAGGGTGGGGACGTCGCATCCGGCTTTCTTTGGAACACAAGTGGGCCAACGGGCCCGAGCATCACGCACCGCTTATGGGCGAAGTCGTGCAGATAGGTGATGTCGTCGCGGGCTTTCTGCGTCCAATCCACGTCAGCGGTGTTTGACGAGGACGCTATTCCATCCACAGGGCCTGCGGCGGCACCTCGATTATTTGAAGGCGGCCTTGACAAATCTGCTTGAAAGCCCGGCATAGGGGTAGGGTCGTGGCGAACAGCAGCGTCATCCAAGGCCTCCTCCATATTCTTTCGAACATGGCTTGAGCTACGCGAGTCCGGCGACGTCGGGCCCTCTGGCGACAAAGAGGCAGTCATGTCAAGATGCGGCTCGTTGAGCATGGCGGCTAGTTGGTCAGTCCTTTGTCTTCTTGTGTCGGCACGCCTTTTGGACGCGTCTTTAGGCACGTTAGCTCGTACTCGGACGTGATATAAAACTGCACCGCACATTTCCGTCGATGACGACCTGGTAAGGCCCTTGCATCAGAGGCACCTGCGGACGCGGTGCCGTCACTGTCATCCTCGCTCACGTTGGCCTCCAGATTTGCATCGGCTGCATCTCCAGCTACATCAGCGACGCTCTTTTTGCGTTGGCAGATTCAATACGACGCACCGTGTCCACTTGCATATTCGAGGAAGTCTCCTCTTGCACCGCCTAGAACGTGGAACCGTACGTGCAGGCTTGACAACTGCCCCACACCAATCTCAGACAGTCGATGGTGTAACGCCAACGGTGTGCTCCTGTAGGCATCGTAATATACCGAGCAGCGTAGTCGCTTCAGATCGGGGAGCAGGTGGCGCCGTCTCAGTTGAGAGAGCACATCTCCAATCGTATAGTCCGCCAGAACCACTGTGTCAAGCAAGGTCAACAATCGTTGATCAGCGCTCATCCCGAGGATGGCTCGATCAACACACCTGCAGGGACCGCTTTGCCTTGAGGCCCGGCTACAAAAATAGTGAATCTCTGCCCGCCAGGCTTCCCGGGCGACCTGCGAGGATTCAGGCCTGGCTCCAGAGCACCTAGCAGTGCCATAATTAAGGCCCACACGCCACTGACACTCAGTACTTAGGAATACTTACTAGAGCCGATTCGAGAGAGCGCGAGGAGGTCCAAAAGCCAGACACATATTGGAAGGCTGGACGCCCCAAACCATAGCAAAAGAACGATTAGGACGAAGAGGAGGCAGTCAGATGCTGCTGCGAGAGTGGCGACCTTTCGGTACGCGCTTCGAAATGATCGCCCGGTTCGCCACTCCCATCTGCGACGGGCTTGCTGGCGAATAAGTATATGCCGCTTCATACCCAGGAGTGTAGTACTGAGCAGTGGCGTCTGTTGTTGGGCGTGAGTAGGGACCGCAAGCTCGATTATAGGCGCCGGTTATGCTGGATGCATACAAATCTGGAGAACAAAAGGATCTTCTGGTCTAAGTTCGTCGTTGCACTTACAGGCCTGTGCGACCAAGACGTCCAGCAGTGCCCGAGTTACATCATGGTGTTGTGCTTGTCCCGGCTGCATACGACTTACAGCTGGCCTAGTGAAGTGCATATGACTGAACGACTGCCAGCTGGTTGACTGGCTCCCAACAGCTGGACGTAGGAAACAGTCATATATATACATTGATGGGGTGGAAGAGTAATTTGTACAAATGCGATCGTTCATACAGTACCCTGCCATCGTTGCCCCGTCTGGTGCGTACCCGACAAGGGCAGTTTGACGCAGGCATTAGACTTCTGAAACTCCTTGCCACGACAAAGACAGGGCCGCAAGCATATTAGACATTCGTCAGTGAGAGGGGGTGGTAATGAACTGAAACAGAGCAACCTACATTAGCTATGCGCCCAAAGGGTAGTGGACTATTCAGGCGATTGTCGGAACTTGCCAGCCCTGGGTACTGATTCAGCATTCAAGAGTTACACAGCAGAGCATCTTGGACACTCACGCTTGGCTCATAGTAATAAAGATGGAGGCAGAGGCAGGCCAGGCAAATGATGACGAGGTATAGGGGGACGAGGAGGAAATACGTGCCACACACGACCGACTTGTCGTGCATGGTGCCCGCACCATCGGGTTCATTATTCCGAGCCTGGAGCCCCTTTGCAACGCCTGGGATGTGGTCGTTACCAGGCGTCTTCGCCAGTATGATTACGAACTTACCGCCTTTGTCGCGATTCGGACGCTTCTCGGTACGACCAACCCGCAACCTAGCATTACCTGACGGCTCCTCGAAACGGAAAGGGAGGGGGGAGGGTGCACGCCGGTCCTCCAGGGCACCCTTGAGGCTAGCAGACGTGTTCACCGCCCGGGATATATACCGCGGTGCCGCCGCAATGTGATCCTGGGCGGCCGGGCTAGCGCCTTCATCAATCCGTTGGCTCGGGATGCGCTTGGAGGGCTCCGTTACAATCGATGACTGGCGAGCTGGAACGGCGTCGTCATATACACAAAACTCAATAACGGTGAGCGAATGATCGACGTAGGGCTGTACTCACGCCGGCCTGGTGCGGTCCACAATTTTACATACGTATGATCGCCCATCTCCGATGATCCGGTGGCAATGAGCCTCGTTTCCCCCTCGAAGGACGCCTGAATCATGGTTAGCTCCGGCCCCACGGCGATCGGGGTACCTCTCACCATGGCTTGTATGACATCTGATTCTAGATCGCAGCGTCACCGGGAAGCCTCACATCAACGGGCTTGGGTGCTTACCATGCCGCAGTACCTGCACCGGGAGAGTGGTCCCGACGTCGCAAATGCTCACGCGCCCAGCGTCGCTGCCCATCAGAAGGGCCGTACCGCCATGGATGAAAAGAACCGGTAGAGTGACATGGTGAGTTGGCGTGTACTTGAACGTACGAATGCGCTTGCGAGGATGAACCTCGTAGAGATCGAACCCATCGGCAATGTTATGTATCGCCAAACGTCCGCCGTCGGGGGCGAGGGACGAACGACCGCTGACAATGAGGCAAATGCGGTGATGAGTCTGGTTGATCGCACGAGGGGTTCCAAACGTACGTAGGGCCGTTCCGCGGCGATATGCGCCAGATGACCGCCGAGGCCGTTGCATCCCAACAGCTGAAGCCAAACAGGTGCGTCAGAGCGTCTCAGAGCATCTATGTCCCGAGACTCGGCAACGTACATTATGCCATGGTGTGCATAGGAAACCACCAATGACGCTGTGCGCCCTGATTTTGACCAGTGGCACGAGCGTGGTGCCACAGGGCTTTCAGGAGCCGAGACGTCGACAATGCCCGCTGGTGACGGCAGGCTGCACACGTACGTCCAATAGTCTGACACGAGCAATCAATACTTGGTTTCAGCCTCCAATAGACTGCGGCGTACCTCGGTTCATTTCCCGCCAGAGCAGCACGCGATTTGCATGACAGACCGCGAGCATTTCGCTGTCGACATCGAAGCTCAACGCCTCGATAGGGCTGTCGTCCTGCACCGGAAACTTGTATCCAACCGGCTGGTGCTGCGAAATCCGAGCTCAGTGGCATTGGCTCCCACAATTCAAGTAAACGCACCGCGGCAAGGTCCGCAAAAACTAGGCTGCCATGGCCATAGCCAATGAACAGCCACATACCATGCTTTGGATGCCAGGACAAACTTGTCACAGGGGCGTCGCCTACAAGCTTGTGGACCTCTATACCGGAGGAGCAGTCGTGTACAAAAACGGTTCGATCATCGGAGCCCGTAGCGAGATATTGGCCGTCGGGGGAGAATGAGAGGCAATTAATCGACCCTACGTGACCGGAGAATGAGAACTTGAGGTCGTAGGGCATAGCGGGCGATGAGTGAAGACCGAGCCTTGGACGGCCGACTATAAGGCGCGACGAGGGATGCCTGCGAACAATGCAGGCCGATACCGGCCCACAAAGACGGGCCCTGGCACACAAAAGGCCAGACCGCTTTTGGGACTTCGTGGTGAACAAAGGAGGGCGCCATTTGGCAGGCTTGAAGCGGGACGCGCCGGCGGTATCGCAGCAGTCGGCATGGGTATGGGTGAGATGTGGTCGCAGCCTGTATCCCTCGGGTGGTGGGCTGCGGCATCGGAAATAACCCGTACCGCCAGGACGATCGAAGGCTCAGTCAACGCAAGAGGATGCCGCTGTGAACCGCGCATGTTGAGGGATGCCCTCGCGGCGCACGATCCGCGGCGCGTCCATGCAACCCACCGGGAAGGCGCTCGTGAATAGGCTGCCCTAATAATGAGACGGCGGCGTACCTCGGCGAAGCGGTGAGCCTAACGTCCTGGATGCTGTCCCCCAATCCTGTTGAACATGAAGGGCAGCGACATCGCAGGCGGGCGTTGCTGGTGCGGACAGTCGCGCGACGGATTCGTAGGACGGCGACGATGGGTACCGGATCTCATGCGGTGTGATCATGATCACACGCGCGCGCGCGGGCGTGCGATCACATGATGCTAGAACGCGTCGACGCGTCGGGCGCGCACGTGCTTGACGCGTCGCGTTGATCAGACTGGCCTCGCGCCGCCGTATAAAGCGCGCCGAGGCATTGCCCCGCCGCCCGCATACTCACCCAGTCGACGCCCGGTCCCTTGCGCGCCATGGTCCCCGCACAAACCAACGGTGAGCGCCCCGTATTTCCATTGCTGGCCCTCGGGGCCCAAGCTGCACGGAACGCGCCTACGCGGAGCCTCGCCTGGCACTGGGGGGTTGCGCCCGCGCAGCTGGGCCTCTTGGGTTGGCTAATGGCACTGCGCCGGGGACGTCCATGGTGCTTACTTGGTTTCCCGCAGGCAGGCCGCGCAGTCGCCCCGATCCTCCACCAGAAGACCACAGGCCCCCCCTCATCGAGTCCCCGCTCGGCCCCGAGTGGTCGCAATGCCCCTGGCTGAATCAAGCCGCCCCTGCGCCTCCGCTCCCCACCGCGCAATCTGGCGCTCCGTACGTCGTGCATCCCCTTCGTTGCCCCCTGCCTGTGTCTCAGAGGTGGCGGTACGGCCGACTTGAACGCACGCAACGTAATCTGTTCTGACTGAACGCAGCTGTATTGCACCATAGGTATGCCGCTTGCCCATACCGAGCCTCGCCACGCCTGATTCATGCCGGCCGGTATCTCACTATGACTCGTCCGGACGCCCAGGAAGGCCGCCCTCCCTAAGCGCATCATGTCGATCAAGCGTAGCTCGCTCAATGCGGCCCACATCGTTGGCGTGGACTCATAGCCAAGGCTATTGGAAACTAGAGCTTGACTCGCAAATCAAGCGCCGCGGCTCGGCGAGGTCGACAAACGCGCAGGCCTCACGGTAAGAAGCACATCAAACCTCCGGGGCGGTCACCCTCTGAGCGACGGCAGGGCCGACCCGTCGACGCACGCGTCAAGGCCCCACCGAGATATTCCTCCCGCGACGCGGATGGCTGACGATTAGCATGTCTGCCACTCCGATGAGCAAACCTCCCCGAAGCGTGCAAGAGCAAACGCAGACAAGGCCCTGCAAGGCTGGCAGAATGGTGCGGTTCTCACCCACAAGGCCACTATCCAGGCTGCATCGGCGCACGCAGGAGCTCGCGATGAGGATCCCTTGTCCGTCGCGACGACGAACAGGCGTGAAGGATCGCGCAGGGAGCTACCAGGACGAGCCGGGAGAGCTGCAGAGAGGGCAGTCGAGTCTTCTGGACTCCGGTGAGCACTCGAGCCCATCAACCACCTCCATCCTCCGCGCGCCCCGTGTTGTGCGTTCCCACCCTCGGTTGACGCTTTGTCGTCGTGCTCCGAGCCCGTATCTGCGCCCCCTCACAGCGCCCTGCCTCCATTCTCGCACCTCTACCCCTCAGCTGCCACTGGACAACACGCGCGGGTGGCCCTCAGAATACCGGGCTGTACGGGACTGTGGCGTGCCTGATAGTTGCCCTGCCCTTACCGTCTTAACGTTCGGGGTCGAACAACCGCGCGCCGGTCATCTGCGCGACGAGTCCGACGCGTCGACGCGCACGTCCAGGCACCCAGTGGAGGTCCCAGCTAGCGCGAAGGCTAGCCGACGCGAGGATGCGAGTACGGGGCGCGTCACATGCGTGCATGGCCATGAGCGCGTTGGGCCAATACGCGACTTGAACCCGACTCAGACCAGGAGCCTAACCCCCTCGGGGACGTCCGTGAGTGACGAGTCCCCGTGAGGATCAAGATCTGAATCGATAGCAGGCGCAGCTGCAGGGAGCTGGCCGAATGACATCGACGTATCAGTCACTACGCCTTCGGTGCGTGTCCGCGCATCAATGCTGGCACCGAGATTCGTGTTGCGTCGACTAGGTGAGCTATACATATCACAGTGGTGATCGTCGTTATGACGCAGGACTCACTCTACCCGAAAGTGCAGAGCGCGTCGTGCAGCGTGTCATGCCCGTTCTGAAGAGATGGTATATCTTATTATACTACTGTATTCATATACCCATACCCCGCTGTCAGCCCACGGCAATGCTATTCTGCCTAGATGCGGCGGTATGGACCAAACCTTCAGCACACGGATTCGGCTGGCGATCGCATGGGGTGTGGGGGCGGCGACAAGTACGAGGATACAGTACATCGCACAACCACAGTAATTTCACATCGCACGAACGTCTTAGAACGAATTGTACGTGACATGGGCTGCTGTACATGCTACGTATTGTACGGCTCACCCATTAGAGGCTTGGAGGCTTGAATATATTTGTATGTGCAATACTTGGAATCACCCTCGCTAGCGCGTGTGATCGTTGCAGGTGCGACCCCATACGCTCTCAGGAGTAGTTGGGAGCAAGTCGAAGATAAGGACGTATTGATACACACATGCACGTTACAGTACAGCGGGTCAAAGTATCGAGCATTGGGTTAGCATACTGTACACACGAACTGTGTCCTCGGAACAAACACACGACAGGGGTCGCAGCACAACGCGTAAACTGCGAAATGGGTCTAGATGAGTCGAATGAAGGTACAGTGACACCGAAGCCTTGAACCTTACCTAGTATTCAGGCGTGCGGCAACAACGCGAGGGGAGGACTAGTGACGAAGGTCTTCGAATTGCCGCTGATGACAAAGAGTCGGACAGCCCAGTAACCTCCAGCCTACGACAATGAGGGACGCCGCATGCGAGACAAATTCAATCTGGGTACTTACAACATAGGGGACTCGCACGATGTAGACTTCCTTGGCATCTTCAAACTGAGAGGGGTGCGCGAGTAAGTAGCCTGCGCGAGCATCAGTCACTGTCACTAAGGATGAATTAAATAACGGTCTCACTGGTGGCACTGGCGCGCAATTTGTCCCAGAAAAGATCGCCAGCATCCTTCTCCTTGTCCGTGGAAGTATGCGCCGTCGCGGCGTCGTCGTCCGGGCCATTTCCGCCACTGTTAGCCTGCGGATCGCGATCGCCAGCACCCTTCTCCTTGTCCGTGGAAGCATGTACCGTTGCGGCGTCGCCGTCCGGGCCATCTCTGTCACTGTTACCTTGCACTTGCGCATTCTCGGCGTCCGTATTGACACTGGCCTCGGACGGGCCCCCTTGAGTCACGGAGAGTTGCTGCAGCAACTCAGGCAGCGAAAAAAGGCCTCCTCGGGCTTCTTCTCGCGCCTGGCGAACGGCATCTTCTTCTTCATCATCCGAGTCGGGATCATCGAACGGCAAGGGTTTGAACTCGTCAGTGGCTTCGGTCCATATGGTGAGATAAGCCCCCTCTCCCTCCACCTTAGTCCGACGCTGTGTGCATGTTGGCATTTGTCAAAACATTTGAAGAGATTTCGCGAGCCACTTACGATCCGAGCCCAAACCTCGAGGTAGCAGCCATCTCCAGGCAAGGTCGAAGGGTCCAATGCCTCGCACGACAAGACAATCCTCTCGCCACTCAGATCGAGTTCACGGGTGGGCAGAGCGCCATCGGGACGGAGGGGGACAAGTCGTGGGTCCATATCGGTTCGGTGAGTGTGAAGAAAGGGGGGCGGTAGCGGGCGTCGGCGAAGTCGGTGAACACGAGAAAGCAATCGAGTTGAGGTGCCAGAGGGTATCAGATGAGTAGGCGTCTCGTCTTGTTTCTTGGGCTTCCTGTCGATCGTAGGTACGGTATTTATACATGATCAAATCGTCGACTAAATCGAGCGAGAGTGAGTAACGTAAGCGAGATGTCTCATAGGACAAAGGAGGAGTGGCACAAACCGCCACTCGGGCTGCCACTGCTGCCACTCCGAGGATAGCCACGAACGGATACGGAAGGAATCTAGACCGAGTCGTGGATGAGTAAGTAAAGTGAGTGAAAATCAAAATGAAAGAAAAAGAATATGTTTAGTCCTACGGAGAACGAGCGCTTGTGCGATATAGCCTAGCGCCTACAGCGAGTAAGCAAAGTGGGAATCAAGTGGGGATGCGCACAATTTGCCTCGCGCAGCTCCTGTGCCGAAACATGATATTCTTGATCGTCTTGAACGAAAACTTCTGCCCGATGAGCTTCTTCCCTTTGACGATGCATCCCGCTATGCACGTTTCCAACGCCCCGCCGTTACAACACCAGAGTGCACGTTATATACCTGTCCAACTTTCAGCCACAGCTTTCAAACTGTCTCTCTCCGATGACGGGTGTTAGTGCCTAAGTCTAATGTGATGCACTCAACTATCGCCCCAGGAGCAATCCGGACCGCCTCGACTCGACCAAAACGTGAGGGGTGGTCAGCTTGGCTAACGTTAGGCTTCGGGGAGTAGCCTGCTCAACTTACGCTCACCAGGACTACGTTGTCCGCGGCGGGGAGCGAAATTCCGGATAGCTATAATAAGTGCGATGACTACGACGCGAGGTCATGTCACCCATATTCGCGAGTAATCAAACACTCCCTCCCGTCACGGCGGAGAGGGGGGCTCGGTAGTAGCCGTCAACGGGAAACCCGAAGGAGGATGTAATTGATGACACTGATCGATCGTGATCAAGCACGAGGGGACCTAGTTCGATAACATTTATGACACCACGGGTAACTTGTGGTGCAGCGGTGCGGATGACCAGAGGAACGTAGCTAGTGGGTCTCCTTCGTGATCGGGCCCTTGCACCCCCACCAAGTCATCGTGTTGAACGTTCGAATAGCAGCTCGTTACAGCCGTACGCAACGGCTGCCACCGGTTCAGCACGTCGCCGCACGTCAGAAACATATCCCCTTGAAGCCACCGAGTAAATACGTGACCTACCGGATGATGAACCGCGCTTCTGGAGCCGCATCGCCATGTTGAAGCCCTTCGACACGTTGCTCTCGGACCAGATCTCCTCGCCGTCAGCTCGGTCGATGCGCGCGACGTCCTGTATGGCCCTCCAGCGGAGGAACACGTTGTGCCCACGAAACGGCGTCATCTCGCCATTCGCGCACGCGTACGAGATACACTTGTTGATACGCCGGGTGAGGTACGCGATGCCGTTCTCGAAATAGTGGTACGCGACCTGCATGACGTCCGATGCGTCCTCGAGGCAGTTCGCCATCTCGCGCGCGGCGTCACAGAGGCAGTCCTCAGGCACGATGGTGTTCAATAATCAGGGCAATCTCGTCAACACGGCACGCACGTCCATTAGCGGCCGAAGGGCGCGACTTGCGGTCGCTCAGCCCGTAGACCTAGGCAATGGCTATCTGCAGCGCGTGCTCCTCGAGCTCCCCTGCGGAGGGTCCTGCGCGCCTTGGTAGTCCTTCAGCCCGACAACGGTGACCTTGTCGACGGGGTTGAGCGACATCACATTGTGCGACGAATCAGGGACTGCTGCGGCCGTGAACCGGTCGGGATCGACGTCGGGAACGATGAACGGGCTCTTTCAAGGAGAGCGTATTTGTCGTGAGCATGTGATCTTGTTCGAGCGTAGCATGTCGACACCTTCGGGCAAGAACAGGCGACGCCCGCGATTGTAAGTGCATACCAGCGAGGGGCTCGATAGCGGTGAACTTCTGCATGATCGCATCACGCTTTGCGAGGTAAGCAGCACCGACCGCCAACGCCGACGTGGTGACACAGGGCAGACCGGCAGGGGCATCGATGATCTACAGTCTTGTCAGTCGGGCGATCGCGCACGCGTGTGAAGTCGAACTGACTAGGAAGATCAATGCATGCACGAGCAAGTTGTTATGTAACCCTCGGTTCGACGGTGCCAGCGCTCCTGAAGCAATGAATCCCTTGCTTCTCGCCGACCACGCGGTAAACCAAGTGGACGATCTAAGTGTGTCGATAGTCGTCTGCATGAAACCTGCACTGGAATGCGAAGTGACTACTCACGTAGGCAAGCGCGGCGGGCTGGATGAGCGTCGAGACCAAGTCGATCATGACAATGAACCGCGTCGAGACAGCGAAAACTACAAATCTGCTCCAAGGAGGCAAGCTCCCCAAGATTGTGTACTGTCGAGGTGATCCAACGCCGACGCTGCGGCAGCAGAATCTTCCAGTCGTCTGACGCAATGGTATACGCGTGCGCGTCCCGGATGAAGACCGTCTTGTACATCGGGAAGTGTTCCATAACCACCGTCATGAGGTATCGATCTTCCCCGAAATACAGCAGGCTCCTCATGTGCAGTGTGTCGACGCGGCTTTCGGAGTAGTCATCGATTATCTGGTGCTAGATGAACAGCGGCTTGCGTGTGTCGGGTGTACGCAGAGGATAGAGGGCGAACCAACCAGGCAAACAAGAGGTGGAGCCGAAGAGGGGACCGACTGCCTTCGCCATGTGATGCGAGATGAAGTGATCTGCGCAAACCTGAGTGATCGCGCGAGACAACAGCAAATGCTGCCACACCTGCATCATAGTCACGAGGGGCTATTTGGCGTTCGGCAACCCAGTCTCTCCGCAAACACCGATCGCCTTCTTGTGATGCACCATACTACGTAATGATCAACGAACAGTTCATGACGGTCACTCAGGTAGGCTGCACTTACGCAGAGATCAGCAACTGAGCGGCTCAGCGTCGACGTTCGGAGGCGCGCCCAGGACGCCCAAGACGACGCGGGGGTTTGGCTTGGCTGGTCGTCACCGGAGCCGACGACCATACCATCGCATACGATCAGGAGGAGGTTGCGCTTGTCGTCGTAGCTCAGCTGCTCGAAGGAGTTGATTGTCCGCTGGAGCGACTGGAGGCCTTCCGCGTAACAGGGAGCCTGGCAACTAGCGAATTTGCCATGGTCTTCCGGTGCGCGCTCCGAGCCGAAGTCGACTGAGGCGATTGACTTGAATCCAGTGACGCTGACCATGACGACGAATAACACACGCAGGATGTAAGTGATGAACTGGCACTTCGGCGGATTGGGCGTGCCGACCCTGCCGATGGCGAATAGGTTGCGCCGTTGCGGAGGCACGTCTCTTGCCACGTCAGGACCTGAGGCCTGAGGGACCAGACCGAGGCTGCTGATCCTCTTCGTCACGTCTTGCCCGGAGTCATACCGGAGAACGCTAACGATGTCTGTGATGTACTAATATTGGTACCAGAAGGGAGCACATTGGTACCAGACGGGAGCACTTCGCTGTCGAGCGGAGCGACTGACGGCGGGGACGTGATGTCGCTGGTGGAATCGTAGATGATACCGTCGTAAACAGCGCAGCCCTTGTTCGCCATGTTGCGAGATCAGGCATCTCGTCGGGCGAGCCACAGCGCGTCGAGGAGAACCTTCATGAGCGTAACATCCTGGGGAGCACGGGACTTCGTGACGAAAACGGTCTCGACATTCGTCTCTGGCGCCACCTCCGCAGGATGTGCATGTACAGAACGGATCCGCGAGGTGATCGAGGAGAGCACAGATTGAGCACAGACGAACCGCGGGCACGCAGGAGCGCGCACGCGATAACCAAGGGACGACGAAGAGCACAGTCAGAGCGACGGGCGCAGAGGCAGCCTGGATGGCAGCGGGATAGCGGGTTCTTGCGTGGGCGACCGCGCCTGCGCTTCCCTGGTGCTGCACCTGGAGAGCAAGTGCGGAGGTGCGAGACGAGGCGGCTTCTCCTCCTTTGAAACCCTCGGCCTCTTCCTCGCGCGGCCTCGTCATCGCCGGCCACGCATCCTCGTTAATCCGAGTGGGTTGAGAAGCGGAGGCACGAACGGGCGGCAGCCCAGTCGCTCCGGGGGACAAAGGAGGCAGTCCGGGCGCGGTCAGGCACTCGAAGCTTCACGTTCGTCGATACGCGTGGTGCGGGCACGTCGTACGGCTGGGTTGCGTGTTACCAGAGCCGCGGACTGTCGAGTAGGGACTGCCAAAACCGAGACGATGGCCTTCCGGATCAAAGAGAGGAGCGTGGGGGCGAAGGAGGGCGGTCGCGGAGGAAAGAATGGGCGGTCTTCAGTCACCAGTGGGGGTTGTCGGGCGCTACTCACTGGACTCTCGGCGGTCATGAGCTGGAACTCGCGTGGCCTTCGGGACAGCGTAGGCGTCTTTCCTTGGGATGGGCGGTCGTGGTGGCTACCCGAGTCGCAGTCGTGGTCGTGTCGGTGGTGGCAGCCGAGGAAAAGGAGGAGGAGGGGATTCCATACGCTCGGTCGGGAGTAACGCGCTGGGCGGTAGCGCCTGGGAGTCGCCCACGGACTCGTACTCGTGACACACACGGTGTCAGTTTCGGCGCGAAAACAATAACTTTAACTAACATTGAGCGAGTGCTGTAAGCACTGCAGGCATGGGAGCCTTTGTGCGCCTCGCAGTGGCTTGCAAAATCAGCCGTTCAAGATAAGCATACATTGTCGCGGCAAGATCGCGTTATAAAATGTACATACAATGGAGAGATGATGGGAAAAGATCTACATGCTATAAACCGACGATCATTAACAAACGGCAGGCGATGACCCATGACAAACGGCCGATAATCGCACACACAAACAGCGCGACGAAGACGTCCCAGACGCCGCGCCAGAAGGGCTTGATGTCCTGCCAGTCTGCATTGCTGTCGCTCTGGCTGAAACACAGTCTCGCGAGCGACCGGAAACTCTTGGTGGTGCCCAGCCTCACTTTGTGCAACACACCCGCTCCTACATCGACCCAGATAATAGTCAAGTCAGGCTGTATCACGTTTCCTCAGTCATGAGCTGAAGTAGATAGTTATGCTCCTACCTCGATGAGTATAACCTTGACAGCGGATGAAAACGTTGTAGCCATTGGCTGGTCATGCACAGCGCCGCGCGTTACCCCGAAGGCATCTGAAGATGGCAGCTGTCAACTAACGGGAACAACGGAGGCTGAGGGGACGGTCAGACTCACAATGGTCACCAGAGAGCGGGATAAAGAACAAAACTCCGGGGTTCACGGCACCGCCACGAAGAGGAATGGCGACGTCGTGAATGGGGATCACTCGATAATCAGTGGCAAAATAAATCTTTGTCCCTCTGTCCAGCAAATGTTAACCACTGATACATGAGTGAAAGATCCATGACTTACCTCGCTGTAGGGGCAGCGTGCGGTGAGCGTAAAAGCGCATGGGCAACCGACAACACAGTGGCGAAGGGGGGAAATAATTCCATGGTCGACGTCGGTTCCAAGGTCGGTCAGCTATGGCTTTGTCTTATATACTGCATGTGGCGCTGACATGCATTGTCTGTCAAGCGGCGGCCCGAGAACTCAAGACCCAGCCGTTACAACACTGACAGGCCGAGGCGGCTCTCCCATACTGCATCTTAGGTCCCTCAGTGTGCAATAAAACATGAAGTGGGGGGAGGCACGCACGCGCGGACCGGCGGCGAGATGGTCGACGCGACGGAGCCTTGGGCGGGGTGGGCGGCCTGCTGACGTACTGCTACCAGGCATTGAGCACGTTCCGAGGAGGGATTATTAGGGCCATGTTGCCCCTCCACCTCCGTCGGATGTATGAGGGGCGACAGGGATGAACACTAGTTAGACAAATGAAGGTCAGCGTGCTGCAAATCATCGGCATCCAGCAGTCTTTGCTCACCTCAAGATGCGATCCCCCATCTCCAGATACGCCAACGTATGTCACCCATCCTTAACCCAAAGTACTCGAGCGTACCCGGTCGTATCGTGGCCAGCGATGGGCGCCATCGTCGCCGACAGTGAGCAACCAGGATTTGGCAGAGGCGGGAAAGGGACGTTGATTTCAGCTCCGGCCTCTCCGCCTTCGTCTCCGCGGAGTGAAGTCTCGACGCAGAGACGTTGCGGCGAGGCGAGTGGTGGATGAGAAGAAAGGGCGGCCCCGTGCCAGATGCTCGTGCGTCCGAATTGTGGGCTGCGCTCGGTCGAACGCGACCACCCTCGCCCGTTCAGCCAGTCCCGAGCTCTGCGATGGGAGAGGGAAGTCTTGTTTACTTGCAGCATCGTTTCAGCTGACAGGTGATGTGCTCTACATAGACGTCGTAGACCTCGGGACGGCGTCACCCACTGGCTCAGGTCGCAGACGCAGGCGGCGCACGTGCTCGAGCTCAAGGGCGCTGTTTGTCCGGCCTTCCGTCGCGTCCCACGTCGCGTCCCAGCCCGAGGTCGGGTTGCCCGCACGGAGGAACTGGTAGTAGCGCGCCTGGATCTCGGCGATGAGCACGTACTGCGCGCTGGTCGGGCTAGGTGCGGTTCCAAACCGCGAAAGCGACGTCGGCATCACCGCTCCACCGGCACACGCTAGGAAAGGGACGTACAACGATTTCGATGTCGTCCTGGTGGCAGATGGGGCCCGAGTCAGCGCACTAGGAGACGTCGGAGCTACTGGGGTACGATGCGCCGACGGTGTACATGCCCACATACGCGATACCGCCACTCGACGCCCAGCTGCGCGCGAACGTTCACGTCGGGCACCCCCATACCTGGTCCGTGCCCATCTGCGACAGCTGGGGGCGGGCACCCTGCGTGCCGTTGGCGGACGTGGTCCAGGGGACATACGTCGAGTAGCTCAACAGGCAGCTGTCACTGACAGAACCGAACGTGCCGTCGACGACAATCGTGTCGTACGAGACGGTCTTGGACTGCGACGAGAAGGTGGGTGATGATCGGGTCGCCGTCGCGCACCGGGTGGATAGGCTCGGGTTGGCCTGCTGCGGTAACAACACCGTAGGTGTTGTTCGATAGGGCGGTCAGGCATCCAGGATATCGTCGAGCTAGAAGGGTCCAGACACGTGTCCGAAGCGCTACAAAAGAGCGGCCCGTTGAGGTAGTCCTGAAGCGAGCTCTGCATGGTAGTATTCAGGAAGCCATAGTCGTACGAGCCATTGAGTTCATCTTGGACGTACCGCCACCGAAGGCCGGCAAAACTGCTTGTTGAAACCGCAATTCCGTGATCGTGTCCTTGACTGCCAAGTTTGTCTGTCCAGTCGGAGTCATTTAGCCAAGCTGCAGGGGAGGGTCAGTGTGATAGCCTTGACTGCAAGACAAATACTCACTGCTCCCAATCGGTACTGAATGGCAGCAACAGAGGATTCCGTCGCCGTCGTAAGGGTAGATCCGTCAAATCCAGCGTCCGTGGCGGACCCGGAGAAACGAACCTCCATGAATTCTGATTTTGCAATGAGCCCGTGATCGTGCTTCACAGAAGACAGAACATACCACATAAAAGCGGGGGCATTACTACCGATAGTCACAGAGGGCGGGACAGAGTATCATGGGCAAACAGTTCTCCTGCAGTAGGAGGCGTCGAGGCCGCTCTAGGGACAAGTACATCTAAGAGTGCATACATGACTTCGAAGCGATTAAGGTTCAGGCGATGAAACTCACGGTAGATCCCAAGGCATCGCTATAGATGACGGCTGCCAATGGTACGCGGTACCGTACTTGGCAGCGAACCTGACGACACCAGACGTGTCAACGACGCCCTCCTCCGTACCGAGTGGCGTGGAAGCCGAAGTGGACGATGACGTCGACAGGGACCTCGAGCAGAGGGGCTCTTGAAGCCAGGGTGGCGAGTACTCACACAGCTACTTGCCCAGGGATTGACGGGTACTTGAGATCAGCGATGCTCTTGCCAGACGCGTTGACGAGCACCGCTGCCACCTGGGAGGGGAAGGGCGAGGAGAGAAGCGACCAGTGCTAGGAGGGCGACCATGATGAGCGATTGAGGACGATGGTGGGGATGCCTAGGACGAAGGGGGTTCATGAGAATGCACCGCAGGCCTTCTAAGCGGAAAGTTCCAGGCCGCACTCGAACCTGCGAGTCTAGCAGCAGGGAACGGGGGAGGAGGAGAAGGTAAGGGACGTAGAGCTGTGCCAGAGAACATACTCGACACATTACTGTAATGAATGTTTTGGGAACAACCAAGTTGCCCGATCCTCCGCGCCGTGCTTCGTCCGAACACCTCCTTTATTCCAAATATGGCAACTCCCCAACACTCAACGTCAACCTCCGCTCACGGCTGGTGTGAACTCTCGGCGGACTCTAACGGATGTCCAATTGCAACACCCCGTGAAGTTAGGCAACATATTGCCCCGTGAAAGCAGGTTTCATCGTCGATATAATGATTGACTCGGTAGCTGTGATACACATGGGCTAAGCCCAGGAGGACTGCGAGCCAGACCGGTGGCATTCATTCACCATGTAGGCATCGAAGACTCTTCGTCATACGAAGCTATGCACCTCCGACATCCACTGACTGTTGCATACTATATAGTGAATGAGGTTCTCCTTCGCGGTACGGTTCCACAACCATCCGCAAGGAATCACGGTCAATTGACATCAGCTTCGGTCGATGGTATACAGCCAGCTCACTTACGTAGAGCTGCATAGACGTCGACAGTCCATGTCATCCTTCGCTAGCAGAGATGGCGTGACATTTCTATAGAGGCAAATAACAGGCTCAGATGAAATCGAGGGTGACCAGCGGAGCGTAGAGAAGAGCGGCGTACCGACGAGCGAAGCGAGGTAGTGAAAGTCGCAAAGAAGGTCGACAGCCTCCGTTGGAGCGGGCGCGCCTGATGGGGCAGAGGGACCTGTCAGGGCGGCAGGCACGGTAATTTAGAACCCATTACCGAGTACGACTATGGGGTGGATCAGGGGGTACCTACAGTCAAGAGTGTCGTCGTGGGCGCTTTCTCGCGCATATACGACGCGTCGGGCGCATCCGAGTACATGCAGTTTGTGGACAACAACGGCTTCGCCGATTGCACTACTGCGCGTGCAATTTCGAAGACTATACTTACTGGCCCGTCCACTTCTGGCAGTGAATGACGCACAGGTGATCTGCGGCATGCACGGCGCCCATCTCCGGAGTGTATGCTCCGGAGATGGGCGCCGTGCATGCCGCAGATCTTGGCGAGCTCACTGCCATATGGGTGGTGGCCCCGCGCCGGCAGGCTTTGCAAGCCCTTGCTTCCGGCGGTGAGCGTAGCATGCGCCAGGTATGCGGTCGGCGATCGTCGGTCGCTTGATCAGCTATACAGCTAACATGCTGTTGTGAGTGTCGAAACGAGGAACGATTGAGCCAATGAGCCACATACCGGTGCCAATATGCTGCATCCATGAACTGAATGCAGGGGTGGCCGTGATTGTGCACAACGTATAGAACATTTCTGGTGAACAGGTATCCTTTTCAGAGAGAATCGGGACTGAGGAAACTATACAGCACACCTGGTTCCTCTTCTATCCATGTAGGATTGGTACCGTTGTAGACGGTCACATCCGTCGAGATAGTATATGTATCGAGTATGTGAACGACGGGCGGTGGCTCCGCGCCGGCGCGGTTTGCACACCCGTTTGGCGATGGCGGGCGTACATGCATTGAGTACGCAATCGTTGTTCGCTTGTACATAGGATGTTCGTGTTTGACCGTTTGACGGTGCAGCTGTGTTCAGGCTGAATGGAAGGAAGTCGGGGCAACACAAATCTTGTGGTGCTGCAGGAGTTGGATAATGCAGCACCTAAAGACACGGAGACATCATCAACGTATCAGTGAAGAAACATGGCGGGCCTGTCAAGAGGATACTCACCAAGCCACAGTCGCCGTGACAAATCTCTCCATATGAAGTACACCCCTAGAGGAGTGGAAGGTCGTCGAACAGATAGTCACACCGTAGTCAGGAATGAGCCAACGTCAGCTGCCAATGGGCGACCTAGATCAAACGCAGTTCAAACGCTTTGTGCATCCAACCGTCGCAGCCAGTGCACGGCCCACTTCCGACTCGTCTCTCACGTTGCACGACGTCGCCAGTGTTGAGCTTGACTGTTCGGTGTGATGCGTCAGTTTACCCTTCGGCCACTCAAGATCAGACTCACGGGTTCGTCGGCCTGACCGCGCAGTTGTATGTGTGCTGGATGAAGGCGGAGGATAAACCGCCTATAAGATGAGGTTCCGGGTCTGTAGTGAAGGCGTGAGGAATGCGGGTTCGGCGGATTCGGCGGCCTGAGCACGCAGTAGCATGAGTGAAGGATGAAGACGGAGGATGAGCCACCTATAAGACGAGGTTTCGAGTCTATAGCGAAGGCGTGAGGAATGCGGGTTCGGCGGCAAGAGTACATGGTAGCGGGTGCCGGTGCACATGAGTCGTGTTGGGCGGAAACAGTGGGTGGGTGAGAGAGCTTTGGACGGAAGTTGGGCATACAGATCTCGAAACGCACCGTATTTATAGAACTCTGGGACTTGAGCCACTCCGAGCCCGAACAGTACGATGTAAGCCCAATCAGTAACATTACAAGGTAAAGATACAAAGGAAGTGCGTAGCTGTGGCACCCAGACGCCACGGGTACAACAATGGATGCATGAGGAGCGAGTCGAGATGAACCGAATGACGTGATAATCGAGGGACAAACGAGATGAACATGGAGAACTAAGGGGACGGCCTTGCCTTCGGTGCCGGTAATGGCATAGGCTGTAGAACGCTCGAACTGCCATCGGCCTGCGTGTCTCCCGAAGCACCATCCCGCTCGCTTCGTCCATCCCGCTCCGCTTGCTCGCTGCCTCCTGGCTCCGCTGGACACCACTTGGGCTGTGTACGAAACTTCCGTGAAACCCATGTGTCTGTCCTCGACGAGGCCCATCGGGCGCTCGCACTTCTGCTCGCGCTCAGGCGTTACCGCGGGAGCGTGGCGAGCTTGCGGCGAGCGGAAAGGTTGATTTCGTATTGCGCGGCTTGAGCGCGAGCGCGGTCTACAGATGCCACAGATTATCGCCTTCGCAGAAGACCTGCCGCACATGCGTACAGTGATTTGTCGGAGCCTGGTGTACCTGAGGTTAAGGTTGGCGGCGCATACGCCCCGATATTCGGTGTTCCGGGCAGGGGGGGCAACGAGGGGCACTGCAGCGGTGGCAGTGGCAGTAGACCGAGCAAGTGTCCCTGCATAACTGCCGACAACTGCCGACGCCACATAGACAGTCGGGATGCGATCGTGCTCACAGCACAGGCGTTGCTCAAATGGATCAATCGAACCGGGGTACGCGTTGCAGAACTCCTTGCCGCACATGAAACCCTCGAAACGCTCACACAGACCAGGCCGAGAACGGTGTCAGTTGGCAAAGGGTGACATCGTTTGCGGGTGACGGACTACACCGAGATGAGTGCCATAAAACCAAACGCAATGACGAATACGTACCAACGAAGGCGGGCAAAATGCAGAGGGGCTCGATGTATTCACCGACCAGCTGTTCCGTGATAAGAGACTGTGAAGGAGCTATTGGAGGCACCTCTTAGCTTGTCCAGAAGCCACACATTCGTTCGTGGCTCACTGCAGTTGACGTTGTGCTGTTGCGCAGTTATGTAGCGGGAATCACATTGTGGACATCGCACGACATACCTTGGCACCCCAATCACGCATAAACTGGTTCGCCTTCTCAATGTGGAACGTATCGCTAGGCGAGGACTTCATGCCCGGCTTCTCCCCCAGTGTCTCATATCATACCGCTTCCAGGGCCGCTTGAACTCGAGTTCGTGCACCTTGTCGCCGTCCTTGCCCTCCGGGTGATACTGCAGCGTCATCTTCCTGCCAGCAATGTACTTGACCATGCCCTCGATCAAGCTCTCCGCCGGATCTATGATGTCGTACATGTCCGCATACGCCATATACAACTCGCAGATCGTGAACTCGGCGTTGGGCGTCAGGTCGATGTCCTCGTTGCGAAACGCGCGCCCGATCTCGTGCATGCGGTCAAGCCCGCCCACGATAAGCTGCTTCAGGTAGAGCTCGGGCGTGACGCAGAGGTAGAGGTCGAGGTCGTTGTGGTGTGGTGCGTGACAAACGGCTTGGCTGTTGCGCCGCCCGCGATCATGCTCGTCATTAACGTCTCGACCTCGAGTAAGCCGAACGCGTCGAAGAAGCGGCGGACGTGGCTGATGATCTTGCTCTGTGTCAGGAAGACGCGCCGTGTGTCCTGCGACAGGATCAGGTCAAGATATCACGTCTCCTGGTCCTTCAGCCCGAGATGCTCTGACAGCAGCCGGTGCAGCTTCGGTGTGAGGAGAATCATCTCCTTTGGCGTGATCGGGAGCTTCGGGCAGGTCCAGATGACTCCAATTATATCTCCCCGCCTGAAGATGTCGTGGACCGACGCGAATGCCTCGGGATCCTTCGCGTACCTGATATCTATTGAGCCCAGATGCGCGTCGCAGATGCGATGAAGAGTCACTGCTTGGTAGCCATGATCTGCGCTCTCTGACCTTCGCCATGGAGGTCGTAGAGTCGAGGTTCTGACCGGACAGGCGGACAATTTTGTGTGTGGCCTGCGAGGGACCCTGTGATGTCTTCCGACTTTCATCAGATTTGACCTTGCCCTCCAGGCCGTACCGCTCGATGTAATGCGACGTCAATAGTGACACCTGAAAGTTGTGGGGGTGCGGGTTGGGAGACTGGGTCTCCCACAGTTTCTGGATGTGACGCGAACGAAGCTCAAAGTATGCTGCGAAGGGATTGGATCAGTCATCGCATATACGGTAGCTCTGATTGTGATATTCTGGGTAGGAAGCCTGACTCGAGCGGATTCATCTACGTCAGGCGCCATCAAGACGTCGGGGCATTGCCATCACTTCAGGGCGATATCTGGCAGCGCGCTATGCATGGCACAAAAGCCCAACCCTGTATCTGGGCCAAGCGAATTGCGAGCACTGGCATGATACCCGCGTACACTCAGGTGTATCTCCAGAGTCTCTCGTTGCGATGTTGCGATGAAAGTGGATGGACGGGAGCACTCACAATTGGATTCGAGTCGTCCTCAGTCGGACCAGCTGCCTTCGCTGCAGGCTCCGCAGGTGCATTGGCAGCTTTTCCGGGCTTCTTGGCCTCGTTCTCGAGCAGCTTTTCCCGCCGCTTGAGCTCCCTTTGCCCATCTAGAACGGTCAGTCCCGCGTAAACGCCTGAATTGAAGTCGGACACACGTCTTGGAGATCATCCACTGTGGGCTCCAGTGGGCTGCGTAGCCGTGGTTGCGATGCGCGTAGGACGGGCGAGCAGCTAATCTGGGGAAGATCAGCCTTTGCTCACTTTGTGTGCACACACCGCGGTCCGCGTCGAGTCACGTCCAGTGGAGCGCCCGTCGACGATCGCAGGCCGCTGATTGGCTTCCGCGCGACTTCCTTCCGTATTTTGTTCGTCCATGTCGACGTCCGACTCATCGGCTCTCTCGACCACGCTCGCATGCCGTTGCGCGCCCTTGGACGCCTTTGTGCACGTCCACTCCTCTCGTCTTCGCGTACCGTCGCCCGCGTCTTTCTCCCCTCCATGCGGCCTCCCCGCCCGCCTCCCGCCCACGCCGCCTAGCCAGGTCGATGTGCGCAACCGAGACGAGTCTGTAGACACCCAATGCCCGGTGTCCGCACGTCCCACCTTCGCAGAAGTGAGTTTTTTTCTACCCCAACGCTTCTCACGCATTCATCGAGTCGAAATGCCTCTTGAAGCCCTGCCCCCGGCGTCCTCTCCCTCCCGTGCGCCCTCTCCGAGGCCGTTGCGCAGCCTACTGGCACTTTCAGGCGACCGTGCCAACTATTACTGTACAGTACCTTTGTCGTTTTTCCTGATGCAAGCGAAGGCGGAGAGCACACGCAGAGATCGGTGTGCCATGCAATCAAAGAAAAACAGTGTCGGAAGAGCTAGCATGCAGATTATGGCGGGTCGGAAGGGGGACGAGCGAGGACGGTTCGAAAGTAAGCGGCGACGGCGCACGTGCCATGCGAGGCCCTGCTTCAGTATGGGAAGGCGGGCGAACAGTGACGATACGGCAACGCGTAGAAAGTCCAGCGATAGACATACACGATACAGACAATTATGTTGTACATTAATAAGCCCTCTCCGTGGCAACACCGTCCGAGGACATTTAATGCCACTTCCGTCCCATGAACAGCCCAACCAAAATGCCGACAGCCACGCCACCCAATACACGTCCCACGTACGAAACAGGTAATTTATGTTGGCTATAAAGGGGGCTCATCGAAGCACTCCCGGCGGGAGAACAGCCGCGCGCATCAGGAGTTTCTTGGATGCTTGTGTTTGCAGCCCTAGCGAAGACCTCGGCAAGCGCATTCCCGAGATCCCTGGTCTCGTCGTGGATCACAGCACGCTGCTCTTCCTTCCTCTCGACGATCTCCGAGAAACAGGAGATGCATCGGAAGAAAGCTGCATCGGTCTCGAACTGTGCGTAATACCAATTTCCCCCAGTCGTCCACTTGACGGTACGGAGAATCTGCTGACAACATCAGCTGAGTCGCTGTACGATGCAATAGGCCTCACCTGAAAGGCAGTTATCCTCGTGTCGTCTCCCAGCGCCACGTACTCATAGAAGTCGTCCGGGTGGTTTTCGCCGTGACCGATAACGACGACTGTAAACACGTAAGTATTATATGGCAACAAGCGTGCATGATGAAAGGTCTCACACTGTCCTGAAGGCAGCTCCCCGATGACCAGCTTCGACGGGCGCCCGTCACCTTCGTACTCAAACAACAGCTCCTCGCCGAAGCTGATATCGACAACAGGCTCAACGAGCAAGACACGTTCGACTCTGCGTAAGCGCCAACATCAGTTGAGGGAGGGGGAGGAGGAAATGCTTCCTGCGTACGTAGGCGGGTCTTCCATGGTGCGTCGTTCGAGGCTGAGTGAAGCTGCCGGTTGCTGCTGTTGGCGGCCTTTTATACCGCACAGATTCACAGATTTGCGAAAACAAAGGCGGTGACACGCGGTCTCAACGGCGAGGAGACTGTGTATATTGGGCACAATGGAGAACTGGCCGCACATGCGCGCCGAACCAAATGCGATATGATATCACCTACCGCAAGGCGGGACACGTAGAGACAGTTTCTGGGCACGCTCTCGCGTCGCGCTCGCCATTTCATGAGGTGCAGGGTATAGAAGTCCTCTTGCCAGTATGCAGCGTAAGTCCTAAGGGAAAATATGGCATACAGTGACTCACGTAGTTCCATGAAGTCCGGATTATTCCCAGTGGCACGAGCTGCATCGCCATAATGCATACTGGGCGTGGACTAGCACAGTGATTCGAGCTAACTCACGGTGGTGAGCGTACGGTGAGTGTATGGTGCCAGACCGGGCGCACCTTGGTTTGTAGTGGACAGGAACAATGTACAGGGGTTGCGTTGCTCTCGATCACAACGATCAAGATTCAGCCGCGGTTCCATCCGCTTTGAGCCCCGTATCTATGCTCCTGATGAACATTTGAACGCTCGTGTCTTGCTCGATGATCGCTCGATCGCGATGGACCATGGTGCGCTGTGTGCGTTCTGTGTTCTGTACCTCAGCCGCTGCCACTGTTGGCGTTCTCATGGCTTTTGTGACCAAGAATGTAGGGGACATGCTCATGTATACGGGCAGGCAGATGGAGGTACATGACGATTCGCAATTGAACGGCCACCGTCCTCTAATGCATCCAAGCGCTGTTCGATTGAAGTTGTACCGACAGCCGTTCGCATAGACGGAGGTACGGACGCACCATAAAACGCAGCCTTCAAACGCTTGGTCCAGGTTTATGCAAGAGCCAGTTCTTGATTATGGGGAAGTCCGCCATAGACGCATTCATCAACGTCACAAATTCACTGCCGTATTTCGCGACGACGATGTCACCGCGCCACGCATTTGATGGCTGGTGGCCGTCACCTTGAATCTCCCGCGCACACTTGTTGATGGGGAACGTCATGCCGTCGGACGAGACGGTTGGGTAGAAGGCGATGTAGGCCACGGGAAGATTTTTGAGCATCCCCATCAACCTCTGAATGGGCTGTTGGGTCCATCTATTAGCGAGCACTGCGCTAAGTAGACTGCGGCAGACATGTACCTCAAAGCGCCACGAACGAGGGCCCAAGCCCGGCGCAATGTGGTCAAAATACATCTCGGGGTGTGGGACACAACCGCAGCGGTATGGCTCCAATGGGTTCTGGATCGGGGCGGCAAGGGGACTCGCGTAGAGGGTGACGAGATATGGGGGCTGCTCATCAACAGGAAAGATCACCGCATCGAAATGCTGCATCTGGCCGCTGTTCATGTTCATTGCGATGTTCTTGGTAGGCTAGATGAGCTCGCAGTAGGAGTAGAGCAATTATCTCACCATCATACCTTTGGGGTACAGTTCAGGGTTGGGGTATATCCCTACCGTGACGAGGGGCGCTGATTTAAGTGCCCCAGTTGCGACCATCGGCATGTACGTAGACGTAAAGGCGTAGGCGCCCGTGACCGTTAGTAGGTATACGTACATGTAGCAATATCTTTGAGTGGGAGAGGACGATCGCGTATGAGGACTGATCAATTGCGGTGCCTCAGTGCTCAACATTAAATCGGACCTGGATGAAGGGGAGTTCCGTCAGAGAAACCAGACCTATTGCTTTAGCCAAGCAATCTACCTAAGTACGCCTAAAGAAGTCAATAAGTCTGATTAATCAGCAGTGCAAGGACCTTCCAGCGCCCGCTGTCGGCCGCTTACTCACGATTGACTCGCGAGCTGTGTCTGCGTGGAGGGCGGTCGCGCTGCGCGGTCGCGGTTTGCGTGCCCTGCACGCGCCCCGGCCCAGCCCACGGTCGGATACATTCTGCGTCAACTGAAAGATCATCGATCATCGATCAGTCTTCAGGCATATATAATCGCAACGAGACCGTAAAGAAAGCGTGGTCATAGCGAAACAAAGACAGCAGAACGACGAGTGTAGGGAGTGAGATTCTATAATTAGAGCAAATTGATGAGGATATACGAGATGTCACCATATCAGATGTCTGCAATGTCATTCCGGCCAGTGGTAGTGTAGCGAGTGTGATGCAGCAGTTGGAAAAAGACTCGGAAGGCGAAATCGATATCCCGAGCCTGCATAACGTTGGCCATTTGGAGTGAAACGGCGAGGCTTTCGAGCTCAGAACGGCTCAGTTCTGTGAATGCTGATCAATAGGTGAACTGCATGCTCTGGACATGAAGGACATACTCTTGACACTGTCCTTGTCGATAACCTGAGGTGTAGGCACTTCGCCGTTGGCATGGTCCTGTCCATACCCCTGCAGCACGTTGCTCCCCATATCCGCCTTCACCTGTGCTATGTACTTGTCCATAAGACGCCCTCCTTCGACCAGCCTGGCTTTGGCTTCTTCCTGCTCAACGGTGGAGTTCCCGTCGTAGTGATAGGGCGAGGCGTCGGGAGTAGCCATGATGGAGCTTGGCTTCTTCGCGCTGGTTTTCAGGTAGGATTGAGGATGAGCAGACGCACAAAACCTGATGGGCCTACTCACTTTCGATGTACAGGTAGTGGCAATATACTAGGAGGCTGTTGATGGAGGTCGGGCGACGGTGTGAAGAACGCATGCCTCAGCGGTGAGCAACGTGTTCTGACCAGATATGGCAAGCATCGCTGCACTTTGTCTCCTGGCACTGGCAGAATTTTCACTGCTCAGGGCGCCGATCGCTTCGACATTTGTCAATTACCCTGGTTGTCTCCGTCTTTGCGATGGTGCAGAATATAAAACGATTCACAGGAATATCAGGGAGTCATGTACTATCACACAGTCACGATCTCTATACGAAGTACCCTGACCCTGACCCCAATCAGTATTCATATGCTCGAAGTTGCAATTCCATTGAACGCGGCAAAACTCTAGAACAGCTTGCCAGGCCAGAGGTGGGCGGCGAGGTTTCCGTGGAGCTTGCAGATGTTGCGTTTGATGTACCCCGCGTAGACGGGGTCGATTTGGACGATGGTGACAACGAGCCGTACGTCGGGCTTCTCGTATGCGGTTTGCGAGCTTGCCGGACTTGTACGCGCCCACTGCGCAGCCATCCGTCATCCACCCACGTCGAGCACGCATGAGTAGTTCACGTACCGTTCACCGTGTCATACACCCAGTCGGTCCAGATAGAGATTGAGCTTCATCTTCTCCCGCAAGCAAGGCGGTCGAATGACGCGTTCTTGATGATCTTCGAATAGTAGTTGCTCACGATCGTGCTGCTCTTGTCCTACAGCACGGGTGCGGGCGACGCGCAGAGGTAGGGACCTTAGGCGCGCGGCGCGCTGTGTAAGAGGGTCCGGCCGTCGCCTTCTTCGCCTCCGTAGCCTGTAAGTTACACCTCTTAGCGACGTATTGCTGACAGATCGGCGAGTTATTATACTCACCCTGCTCAAGCTCGAATTCTCCGCTTTTCTCGAGCCAGTTCCTGAATTGGGATGTCTATTGCTAGTCGGCTATGTGCTGCAGTGGGTTAGTGTCGGGACGGGACTCGAAAGGTACACGCCATACAGCCTGCCGGATGAGGAGTGATACCCTGAATGGCCACAAGTGCGTCGTCCTTGATATGATCCGCGTTGGCGAACCATTGCGACGTTGCACTACACGAGATATCGGCCGAGGGTCAGCAAACACTCTCAGCATGCCCGTGCATCAACACTGAACACGCACGTCTATCAGTTCTCCACTCACACGGATAACTATGACGAATCCGCTGAAGCTTCCGGAGAGCACCGACCTCCCCAAGCAAGCCAACAATTGCCTTGCCTCCGCCTGCCAGAACTTACTGCCCAACAAGACCCTTCGCAGCCTTATGCCCCACATCCGCGACACCCTTTGTGAAGCGGCCAGTCACATCCACGTGGTATAGCAAGTCGCCCGACGACGCATCGGATGTCGACGACAAATGACCGACCGAGCGGAACGCATTGTAATCCTCATCGCCGTGTGCTGGAGCGCAGTGGACGAGGCCTGTTCTGGTGTTGGGAGTAGCATGCGAAGAAGGTACGACGGGCAACGACTTGACGGACTCAGCGTCGCTGAGGGTCGAGAATAACGGACGGTAGGTGGCACCAACGAGACCCAACCCTATGGAGATCATTAGCGGACACTGAGATTGCTACACCTAAAGCCAGCATTCACCTGGGAACTCGACCACGGGAACGTTGGAGTTCGTTGTCCCGAGAATGTCAACCAGTCCAGTCTCGCGCTCAACGGCGAAGATGTCTACCGAAGCAGTCGGGTCTTCACTCTCGGCTACGGCCTTGTGCATCATCTCTGGATTGACAGCAATACCCTATGTGCGAAGCTCAGTAGAGCAGTGGGCTATTCGGCTTGTCGGCACTTACCATGTTCGCCGTGACCGTCCACGGGATCGTTGTCCATACCAGGGGGTGCACTTTCCGCACGCAAACCTACGCTCAGAGTCAGTGCATGAAAATCACGAGAGCGAGTGAACATTATACTCACAAGACCGTGCCGCTCGAAGCTTCAGGCCTCAGAGATGAGCGAGCCCGAGACGACCGATGAGAGCATGTGCAGTGACGCTCGCCCGCCCGTGGCTGGTGTAGGTAACCGTCCAGACGGTCGTTAGGGTGTAATGACCCGTCTTTGTCGTCGTCGAGTCAGTCGCGGCGAAGTACGTAGACGTCTGTGTGCTGACAGGGGAGGTGGGCGACGCCGTTGAGGGTGTGCTCGGTAGTGATGTCGTGGGATCCGAAGACGACGATGAAGACGATTGGGCAGCCGAAGAAGCCGATTCCGGGTGTCGAGCGGGGTGGTGATCATGCACTCGCCGTCCTCAGTTGCATCCCAAGCCCCAGGGAAAAGCGTCACGGCTGTCTTCTACCCCGACGAGCGCAGTCGGCGCACCCAGTCCCTCACGTTCGCCGCATGCAGCATGGGGCAATAGCACAGGCGGCCGCAGCCTCTCCCGTCCGCACACCTTCACCGGAAGTGAAGGTGACTCCTCCCGGGCGATACCTACCGAACGTACCCCACACGAAGATGCGCCTCCCGCATACACACGAGCGCCATGCCGAGTTCGATTCAACGAGCCAAAGGCGACCGTCCGCATCTCCGACGCCTGATTTCGAACGCGCGACCGTATGCCCGCGCTCGTCGCGCAGCCAGGGCTCGGCTTTGCTAGAGGCGCAGGCGTTGGGGAAGGTCCTAGCGGCCACCCACACACCGACTTCATTGCAGCCTCCCCGATCCTCCACCGGAAGACCACATCGGCCTCTCCCCGTCCCCGCACAGCTCTGAGTGGTCGCAACGCCTCTCCGGCTGACCTAGCCCCCCCTTCTAAACGGCCTTAGCGTGCGACCTTGCGTCCCCACTCCCGCCGCATAGCCTCGCGCTCCCGTGCGTCGCGCATCGCCTCCACCGCCTCCGGCCTGTGCGCGACGGAGGGATGCCTGCGAACAATGCAGGTCGATACCGGCCCACAAAGACGGGCCCTGGCACACAAAAGGCCAGACCGCTTTCGGGACTTCGCGGTGAACAAAGGAGGGCGCCATTTGGCAGGCTTGAAGCGGGACACGCCGGCGGTATCGCAGCAGTCGGCATGGGTATGGGTGAGATGTGGTCGCAGCCTGTATCCCTCGGGTGGTGGGCTGCGGCATCGGAAATAACCCGCACCGCCAGGACGATCGAAGGCTCAGTCAACGCAAGAGGATGCCGCTGTGAACCGCGCATGTTGAGGGATGCCCTCGCGGCGCACGATCCGCGGCGCGTCCATGCAACCCACCGGGAAGGCGCTCGTGAATAGGCTGCCCTAATAATGAGACGGCGGCGTACCTCGGCGAAGCGGTGAGCCTAACGTCCTGGATGCTGTCCCCCAATCCTGTTGAACATGAAGGGCAGCGACATCGCAGGCGGGCGTTGCTGGTGCGGACAGTCGCGCGACGGATTCGTAGGACGGCGACGATGGGTACCGGATCTCATGCGGTGTGATCATGATCACACGCGCGCGCGCGGGCGTGCGATCACATGATGCTAGAACGCGTCGACGCGTCGGGCGCGCACGTGCTTGACGCGTCGCGTTGATCAGACTGGCCTCGCGCCGCCGTATAAAGCGCGCCGAGGCATTGCCCCGCCGCCCGCATACTCACCCAGTCGACGCCCGGTCCCTTGCGCGCCATGGTCCCCGCACAAACCAACGGTGAGCGCCCCGTATTTCCATTGCTGGCCCTCGGGGCCCAAGCTGCACGGAACGCGCCTACGCGGAGCCTCGCCTGGCACTGGGGGGTTGCGCCCGCGCAGCTGGGCCTCTTGGGTTGGCTAATGGCACTGCGCCGGGGACGTCCATGGTGCTTACTTGGTTTCCCGCAGGAGGGCCGCTGACCGCAGCGGCCCACTCCGCGTTCCAGTTTGCCCCGCTTCTCATGGCGGCGGTGGCGCGTGAGCTAGCAGATTCAGGTCACGAGGAATACGACCTAGAAGACATCGCTCTGTTGCCTGCTGAACCGCATGCGCCGCCCGAAGGTTCAATGGATCCGGGCCCGGCAGGGGACCCTTACAGAACGGACGTTCAAGGCGGCGATGCCAGCGCAGCCGGGGTGCTCTCCAGCCGGGAGATGCCCCCGCATCGCGTGGAGCTACAACGGCGGAAGGCACAGAGTCGCGAGAAGCGAAGCCGTCGGCGGGCGGAGAGCGCTTCGCCGTATAGCGCGGCGCAACGGCCGCGCCTACCCCTTCTCAAGAAGCACATCATCGCTGCCCACCCTATCGAGACCCCTCTCACTTCTCAAAACCTGCCCCATACTAACGGTGCATACACCGGGGGGCGGGAGGGACGCGCGGCGCGTCACCACTTCCGTTTGGAGGACTTGGTGGGTGCCGGATCGCCCTTCGGATTCGAGCTCGTTCCTTGGGATGGACGGTGCGTATCCATCACTGGGCTTGTACGCGAGGCATTGACCTAGCCCCAGCACGGTTCGGCCCATAACTGACGGCGTCGGGCGCGTAATTGCCGTTCTATGCGGCGCTCCCAATGACCCGGAGTGGCCTGACGTGCATGCAGGTGCAGCTGCTGCGGTTGCTGCGGCCCGTGAGAGGCTGTCACTGACAGCCAAGGACCGTGCGCATCGGCGCGGGGATTTTGCTGCATTGGCAATGGGCATATCCTATGGAGGGGGGCAGAAGGTACGTGGACCACACAACTTTGTGAAGCATCTAGCCTTAGGCCTTCGCCAGCGCCCAGGAAACCTTGTGCATTTGCGTTTGAATGCCGGTGTTCTGGAGGGGCTCCTGCAGCATACACATATCAAGCGAATGGCTGCCTTCGGTTCCAGTAAGTCATCGGGTGAGCTAGTGATTTGCAGCACTAACGGTCCGGCCAATAAGGTGTATTCCGCACATGGGCCCCGCGACTTTACGACTATTATGCGGCACACATGCAGCCCCTGCTGGCACAGGATCCGCGCCTCCGACCCAATTTTGCACACAGCGTCTTTGCGTGCACCACGTTCAATTTTGGACCTAGAACATGCACCCTAGACCACCGTGATTGTGGCAACCTGCCATTTGGTTGGTGCGCCATCTCCGCGCTGGGTGATTTTGACCCTCAAAAGGGCGGTCACCTCGTGCTGTGGGATCTGAAGCTCGTCATAGAGTTTCCGCCAGGGTCGACTGTCATGATACCGTCGGCGACCCTTCGGCACTCAAACACTCAAGTCCAGGAGAATGAGGAGCGGTTTTCCATCACCCAGTACACTGCGGGTGGCATTTTCCGGTGGGTCGATCAAGGCCTCCAGCCCTCAGCAGCATATTACTCAAGCTTGGACAACATTGAGCGGGAGGAGGCCAGGCGGCGTGCAGCTGCACGGTGGATGGAGGGTATGGCTCTTTTCTCAACCCTCGATGAGCTGCAAACACAGGGCGTGTGATCACTGAATGACGGGCCATGACTCATGCAGACTTGAACCCAATGCGCATACATCCATATGATGCGATGGCTTTCAAATCACCAAATCCGCTCATTTGTCTGTGATCGTCTAACCCTGTCTCTTCGCCAACCCAACAAAAATAAACGGGCGAGTGAGTGAGCGAGCGCACAGGTGAATAAACGAGCGGAGAATGTGCGCGAGCGAGTAAGTATGAGGGGTAACACGAGCATCTGCACGCGAATGAGCGACCATGGGCAGCCGGACGCATCTATGGGCGAGCAAGTGACTGACCAAGAAAGGGGCGGATATGCGATATCCCGGACCCCCGAATTACCTCCTCCTCCTCCTCCTCCTGCGTAGTGAGATATCAATGATACACACTAGCAATGGCGTACCTTCAGTTTTCGAGCCCCCTCCCGCTTTTGCGTCTGACGCGCTCTTGGCGGCCCAGTTATCCCGGAATGAAAAACACATGGACTTTGCGTGTTCACGGAAAAATGTACGGGTGAATACGGCAAAAGACGTAACGCAGCGACGACGCGACGCAAACTTAGCGCCCATTTCCAACTTCTCCCTTCTCACAAGACTCAACTCATTTGCGTGGGCTCGAAAACCGATCATACATCTCACATTAAGGGTATACTAGGCTGACACGAAAGTGACCACAGCGAGGCGAATCGGGCGGATGATAGACGGTCGACGGAGCCGTTACGGTACCCGAGCAAGCTACAGTGAGCATTGCATTGGCGACACCTGAGGCATGACGCGGACGCCTTACTCCTGAGTGCGCGCAGTGCTAGGGCCGGCTTGAGGGCTCCCTTGCCCCCCGTTGCTGCGAAGTGCGTGGCTTGGCTCGCCAGGTATGCGCGGAAGTTGTAGTGCCCTATTCACGCTCAGTAAGGCAGCTCAGGCCAGGCACAGTTTGAATAGCCACTCACTGTAACAACACATTGTCGTGGCTGAGGTCATATGCCTCCGTAGTCGCACCAATTTCCTGCTTCTCGAACTCAGACAGCTTGGCATACCACTCCGCCTCGTAAATATTGATTGGAAGGCCTCGTACTGCCGGCGATTTGCCGTCGTTGCGATCACTGGTAACACGTCTGCGCACAGGCGCGCCTCGCGAAGGCGGCTGACCAGGGGGGTTCTTGAGCCGCGCGTACATTTGGTCCATGACGCGCAACCATCGAGCGACTGAGTGTGACCTCCACGGCTGTTGTATAATCACATACTGGTCCGCCGAGTCACCGTCGGGTTCGTCAGAGCTCATCCCACCTGGGCCCAGCTTGCGGAGCATCGTCGCATGCCGCCGTAGCTGATCGTACCAGCCACAAGTCTGCAAACGCCGTTCGTATAGCTGACGACGGGAGAGATTAGAGGGCAGGTACGGAAGCAATCATGACTGCGATACGTACACCAAGCTTCCGTTGGTAACGATTATGACGCTCCTTCTCGGCAAGCAGATCCTGAGGAGAGGGCTCCGAAAGCGATTCCTTGTACTTGTTGATGAGACCGCGCAGATGAGATCGAAAGGCCGCTGCAATTTTAGTGCGTTTTTTGCAGTTAAACTGCCCGTACTGAACAAAACTCTCAGCGAAGACCTTGGCCACAGACTTGTTCCAGTCGGAGCCTGCAGTACCGTTCAGATCCGGCATGAACTGGGAAGCCTCGCATGCCGGACCAGAGGATTTCGACCATCTCCTGATAGCTTCCGCAGATGGGATGAGACGGCGGTGGAACCGCGCGCTGGCATCTTTGCGCTTCATCAGCGTGAGTGCATGCGTACGAACATTGCGCTGCCATACAGGTCAGTACATGATAGCGTGATCGAAATGGGTGCCTATACCGCAAGCTCATTTTCCGTTTCGGGCCGGTGCTTCGTCAATGCCCTCGGTTTTGCGACCTTGTTGACGATTGGCAAATCATCTTCGTCGTCTGCATCCGACCCAGACTGATCGCCTGAAGCGCGCCTACGTCGAGCGTCCTTCGTGAGAGTCTCTCGTATAAGCCGGACATCGTTACGCATTCCATCGAGTGTCGAGTCGAGTCGATTGATGTCGTCTCTGCTTGCGGGCATGTACTGAATAAATCCAAATTCAGTGCGCCCAGTCCGAGAGAGATGATAAGGCCTACCGTATGATCTCCATGAGAACGGAAGGCAAATGCATGACTCCGATCCGTCCTGGAAGATTGATGAGCTCCACCCACCGAGTCGCCAGCGCCTTCAGTGCGGTCGCCTGGCCTGTTCTCCTCTCCTTCACGCCTATTGACATCTGGCGGTGGTTGGGCATCTGGATGATCAGAGGGCAGCGCCCTGTGAAAGGCGTTAGCGGGATCCATCGCACTCGGCGTGGCGCGGTCGTCGACGTCAGAACCGGCGAACAATGGGTCGCCATGTTCATGCTGGACCTCTTGCGATGCATCCCCAGTGTGGCCATTAGTCAGAGTAGGTGTGCGCGGAGCTTTATCATGAGCAATACTACGAGGACGCCGATCTATACTGCGAGCGGGCATATGGGGGCCATCGTCCGCGACGGGCTCCACTGACCTATTACCTCCATTGCGTTGACCCGCAACACTACTCACGAAACCAGGCCCAGGAGGTGCATCGCCCGTTGCTGCCCCATCGGCTTGAATTGAGAAGCGGTTTGCGTCTGACGGCTGTACCTGAGCAGACGTGAGGGCAGGGCGGCCAGAGCTTGCATCGTCCATGACAGCATCTTCATCCGCAGTGAGTCCTACGGGTGCATCAATCTGATCCGCTGCGGGTTGTGTGCGTTTTCTGAAAGCCGTAGTTGGGTACGACTCTATTGCACCCGACGACGTCTGCGCGATGCGGAGCCGTGTGTTGACGTCGGGCAAGGAATGACCAGCCGCATTGAAACCCGGCAGACTTTGAGAATATTGTAGCCAGTCGATGGATGTTGAGCGGTCACCGAGGCTGTTGGCGCCTGAGCGGTAGTGCGCTGAGTCCACAGTGTCTTCAGTTCGCTGCGAAATAAGCCGTGAAGCACTTAAAGGCGAGCGGTCCAAAAGCGAATGGATTGAAGGTAGAGGTTGCCCCAGCGGCCTTGCCGGCGGAGAGATGCTCGAACGCATGGCCCCAGGGCCACGAAGTTGAGTTCTTTCCCGGCGCGTCGAAACGGGGCCTAGCCATCTGTTCGGGACCGACAAAGAGGGACCTGCGCCATTCGCCAAATCTGGGGACGATCCAAAAGCTAGGCCATGGCGAACTTGCGTCCTGCGCGGAGCACCTGAAGAATACATTGGCAATCTCTCGCGATAAGCCTCGGTAGAGGGCGGCGCTGGCAGCGTGACTGAGCCCTCTCGGCGGCTACCCCACGGACGCCAAAGAACCGGCGATAGGTGCGGGCCCATAGCATGCTCAGTGTGCTGAGGAGGTTGCGCTCGCTGTAGGTCTAGTCCGTGTCCAGTCTGCGAAGGTGGCAGCGCGTTCCTTTGGTCCGAGTTCCTTGCGAATGGAATTTGCAGAGGGAGCTGCGCTCGCGACGAGTGCACTCGGTGTTTATACTGCGGAGGAGAGCGTACTCGTGTTGCGCCTGACTCCATCACGCGCGTAGCCTGTGGAAGATGGTGAACTTGCGTTCCATCCGAGTGCGTGCCGTGCCCGGGCTGCTCCGCTTGGTGCCGATCACTCTGTGCATGTGGATGGGACTGCTCTCGCGGTCGGTCTAACGCCGTTCCGCGTTCGACCTGCGCTCGCAATAGCTCTGACTCTACGCGAAGTTCTGCAGGCGGAGGGGGGTCGGAGCTCTGTGCAGTCGTCGTGAGTACCAAATGCGCATTCAAAGAAGGCAGATTGATGGGAGATATAGTATGCCCGGGACGTCCAAGGCGCAGAGGAGGTAGCACGATTTCATCAGCATTCATCGCCCCTCGGCGTATATCGGTGTCACCAAGAGAAGGGGCTGACGAGGGATCGAAGCGGAAGTTGAACCGTGCTAACGAAGGTATCGAACTGCGTTGCTGACGAATAGGAGCAACCGGCGCTTGAGATTTTGTGAACGAAGAAGCCTGCATTTGGTCCTGCTGGTCTTGGTGCTCCGAGAGTCCGTTTGTTCGAAAGTGCTGGCCTGCTGGCGGCGTGGAAACTTGTTCGTCAATCTGAGTAGCAGTTGACATTTCGGCGTGTGTCCGCAATCCGACCTCCAGCGATTCAAACACTGGCCGTGCGGAGCCGTAGGTAGGGGTAGGCATTACGACCTGGTCTTGCGCGACGCTCACTCTAGGCGCCGCCGAGAAAATAGGTGTTACACGGATACCAGATCCCTCTGCAGTGCTGTGTCCAATCTGCGGAGCAGGCGGGGCCGTTTGCGCCTCACCGGTGTCCATACGCGTTGATAGAGTCTGGGGCCCTTCTCGAGCGGGGTACTCTAGTTGTGGTCCTGGCAATGAGCCCTGCCCTCGGCTGAGTGGATCCACGACAGGTGACGTTTGAGGTCTGGAAACACCGACCCCGTCATGCGAGCCCAGTAATGACCGCACAGCGCGGCTGTCGGACCGCCTCTCAACAATAAAGGCCGTGGATGAATGGTGTGTCGATGGTACGTTCTTCGGGCTCTCAAGCAACTGTGTTCTTGGCTCCGCTTCATACGTGTGGAGGGGTGCAACTTCTGACATAGCCCTGTCACGCATAGAGCCGGAGGATGGGCGTGAACGCTGCGCAGGCCAGGCATTATCAGCTGTGAATCAACGCCAGACCAAGGGGAGGCGGCAGCGCGGCTTACCTGCACGACATCATGGTGACCACTACCGGAGCCATCGATCGACATACGGCCATGGCTCGATATTTCCGGTGACGCATGCTCTAGTTCAGTCCTAGCTTTAGTTGATCCTTTGACCTCCGCACGTTCCCCGGGCCCTGTCGTCTCCGCCGGGGGGTACAGAATGTCAGATGATGCCGTCATGATACCGACCATCCTATCAGGTATGACTCACCTGCCCACAAACTCGGACGCCTTCCAATTCTGGGCCTTCGACCAATGGACCATCTGATATGGCTACTTCTTGGACGCGACCTAGCTCCGGAACCGGCTGGTTATGCGGCAGTGGAGGGTTTGACTGAGCATACTCCTGTTTCAGGAGGCTGACATTGTCCATGGCGATGATAGGACGCACTGATGCTCCCGAGCCGCTTGCCAGAGCTAAGTTAAGAGAACTCGAGTGCGACTGATGGTCGTTGGGCACAACTCCGAGCGCTTGCTGACTTCCTGAATCCATACGACGTGCGACGTCTTGAGTCGAGGACTGCGGTCCAGTAGCGTCGACTCTATGGGGAGAGACAACTTCTTGGGCACCGTCTGATTGCGTGGCTTCCGGTGACGGGACCGACTGGATATGAGGCGATATCGGGGTGTTTGACTGAGCATATCGGTGAGTCGGTCGGCTGTACTCATCTGCGATGGTAGACGTACCGGATTGCTTGAGCCACTTGCCAGCTTTAGGTGCTCTGACTGCGACCGATCGCCGTCGACTGCGGCGTCAACGACTCCCTGTAACCCTGGATCTGCATGACGTGCGGTGTCTTGGACCGATGATTCCGGCTCGAGCTCAACGTTCCCTGGTGCTTCGCTCTGTGTTTGCAGCGATGATACCGTCGTATCCAGGCGGGGTGACGTCGCATGCTCGATGCGAACATCAACGGTGCCTCTCGGTGAATACAAATCTTCGACACCCGTCCAAGTTTCCTCATTCGACAGTGGGTCGAACTGTGTATAGTCATCTATACCACTTGCCGGCGCGTTCGGGTCAGGACTGGTGGTCGTGCTGCTGCTCAAAGAAGCGTTGTCATCGCCATCGATCATGCGGTCGTCGACATGTTGGGCTGTTTGGTGACTGGACGAAGGAGTGGCTGGGGAAGAAGGTCCGAGATATGCGACTCCGCGGTGCGCTTCATCCTGGCCTCCTCGAGACTCCGTAGGTGTCATTTCTTCGTGTCTGATCGGACCTTCGTTCCCGGTCGCGACTTCCGGTACCCCGAGCATGTCATGCTGGAATTCTGGATCGGTGACCGGAGTACCCAGCACAGGATGCTGGGTGACGCCAGCTGTTACCGAAGGAGAATTCTGTTGCCGTAATGGTTCATTGACGCCATGGGCTAGAGATAGGGACGGACGGGAGTGTTCAGGAACGAAACAGTTGCGAAGGCTGTGATCTCATTACCTTCATGTGCGCCGCCTATAACGTCCGCTGTAGAGCTGGGGCCAAATACTCCAGATGGTCCCTGTGGCGTACTCTCCGCGACGGTTTGTAGCCATTTCGCTGGCCCTGGATTGCTTGGCAGCGGATCGAATTTAGGATACGGTGAGTGCAGTCTCGGCCTCTTGTTTGGTGTCCAACCGTCACTTTGGGGCGAACTTGGCTCTAAAACCAAGGGCAAATCCGTCAGCATCAGCGCGTCTCGTTCGTCCATTTGGCGTACCTAGCAGCCCCTCAACGATTCTCTCATCGTCGAGGTCCATGCCATTCTCATCAGCCCTGCTGGTACCTCCGCGCCCGCCCCCGTTGCGTCGCGCGCCCACACTCGAACCCAGGCGTGCTTGTTCGATCCCCTGCTGCTCATCATCTGATTCCGCATCTCTTCCTCTCTTGGCGTTCCTGGTTTCATGGCGCAAGACGGGACTCACTGGTGGCGGTATGAGTGCACTGATTAGCAGCGACAAGACGGGACTCACTACGAAGTGTCACATTCACGCCCAAGCCACTACCACCCGTTGAAGCCCCCTGCTCGGTGTTCCGCAATGTATCTGCGACGACTCCGGGATCATGCTCGACTGCGATACACGTCCGTTATATCAAGAGACAGGGACTTCGGTGCGTAACTCACCTGTGCCCACTGTCGACATCGGCAGTCTGTCATCTTCATCGCCATTCATCTGCGCTGACTGTCAGCCTGACAGGAGAGGATCAGGGAAGAGCCCAACTGATTTAAGATGATATACCAACGGCGCACTCCCCTATCCCTACCTACAATAATACAAGGGTGAATGAGTTTGACTCCAGGAAAACAAAGCCGCAAGCGAGAAAGACGTACTAAGTGGCACATCTACCGTGCTTTGGATGGAGGCCATGCGCGTGCGCGATTGTACCACTTACTGGGCCTCCATTGTTGTCCTCGGTCCCATAGGGCATTGGAAGTCGGTCGCCCATCTTGGCTAGCGTACTGGTAATGCGATGCCCTCGACAACCTAGTGCCTTTCTTATCACCTGAAGGTATGTCTGATCTGTCGCAAGGAGCACTGAACATCACACGGTGACGAGGGACATTCAGAGGAGTTGAGTATAGAGACCGTGACGGCATCGTGTCATGATGTCACGGTGCCACCAGCAACGATACCCAATTAGGAAGGAGGAATGGACTTGCGCAGACTTTGTGCAGTTTGGGCTGATGGTGGCGCCGTTCTAGAACACTTAAAAGCGATCTGGAGTATGTAGTGGGAAACGGGAATGCGTTGAGATACAGAGCAAGATGGCATGGATATTGATGTACATAGTACCGGTTTAAGCGATAGGAGTGTACGATTTTCCTCCTGATCGTGCCTTGAAGCCCTTCTTCCGAAGGTAAGCATACCCGTTGAAGGTCTGACGGGTTACCCAGCTCGGTTCTCCACAGTGTTGAATATGAAGACGGCGTTGTTTGAGATTCGGATGGGCGTATCCCTCTGCGACTGGCGCCCATGTCCCGTTATCGCCGAGAATCCACGCTCGAATGGTGCCCTTACACTTGTCTTCATGAAGAAAAAGATCTGTGGGATCAGCGTGCAACGATACAGGAGGTTCTTGAAGAGGTGTAGAGCCGGAGTGCTTGTACCAGACTGTTTGACCATGCCCATGCTGGCCTCTTCGAAATGCTTTCACCCTGCGATAGTTACTCCAATCCACGCATTCGACATCCGACTGACCCGAGGAAGTTGGCAAGTTACCAAGTGTGCTGGAAAACCCTATACCTATGTCGGACCGTAGTTGAACGTCGGACCACGGTTGAGAAGGCGGGTCAACAACGGTCGAGCCAGACACACTAGCGTTCGGTTTGTGGAGCTCTGTACCGATTGAGGATGGATTGTCGCGACTTGTAGCGCGCATCTTGTTCTCGGGTTCGATCACAAACTGGAATGGACGGGTACGAATTTGAACCGTGCGCCTGTAAGAGTCTACGCACCGGCGTCCGTCTTAGTACGTGGTTTCGAATTTTGACCTTGTATGTACGCACCGACGGATTCACTGTTCCCTGACATGCTCGCGAAATGGGCATTGCCCTCTGCAAACGAGCGATGATCGGAGTTGCGAGTGGTATGGGGCATAGAAGGGGGCAATTTCTTGGTAAGGGTGGTGGGGAACGCGTTCGCGGCATCGACAATCGAGCTTGGAGCCATATCCGCACCCCCGCGTATGGCCACCGTGTCCACGGCCTGAGGTAGAGGAGCAAACCGAGCATCGATGCTTCGTTGGTAAGGGATCGCATCCTCCCCTGTTCGATCGAGCTGAGCATGCTGCAGACTAGCTGTATTACCAGCAACGAAAATAACACTGCTGTTAGTCTAACAACCGACGCTGTAGAGGAAATCAGCTCACGAGCTACGCTCGACGGGGTAAGCACGTCGTGATTCTGTGCGCCAAAGCTGATGCCGGAGATAGGCTCCAGTAACAGCTTCTTGCCAGGGTGCAGACCTGGAGTGAGGGACGCACCAGCCCTGCCGAAGTTATCAACAGATGCTCGCGCCTCCTCATCAATCTGTACGCGCCAGCTACTGGAAGCGATTGGTACCAATGGAAATTTCATGGGCTGCACGTTTGCTGTGAGAGGCGCAGCACTACCTGGGTCATCACCAGGCGCTGATGCGGCGTGCTTTAAGGCGTTATGTAGGAATAGCGGGCGAAGAAGTGACACACCAGAAGTAGAGGACGAGGCATGGCGAGTGGGATCAGCTCCCATGTTGCCACTCAGCAAAACCCCTTCAGTACTTGGTATGTAGTTTCTGAGACAACTGTGAGAAGGTCGTCGGCGATGGTTCGATGCAATGACATACTCGGGTGTTACTGTTGTTGCTCGCGACGCCACTGGCGGGAACCTTATCCGGTTGCTATAGGTGGTCTGCGAAGGTGATGACTATGAGCCAGTAAAGCGTCGGCACCACAAGAAATCCTACCTCCCAGCGTTCCGGAAGCTCATTGGAGGACGCCTCGAAGGATAGCCCGTCGGGAGGAGCAACTAGGGTGGTACCCTCTCGTTCGAACAGCCTGACAGACGTCATGATCAGTGGCACTGCGCATTCATGTTGACGGGCGTGCTGCCTTGGATCTTGCTTTTAAGCGGGGATGGAGGCGTAAGGCGATCATGGGCGGATCTCATCTAACAGAGGACAACACATCGGTTGCAACATTTCGGTCGCAATCTCTCGGTCGCAATATCTCAATACAACAGATCTTACCATATGCATACGGCCTGGTGCACTCAAAACAACGCCCGAGACTACGCGCCATAAGGCTGTTGTTTCAAACGGTGACATACGAGTTGCTATGGCAACTTGAGCGTGCTTACGGCAACCAGTTATGTTCAAGAGTACTGACAAATTCAAATACTACATCGCTCCGGCGCTAGGCCCGTGATCAAGTCGACGATCCCAGGAGTACAGAGTACCGACGAATTCAAATACATACGCAGCGAGAACACGGACACGCACAGGATTCTATGTATGATACAGCGCACTAGAGACGGTCCTTGGATTAGCCATGCCTGCGATTAGATACTCAGCCAACGGAGCGATCAGCCCTCCCTGTACCAGTGGGAGAGTGATCAGGCACGAGTGGTCTCCTGTCGCAGAGATCATTTATTAAGTTGTCGACGGACGCCAGACGACCATGCACTCACTTCTTCCAGCCTGGCTTTCTCCGCCACTAAACGCTCTTTCTCGGTAGCAAGAGCAAGCCTGCTCGTCTCCGCAGCGACTCGGCTTTCGCTCAAGATCAACAGCTGCTTGAGAAGTGCAAAATCTACATCGGCGTTGAAGTCGAGCTCCTTCTCAAGCAGTCCGCGTGTTCGCTCAAGCAGTGCGCATTGACGCCGCGAGCTTTCGACCTGCTCGCGTCCGCGGATAACGGCTGTGTCTCTGCCAGTGCCACTGGCATCAGCTGGGAATCGACTACAAAGAGAAATGACGAACCGGCTGACGAGTTCCTTCAGAACTGTATCCGAGTCATCCGGAATCATGCATTCAGATAGAAAGATGCGTGCACAGGTTTGAGGGAAGGCGGGTGCGTTGCACACTGCACATACTGTGTTTTCCGCGTTCTCGCCATGCTGGCCACTCAGGGTTTGGAAACACAAGGCACAGATGAGATGTCCTATAGTTTCATACAGCAACAAACATGCGTTAGCAGGGCTATTGCGGGGCCTTTGATGAGTGATGGAACAACGTACCACAGCCAATGATCATATGCACCTCTGAGAGGTATCCATCTGCGTGTCCAAGTCGAACGTCGCACGATCCACAGACGGCATGCATTTCAGCACATTTACGTGTTTGAGGGGTGAACCCGAGACTTCCGTATGTCGAGAGGTATGACAGTATTCTTCACTGCAAAAAAAGTGTGCCACCGGCGAACAGCGACGTGGCGAGAACAAGGTAGAATGAGACACGAAACGGGCGGAGGTTGACGTCACGTGAACAAGGTTCAACTCGAGGTTCACGTCGCTGAGGTTCAGTTTGCCGAACTTTGTTCAGCGAACACGTCAAGCATACTGTGGCTAAAAGAGCTGGAATCAGGTAAGCGGTAAAGACTACGGATGAGCCAATAACTTATAGCACGACGGGTGGAAGAACTTCAAGTTGTACCCGCGTACAAAGTGCATCATGGCGCCTGTGCGCCCGATTAGGCAACCTTTGCAAGCGGATCGGGAGGAACACATTGGCAGGCGCTCCTCCTCCTCCTTCCAAGACATCTCGCCCTCGGGAATCTCGTGCGTCGGATGCGCGCCCCGTCGAAAAGTCCTACAGCACCTTCCTCCACCCAGACAACACGCAGCTGAGGCAGCTGAGCGACAAGACGTATAGTAGATTAGCTTTAATTGCCATGTGTGTGGTTTGCCCGAAAGCCCACTGAAGTGAATGCTCACTCCCTGACGTCCCCATGGGCAGTAGGTATCATGCGAAACCTGCGTGAAAAGAGGATGTTCTGCCATCTGTCCGGAGGGTGCGTATGCTGTGTCCGTTCGTCCGCCTGTCGTGACGTCTAAACAGGCATGTGCAACAGGCTCGTTGACGCAAGGAGAGCCGGTACGAATGTTCCGCTCCTTTGTCACTGAGGATGACAACCGAAACTATGCAGCCTCGCGCTGGCGGACGCGGAGAAACTGCTCAAGAGGATCGAGCGCCTACGAGAACGCGGTAACAAATTGGAGGATGCGCTCCGGACGCTCCGGGCAGCCGTTTCTGACGAGCCGCATCCCCTGCTACGGGAGGAGTCCGCCATGGACACCTCCCCGTCATCCGGGTCGAGTGGCACATCCCCTTCAGGGCCATTGCTCACTCATGACGACGAGGAGCCTGAGATCCTCGATACACTCGGTACGATTAGTGTTATCACTTCAAGGGCCGTTCCATTACCTTCCCCACAGGGACACTCACCTTGGGCATACGAGGGGAAGCCAGATTCTTCAGCCAAACACCGCGCTCAGAGGTACTGTATCCCGTGCAGTCACTCTGCCTGTTATGGCTGACCTACTTCCGCCCTGCAGTATCTCATCCACATCAGGATTCCTCATTAGGACCCTGCACACTTGAGCTGAACGAGGCGTGTTAGGCACCGACGCGGACCGTCCCCGCCGCCAGCTCCTTTCCCCGCCTCTCGCCCGAGCTTGTCGACGAGGCGCAGATCGAGCTCGACGTGCAATAATGCCACAGCCTCACGATGCGACAGGAAATTCAAGCGATGATGCCCTCGCTCTGGCAGACATGCCATCTCTGCGAGATCTTCATGGAGTCTTGGCAGTACATGTAGGCAGCAATCACATCGCAGGCGGCCCGAGATGAACAGATGGTACCCCATGTCCCAGAGCGGAACTGTTCGACAACATCCTGGGGAGCGCGTACAAAACGTAGCCAGTCGTCCCAGACACTCCGCCGTGAGGTTGGTTGGTTGGTAATCCCGTTTATTGTCATTTGAGGGCGAAGCCCTATGTAGACTCGGACTACATACATGTACTATACTACTTGGGTTTGATGCGAGGGTGTCTAGCTAATCATTGGCTCAGTACACCTCCGGAGAGGCGACTTCGCCGGTTGGGATGGATTATTGTAAGGGGTTATAGCATATGTACAGTAGTTCGATTAGTTCGTGTTGTAGAGTCCATTTACTATGTATAGTGTCCGTGTGCAAATTGTTACAGTGGGGTATCAAGGATGCGCGTGGGATTGGAGATCGTTGTCACTCATCGTCCTCGGTGTTTGGTAAGTCAAGTCCTCCGAAGATGTGGTCGAAACGGCCGGTGGCATGTATATAGCGGGAAAGCGGTCGGATGGTGTCGGCTTGCGAGAGTAAGTGCCTGAGAGATCGTGCTCGGCCGTCGTAGCCATGCGCGTTGTGGAGCATATTCCGGGCACTCGAGGAAGAAGTGTCGGACGGTCTTTCGGTGGGCTCGGCATGCGGGACAGCGCGCTGTGTCGGATCGGCGGATGCGATGGAGGTGGTAGTTGAGCGGTGCGTGTCCGGTTCGGAGCTGAATGAGGAGGCTGGCGTGTCGACGAGGGAGGGGTGCGACGAGCTTACCGAACTTCTTCAACGGCATTTCAGGGTCTATGCGTGCAAGGGCTCCGAAACGGGGCGACTCCTTCCACCGTTGGACGGCTGCGGCTTTGATCTGTTCAAGGCGGTGCCTACGAAAGAGGTATGCGTGCCGCCAGACGCGTGCCACACAGCAGAGTGGCTCAGTCTTCGGCAACGTGTATTAGACCAAAGCCATGATATTAGAACATCCATACACTACAAGCCGCTTAACCTTCAACGGAATCAACTCTAACGGAGATCACGGAATAAAATTTCGACGGAGGTCACAAAACGAGTAGCGCAATGGGTATCTCTCCATCCACTGCCTTTCAAAAGCGTCGAACCCTTGACTGGCCTTGAGGGAGGAGGCCAGCAACAAGATCGGTCCACATTCAAGACCCCGTGCATCTCCGCGCCGACGAATGTCACAGCCGTCTACGGCGTGCTTGTCATGCCTATAAACATGATGAGTATGTGATGGCTAACGCGCGATGATTGGTATGAAACGCACTCCTGCCTTACATGCTCCACTGCTTCGTCCTTCGTCGGAGTTTCCAGTCGCCCGTACAGGCAGCACAGGCATTCCCAGCCACGGCTCAGCTGCTCGTGCGCTCGCCGAACCTTGTGATCGCTCGACATTTCAACGTCCCTTGCATGTGCGGACAGATGAAGGGGCGCTTGCATCAAGATGTCCTGCACCTGTGACGCATGTACTGAGGCTACATGTGCAGCCTGCGATGACGAAGTTAGGCATGAAGTGCATTGGCAGCTTTAATGCTACGTACCGCTGCACGCCAATCCATGACAAAGGCTCTCCGCGTCTCGAGACTGCAGGGCCCGCAGATAAGCCGCTCCACAGAACGGTCGAGGTCGTCGGCCGTCGCATGGTCGGGGTCTCTATTACACAACCGTATAATGATCTCCGCAGCGTCGCCTTGATCATCTAAAAGTGCAGCAGACCAAGGCAGACGACCATGGTAATGGACAAGCCGGGCGTCGTCGTAAACGTCCCCTTCGATGTGTGGTATGTTGCCGGTCGAGAAGGGGCGATTGTTTGCTGTTCTAGCCCAGCCGGCAACCGTTCCGTAGAGGCAGGGATGCGAGAGTACCTCGCGCGACTGGAAAACTTTTTGACAAGGTCGGCAGCGAAACAACGTCCGGGCGAGGTCAAGGACATCGGGTACTGCTAGGCGGTTTGAACGTCGGGCTGTTGACGGCGGGCATAGTTGCGGCGAAGGCCTCGTTAGCGTTCGCAATGAACCTTCAGCCTCATTGAGCCATTGCGCAACAAGGCCAGGCAGCTTGTCAGCAAATACGGATATGGGCACGGACGCATCTGCGTGCAAAGATACGATAGTGCCGACCTCAAGGCACCCGGCAAGATCCAGAGGTAGGGGAACGACGACAGCAGAGTGATTCTTCAGAAGGAAGGTCTCCGTAGCGGCGTCCAGCGCCCGCAGCCGCTTGACGCAGGTTTCTCGTTTCGACCAACGGGTGCGATCCTCGCTCCTCTGTGCCATCCAATTGCGCATACGCGGTTCCTCGCGTTTCCATTCTACATATCTCAGCATTATACGAATGTGCAGTGAATCACACCAACATACCGGACGCCGTGAGAGGTCGCGCAATGCAAACAAATGGGTGCTTCCGTAATTGATGCATGGATGAACCAAGATGCAATAATTCAGCACCATATCCGAGTCGTCCCAGATGCTGTGCAACACTGTCAATAATGCGTGAGTTTTTGGGCAAACTTCATGCAGAGGCGCTACGTACTCATTGACCCTTCCCTCCAAAATGTTTCTGCACCAACGCGCATGCCAAAACCTGCAGCGGCCGGAGTGCTATGGAGCAGCGATGTGAGAATAATTCATGTGAGAGGCGTGGATACACCCACCTCGTTGATAGTGGCGACCCTCCGTGTCCACTTCGCCACCACCCGCTGCTCCTCCAGACTACCTACGGGAGCCCCACGCAGCTCCCCGAGTAAGCAGTACACATCATATCGCAAGTACAGATGAGATCCTATGTGAATGTAAGACGACGCCCCGAGACAGTTGCTTGTGTACACTACCTTGTAACCGCGGTAAAACAGTACCAACCCAAGTCGCGTTCAACCGCAATCTTAGCTCCCGCTCCTCAGGAACATTGAATCTGAGGAGCATAGTCCTAGCATACTCAAGTCAGCTCACAGATGCTGCAGTTCTTTCTCATAAGACTCACCGCGTTGACTGACAATCTTTGCAGTATCTCCGCCGAAGCTCCCACAGCGTCCTGCTCGGTTCCAGGTTCGGTTCCCCGCAACCCTCGCAATCAGCGTCGAAACAAAGAGACGCAAAATTAATCTCGTTCAAGTAGGGTGGACGGGGAGGGAGAGCAGGTACCCTCGCCCGAGCGTTCTCCCAAATCTGTGAGGCTCGGGCAGCGAGAAGAAAAGACCTCATGAAGGTCTCGGATCGGGACACAGCCAGTAAATCAGTCGGGCCTAGGGCGCCGAGAACCTATGTTTGATGTCGGAGGACTGCATAGCAGACGTTGATGGGGTATGACGCACCATTTCGAGAATCTCCACCGGGATCTTGTCCCTCAATATGTTCGGCTTAACAACCATTGGTAACGGTGAAGGTTTCTTGGAGCGTTTGTGGCACTTCATAATTGCGACGATCGGCGAGGGATGAGGAAGGGATCGACGAACCGAACGCGTAGCCCTCGGCCTTTGAAGTGTTGAGACAAAGGGTCATTCCACGCGAGTGCCGTCACGGCGAAGGTGGCAATGGTATCAAAAGCAGCAGAATGGAGGCTCGGTCAGTTCAACGTAGCACAAGTGGGTGTTGCATTCTTACAGTGTTCGCCCATTGTTCAACGAGCTTGGACGGTCCCGACATGTCTGCACGCGCTCGCTGGCCTTGTGCTTGTAATGCGCCGTGCCCGTGTCTTCCGTATCCAAGTGAGAATGTCTGAGGGCGGATCTGCGCCTACTAATCAGGAAGCCAGTGACTGGACGGAATCCCCTTCTCCTCTTTCCCCTACGGTACGAACTTGCCGCAAACCGGCGCCAAACCGGTCCGGCGCGATCTCCCGTGTAGACGGCTTGCAAAACGACACCTAGTTACTGCGCAATGCACTTGGCTTGACGTATTAATATTTAATGCCGCGAGCCATAGTGAAAACTGACTCGCACCAAGGCTACATAAGTGACACTGTATCAATACTGTCATGTATATCGCGCGCGGTGGCCTACACGGAGGCGAGTTTTGATTGACATAACTACACATGGCCAGGATGGCAAAGCAGACAGCGAGACGGATACGTGACGGCGCAGGAATCGCTGAAATGGTTGCGCATGCACTGGAAGATGAGGCACGAACCCCGGATGGTATGCGCGATAGTGGAAGGCTCCGTCAAGACGATGTCGGAAGTGTGAGTAACACGGCAGCGATACTGATGTTAGCACCGGACAGGGCAGGGGCGTCATTAGCACCATCACCAGCCATGGCAACCAAGTGAACGAGACCCTGGGGACACTTGACGATCATTTTACTCGTGCTCGGGGAAGACACCGGCCGGGGAAGCCTTCGGCGTCGAGAATCGTCCCGTCGAGCGACGCGTGTCTACCACAAGCCTCGGGATTGTCCTTGAGTACCTTGACTGGGTGCATGTGGTCGCCAAGACGGAGACGACGGCAGGTCTCCTTCGCTATGGCGAGCTGGTCTTCGGTGAGCACTTGATCTTGACGCGGAGGGCGATGGCGTCGTCGAGCGGTCGGCTTGTTGTCCGTACGAGGAGACCGATGGCCTCGAAACCTTTACTTACCCTCATCCTCAAAGTCATCGCGCGCAACCTCCTCGTAAGCGATGGCGGGCGCACGTAGGCCTTGCGGTGCGAATTCCTCGGGGTCGGGTTCCTGCTCATCGCTCTTTCGCTCGTGCAGAGCTCGGCTTGAGGTAGCCGATTGACACCTCGCCGTAAGTGAATCTCTGCGTGGGGTCGGAGGGCTTCGACTTGATGTCGAGCAACTTGGTACCAGAACACGTGCGAGCACAGCCGACAACGCGAAAGTTGATGGCGTCCTGGCTCTCGGAGCGCGAAGGGTAGGCAGCGAGGAGGGTGTCATCCTCAGCGTAGAAGGGACCGTAAATGTGGATCGTGTCGCCACCGTCGGTCCATAGTGAGCCTGTTGGTCGTGCGTTTACTAGTCTTGTCGGAGCTCAGGATGGTAACGGCGGCAAGCTGTTCAGTGGCTGTGATACGAGTGACGATAGCCGAAGCCGGGGGTGAATGGGTGGTAGCGGGAAATCTTGCAGTTGGACAGCGGCATCCTGCCCAAGTCTCTCGCGTCCCGGATCATCGATGCCAATCTGGTTCATCCTCCCGCGTACTACTCACCTTCTCCTTCATCAGCCCCTCTCGCCATTCCCTACGCGCCCCCTCGAGGTACAGTGCGTCCGTCCGTCTGTTCATCTCTCGCAACGTCATCCCGCTCGTCTCGTCCTTCACGCTCCGCTCCCCAGATTTCCTCCTGGCTCCGCTGGACCTCCCTTGGGCGGATCACATGTTTCTGCCGCTCGACGCCGCAGGGTGAACTTGGAAAGCATCGTCGGGTACATCGCGGAGCGACCGATGAGTGCGAACGGTCGTGGGCATAAACAGTCGAGTGAGTCATTGCATCGCTAAGCAAGGAGCTCTGCAGCGCGAAACGAAGTCAGACAAGTCGTAAGTATGCCTGCCCTGAGTGAGATCTGTCACATGACTCACCTCGCCACGTCGCACACTGTTGACTCAGTTGAGCGAGAAGCGCACGCCGCACTTCAATCGACTCGACGTTCACTTCGTGACCCAGCAGGGTCAAGCGACATCTGTTTTGTCCCGTGCTGGCGAAGCAACAGACAGTGATTGCAACTAGCGCAACATGAGCATAAAGTATCGCCCCCGCTCGCAGGGATGCAGTCCAACGAAGGGTAAAGTAGCTGTTTGACTCACGCAGTCCCATTCCTCCTCAAGGCGGATCGACTGTCGGCCGCTGACAAAAGCCGGCTGGCTGGAGACGGTAGACTCCCTGAAGTCCGGCACCTTGGCGTAACATAGGCCGCAAAAAGGCCTACAGGGAATGCAGTAGCAAAGGGCCCCTCAGCGGAGAAATGCACTCGCATCAATGGCCTGGGCAAGAAAACTTGAGAGGGCAAAGTGGTGAGCAAATTGTGGGGCATGACGAGGTCAACGGAGAATTGCATACGACGTGGAAGACGGGGCGAAGGAGTTGGTGGTGTGGTTGGCGGTGTGGTTGGCGTTGTATAGGCCGAGCGGCAGGGCCCACCACGCGCTAGAAATGCTGCGAGACGGATGGGGGATGACTAGGACTGTACATCTCGCGGGGTCGGCGGGGAGGATAAGTGGTCAGCGCGTGTTTTCGATTCGGGCCGTGGCGCGCACCATTGGGTGAAGTCCGAACCAGCCGCGCCCTCGCAACCTCACGCAGCGTGGTCACGACGCAGCGCAATCCAGCTTCAAAAAGTCGGACAGTGAGCGTTGGGCGTGATTGGAACCTAGGTCGATGGTTGGCATCGGCTGTATACGACGCGTGCGGTGAGCACCCTGAACGCGCTTGGGATATGACAACTCACTCACGAATACTGTGGCACCTCTAACACATCATGGTCTGTCGGTTGCCACGGACGCCGCTCAGGACGAGTTTGTGGTCGTGCAGTGATGAGTGTTCGCGCGGTACCGATTTCGACCAAATACTTACTCAATTACTGCGTCATGGGGAGGCCTTGCAATACTCCGGACCTATCGAGTACTTACGCGGCGTCGTGGTCATGGCAGCAGGCAAGAGCGCAGGCTGTCGGGTTATGGATATTCACCGCAAGATCCCGTCGAGTCTCCGGGACAACATGTAGGGACGGGGGTCGTCGATAGGCGGACGGTGGTCACGAGGCGGGCGCCGGCCTATTCCCGATGGTCAGCGTGCGTCTGCGTCCGATTCACAATGTGCGTGCTCACTCGTAAGTCGGCTCGCGCGGGGGTTGGTAGCCAGACGTGCTTGGCGGAAGGCGGGGCAACTGAGCCAGTGCGGGTTCGTCGTGGCGACATAGTGGTTAGCCAGGACCTGCGTACATGTCCGTAGATTGTCAGAAAATCAAGGCGTCAGTATCCATTAGTTGTTGAAAAAGCACATACGACGACTAACCTATCATGCGCCGCCGAGAGCAATATTCACCAAATACATAGTCAGGACACCAAGAACGATGCACTTCAAGTGCACCAGAAGCGTTTGGCTTTGCTTCTTTGCTGCCCTCCTTAGGCAGTAGCCCACGAGGGTCCGGAAGCTCTTCGCGCTTTGTCCGCAGCTCCACTTGGTATATTTAATTGTCTACCGCTTCGTCGACACAACAAACAACCAATGTAAGCAGCATCGAGACTCTTGAGCTCAAGCCGTCGTGAAGGGATATCACAGGGCACATACCTCGCAAGTTATAATCTCGACATCACTCAGTAGCGCTACCCGCGGCCGCCGCCATGATGGCACGTACAAAGTGCGGCCAAGAATACGAGGAAGAGGCCCGGGGATAAAGAGGTACTGGCGCTATATGATGATTGTCGCACTCAGACTGATCACCGGGGAGCGGAATAAGGCGGAGGAGGAGGGGGAGGAGGATCCATTTGGGCATTCCAGCTATGTACCACCTACGCAAAGAGGGGATTCCATTGATCATGATCCACCACCGTGACGTTCGAGCGCCGTATGCGTAGAGATACTGATCAGGTACGTCGGCGACTCGGAACCGGTGATGCACTGATCAGAGACCCGTCCGATATAGTAGCGAGGTACCGATCAGTGATCTCCGATATAATGGCACAGCGGTGAGAGTGAACGCTTAAAATGACCGCGAGACTTGAGCGCTCTTGAGACTTGACGGACTCGGACTTGACTCGCGCTCAGTCAATACCTCACCGTCTCTTAGTTACTGTTCGCTGTCACTGCAACATCATGGTTGGATCTTTCGACTACGTCGCATTCCGCAGCGCTGTCACTAGCACGAGTGAGAACTTCAATCAAGTGGCAGGTCGTGTCACAGGCCGTATGTTCACCGACTCGCCACCAAGGAAGTGGACTGCGGGCGTCGCCCGGCGACTCTCCGCTCTCATCGAGGCTATCCTAGATGGTCCGTGGACATTGCAGGCAGTCGAGGAGATCCTGTGCACCCACATCCTGGTAAGCACTCACCTTCTTATCGCGCTGTCGTACATGGTGCGACTGCACATCCCCGCAGACTCGGAACTGGGTCGTGTCACTGAGCAAGGCTGAAACCTCGCTGATACCTGAAGCACTCTTCACGGTCCTCAAATGGTACTCAAGTACCCTGCTAGCTGGTGGGTCAGGGGAAGAACCCCTCCAAGACACGATACGAAGTCGTGAGGGCCGCATGCCCGTGCTCGTACACGAAGCGACGAACGCGTTGCCACCCGACCTCTTGCAGTGCTGGCTCCGTAAGTCACCTATTCACATCCTCACTCTTCTCTGTACTCACCGTGTCGCGCAGTCAATGACAGACTGGCGGGTGCGTGCCCACAACTCACAAATAGAGTTTCAGCCTCTCACATTATCGTTCCCGACGTGTGGCACAGCCGTACCGACGACTGAGCTCCCGCAGATCGTGGCGCAGATCGACGACGGTGACATCGTGATGCATAACGCTTCCCCTGGAGAAGCCCAGCAGGATGCGCCTCGCTCATCGGCAAAATCTAATGACCACGATGCGGAGAAAGAGACAAAGACGGCGAAGGCAATAGAGGAGGAGGGAGAAAGCGACGTCATGGATGACGACGTGGATGAGTTAGATGAAAGCGATGTCGAGGAGCCAAAACGGGCGAAGATGCGGCGAGAGGTGAGAATTGAGGTAAGCATACCACGCATCTACACTTGTGTGTTGCCGTTCACACAATTCTACGTTAGTTCCGCGGTGATTACAAGTGTGATCGCTGCAAGCGCATTGATACGCGGGCCAAGAAGCTGGCAGCGAAGGACGGAAACGACCCCAACGTGGTCGCGCCGTCCATGTGCACGGTCTCCGGGCGGCGTCAGCAGTGCGACTTCTGCGCAGATGGCCGGAGATCCAACTGCTCTGTGAAGGTGAAGGTGGTCATCTTTCGCCACCGCTGACGTTGTGCTCACTCTCGAGCACCAGGCATACATCATCAACAACCTGGTCACCGTTGGTAAGGACCTTGTTGGCACGTACACACACGACCACACTCTCAAGGCCGGAGTGGTTGGTGTTGAGCCTGATGGTGGGAAGACTACTAGCTCTATGACCCGCGTGCCGTCTGGTCCGTCCCGCAAGAAACGCGTGGCCAACCTCGCAAAGCGCAAGAATGCGGTGGTAGCGGCGAAGAAAGTCGCAGACATTCACATCCGTGCACGCCAGCCCCGCATGCGTGCCCTGCCGCGTACTCCTACCGTCGCCTCAAAGGCTGAATCATGCTCACATTCGGACGATGATGTCTCACTCGATGATGTCGAGACTGACGGCCTGAAGCAGGGGCGACCTCGTCTCTGCAGCCCTACTTGGGAGGAGGCCCAGGTGCAAACCCTGGCTGGCGATGCTCGCAAACTCAGAACCGAGGTCGATGAACTTCGCGGCACATTGGCCGGGCTAGGTGTGATCCGCAATGAGATTGCAGCCGATCTTGCCAAATATCGCAGCGACATGGAAGAATTGCGCGCCAGTGCTGGGACGCACCACCTGGTCGCTATAGAATCAGGATTATCAGCGCTTGTCGACAGCGTCAAGAGGCAGTTGGCCGGTGTCGATGATCATGTTGAGTACGACGTGAGTCCAGGTATACTTGTGTATGTTCCACACTGGTGATTGATGTCGACTATTCTACTCACTAGATGCCCCGCCAAGCTGCTGGTATGCCTGACAGAGATGGTAGCGGCAGCGCCACAGTCCACAATGTCGGCGTCGGACAGTCCAGCCAACATCTGAAGGCTCACTTTGCATAGCGTCTCCGCTTTCGGCAGCTCGCCAACTGAAACAGTGTCGCCGACTGGCAAATCTCGACAGGATATCACTTAAACAAGGCGAGGATCAGAGTCGGAGACGGAAAGAGATATTATTTGTATATCCTACTGTATACACGGAATATCAGGCCTGTCTACTATGCTGAACCAACTACAATCAACTGTAGGTCAACTGAGATGTACGAGGTTGTCTACTTATCTCTGTGTCATTGTAATGTACTAGCCGTATGCGGCGGGCATGCTGTAACAAGGCAGTGTTCTATGCGACGGAGACGAAGGCGTCGCGCGTCCGCCATGCGACTCGCTGGCGTCCCGCGGTACGTTGGTGGCCGGACACTGCTTGAAGGTCGTCTAAGGACGACGTGTGCGGAAGACGACCCGGAGATGTACCGGCGGCGTGGGTGTAGGGACGTGTCCGGACGTAAGCGATGTGCCTTGGGCGTCCGCTCATTCGCGCCGCAGCTGTCTCATGAGGACCTGGGAGTGTCCAACTTTAGAGGGACGTCAGCGCTGCCATTCATCGACGCAAGACTCGCACACTCACCTCGTCGCCGTCAGTGGGTAGCATCCGGACTTGCCGTCGTGCGGGCATCCCCCGCCGCTTTCGACTTAGACAGTGAGTGGATCATCCTTGGACGAGCCCCAATTCGGAGGCGAGTCCGACGCCGCCGAGACTACGTACTCAGTGAGTTTGTCTGCTCGCCGCGCGCCTCTGACCGTTTCTCCGAGGTGCTGATCCGATCCATCACCAGAGAACCCCTCCCACCCCTTGGTGCGCCCTGGATGTACGGGCAGCGCGGGCGCATTGCGCTGCATATGCCCTGCCCGTGCACACTGGGCTTTGTGTGTCGGTACATAGGGCGATGTGCCCCGGACGTGGTCCATGGACGACGCGCTCCGGGGGTACTGCCCCGCCATCTCCGTCGAGTCAAGCACAAGGGCGTTTTCGACCACCGTCACGGAAGAGCCGCCTCCTTGAACACCAGGGAAATCGGGGGCCTCCCATTCGTCAATCGCCTGTTGAAGAGAGCACTGGCAAGAGTGGCCACGAGAGAAGTGCGTACAGTGGAGGCGTACCTTCCAAGTTCGAGCCTTCACGCCCGTTCTGTCAGTTCGCACTATACCCTTCTCTCTCCCTTTCGCTGCATTCTCCTCTCGCCCTCTCAATGCCCTCGTCGTCCTTGCCCTGCGTCCCTCGCGATTCATGCAGTCGTCTCGCCCGGCGCGAGCGTCTTGATGTTCAGCGACTCGCAATCGGCTGGCAGACGACTGCAGGTAGCGCATCCCGGCTGCGCCCACGCTGCCCGCAACTGTGGCCACCCAGCGGGAGTCCAACCGCCCCTCAGGCGCGCCCGCGTCACTCGTATCTGTATGCAGTCCACTATGAAGTTCCGTAGCGGAAAGATATGCAGCATACGCCCGCGTTCTTGTTCGTCCGCAGAGGCAGCACTGGCGAATGCGTCAGCGTAGTAGTTCGATGAACCCAATGTGAGGTCTGCCAGCGCGCTCTGCTCGCTGAACCTGGAAAGCGGTCCGGAACCATTCCTCCTATCAGCCCGACGAGCTCGCGTCGCCACCCCTGAGACGGCTTCATCACCAGCAGCAGCCCGTACGCTAGCGGGGCCTCCAACCTGCGTCATGCCCCCGTGCGGACTGATAGGCGAACCGGGCGGAGGGTCGTCCCCGTCCTCGTCCGCGGGGCGGCGCCGAGCACTTTTAGCATGTGCGACGGCGGCGGCGACCTCGGCGGACTTGTGGGTGTGATAGCGTCGGAACGTGATGAGCAAGACGCCGAGGAGGGAGAGGTAGGCGAGCGAGTCGATGATCACGCTGGCGAGGGCACCATGATGGCTAGCCATTGACGAGAGCTTTCAGATCCGTGCTCATATTCGGGCTATCTGGGTCCAGCCCGAACTTGCGGCAACATAGACTGTGTGGGAGGTATGCTTTTCGATGTACGTTAATTCGCCTTCTGCCAGTGCTATGCGCGAGAACGGTGAATATTAATAGTCGATTTGACAATGACCGCGGTCAGACTGCCTCCTCGCACGATCTGACGCGCGCGTCCTGCGCCGCCGACCTGGCTAACTCCAACCTCAGCGCTCAGCGCTGAGCTGAGCAAATTTTGGCGGTGTAGTAAACCGGACGAAGCTGCCTGTAAATGAGTCCTAGTTAAAATTAAGCAGCACGTGCATATGAAAGCGACTTGTAACTTTAAACTAACCTCTCTTAACCATGGTCTTGACGACATTCAAATTCGTGATCTGAGTCTCCGTGAGACGTCCCACAACGTCCCACCAATGTAACATCTACCCAGTGTGCGATACGTCGATTCTGACGACCAGTCCGCCATGATGCCAAACTGACGGAACTGATCCCGCTGCCTGGCAACCTCCTCCTTAGCAAATGCCTCTGCTTCCGCCCGTATAGTTTGCGGCGTCAGATCCTCCGCAACTTTTTACGACCGGTCAGCACGAGATATGGCCAACCCTGTAATGCGCTTACTTTCAGCTTCTTCAGCACCTTGTTTTCGATGGGGAGGCCATGACAGTCCCGGCCTGGAATGTAACGACAATGAGTGTATAGTCAGTTAGAGCGCACTGTACGCGATGGCCCAACAAGACGTGATATATATCGGTTAATGATGTCCTTCAATATCGTGTTGAGTGCATGGCCGAACATGCGTGAGGTGAGGGTGTGCTTCATTTCATACGTTTGATTACCATTACCACGTACTCATGTATAGATGCCCATTAGCATACGGAGGACCATCATATATGCAGCACACGGACAGCGGATTGTCGGCCTGTTACACTAAGCCATGTAAGCCAAGCACATCGGTCATCTCAATCTGGGACACGGACCTGTTCCCGATACAGCTCGTCACACGTCCTCTTCCGCAGCCTCTCGTACGTAGACGGGTCGGGCCGATGAACGAACCTCGTTTGTGGTAGGACGACACGACGACAGCCTCAGGGTGCTGGGGGAGATGACGACCTGCACGCGGTGTGATCACCTGTGTGACAGGTCTGTCACGCCAGGTCGTACTTATGGTTCCGGGGTAGTGCGCTCCGCACCGGCTATAGGGTCGTACTTTCTATTTCCGATGTGTCCTTCACTCTCCGGTATTGTAGCGGCGAAGCATAGTCTCCGTTGCTGACCAAAAAGATATACTCTCCTTGGCGAAGCGATGAAGGCGCATAATAGCGACGACTATTGTATTACAAACGATCAAATCCTAATTCCTCCTCTACTCCCAGTCGTGTATATCTTTCACCGCAAAAGCCTTCCACGCCATGGACAACACGTACATAAGCACATAACCAACGATGGTGGCCCACATGCGCCTGTGAGTGTCATGAACTATATTCCATGCATGTGTTAGTATTTCATCGAACGCGCCATACTCGATGCAGGCGCGGAAGTTGCCGTATAGGTCCGCGATTTCATCTTCCATAAACCCATCATCTTTGGTTTCAGGCGAGCCCTCGGTCCTGTTCCGCTCGAAGCGCTGGACAAACGTCCCGAAATTTTGTTTACTCCGCAGCTTGACGTGATACGACTGTAACTCGCCGTCGATGATGTGCCACCAATGCACTGTGAGTGCTGCCTGTCGAGTCGCAGATCAGGAATCACTGTGGTTCGGAAATCAGGTACGAAGGGCTCACCTTGTCAGCGTGAAATGATACATTTTTCGAGAGGATGATCTATGGTGGGTCGAATCGATCAACGGGCAACGCCGTTGGCGATAGGATTATAGCATCTGTAAGATATCGAGCTGTGTCTGGCTTGTCATCAGGAGACAACTCACAATTCCCGCCAGAAAGCTTTGCAACAAGCATAGAGGTCGGTGCCGCCTCAGCAAGGTTGTAGTTCAGGTCAGTAATCTTCCGGAAATCGTGTACCTCGGAAGCGAAGTAGAGAGTGACCCCGCTGTTGTCAGGCAACACGATCAAACACGGAGGCGACGGAGACGCAATATACATGACACACTCACGATGGGACCGGCGGAGCGGTTTGGGAAGGAACGAATAGGTCGTAAGGGATGATTCCCAGGAGCGCTACTAGAAACGACATGGCCGGTGAGCGTGTTGATCAGGTAGCAGCAGGACACCAGTCGAGGGCATCGCAGCGTTCTTATATGTTCATCGCTGCCTCCGGCGTTTCGTAGTTGCATCATTATGTAGTAAGCTTAGCTCAGACAACTAGCGAAGTCACTATAGTGCTCATTGCTCACCCGTTAGACGATGCATTCTGCAAACTTTCTGTGGACAGCATCTCGGAGAGCCACCCGCGTGCTCACGGAACCCGGTTGCCAGTCTACACTTGCTACCGAGAAAGAACATTGAGTGCAATTTGGTTTCGTGGCGTAGAAAGCCATGGAGGAAGCACGTCCCATTGGTTTAGACGGGGCTGATCGCTCCGTTGGCTGACTATTCAATATTCAATCGCAGGCTTGGCTTATTCAAGGACCGTAGTCACTTTCAGAGTACTTACCTCTAACGTACGATCAGTTATCAAACTCACGCAAGACTTTATTAAACTCTGTCTGAGAAGTGGGCGCTTCGCGTTTCCCTGAGCGTTTATTCGCCCAGGTGGGTTTCCTTCTCGTCCTCCCTTCTTCGACCATCCGCTGCGCTATGTCTCCTGCTGTTTTCCTCACTGCAGCTATTCGTGGACTTGCGAATTATATGTGTGAGTCCACTCCGGCACAATTGGGCTGCCCATAGCGCGTCAGATGCAGACTCGGAGGGAGGAGGAGGCAAGGACAACGTAGACGGAGGTGGGGCGAGGAGTGCCCGGAATATTATTGAAGGTACGCCATTGATAGCGTGTATCTACCTCACGTTCACTGATCCACTCGTTCATTAGTCAGTCACTATATGCGATCGCCCGGTCGCGTGCAGACGGGTTACCCAGGTTACGCTTATACTCGCGCGCGCACGTTCTCCGAGGTTCGCTCGAATTTGCTTACCTGTGCGCTCGTTCACTCATTTGCCTGCATGTCTGTTTTCCGATTTCTCGTTCATGGGTCCCGCCCGTACGTTGCTTCGCACGCGCGTCTGCTCCAGAGCGTATGACCGCCAACAACCTACGTCTATTCACCCCGCGTCGCTCCTTCCTGTCATCATCTCAGTCTACGCGGCCCGCTCCGTTAACTCGCTGCATCTCGGATACAGCCAACGGCAACGACTTGGACGACCTCAGCAGCAGATCGCCCGATGCGCGTTCCTCCCGCTGTCACGTCGCGCGCGAAGACCCGCTCATGAAAGGGAGCGGAGCGGGAGACGATCGTGGATCGAGAGGGGTGGCAAGAGTGCTACCGTTGTAGCTCCTCACCGAGTCGGTGTATCAGTAGCGAGGATCTGTTCTTGACGTCGCGCCACTGGCTTTACCAGCACCCGGTCGATGTCAAGGAGCGAGAATCTAGGAAACACAAGCCGGGCGGAATGCGCGTTATGTGGTGTATCGTATGCGGGTCCGTAAGCTGAACGTCCTGTAGCGTCTACACTCTCCCTGTCCTCGTCGACGGTGGCTGCCAAAACCTCTCCCTCCAAGTGGACACCAGCTCCGCTGACTCGAGTGCGTAGCTTACGTGTCTGCCTATTCGTTCGTTACTGATTGAGTGCAGTGGATTGCGTCCACGTTCCGCTCAAAGTCGTCATGCCTCCTTTGCGCTATCCTACCTCCGAGATTCAGTATGGGACGCCGTTTCGCTTGGTGAATACTGCATCACAAACGGGCCGCTAGGTGCGTACTTGTTGATCGCGCATCGCGTCAAAGAAGCCGATTGTTTGCCCACCTCACCCCTGCGCCCGGTCGTCTCGCCCCCGTCTTCCGCCCCGCCCTTCGTGCTACCGTCTCTCCGTGCCGTGCAGGTGCTGTCTCGTCCCTAGACGACGAACCGCTCGAACTTCTCTACTAGCGGCATCCTCGGGCTCGCCCTCGCCTCCGTTTCGTCCATCTACTTCAGTATCGCCACTGACGATGGCAACGCCCTCGCCGCCAACCTCTTCGGTATGGCGTCTTCCGCCAGCGTGCCATCCGCGCCGTTCTCCTCCCGCTCTCTTAGGCATCCTGGCTTCGATGACGTCTCTTCCGTTCTTAGTGTCGGCGTTCACCCTTCAAATCTCGTGCCCGACCCGAGCAAGGTCGGGTTCAGCGACCTCGTCACAAACGACAACTACGACCCCTCCGGTCAAGCGAAATATCTGCTGCCTTCTGGATCTCGGCTGCGCATGACGGAACGTGTGAGTGAGGTCGTCGCAATGTAGACTACGTTCCTCGCACGATGTCGGACAACATGGCGATCGCACCAAGATCCCTCTCCACATTCTTGATATCTCGACCTCCTCGTCCACCGCAGGCTTGTACTGCGTGGGGATGATCCAGTCCACCGACCACCAACCCCATCCCCGACGTTGTACTCGGGGTACCTTTCCTGCCCAGCGTGGATGTCATGTCGTACGAAGCCCCCAAGGAGAGCGGTACCCTCTCGAGCGACGTTACCAGCACGCAGGCGATCGAGGAGTTCACCCAGACCAGGTACTCTGGCGGCGCGCCGCGAACCGCTTGGCCCTCTGTGATCATCACTGCTCCCCGTCGTCTGCTCCCGTTTAAGTCATGGTACTCCGACGCAGTCCAAAGGGGTCGGATCCTCGAGGCGATTTCGCCCCACTTCCCCTAGCCGGCACGCGCCGTCCTGTGAGATCAACTTTCGTCGATCTCGCAGGTAGCGATACTGGAGCTGGCGTTTCCGGGCTAACGGTTCGGGCTACGCATGAGCGAAGCTATGTGTATCAAAACTTGAGCCCGTCCAGGGGCTCAACTTTGCAACCAGCTATGTGCTTAGCCATCCTGGCAATACATACGAGCCGGTTCTCAGTATGTCGCCTCTGCCGGCTACTATGACTCCATGGCGACTAAATGCTACCTAGCCGAGTTCACCCGCCACCTCGCTCTCAGACGTGTGGCCGCAGCCAAGGAAGCCGTCAACATGACCTACGTCTGCAATCTGATTGATAGTGCGCCGCGTAAACTGGTCAAGGCTCAGACCTTGCCCGCCAATATCTCAACTTCACAGATGCTATATCGTTGCCTGACGAATCCACGATCGTCGCCAGCTATGACTTGAAGCTTCGAAGATTGGTCGAATTCCCGACTCCAACGATGAGGCTACGTGGTGCCGACCCTCCCACGACGCGTCTCCGCGTTGAAGACGTCGTCAAGAGTCTCGGAACCGTAGTCGACGACTTGCTTCGTCTCGAGAGCGGGAATTGACGTTGGAGGGTCGCCCGAGACGCCGATGGACGTACTTCAGGGAGTGACGTCTGTGGCTAGCGACAACCACCTCAATTCTCAAAGTGACCAACACTCCTTCGACCCCCATCCTAAATCCTACTCTTAGCAATATCAGTTCAGAGGAATCGGCGGCGTATATCAACCACGTTCCACCGATTATGCGGCGCACGGAGGGGATCACCATTCTGCACAACTTTCCCGACTCGAGGCTCGGGTGCTCGGCGATCAGCTGCGACGCGACTTTGACCGAGTTCGCTTCCCAGACCTCAATTGAGGGCCCGGTGACGGACGAATATATTGACATAGACGCGGCGCCGATCACATTATGCGACTGATGCACAGGGCTATCGGTGTGTCCGCTTCACTTCACAATGGCGTATGCGCGCTGATTTGCTACAGCGGGGGGAGATGGAAGGGCGCGCGGCTGTCACTGCTACTGGATGATATACGCTACATGCATGCCATGGCCACCTTGTTCACCCGCCAATGTGTCTGCCCCATTGCTGATGCGATCGCCCCCTTGCTTTTCACAACGACTTCGTTATTGCGCTCGATTCCTAACCGTCGCGCGCAACCGTATCCATCCCCCCACTGCCGCGTCCACTGACTCCCTGACGCGCTCACCTACTCGTTCTAGTGTTTGCTCTCCTGATGTTGTGCGCGCGATACGTCGACAAATTTCCAGACGTGCGCGGCTCACCAACGCACCCCCTTGCTATATCGTCTCAGCGGGCTCGCCAACCCGTCTGCCCACACCTTGATGCGATCGCCCACTGGCCACCGCACTACCTCCCTCAGCAACACGTCTGCCAGCTCCCTGATGAGTCCATTCACCTCGGCTGGCTCAGCGGAGTCGTGAAGCCTTGGCGAGCAAGCCGGTGGTCACCCTCAATGGCCCCCTCGAGTCTCGTGCTTGGCTGCGTCTTGCAGCGCGACCCTCATACCGGACGATCCCTGGTCACTCTGTCAGGAATGTATAATGCTTGAGGAGGAGGCGCTTCCAGCGTTAACCGTAACACGAATCAATTCAATGGCTTGCCAAGGTGCGAGTACACGACGCGGCATACCTAGGCCGCGTCATTCCGGCCCGAACCCCGCGCCAACTCAGCTGCGTGAGCCACAGCCTGGCGATAGGACAAAGGACGCATGAAACGGTGGTCAATTGGGTAGCGGATGGTTATAACGTCGACGTAGGCAGCGCGACGATGGGACCCGGGTTGGCAAAATGCCCTGGGCGACTTCTGCAGACATCATTGCGGCTGGTGCATATCTAGAACCTGGCTTCGACGCGAACAGGCTTACAGTGCCGCAGCTCCGGTCTGTCTTCCTTCATCACGGAGTGGCACATCCTACAGACTACACAAAGTCGCAGTTGGTGCGTCTATTCAACGTCGAGATTCAACCCAGGGCCCCCCAGTCGTCGTGTGGGTCACCGACATATGTGGAGCGACAAGGCCCTCTGCGAAGTCCCCCGGCCCGACCGGTATTTTGTTCACGTATGTGTGGCTTCCTGCTGCTCATATTTTCTGTCTAGGAGCCTCCCAAGGTGCCAGCTGCAAGCCAATCCCTACAAACCAAGGGGAGCTCTTCGTGGAGTGGCACCCGCCACTCTCAGGTCGCCCATCATCCTGTTGCAGCGTCGGGCACCCCCGAATTACTGGGTAATGTGCGGTGAACATCCTCTTTCAGTTACTAAGATCCACTGACTTTTTGGCATTAACCGCAGTCTTTAGCACGCCGCACGCCTGCCCCAAAGCAGGCCAGCGCGACTCCTTGTGAACCGAAGATAGTCACGAACGATCCTTCGGACTCCGGTTGGATCAACCAAAACATCTTCCAGTCTGGTTCTAGCTCTTCTCGGGTGCACCGCACCCCTCCCCGGCGTCAGGTGCGCTCAACGCCACAAGCTCCCGAATCCCAGGATGTGGGACTCAACCGCCACGGGCACATCAGTAGCAGCACATGCCAATCCAGTGGCCAGTTCTCTGCAGTACCTGGCCCGCTTACGCAACTCCCAACAATCAAATCGCCGCCGGCTCCAAATGAACTTAGCGCAGCCGCAGGCGGTCGTCCCGAGGACTCGGGCTGGGTTAATAACAACATCTTTCAGGCTGGTTCCAGGCGTTCTTCAGCATTTCACACGCCTGCAGGCCATTCCAATGACCGAGACGGGAGAAGCAACAACTCCCCTGGGGTGCCGCCGCCCGCGTTCACTCACTCAACCCTCCTCGGCCCAACCGCGGAAAGCCATCCCAGCCGGTCGGGCGTGGCTAACAGGAACATGTCGAGTGTATACGCGTGTACAGCCCGTGCGCAGGACGGCAGGACGGCGGAACGCTCCACTATACCGAGCGGATGGGTTGCGCAAGCCTCCAAAGGCCGCGACGGCGGGGATGGGGTCCTTGGCACAGCAGACAGCCGCACCGCTGTCTCAAAACCACGGATTGACACGCCAGTCTCCCAGTTAGACCGTTCGTCGCGATCACGGCTATCCATGCGCTCCCGCCGCCCCAGCACCCAAGGATCTAACAGACAATGTTATGCCCGCCCATCCACATCGTTGTGGATTGCTCTCCTGCTACTCGCTGTCCCGATTCTCGGGTTACTCAATAACTTCCGGGCGAAATCCCTGCTTATCGGCTTTTGTGACGCCGAGACCGACACGAACCCTGCCTTGGAGGGCCTCAGGAAGCGCATCAGTGCGACCAGGTCAGGCCTTCTCAACGACCAAGATATGGCCGAAAGCTGCAAGGCGGACACAGACACCGAGAAAATCAATGCGCAGCACATGGAGGTCTTAGCAGCAACTCTTTCTATATTCGTTCCTGACGCCTGTACGCCGTGTCCAGCTTATTCGACGTGCACTTCTTCCACGGTACGTTGCAGGCAAGGCTTTGTCATCGCTCCGCATCCAGTCCTGTCGCTCCTCCCTGGCCGTTCGTCTTCACCCTCTCCGGCCACATTTTCCCGCGCGGAGGGCCTCCACTCGCAAAGCCTCGCAATTCGGACGATACACGCATCAGTCTCGAGGCTTCTAGACGGCCTGCCTGCAGTCGGCCCCTTCGCGTTGCCTCCACAGTGCGTAGAGGACGTTGAACGAGCGCAACGCATGCACCGAATACGCGGTGAAGTCGCTTGGGTCTTAGCTGAGGTGCGGGGTCGCCGGGTCTGCGGGGCGCATGGCGAGAGAGCCGATGGCTCCACCACGGGCGCAGATGGAGCACAGCAATGGGGCCTAGAAGTCCATGTGCTGGAAAGCAAGGTCAGGGCACGCATGTCGGTCAGTGTCTTTTCGTGGTGGGCCATTGATTATTGTGCTTACTGGTGTTTCTACTTAGCTCGATTGGTTCCCCGTAATACATGACTTCCTGAGCGATTTAAGTATGAACCCGGGGCGCACTACAGAGTTCATAGTCGAGGAGGGCATGGAGTGAGTGAACGACCTGGGGATCCCAAGGGAATACTCTGACGGAAGTTTAGTGGGAAACTGTACATTGCGCACAGGCAGCCGCATCTGACTTGGGCCTGTACGCTCAAGCTCCAAGCTATGAAGGTGTGGGCAGGATATCAATATTGCATCATCGGTACGTTTTCTAGACAATCCACACGATCCAAGTTACGACTTTGCCACCAAATTCACAGCAGCCACTTTGATTACTCTTGGGGTTCCGGTGATTAGGCGACGGCAGCGGAAAGCGGCTGCCGAGGCAGATCGTGTCGCCCGGACCGTCCAGATAGTCCTTGCGAGGTTGCAGAGGCAGTCACGCATGCATCGTGACGATCCTACGAGCGCTCAGCGGCCGTATCTAGTCTCGCTACGCCTACGCGATGAACTGTTGCAGGACGAGCATCTAGTTGAAACACGAAAGCATATATGGGAGGGGGTGGAACGGATAGTCCAGGCGAATACGAATGTGCGCGTCAGTCTTGAGGAGACAGTGGATGGGGATGAGATGCACGTCTGGATGTGGCTGGGCTCGCTCTGAAGTAGGTCGACTAATGGTTCTCATCTTGATTCGCATGTCGCTTTTTATTGCCCTGCCGGTCACTACACAAAAGTTTTGAACACGGCACTATGCTCATGAGGATTCACGTGTCCCTCTGCTGAGCTTGTACGCGAGTTGCTCGATTCCGGCTGAGGTTGCATCAGTCCAGTCCAGGACAAGTGTCGCCTGGTCGAGGTGGTGGCTGTCGAGAGTCTCGTTCACGCATCCTCAAGCCGCTGTTCATATGCTCGCAGGTGGGCAAGCTTCTGAACACCGGGAAGTCTACCTCAACTCGGCACATGAATTCTACGGTGTGAATCGCAGCTCCTGCGTCCAGGCTCTCTCGTCAGCTCAACTTTTATATCCATTTGCGACCTGCGGCTGGACGCACCGGGGACGATACCGCTCGAGGGCAGCTCTCGACATGGACTCAGGCCGGCCCGGCGCAGGTACATCACTGTTCGCATTCAGTGAGTATACCGCGTCGCTGCGGTGAGATTCCTCCACCACTACCTCCTGCTCGAGCATGCGAGCCCCGGCGTGCTTCCCTGCCCCGCCCTCTGCTTTCCCCCCGCCGCCCTCCTCCTCAGGCGTGCTCGGACAACGCATACCACTGCGAGTGACGTGGCAGCGTGTATATGATCCCGGCTTGAAGGTGTTCCCCCACCTTACCTTTCAAATTCTCAATCCACCCCCGTTGCACTCTTTCTCTCCTGGTCTATTCGTGCTATTCATCGCCGCAAAACCAGTGCCAGTGGGCGTCAAGGCCATCGACATCTCCAATGGATAACGCGGCGGTGGCGTATGTCTCCAGGGCTAGTCCGAGGAAACGATCCTGTGTAGACTCGGACTTCGACGCGGAGGATGCAAAGCCGGCCGTCTGGTTCAAGGACGGCAATGTCCCCCGTATACTCGAAATGAGATGTCCGTATTTCGAGTATACGGAGGGCTTGTAGCTCACCACTCGGACGAAGTACGCTGCTACGTTCAACCGTTTGAACGTCTACGGCCCGGGCGCGCGTTGTCGTCCCGCTGACATGAGTGTCTCGGCTTCTTGGTCTGCATCGTCATCCCCGGATCCCACAGTCATCACTACCGAGCACGCTCTCACCGGCATCGCCCACCTCCCCTGCCACGACCTCTTGCACCTACTCGAACACGGCGGCCTGCTGTCGGCTGACAGACCTCTCCGTACTTCGCCACGACGCACTCGACGAAGACGCAGACGAAGCATTACGCCGTTACGACTGTCACGGAGACGACCGTCTGGACGGTTGCCTACACCAGCCACGGGCGGACGAGTGTCACTGTGCTCTCATCGGTCATCGTCTCCGAGTCGGGCTCGCTCATCCCTGAGGCCTCGAGCAGCAAGGCGTTGTGAGTATCATGCTCACTCGCTCTTGTGATCTACATGTACTGACTCTGCGCATAGTTTTGCGCCATCATGGTGCCCTCGCCGGCGTGATCATCGACTCACTCACGTACCTCTCCCTCCTCGGCGTCTTGCTCATCACGTTCCGACGCCATCACACCCACAAGTCCGCCGAGGTCGCCGCCGCCGTCGCACTTGCTAAAAGTGCTCGGCGCCGCCCCGCGGACGAGGACGGGGACGACCCTCCGCCCGGTTCGCCTATCAGTCTGCACGGGGGCATGGCGCAGTTGGAGGTCCCGCTAGCCTACAGGTTGGTGGTGGCGGGTGTATCCGCCTCAGGGATGGCGACGCGAGCTCGTCGGGCTTTGATAGGGTGAATAGCTCCGGGTCGCTCTCAAGGCTCAGCGAGCAGAGCGCGCTGGCGGGCCTCACGTTGGGTCCATCGAGCTACTTCGCTGACGCGTTCGCCAGTGCCGCCTCTGCGGGCGTGAGCTTGACTCTGCTGACGGCTCGGCTGCGCCGATGTCGTGCGCGAATAGTGGAGAAGACGAACGACCTCACCGCGAGCAAGCACTCAAGTTAGCTGCCCGCTGTCCCTGGCGTCCCCTCGCGCATCGCGTATCGCCCACCAGGAGAGGGCGGGGGACAGCGACGGCAGTGCCGGCAAGAATAGGAGACGGAGCTTCTCTAGCGTGAGCAAGCCGTGAAGGAAAGCGAGTCTGAGCGACTCGAGCGAGACGAGGGCGTCGTACGTCAATGCACGAAGCTCGTTCCCGGAGTCGGATCCGCGCATTACTCGGACACGGGCTTTCTGCTGCGTCCAGCGCCGGCGCAGTACGAACCCGAAGCGCGACGATCAGTCCTACGACCTCACGGCAGGTGCTCAATACGCTCAGTGTGTCCAACTCGCCCCGGCCGTCTGCTATGGGGCGGCGTGGCAAGTGCCCCTGGTACGTTTGAGTGCTCGATCTTGAGGCGACCGCTGTCGCCTACGCTCCCGCCAGGGTCGATCCCGCCAGTGGTCATACATACTCAGTTCGCCGCCGGCGCGTCCGACGTCTGCATACCCCCTAGTACCTCACGGCTCGGGCACTACCGCCCTCGTTTTACTCAAACTCCAATCCGTACTCATACGGATGCCCAACACCCTCGACCTACGCTGCGTATCCTTCTGCTTCTTTAGCATACTCACGGCGGCCTCCTGCAGCCTCCTGCGGCCGGTCATACTGACCTTGCTGACTGCCTAGAACCACTAGCACGATCGCACCCCGACTGTCTATGCGACGTCGGCAGCTATACAGAGACTCCTGCTCGGTCTATTGCCACTGCCACCGCTGCAGTGCCCCTTGTTGCCACCCCCGCCCGGAACACCGAATATCGGGGCGTATGCGCCGCCAACCTTAACCTCAGGTACACCAGGCTCCGACAAACCGCGGTACGTGGCATGTGCGGGTCTCCTGCGAAGGCGGCCGCACGTACCTCGTCGTCCGCTAGGTGGCGTCCCGTACGTCCCGCTCTGTTCCCACCGTGGTATGCTCCCGCTCACCACCACCTCCCTCGGCTTCCTCGCGGCGATGAGGCACTTCTCCGCCGCCCAAAAACACGGAGCTCGACAGCGTCATTGGCGGGAGCCGCCTCCCCACGCTCGTGGACCGTCCCTAGTGTAATGCCGCCATGTTTGACGTCGTCCCTACTGGTGATGCGCCAACTTGAAGCCTCTTGGCCTCACTCCGGTGGGGACGTGGCGTTGAAGACTTGCTACTATGGCACTGGTATACAGCATCACAGCGGTGAACATCGCAGCACTGAGCCGAATGGGCGGAGAAGAGAAGGCATGCAATAAGTAGTACATGTTACATTGATGGTGTCGTCGGCACTATGTAACAGACACGCGAGAACGTCTGACTGTACATCTAGGCCACACCTGCATGCTCCTCAGTAGGAGCTCTGCGAATCACGTATGAAATCTCCATAAACACAGATATCATGTAAATGAACCAGCAGGCTACTCCAATATCATGCCAAGTTATCAGTTCGTCGTCGTCATCGGCGTCGTCGTCGACAAAAGCATCGTCGCCGACAAAGTCATCGTGGTCGGCATCGGCGCCATACTCGAGGCAAGCCTTGAAGTTGTCAGAGATGTTAAGGATGTCTTCAGCGATTTCGTCCTCGACGTAGGCATTATCCTCGAAATCGGCATCGCTAGGAGCTTCTATACGGTTCCGTTCGAAGCTCCGGACAAAAGCCCGAAGATCTCGAGTGCTACCGAGGTTTACTTGATACCAGTTATGGGCATGGGACCAGCGTACTGTCAGTGTCGGCTGTCGAGAACTAAAGTCAGTGGCAGTGAGCTCCGCACTCAGAGGACTCACCTCTGAAATGATGATTGCCGTGGTCTTTGATAGGACCATACTGGTAATAAACGGAGCTGCGAGTACTGGATGTGGCGAGAACAGAACAGCATCTTCGAAACCATGGTGAGACCTTTCCAGACCTCATTGTACTACTGAAGCAATAGGGCTCACATTTTCCGCAAGAGAGCCGCACGATAAGCACAGAGGCGAATACCTCAACGTCGGCTGCAGTATCATCCTGTTCCGACTGAGGGGTGATCTTCCTGCAGCCCCCCGTCACGCGCGCAAAACATATGCGCACGCCGCTGCCGTGGAGTAACACTCAGGTCAGAGAGCTGTGATATACACGATAACACTCACCTTGGAACTGGGCGGCCCCGTGGAAACATATCAACGACAAATGCGATAACAGCGAAGACAAAGGCCACAGCGAGCATGTTGAATCTTTGCAGCAAATCGAGCCGTGGGCTCGTCATGAGTATGAACAGCTGCGCTCTTATACTCATGCAGCCTCGGGCGCTGTTCTACATTGCATTGTGCATTATCCTTGACACTCGGATTGAACAAAAGGCTTTGACCACGATGCTCACCAAGCATTATGCGCGACACCAGTGTCTGAGGCGTTGTTGTGAACGTAATGCTGCCTCAGGCCTCAACGTTCAACGGTGAACGTCTGACGTTGTATTTTCATGAACGCTATCCGGCCTCAAGCTCAAGGCCTCACGCTCGGTCTCGCCATGTACCAGTGCTCACTTACTAACGTTTAGTGAGTGTCGGATGAATCGCGACCGTGCAGGAAGAGAATGTGTTCTCGCACCGTGATATTGTACCCCGGCATCGTATCGTAGTTCGAATGGAGGACTCGGAGACCGTGGCGTCCTCCCGAGGTCCCAGCCAGGCCTCCCGGCGCTTGAGGAGGATGTATACCGTTCGCGTGACCTCGTTTACCGTTACTTACAAATCAAGAGAGCCCATAACTTGCAGAACATATATGTAGCATAGAGGGATCGGGGGACAGTGTAGAAGGAAAATGGCCCGGGATGATGTTAACGTGACGTATGTGGTCCGATAGGTCAAGACTCACGCGCACGGCGGGAGTGCGTTGGTGCGTTCGGAAGGGACTCGTCCGTCGTCGTTTGTAGTCGCCCCAGATCCTGCCGGCTAGGTGCATCGAGGCGACATGCCAGGAGTGCGCTACGCGAACGCATCGTCTAATGCCTGTGGTGTCGTTCGCTCGAAGGAGGTGGTCTACTGGGGGGAGCACTCCGAGGTACCATCGTGGGGATTGCAGCGGCTATACTTTGGCGTCGTCGGGCTCCGAGGAGAAGAGGCTGCGCGCCATGCGTATGATGTCATCGTCGGTGGAGGCGAGAGATGAATTGTGTGGCAGCGCAGTGTGCGGAGGGACGGGCGCGGGCACGGATGGACTGGTAGAGTCGGGTTCAGTTTGGACGCGGCACGCCTTCGCGGTGTCCGCGAGTAATGGACCAGACCGCGACGCGTCGACGTCGACCCGACGTACGGTCTTCACGAACACCATCCTATTGATACTTACTCCTGACTTACTCAGCCTGTACGGCTAGAGGAGGATTTCCGTGCAGGCTATGACGGCGCCGAGGAGGGACAAGCGCTTGAATACCGTGAATGTCACAGCGTGATGCATGTGACTGTTGCACGTTGACGCCCCTGCCGATCGACTGCGATCGGACGTTCTACCTGAGTCTCAAGTTCTCGTTGCTCTAAGTTGGCTCTAAGGCCGTTCCCGACCACGCCGTACCCCGGCTCCCTCGCCCCCTCCTCCTCGCGGCCCATGGGACGAGCTGGCCTTGCGACTTGCTTCCAGGCTGAAACGATACAGGCACTTCGACCTCGCGTCGACAATCTCGCGTCCTCTACATACTACACCCATGGCCTGGATTTCATGTCCTGGTTCACTGGTCCCACGCCTCCTACCGCGTACCTCGCGTCCGTCCCCGCATCCCATCCCCTCTTTGGGCTCATGCAGCTCACCCAATACCTGGCCACCTGCCGCGCGGCGCGTATTGACCCCGGCGAGATGCGCGAGAATCTTCAAGGTGCGACCGGTCACTCTAGGGTGTTGCCTCTGCCGTGGTCGTCGCGGCCTCAACAAGCCTCGAGTCGTACTTCGAGAACCGCAAGAAAGGAATGAAGTGGCCGTTCTACTGCGGTATCGCGGCCAGCAGGCGTTCCCCGTACTCGCGCTCGAGTCGAGCACTGTGGAAGACGTGATCGATGGCGGCGAGGGCTCGCGCTCAAGGATCTTGGGCAACACGTCCAAAGCATGAACAAGCACCTCCCGGCGAACTCGTAGCTTTGCGTATTGCCCCACAACGCGCCGAAGGCGTTCGTTGTCACGGGCCCTGCGCGCGCCCTATACGGCCTCGTCACCCTCCTGCGCAAGGTCCGCGCCCCGAACGGCCTCGACCAGAGCAAGATCCCGTTCTCGCAGCGGAAGCCCGTGTTTTCTGTGCGCTTCTTGGTGGTCGGCGTACTCTACCACAGCGAGTACCTCCGGGGGATGACGGAGAAGCTGTTCAAGGAGGACTTGGGTGGTGAGGAGCTGTGGACGAAGGAGGACCTGGGTATGGCGGTTTATCATACCGAGACCGGTGAGTGCTACATGCTCATACTGAGGGCCAATCGGACTAATCATAGGTAACTATCTCCGCGAGCTTAGGACGCGCCTGACGTGCTCCCTGGGTGGCCATGTTTTCTCTTCTTCGCTGCACTGAGCGAAGGCTACGACCGCCACACATGCTATCGACTTCGGCCCGGGTTGCTCTAGCGGCGTCGGTCCTCTGACGGCGCGGAGCCTCAAGGCCTCAACGGTCGTGGTGTCTGCGTCATCGTCGCGGGAGACAAGTCGAGGGATATCGTCGAATTTTACGACGCGCAGACAGTGAATAGGGAGGAGTGGTGGAGTCGGTACTTCGTGCCCCGTCTCGTCAGGACGAGGTACGTTCGCTACAATATTCGTCAGCTGGTACAGCGTTAATCTTTGCATAGCGATGGCAAAATCCACCTTGAAACGCCGTTCCCTCGTCTCCTGGGCAAGCCGCCAATCACGGCGGCTGGTGTGACCCCCATGGCCGTCAAGGCTGGTTTCATCAGCGTCGTCCTGGCGGCTGGGTACCACGTCGAGAAGTTGCTGGTGACGGACACTACAACGCTACGGCGCTTCGCTCAAAGGTCGCTGGAGGTCAGTGCAAGATCCCCGCTGGTGTTGGTATCACCCTCAACTCGTTCTACATCAATCCACGCCGGTTCGGCTTCCAGTTCCCATCACAGCAGAAAATGCGCCGTCATGGCCTGCTCATCGAGGGTCTCTGTCTCGCCGCCGGTAATCATAGCACGGAGAAGGCGGCGGACATCTTCGTTGGTCTCAAGGCGTCGGGCGTCTGTAACGTCTCACTCAAGCCCGGATTCGTCGACGGCATCCGTCTGGCCTTACTGGTGACTGGTCCGCCGAGAAGTTCGGGATGCAGCCCCTGCCGTTCGATGGTTTCCTTTTAGCATCTCGCGTCATGGTCGCCAAGCAGGGGCACACGAGCTCTTCAGTCAAGGATCTCATCGTCGCCACGAAGGGTGTCGATGATTCTCAGCGAGAAAGAACCTACGCCGAGGAGACCAGCGGCATTGTGGCCGTAAAGTCTGAGCTCGGCGAGCCCATCCACAAGGCTGCCACGCGCGCCGTCAAGCTGTGGAAGGAGTTCGATGACGTTGTCCTAAAGATGGCCAGGAACGCGCTGCGTGGGTCAACGAGACGCGTGCAGAGATTGTCGTGAAGCTGAAGAAGGATTTCGCAAAGCCGTGGTTCGGGTAGAAGAAGGACGGCAGCGTCGTCGAAGACATCGCCGACATGGCCTACGGGGAGGTCGTCTTTCGTACGGCCCGTCTCATGTACGTCAAGCACGAGGAGCGTTAGGTCGACCTGTCGCTCAGAAACTTGACGGGTGATTGGCTCCGCCGCGTGGAGGACGCTCCGCGGGCATTGACTGCGGATCAAAGGCGTCGATCCTACAGTCTTGTTCTTCTTTGGACAAGCCCGTCGACGTCATCAAGCTCTTCTTCGCGACGCACCCGGAAGGCTTTCTTTCTCGCCACTTCGTAGCGTCCAGGCCGGAAGCCGGTGCCGTCCACAAGCCGTTCATCCCCGTCCTCGACGCGAACTTCGAGGTGTGGTTCAAGAAGGTATGTTGGATTCGCCTGATAAGGAGCTGTAGCTGACCTTGTGGGTAGGACTTTCTGTGGGCAGCCGGGGACATCGAGGCCGTCTTCGACCAGGGCCCGCAGCGTGTGTGCATCCTCCAGGGCCCTGTCGCAATGAAGCATGCTACGAAGAAGGACGAGCCGATCAAGGAGATGCTCGACAACATCCCCGATATCGTCGTCGACAGGTTGGCGAAGTGCCTCTACGACGGCGACCTCAGTCGCATCCCGACTACCGACTATCTCGGTATGAAGGCTTCACCTCTCCCAGAGAGTCATCAGCTCGCTTGGTGTCGAGCGTCACAAAATCGTCTATTCCGTTGGAAGCGCCTTGCCTGAGGCGTCGACTTGGCTGGAGACTCGGACGCTCGCAGGCCCTTGTCAAAATTGGCTCAGGGCCCTCCTTACGTCGACGACCATCGTCCAGGGTGCATCGCGCATCGCCAACCCGATGCGCCGCCTCTTCGCTCTTCGTCGGAGCCAGACGCCTGTGTTTGTCGCCCTCCACGACGCCGATCGTTTGCACAGCCATCACAGGTTCGACAAGGCCGTCGAGGTCAAGTATCATCCGGTGTCTCAGACGATCGACGCCACGCTGTTCGAGGATCGCCGCGACTTCTCCATGCTTCTTCATTTCGATTTCCTCTACAAGACGAGCATGTGCTACGCCCTCATGCACGAATTTACCGAGGACCGTAACCTGCGTCTCAAAGACTTCTACTGGGGGCTCAGGCTGTGGCTTGGCAACAACGAGGTGCTCCCCGAGATCAGCCTCCCCTCGCGACATAAGGGATATTAAATGAATAAGGATGACAGTAAGACAGTGATTAGAGGTAGAGAACTCGAAAAAACGGGTGGAGTGACGAGTGCGGGCATCCGACAATCATGAAAGGATGATACGAACGAAGGAGTAATACTGCGATACAGAGTACAACGGGTACAAATTCATATAGCCATTGAGCAGACGCGATGCAGTTGTGCCGGCTGCATCAACTGTCGTGAACAGCAACAATTATAGCATAATGGGTAGGCCGATGGGTCGACCCTGCGCTAAGGCGGCCTGAACCATAGGGATACATTCGTTTAGGTATCTGACATGTAAATACCGGGTTTGATCAGAAATATCCGAAGCGTCATTGAAGGTAGGAACGCACTTAAGTATGGCTCTGTATGCGAGACCGCGTGGACCAATGTCAGTCACGAAGACATACGCCCCTCCTTTCATGACGATGAGCTCGCCGTGCCAGTCGACTTGCGGTGCCACTGCTTTCAGGGCTCGGTTGACCGGCTGACCTGGATCGTAATAAGCGGCGACAAAGAACCGGCGCGTCTTGGAGCCCTCCTGCAGCTCGACCCAGGTCTCGTGGAACTGCCTTTCTGCCCCTAGCACAACTTCTACGGAAGGAAATCGGGGGCAATCTTGGGACTCCATACGCGGCACTATGGTGGGGATGCGCACGGTTTGCCCCGCACGGCCCCTGTACCGGAACATGATGCCCTTGACCGTCTTGAACGAACACTTCGGTCTCGGATGAGTTCCATTCCTTTGACGATAAAGACAAACTACTCACATCGTTCGTCGCACATGGCCGACGCAGCACCGGCATCCCGTCTTTTCACACCGTCCCGAGTAGTTGTGTTGTGAGCGCCGCAAGAGTGTGCCAGCGGGGAGGGGAGGCGATGTGCTGGCCTTTGCATAGCAGCTTTGTTATAGCGGCTTGTCGGGGCTCTTCCGGATTCGATGGCACGTTGCGCACGAACACCCTCGAGGCTTGGATTGTGCATGGGTGCGTGTGGCAAGATCGCATTGTCGGTCCGGGCTATCGAGTCCCAGGACGGTAGCTACGGAAGACAAGCAGACGAGCTGAAACCGTGCAGGGAACGGCAGTGCTCATAGACAGGCAGCCCGCGGGGTCGTTGATAATTAGGGGGCATCATGCTCAAAACCAGATCTAAGCCCATGAGTGCGTCGCGGTAACGTGACCGTTCGTGTCAGTGAGCGCTTTCCACTTCGCGCGTAGTACGCGCCCATCGCGTAGGACTCAAGCCAATCACTTTGCGCTAACAAAGCAGCGATATGTTGCGCGTGTCAAACCGCTATGGTTCACCTCGGACAAAAGGACCCCGAGCAAATGCATATAGCGGCGCCGTGCGGTAGATCAGGTTTGTCTGTATACCACCTCCGCTACTCGCTCGCCACTCGCGAATCTACGTGACTAACATGCACCCGAAATGTCCCCTGTGTGCAGATGAGTTTGGCACCAGCATCAACCTTTCCAACGCTCCGGTGGTAGTGGCATGTGGTGGGTCCCGAACGTCGCGTCCTCCTGATCACAATCTTACCCTCATACCCTCCGTCGCATAGGTCATGTCTTTTGCAAGACATGCCTGAACAAGCTCATCTCAGATGCAAACCCGTGCCCTTATCGTTGTTCTGTGAACGCTCTCAAGTACACTGACATGTTGTCCGTTGTCTTCGAGCCCATCTAGCTAAACTATCCATTGTTACCCGGCCACCCAACATGAGATTCACCTATTGTTGCCCGGCCACCCGATGTCGGCCGACGGTCTGACTTGGCCATTGTTGTCCGGTCGGCCGAGGCATTAAACAATCAAAATCCGCCCGGGCGGCCAACAAGGTGCCATTATCCCCCCGGATTATCCAGCAGGCGATGCTTGCATTGTTCCCGGAGCGGCCGACACTGGACAAATGGTATCCTGCCCCGGCGGCCGAGGATCAGAAATACCAATCCTGCCGGGTCGGCCGATGATCATACAATGCAATCCTGTCCGCCCGGCCGACATCAGGAATCTGCATACATAGCAGGTCGGCCGACAGGCTGTGTTCACTCAGGAATTGCATCCATAGCAGGTCGGCCGGCCACAGGATTTTGGCTTCCGAGGACAGGTTTCCGAGGACGGGCTTCCCAGACTGGGCTTCCGAGCCCGGACATCCGACACCGGACATCCAACACCGGACGCCCGCCACCGGACATCCCGGGTCAGGCATCTGGGACCGGGTGACTGTGCTTTTAGGATGCTCTTCAGTGGATTCATTAATCAAGCAGTCCCTATGTGCAGAACAATGTAAATGTGATGCACTGATTGATTTCCGAGTATTTCCTTCCCAATCTGGATACCTCCTTCCTAATCCGGACTGGGTAGACCATCCGGATGTGCATAGCTACCACCGGAAGTCTGAAAACATTTTTTGAACACTTCCTGTGTACAGGACAGCGCAAATGCACTCTGATTGCCAAAGTGAATGATTTCCGGACACTGCCTGCCAATTCCGGACACCTCCTTCCTAATCCGGACCGGATGGTTCTGTCCGGCTTCGGACGCCCGCCATCGGACGCCCGACACCGGACGTCCGAGCTCGGAAGTCCGGATTTATTAACTACATACTTCATGTGTGCAGAAATCATTTTCCGGTGTGTAAGTGGTCAAGTAATCATTTGCTGAACATTGCCTTCCAAATCCGGACTGTCCGCTTCGGGCGCCCGAGCTCGGACACCCGACGTCGGACGCCCGAGCTCGGACGCCCGACATCGGACGTCCGACATCGGACACCCGAGCTCGGAAGCCCGAGTCCGGATTTATTAACTGCACACTTCCTGTGTGTAGAAATCATTTTCTGGTGTGTGAATGCATTCCTGTGGTCAAGTAATTGTTTGCTGACCATCTCCTTCCTAATCCGGACCATCCGGCTTCGGACACCCGAGCTCGGACACCCGAGCTCGGACACCCGACATCGGACGTCCGAGAGCGGAAGTCCGGATTTATTCAGTAATCACTTCTGTTGTGCAGAAGTTGTTTTCTGGTGTGTAAAAGTGTTTCATTGATAGACTCTAGTATTGAGTTCCTAATGTCTAAGGATCTTTACTTTGGCTACAACATGCAATGCAAGATTTACTCACAGGCTTGTTTCCAAACATACTATTCAACTTCTGAAGCCAATATTGTTTGCCCACAATATCTGACTATCTAGAATGTGTTCTTTCAAAGTATAGAGCAAATCCCCAACAGGAATAGTCTTATTCTTTGAAGCTGAATGCAGGAGCAGAGATAAGGAATCGTGTAGTGTATGGAATATGTGCCATAACATGTTCACTGCCTGCAGCCAAACTACATTCAAAACAATGTTTGACTATCTAGAATGGGTCATTTACACACAAGGAGTGAGTCTTCTAAAGGAATAGTCTTATTCACCCAAGCTGAAAGCTGGGCAAAGATAAGAGGAATGTGAGTGCATTGTGAAGCATACAAAACAATGCTACAACATCAATCTTGAAGTTACTGCAACACCACAAGCAAAATAGCATACACATCACACTACTGTATTACTCCAATGAACTACTCATACTAGAGTCTACATGGTGCTGTTCTTAACAGTCAATGAAAGTGAACTGTCATTGACAGCCTGATACACATTGGGTACTACAGGGTCAATATGAAGCATTACACATCCACTTTATGAAGGATTACTGGATTTGGAAGGTTACTCACCATTTAAGGCAATGCAAGCTTTTGTGAACCTTCTCGTGCAATAGCCCTCCCATATACCTTGGGTACTACAGGGTCATTATTCCATGTAGCATTATTCAAATACATGGCTATATTTCATTTTCTTTGTCATGTTACTGATGAACTGTATACCTATTACCTAAGTTCATATTCAAATCACACGCACTAACTCATCCATAGTTCTGTTGTTCCCTCATGACATAGTGTTGCTAGTCTTATATTGACAACAGAAAAGGGTACACACTACTGAATCCAGATAGTATCTTGTATCAAGGGAACTACATTACAATCTCTGATTCAACAACTCACAGTAGCAGACACACTGGCATGCTGCCAGTAACAGCTCACTGGTAAAAGTCAACAGACAGTCTGAATTGAAAGGACACACAAAAATGTCACTACATTGACAATAGGAAAGGCATTACACACCAGAAAGTGATAAACAAACAGCAGAAGTGATTAATGAATAAATCCGGACTTCCGCTCTCGGACGTCCGATGTCGGGTGTCCGAGCTCAGGTGTCCGAAGCCGGATGGTCCGGATTAGGAAGGAGATGGTCAGCAAACAATTACTTGACCACAGGAATGCATTCACACACCAGAAAATGATTTCTACACACAGGAAGTGTGCAGTTAATAAATCCGGACTCGGGCTTCCGAGCTCGGGTGTCCGATGTCGGACGTCCGATGTCGGGCGTCCGAGCTCGGGCGTCCGACGTCGGGTGTCCGAGCTCGGGCGCCCGAAGCGGACAGTCCGGATTTGGAAGGCAATGTTCAGCAAATGATTACTTGACCACTTACACACCGGAAAATGATTTCTGCACACATGAAGTATGTAGTTAATAAATCCGGACTTCCGAGCTCGGACGTCCGGTGTCGGGCGTCCGATGGCGGGCGTCCGAAGCCGGACAGAACCATCCGGTCCGGATTAGGAAGGAGGTGTCCGGAATTGGCAGGCAGTGTCCGGAAATCATTCACTTTGGCAATCAGAGTGCATTTGCGCTGTCCTGTACACAGGAAGTGTTCAAAAAATGTTTTCAGACTTCCGGTGGTAGCTATGCACATCCGGATGGTCTACCCAGTCCGGATTAGGAAGGAGGTATCCAGATTGGGAAGGAAATACTCGGAAATCAATCAGTGCATCACATTTACATTGTTCTGCACATAGGGACTGCTTGATTAATGAATCCACTGAAGAGCATCCTAAAAGCACAGTCACCCGGTCCCAGATGCCTGACCCGGGATGTCCGGTGGCGGGCTTCCGGTGGCGGGCGTCCGGTGTCGGATGTCCGGTGTCGGATGTCCGGGCTCGGAAGCCCAGTCTGGGAAGCCCGTCCTCGGAAACCTGTCCTCGGAAGCCAAAATCCTGTGGCCGGCCGACCTGCTATGGATGCAATTCCTGAGTGAACACAGCCTGTCGGCCGACCTGCTATGTATGCAGATTCCTGATGTCGGCCGGGCGGACAGGATTGCATTGTATGATCATCGGCCGACCCGGCAGGATTGGTATTTCTGATCCTCGGCCGCCGGGGCAGGATACCATTTGTCCAGTGTCGGCCGCTCCGGGAACAATGCAAGCATCGCCTGCTGGATAATCCGGGGGGATAATGGCACCTTGTTGGCCGCCCGGGCGGATTTTGATTGTTTAATGCCTCGGCCGACCGGACAACAATGGCCAAGTCAGACCGTCGGCCGACGTCGGGTGGCCGGGCAACAATAGGTGAATCTCATGTTGGGTGGCCGGGTAACAAACCGACATTTTGACCCCATTATGTGTGTCTTCACCTTCGAGCACCCGGGGAACGAAGTGGTGGCACGCACCATGATACAGAGGTACCGTGGCGGCTACATGACTTGCCAGCAACCCTGACACAGTGCGCATAAAGGCAGATTACGACCCTTGGCCAGGAACAGCAACAGCTCGATAGAGCCTCCCAACAGGCCATCAACCAACTCAAGCTTATCAGGGCCCAGCTGAAGGTGCAGCAGGAACGCATAGTCAAGAATCAGGAATCCATTGACCGCTCTACTGCGAAAACGAGGAGTGCGCAGTCGGTTGTCCGCGAGTCATTGCAGGAATGTCTTTCGGAACTAGACTCGATCAGAACCAATCGTGTGCAGGTTTGGCATTCAATTTAGCCTCATATTCGGCGCGTAGACCTCATGCTTGCTCCCAGCTCGAAGGCCACGAAGACATCGTTGGACAGGGAGAAGAGGCAGGGGAAACCAGCCAAGGACGCATTCGCAAGAGGAAGCGAACAACGTCATTGGATGCCGCTGGTGGCGAGCACTCTGCAGTGCGCGTCTTGCTCCTCACTACTTGTATTCGACCTGACAACGTATGGCAACGCAGTCTGAGCCTGCGCCGAAGCAACCGAGGCTGTGAATACCTCTGCAGGTACATCAGTATAGCTATTGAACCCGCGTTCCTCGACGAGACGCCTCTACGCCCTTCAACGGCTTCGATATTGTATAGTAGCCTTGTATTCCGTCCTCCCTACCACCATGTCTGTTTTTTATATTTACCGTCCGCGAGGGCCGAGCCCAATGTAGACAATGCTCTCGCACTAGTACGAGTAGTGAGGGTACGTCCGACTGTCGGCGGGATCGGCCTGGCATGCGCTCCAACCACAATCTTCAGCAGTCGTTAGCCATACATGTATGCGTCGAGCCTCTGCGTATCCATTACGCGCGAATGGGAGTGACAGACCCCAGCTGCAGTTTGTTATCACGCGGCCCCTTAGGCCTTAGGCCTTAGGCCTTAAGACTGTCACTGTCGGGGTGCGCTAGCCGCATGGCGCCCTTCGTGGGAACGCGCCTCAGGGCACTGGGAGGATCGACGAGGATGACTATACTTAACCTGGTCGCTCGGTTTCCTCCAACCTCGGGGCTCTATGCGACTGCTAAGCTGCTTTAAGAGCTACTAAGTTCCCACCGTCGATGACGACGCGATTTTTCGCCCCGTACGTGTTACTGTGTACCGCTACATCAACCTCCCCGCGGAGGACAATTGTGCTGTCATCGACTACAGCGTTCCGACCGGGCCTCGGGTTGAGGCTCGCTCCGCATGTTTTGTTGAAGCTACGTGCGGTCATCTCGGGACCAAGTTGCATCGGCATTGAGGCCTGAGGCCTGAGGACTCAACGTTCATTGCCCCCTTAGGATGCGCCTCCGCATGCAGGATCTGCCGGACGGAGAGCGTAAACGCATTCGCTCGATCGTTTTCATTATCAACGTTGAACACTCGGAGCAGTCCTGTACGTACCCTGGTCCTGAGTGTGAAGGCACGCTGACTATATGTGCACAACTCGTCGCTCTCATCGCTCTACCATATACCCTTTCCCATCCCCCGTCCTCAGAGCTGCCTGCCTGCAAACCTCTGCATGGCCCCACCCCCGCTCGTGCCCTCTACGGTGTCGGCTTCGCAGTCGCCCCTGTGCCGCACTGGAGCCTCACTGGCACCCTTGTCGCATCTCTCCACGGGCTCCCTCGGCCAATTCGCTCCCGCCGGCGACGGCTAAGTCTTCAAGGATGATGCTGCGCATGGGGTCGCCACGGCATCCCCTGCGCACGCATACCCCCGTCGATAACGCGCGCAGGGGCTCCAAATCACCACACGCCACCTTCGCGAGACGGGAATGAGCTCGCCCTTCGAGGGCCGCAGACTGCACATGCGATTTATCAGACAGCGGGGGAAAGAGCTGGAGGCGCGCCGGAGGTGCTGCGGTTCAGTGTCCCATTGCGCCTCGCGCGCGTCCAGCGCAATGCGCCTTCGCCTACCGCGCTAGCTCACCTTTCGGGCTGCGCACAGGCGTTCTCGACGGACCGGATGAAGTCGCAGGGCCCGTTGCCAGCGGCACTGTTCTCTATGGCGAACCTGTCGTGTGCGTTGTCCCTCCCTGCGTACCCCCAGCTGTTCGACGCGAACGGGGGCCGCAGGATCGACAACGGTGTGCTGCTTCCGGCGTACGGCCCACCCCCATCCTCGGATGCACACCAACGCCCTCCGTGATGAGCGTTGACGCGTACAGCGACGCATGCGGGATCGGCGGGACCACGCCCTCGCCCAAACAACCCGAGAGATGCGCACGGGGCGCCGCGGGCGCATCCGTGTCGAAGCCCTAGCGTATACCGACATGATGGATTCTCTGCCGACGTCAATGGACCGGGAATTGGCTGGGGCTACGGGCTGGTGCGTGGGCGCAGCCCCTCTGAGCGCGGACGCGGTGGGCGGGGTGGCATGTGTGAGGTACAGGTGGATGGAGGGAGGGAGGGGGATGGAGGGGGGCCGAGTCGGGTGGGCTACGCTTGATGTATACGACGCGAGTAGGGGAAGTGGTCTGCCTCGGCGTCATAACCGGATACCTACCAGCGATAAGTCTGGCATGGCGAGGCCCGGTATCGGCAGGTGACATACGGATGGCATTTTACTAGAGCAGCTACTTTCAGTCGGCATATTTAGCGCGCCTTCGAGTTGGTCCTAGTATAACCGCCGAAATACCGGCAGGGGCAGTGAAGGGGATGTGGGATGCACGAGGGTCCATGAGGCCAACCGCGGCCTCGAGACTGCGTGGCGGGAGTGGGCTGCCGTCCCGTTGCGCCCGGATCGATTGGTCCCTGGGACGGCGCGTGTGATTCAACAGCCGACGGGGCGACGTCGTCTAGGTAGCATTCCTCGTGCCCTGAATCTGCCGCCTCACGCCGCGCCACCGCCATGAGAGGCGGAGCAAACTGGAGCAAGGGGTGGGCCGCTGCGGTCAGCGGCCCGCCTGTGGGAAACCAAGTAAGCACCATGGACGTCCCCGGCGCAGTGCCATTAGCCAACCCAAGAGGCCCAGCTGCGCGGGCGCAACCCCCCAGTGCCAGGCGAGGCTCCGCGTAGGCGCGTTCCGTGCAGCTTGGGCCCCGAGGGCCAGCAATGGAAATACGGGGCGCTCACCGTTGGTTTGTGCGGGGACCATGGCGCGCAAGGGACCGGGCGTCGACTGGGTGAGTATGCGGGCGGCGGGGCAATGCCTCGGCGCGCTTTATACGGCGGCGCGAGGCCAGTCTGATCAACGCGACGCGTCAAGCACGTGCGCGCCCGACGCGTCGACGCGTTCTAGCATCATGTGATCGCACGCCCGCGCGCGCGCGTGTGATCATGATCACACCGCATGAGATCCGGTACCCATCGTCGCCGTCCTACGAATCCGTCGCGCGACTGTCCGCACCAGCAACGCCCGCCTGCGATGTCGCTGCCCTTCATGTTCAACAGGATTGGGGGACAGCATCCAGGACGTTAGGCTCACCGCTTCGCCGAGGTACGCCGCCGTCTCATTATTAGGGCAGCCTATTCACGAGCGCCTTCCCGGTGGGTTGCATGGACGCGCCGCGGATCGTGCGCCGCGAGGGCATCCCTCAACATGCGCGGTTCACAGCGGCATCCTCTTGCGTTGACTGAGCCTTCGATCGTCCTGGCGGTACGGGTTATTTCCGATGCCGCAGCCCACCACCCGAGGGATACAGGCTGCGACCACATCTCACCCATACCCATGCCGACTGCTGCGATACCGCCGGCGTGTCCCGCTTCAAGCCTGCCAAATGGCGCCCTCCTTTGTTCACCGCGAAGTCCCGAAAGCGGTCTGGCCTTTTGTGTGCCAGGGCCCGTCTTTGTGGGCCGGTATCGACCTGCATTGTTCGCAGGCATCCCTCCGTCGCGCACAGGCCGGAGGCGGTGGAGGCGATGCGCGACGCACGGGAGCGCGAGGCTATGCGGCGGGAGTGGGGACGCAAGGTCGCACGCTAAGGCCGTTTAGAAGGGGGGCTAGGTCAGCCGGAGAGGCGTTGCGACCACTCAGAGCTGTGCGGGGACGGGGAGAGGCCGATGCGGTCTTCCGGTGGAGGATCGGGGAGGCTGCAATGAAGTCGGTGTGTGGGTGGCCGCTAGGACCTTCCCCAACGCCTGCGCCTCTAGCAAAGCCGAGCCCTGGCTGCGCGACGAGCGCGGGCATACGGTCGCGCGTTCGAAATCAGGCGTCGGAGATGCGGACGGTCGCCTTTGGCTCGTTGAATCGAACTCGGCATGGCGCTCGTGTGTATGCGGGAGGCGCATCTTCGTGTGGGGTACGTTCGGTAGGTATCGCCCGGGAGGAGTCACCTTCACTTCCGGTGAAGGTGTGCGGACGGGAGAGGCTGCGGCCGCCTGTGCTATTGCCCCATGCTGCATGCGGCGAACGTGAGGGACTGGGTGCGCCGACTGCGCTCGTCGGGGTAGAAGACATGGGTCGAGAAGCGCTGCCCAATTGTGTGATACGAGTCGGGAGGTCCTTCGCGCAATTGACGGTCGTGCACGCGTATGGTGGCATGCGCAAGAAGGCTATAGCCCGCGTGAAACAAAGCACGACGCATCGTTGTTCTCCTGATTTGGGGCGGCAATCGTTGACGCTGCTTTGTTCTCGGCGAGAGGATCACGGCGCCAGGTGGGACAGGCCCAGCGGGTGAGTGAACTCCTTAAATGTAACCTATCGCACTGCGCTGACAGTGCCACTGCTCTTTGGATTCGCCGTCGCGCATAGATCCTGCCGCTTTGCTACCGATGCTGTTGCGCTCTGGCGTCAAAACAGGGCCCTACGGCCCCCCAGCCGGTCAAATTCCCTCCGTCACACGCCTTTTACAATCGACCAGGATCCGAACGGCTGTACCGCGAGCTACGCCACACACAGGTTTCCAGAGCATCAACGCGGATGTCTTACTTATGGTGCGGCTACACTATACTTGCCTAGGCGTAGTTCCGGGCCTGACTTCCATTCATTCTAGGTTGCATCGCTCTCGGCAGCCAAAGACATGCTCAGTCTCGCGCGCACATGCGCTAGATTCCGATCTGAGCTCGCAAATCCTTCCCAAATGCCAGCTATTTGGAGGCGTTCTCGTGCTGCAGTCCAACCACCACTTCCCCCCTGTCCCCCATTCTTGACCGAAGTCCAGTACACTGCCCTCGTCGTCGAATCGACGTGTATGTCTTGCCTCACAGACGGCCTAAGCTTTCAGGACGTTGTGTGGCAGTACCGAGCCCGCTACTGCTCGAACTGCTTTGAGGCATGGTATGTGGTGATGTTCCCCCGTGCTGCATCAATACCCATTCGCCTTTGTAGCTCCTCTACATATGGCCGCCCTTGCACAATCACCTTCGCGGACAAGCCGATTCGCCGCCGACGTATTCATCTTTCTCTCTACGTCCCCACGATGACTGACACGAAAGGTAAGAACTCACCTTCGCACTGCATTATTGCGTTGACGCCGCTGTGGTATAAGTGACTTTTTCAAGCCGTATATCTCGCGTCGACGTCGCACAGCTGCGAGGCGTTTTGGAGAAGGCAGCTGCTCACGAGTGCGATGCGATCTTGGAGGCCTGGAGTAATTGGTCAAGTTCGATCACAGAGGTAGGCGTTGAGGAATTGTTATGTGCCGATTTACTCATCCAAGCCAGTCTTCGGTCTCATGGTACGAATGGGTTTTAGAGAAGGTATCAATGAACAAGGCGACGATACAGCGCAGACTGGGGAGGTAAGGATGCTGGCATCTGTACATTCTGCACTGGTTGAAGGACATTCACAAGTGTTGTCACACGATTGCGGCAGCTCGGTTTCACCTCCGAGATCGCATGCTTAGGCGAGGGCCGCGAAACCATACGCCGTCATCCTTTCGTAAACATCCCGGAGGACATGAATGACGACAGTAAGCGTTGTGCCTAGTAAGTACCATCGTCCGGGAACCCGTTACTAATGCGATGGTGCATGTCTCGTAGACTGGCGCCTGATAGGCCCGGAGATGGTAGCATGGATGGAAGACATACGGCTCCTACGGTCCCGTGTTACCCAGCGCGCGGGCTATATCAGAGGTCTGCGACGCCTTGATGAAGCTTTGGTGCGATTGCGCGCCGAAGACGTCCGCCTTGGCATTATCCCTCACGCAGTCAATCTGGCTGGCGACGCAGGGGTGCGGGAGCTTGTGAAGAACCTGCCAGAACTGGTTGATCCAGCGCAATCCGCTTCTCCTCCTCCTTCCGTGTATCTGACCTTCGCGGCCCGCCTGAGGCTTGCGACAATCACTTGGCAAAATCGGGTCGCGCTTAAGCTCCGGGATCTGGTAATCGGCTCTTCTCATTTTTTGCGGCCCGCCTCTTCCCCCACATCCGCAGTGGCCATCCTATCCCTTGCACAAAGCGTTTTTCGATGCAAGAAGTGCTCAGCTATCCTGCGATGGCCGACAATTGTCAGCCACTCGCATATGCATCACCGCCGAGTTCGCCCCGTTTTACCAGATAATCCCGCCGGCCACCCACGGGACGAGGGTATCTTCGGTCTTACCTTGCGGGACGACGTGTACGAAAGTGCCGTGGTGACCCACTACGGTTACGAGCCTTGGGGCCCGGCCAGCCTCGAGTTCGTTGGGCACAATGTGCTTGAGGTCATTCGGGCATGCGGCCTCGATCCAAACGTCGCTACGCCTGCACAAATTAGGGCAGCGGATGTGCGACTAGTATGCTGGGCATGTAGCCGTCACGGGGAGAGTATGGTGGTAATGGATTGGACAACCGCGGTGCGCACTATCGAGGCCACAGCAGGATATATAGCAACTGATCTTTGCACACAGTTTGCTCACTGTCTTGACCAACACAGTGCTTGGGAGCCCAGACGCCTTCAGCAGCCGCACGTCGCTTGGACAAAGCTCGATAACGGGCTGCTTGCCTCCGTTCAAGCCGTCGAAGCATCTCGCAGGGCCGCCTGGTACCCTACACGAGTGCTGTACTGGCAGTGTGCACACTGCTTATACGGATGCCTCGAAGATAAACCATATGAGGCGGTCGACGGGCATGTGCAGACACGGTCAGTCATCTTAAACGACCAGCTCGTACGGTTCGCTGAGCGCCACTCTCCAGCCATCATGATATACTAACGGGGCCCCAAAGCCGTCCACAAGCGCAGCACGTGCGCCCTAGGCCTGATAACCCAGCGCTCAGCCAAGCACCTGTCTTGCTTCTTTCGGAGGGTTTGCAGCGCGCGAATGCGCTCAATATCTGGGAGTCCATGAATTTCTGGCCCAGTGTGGATGACGATATGCTGCGCTATGCCTATGTACCCATGTAATAGGTTTGAGATGCCTGGATTGTGCAATTCGATACTGTTGGCTTTGGTGCTCGTTCTTCGTTTGCCCTACCGCCTCATCCTACGGTCATATATATGTAAATAAAATGGCGCGAATTTGACGTACCCACTTGTGAGTATACTGCTCATTACCTTGCGACTGCAACTTCCTGTGATAGTGGATCCGGAGTTGGAACTTACATAAGGATTAGTGAGCGCTGTGAGCGTCAAGATGCCGATGGGCGCTCCTACGTCCGCAGCCGACGACTGGTACTGAATTCTCTCCTCAGAGACCCCTGCTTCAGTCACTCACTCATTTTGACATGCCACTCGCCTTGCGCACTGCCTGGATCGTCAATCGGGCCTCCCCACCTATTCCCCTCCCCCCTGTGACTCCATCCTCCACCCCGGTTTCGCAGGAATTTGACCCCAGTAGCATTGAGCCCACCTATCCAGACAAACCATGTTCCTCAGCCGTCAATAGCCCATCCCTGCTCCTAGCACGCGTACTCCTCCTCACCCCTCCCTCCCATGAGTGGGTCATCCTTCGTGGCGCTGACGCTGTCATCAACCCGGGGCTAATCCTCATCCTATCGGACGTCCAAAATCCCTCCGGGCACATATCCGGCATCATCCGCCGCCTTGTCAGCATTGAACGTGGTTGGGCTGTGTACAGTGTCGCCCACGCAGATATCCCTCCTTTCCGCCTCTGCATCCCATTTGATGGGGCAAGCCTCCCTCGCTGGCTTTGTTTCCTCCATGCCATGCTCCGTCCCATCCTGCCGGACTCTGTCCCTCCCTTTCTTCCACATACTGCCACTGAGTCTTCACCCCGACTCTCCTCACACTTCCCCGTTGGCCTACCCTTGGTCACCCACAATACTGTCATCTTTATAAGGGAGGCGGGGGTGCAGCTCACGCACTCCCAGTCCGAGTCCACTCACAGCACCCCCTCCCACGGCGTCACAACACTCCACCGGGCCAATGATGATGATACCCCAGAATCGGATTCAGTTGCACGCAGTCTTACGCAGACCCGAGACGCCATCTCCCACTGAAGCACGGGAACCCTATTCAGGCTGTAAGCCTAGCATTGCGTGGGCCCAGGGTTCTGAGCCTACCCCTGTGAGCGTCCCTAGGTTGGTATGTGCTCCCTCTGTTTGCATGTCCTGCGTGTTCGCCCCTCACTCCGACTCTCAACAGGTCTATGCAGTTCATTTGGAAGCCCTTCAGCTGTCATCGAGCAGGTGTCGCTGTGGGCCTTCGCCCATACCCTCGTTGTCTGATCATCAGGGTGCATACCATACACAGTCCCGTCTGTATGTTCCACTTTCTCGCTCTCGCACATGTCACTCGCTATTGCCAGTCCTATTGGATACCACCCTCGCTCTCGTACATGCCGCTCGCTTTCGGTAATCATCACTATGTTTTCGTTGATCTCCTTGACCAGATACTCCCATCTTCAGTGCAGCAATGAATTAATTACCATCAATTTGCGCTGGAGATGGCGCAGCGAGGCTGAGTGTGCGATGACATAGGCGGGCGACAAGACACGAGGAGGAGGTATCATCAGGCATCGAGAGAGGAGACCAGCGTGCGGATGCATGGCGGGATAAGTAAACGAAAGCCTGAAGCAGGCGCAGTAGGGCGTGGCACAGAGCAAAGAGCGAGCTCGACGTGCGGGTATAGGGACATTGGCCGAAATCAACGACGCGGAGACACCGTTTCAAGAGCGTGCACAGGACCACGTCACGGTACGTTCGTCGTAACAGGCTTTGCCATGACTTGCTACTGACACGTCGATGGCATGTAGATTCAACCATTTAGCACGGGGCTACACGGACGCAACCTCACGCGCAAGTCGACCGCGGGTCATGCTCGTCGCGGGCATGGAGAACGGAGAGCTAGACATATGGGACTGCGAAGATTGTCGGCAGATTCGTCGCGGATGCTGAGTGAGTAACATTGACCACTGACATATGTTCATTCAATTGTAATGCAACGTGTGTCCGACAGTCCGACAGAGTCCCTGATCTTACACAACTCGGCATATATGGGCCCTATACGGGGACTTGACTTTGTTTCAGACAACCTGGTTCTCATCAAGCACGGTGGACTGAGAGGTATGTGCACCTGTACATTGTGCTTCGGTGTATGCAGAGGCATCGATGCACGGTGTCCTAACCCTACTCCTCGCCAGGGCCTTGCCTTGCCGACCTTCACACTCACCTCCTGTCCTGCACTCTCCTCATCCGCAGGCACGAGTATCCTCCCCGACCGCTCCGGCTCCGCGCTCCACTCTCCACTATGGCTTCCGCGCCGGGATTGCTACCAACAGTGCCACCACGCTCGTCCGCTGCAACACGCCCGTCGTGCCATTCAACGCCCGTGTCGGGCGACGCAACCCCTTTCTCGCTTGCCCCCTCCATCAGCTACTGGCATGGCATCCACTCACGCTCCGTCCGCCGCAGCATCCGCGACGCCGTCCACCGCGGGTAGTCGTATGTGCACTGTGCGCCTTCGGCTCGTGATCTGTGGTCCTCCCAAACCCCATTCGCGTGCACAGCTCACCACACAACGTGACGTATCGTGGTCGTGCGTTCACGAGCCCGACATGTGCCTTCGCGCCCCTGCCCATGACGGGTGGCGGCAACACAAGCGTGTCCAACGATTGCGCCCACTCTACCCTGCCCGCGCCGGTGTACATGTGGTGTATCACCGCAGGCATGTGCAGGATAATCGTCGCGCGATCCTTCTCCGCCTTCGTCGCCGTGAGGTCCGTCGGCGCTTGTCTCAGCACCTCCGCACCTCTGCCCGACGTCCCCACCCCACGGAGCCGCCCTCGATGAAGATTTACTCCACGCGCACGCACTCGCCCGTCTCAAGCACGCACTCGACGCGCTAGACCCGCCCAGCACGTCGATGGTCCGAGTCGACGGCTTGTCGAGGCCGTCTTACTGCAGGCCTGCAAGCTGTGCGGCTCAGTCGATTCAGGCGGGCAGCGGTGCGCGCGCGTGACGAGCATGCAGCTCAGGGTGGACGAGCGGGTGATATAAAACGTACATAAGTAGACTAGTACGGAAATACACTGAGATATCCTGAGCTCACTGGGGCCCACTGACGGCGCGGGACGAAGCATTCACTGACGAGATTCAAGTACCTTTTGCTCGAAAGTTATATCCTCACTGAACATGCCTGAACACCTCTGACGTCCACTGAAATCGCTATTTCAGTGACATCAGTAGTGTTCAGTGACCGAAGGTCTGATAGGCTAGCAGCTGCGAAACACTTGATGAGTCGCGCGCGCGGTCTCTTACTAGTAGTACGTAATGCGGCTTCTCCTCAGCTCGACTCTCCTACAGTACGTCCAGTCCCCTGCGAAGTGGAACAAGGGCCGCACATTCTGACAACCTACTTCTCATACCGCGACTCATGCACAGTGGCGACGCTGGACCACCCGCCCCTTTCTATATTTGGACCGCATCTATAGGTTCACTTGTTTCCCCGCTCAGCGCAACGTTGTCGGTTGATGGTCAAATGAACCCCTCCTCCTCCTCCTCCTTCTGCTTCTTCGTCTTTGATCTAGGTTTACTGTAACTCGCGCTGTACGGTCGTGTGTGCTCCCAGTCCACGTTGATGGCCGCAATCATCGCCAACTTCGGGCGGGGCGTCTAACGGGTTCTACTACGACAACGCTTCGACAATGCAAGCTCTACCTGGCTGTCAATGGCGTTTTTCGCTATACAAAGCCTCATTTAGACCAAGCAAATACGGGCTGCACTCAGTATAAAGTCCCCCGTGTGTTTGTGGATACACACCAATTTGAATCCACCCATGGCGCACCGCGCATCGATCGTCGACCCCACTGGTGGTTGGTTTAGGTACCTCAAATTGAGTCCCAGTGGAAGGTATGCCTGTTTTCGTTTACCCGGAGAATTGTTGACCTGGTTCATTCTAGGAGTTATCTCATCATGGCTTACGACGAGCATGTCACATATGAAGCCGTTCAAATTGGGCTACGCCGCGAGTTCGAACATGAAGGCGAGCCTCTTGACGGCAAGAAGGCTCGCCTGTTTTTCGTCCAGCTCCCCAGCCGCCACTGTGAGTGCTACGGTGTATGTACGCAAAATCCCTCACGTCATTTGTGATGCAACCCTCCAGATGCTTTGTTGGTCAAGGCTCACGACCCGCGTTCCGAGGCCGAGGGGAAATTCCACAGGCTGATCTTGACCGAGAATACCTTCTTCACGTTCACTGAGGTGCGCACCGTGGAGTTTACACGCTGACCTGGGCATTCGTTCATGCGTGCACTACAATAGGGTCGGGCCACCGTGCAATGGCTGCAGGGCAAAATTTTATTCACAGTCCAGTTCAACAGCAGCGATGCTCTGTGGACTCTGATCAGATGCGTGCACCAAGCCCGCCATACCGCCGTCGACAACCTTGGTATGGACACTATCGAGGAAGAAGTCGATGCTCTCGAAGCTAGACTGAAACATCTGGAGGAGATCGCTTTCGCTTCTACCTTAGAAGCCATGACGTCGGACCTCGATCATTCATAACCGTCAACAAGGTGAGGAGGAAGCCTTTGCGTTGGCTATGTGATTAATCCATACACTGACGTGCGTCTGTTCGCAGACATTGACCGGCAAGGGCTTTCACATACAATTTCTTCTTGGTGTCTCGTCACCGATCTCGCGTCCCCGCCGTGTATTAGCCATGTATTACGTTGTGTATGATTCTAGAGAGAATGAGACGAGCAAGTCATGTAGCGCCGCACATCGGTCTGCGAGGCACGAACCCGGAATGAAGACTTGTTACTGAGGCAAACTCTAACCCCTCCTCCTCCTCTTTGTGGAAGGGCGGTCGTATAAGGCGATCGCCGACCCGGTAGCTCATCGATCATCTTCCCGTCATGCGGCTGATTTTAGCGCCAATTTTTCTGCGTATCTCTGGTACCGTTCAGTCTAGGCCCTGCTTTCCTGCAGGCAGATTCCATTGACTACTTATCGGCGCAAGCCTTCGTCGTCAAGTTTGCAGGTTGCGAACCCTGCAGTCCGACCGTGGAGTAGTACGTTGTCTCGCAGATGGCAATCCCGGTCGTACGGCCGCGCGTCCTCCTACTTCCAAGCTAACGACGGGTCAGGCTCGAGCAACGCCTCGCATAACTGCATGTCGTTACTTCGTGATGTCCTTCTCAAATTCACCTGTTCGAAATGTGCATGGATGTGGTCATTTATGCCTCATTGCTGCATCTGACCGTAGTGGACCACCTCTACTATACAACGCGTTCCAAGAGTCCCTTCCACCTCGGAAACCAATGACCATACATACGCACTCGGATCGCGTATTCACGGTGGCGTCGTGCTCTTGCGGCTACTCGTCACCGGCAGGCAGGACTCTGAGGTGAGTGACCATTTTTTCTAGCCATACATCTTCCTATTCCAGCCGGAGCCAGGCCCCAACGTTTCAACGTTCAACTCTGCGACTGAATGCCAATTCCTCTGCATCGTCATCCCCGGATCCCACAGTCATCACTACCGAGCACGCTCTCACCGGCATCGCCCACCTCCCCTGCCACGACCTCTTGCACCTACTCGAACACGGCGGCCTGCTGTCGGCTGACAGACCTCTCCGTACTTCGCCACGACGCACTCGACGAAGACGCAGACGAAGCATTACGCCGTTACGACTGTCACGGAGACGACCGTCTGGACGGTTGCCTACACCAGCCACGGGCGGACGAGTGTCACTGTGCTCTCATCGGTCATCGTCTCCGAGTCGGGCTCGCTCATCCCTGAGGCCTCGAGCAGCAAGGCGTTGTGAGTATCATGCTCACTCGCTCTTGTGATCTACATGTACTGACTCTGCGCATAGTTTTGCGCCATCATGGTGCCCTCGCCGGCGTGATCATCGACTCACTCACGTACCTCTCCTCCTCGGCGTCTTGCTCATCACGTTCCGACGCCATCACACCCACAAGTCCGCCGAGGTCGCCGCCGCCGTCGCACTTGCTAAAAGTGCTCGGCGCCGCCCGCGGACGAGGACGGGGACGACCCTCCGCCCGGTTCGCCTATCAGTCTGCACGGGGGCATGGCGCAGTTGGAGGTCCCGCTAGCCTACAGGTTGGTGGTGGCGGGTGTATCCGCCTCAGGGATGGCGACGCGAGCTCGTCGGGCTTTGATAGGGTGAATAGCTCCGGGTCGCTCTCAAGGCTCAGCGAGCAGAGCGCGCTGGCGGGCCTCACGTTGGGTCCATCGAGCTACTTCGCTGACGCGTTCGCCAGTGCCGCCTCTGCGGGCGTGAGCTTGACTCTGCTGACGGCTCGGCTGCGCCGATGTCGTGCGCGAATAGTGGAGAAGACGAACGACCTCACCGCGAGCAAGCACTCAAGTTAGCTGCCCGCTGTCCCTGGCGTCCCCTCGCGCATCGCGTATCGCCCACCAGGAGAGGGCGGGGACAGCGACGGCAGTGCCGGCAAGAATAGGAGACGGAGCTTCTCTAGCGTGAGCAAGCCGTGAAGGAAAGCGAGTCTGAGCGACTCGAGCGAGACGAGGGCGTCGTACGTCAATGCACGAAGCTCGTTCCCGGAGTCGGATCCGCGCATTACTCGGACACGGGCTTTCTGCTGCGTCCAGCGCCGGCGCAGTACGAACCCGAAGCGCGACGATCAGTCCTACGACCTCACGGCAGGTGCTCAATACGCTCAGTGTGTCCAACTCGCCCCGGCCGTCTGCTATGGGGCGGCGTGGCAAGTGCCCCTGGTACGTTTGAGTGCTCGATCTTGAGGCGACCGCTGTCGCCTACGCTCCCGCCAGGGTCGATCCCGCCAGTGGTCATACATACTCAGTTCGCCGCCGGCGCGTCCGACGTCTGCATACCCCCTAGTACCTCACGGCTCGGGCACTACCGCCCTCGTTTTACTCAAACTCCAATCCGTACTCATACGGATGCCCAACACCCTCGACCTACGCTGCGTATCCTTCTGCTTCTTTAGCATACTCACGGCGGCCTCCTGCAGCCTCCTGCGGCTGGTCATACTGACCTTGCTGACTGCCTAGAACCACTAGCACGATCGCACCCCGACTGTCTATGTAACGTCGGCAGTTATGCAGGGACCCCTGCTCGGTTTACTGCCACTGCGATCACCGCTCGATAGCCGGCGCGTGCGTCATCGACGACTGCCCGCGCAATCTTATCGATCATAGTCCCATCGGGTTGACGAGCAGCCGTAGGCCCGTACGTGTCCTGCCTCGTCTGACTCTCACGCTGTGTTTTACTGATCTGTGAGCCGCTCTAATCGGTTCCCGAACCTACCGCCCACGGCGGCCTCCAGCTTCTTCCCCCACTACATATTCCCTGACCGAAGACAGCGGGGTTTGCGGCGACCTGGTCACCCCCTTCACCGAAGCCGTTCATGATCAGGCAGAGGGTGACCCGCACACATCGAAAATTGGCTAGTAGTGGCGGCACAATGCAGCAACCTTTGGCGGCACAATGCAGTAAAATTCCGTGCGTCCATTATCCCGAATGTTATATAGCCTCGCCCTCTGGTCCCATACCGGACTCCACCCGTCTTCATCATGCCACCAACCCACCCTATTCCTCGCTGCACGCCACTCTTTGCACCCCAACCGAACGGGCGCATGATGTAAGGTTGCTTTTCACCCGTTTATCTATTCGCTCATTCAAGTCTTCATGTCCAGGGAGTATACCATTCTGTTCTCGACGACGTTACGGAATTTTCGACATGCGAGTCGCCCCGACCGGTTCGGAGACCACGAGCAAGGCACGGATATGCTAATCATTCAACTGCCGGAGCCGGGAATGTGTAAGTCGCCTTGAAGTTGTGACGGGGCACTGTCACTCATGATACTTTAGACGTCATCATCTTGACGTATGTCGAAGGTGACACTGGAGAAGCGATATACATGACGTCTCTGATTACAGAATGCATGAATTTTGTCATTTGCGAGGTAAGCTTCAAGCCCAACTCATTGCACGCTGTGATGTATTCAATCCATGATTCAGAAAACCATGACAATCCGTTGGAAGGCCACCGTCCCCGCCTATCGCTGGTATGTCGTCATCCTAGACAACAGCCTCGATTTTTGGGACGCCATGGGGTGCTTGGAACGCTGCAAATCGAGCGTTCAGCGCAGGAGAGCTGCGGCGCTGGAACAAATGACAGCCCTGGAGAGGTCGCTGCGCACGCTACCGAGAGCATCGTTAGGTCAGGCGCACCCACGCGGGGAGGGTAAACCACTGCGCATCTCCGTTTTAGATACCTGCTTCATCTTTGTGTTTGGATGCATCTGGCGTGTTGTCGAGGCGGTAACCGACGTGTATAATACCTTACGCTGTGGTAGATGGTGACGAGTAGGATAGCCGCGCTGTACGTCCAAACACGATGTTCAGTTTTGCTGCCATACCAAACAGTACTCGAGGATGGTCAACTCATGTATCCCCGAGTCACTGCGCTGCGACTCTCTTCGCTGGTAGTTTTACCTCCTGCTGCCGACGCTCGCAATATATATGTTATGTATATGTGCCTCGCTCAGCACCGCATGCGACCATATCTATAGCCACTTGGTGAGTACACCGCTTATGTCATTGTAATCCCTCGCGTCCGGTGCTCGCCCACCAAGCTCGAATCGCGAGGGCTCCCTGACGGCAGCTCGCTTCGACAAGTCCCTCGCATCCGCCGCTGTCGCCACCTCTCTTCGCTGGTCTCACAATGTTACTCAATATGTACTAATTCTCTGAATAGGTGTCCTGTATGCAGTAGGCCACATAGCATGCATGACCCAAATGCAGCTCGGCCTCCACTCGGGCGCGTTCTCCACCACCTCCTCCTGCTCCCTCGCACAGTCCTTCACCAACAGCTTCGCCGCTGTCCCGGGAAGCGTGAGGACGTGCCCCCGCTTGCTATCGACCCTGTCCACGCGCACGGCGTCGACGCTCGCGGGGCGCTACCTCGGCTTCCTCTAGCTCGCGCCGCGCGTGCGCGCGCGTGAACGTCGTGGGCCCCGGCGAGGGCATGGGCAGCGAGCATGAGCGGGCGAGGCGGGCGGCGGGGGCGATGAGGAGCGCGAGCGATTTAGCTACCATGTGGACGTATATGCGGGTGAGGGGTGAAGGCTCGTGGGCGATGCAGAGGGTGCGTCCGTTTGCTGGCGTCAGGTGAACGGGTGACTGATGTGTGGTGATTGTGCGCGGTGGGGATGGGACGGCATTCATAGACTCGTTCCTACAGTCGGGCACGCGTTTGGCGAAGACGAGCGGGCTGAGCGCGGCTGCGCTGACCTGCGCAAATGTGCGTAGGGACTGCAGGGAGGCGGAGGCGGCACGGCGGCATAGCAGCTGCGTGGCGGTGTCGTGCAACCTGCCGTATCAAACGACGCCTCCTCCATATATGCCCTTGCGTCCGGGGAGAAAAGCCCATAGTACGTGTGAGGGCGAGCTTAGGATATTACGATTGCTTTGACTCGATACGTGTAGTGCAGCATTACGGGAGCTGCGAGCGCTTTGAAGACAATGCAAATCCCGCCAATGTTAGTGACTCAGTGAGTGGCGACTCCAGGCCCCCCTTCCTGCTCAACTCCACATGAAGAATATCCCAAATCATACTAGACAGCTCGCAGACTGCAGCAGGGGACGTCATGGCTGGTTGAACACTGTTATGAATGACGCCGATAGCATCGGGTCGGCAGAAGGAAGTCATGTACCACGTCAAAACGAGGGCACGAAGATACAGGGTCGTGTGGCAAAGCGACCTGGCTCACCGCTGGAACGAGCTCATACCAAGCGTCAACAGCAGGCTATCCGGTCAGAGCAAACGGAGCCAATAGGCCCTGTTGCCCAGATATCCGAGGCAAGTTCGATTGGTGATGGCGGCCATCAGTCCGCAACCGCTTCGCCGGACGTCGAGGAGCTTGACATCGGGACAAAGGGTGATCATTACGAAGGACGGTTCAGTGAACGTAATACTCAATCCCATATCACTCGATGTGTAGTAACGAACGCTGAGTGTGTTATCTGCAGGTCACTTGCATCCCTTTCACGCCACTGACGAGGGATCGTCCGGTGAAGACACCAGAAGCAAGTGTATCTTTGCTTCCAGAGAAAGCAACCTCGCGTCACGCGTTCGCGTTCAAATCATGACCCTCAGTAACGCCTCGACTATCACACCCGCTATAGGCTCGGCTCCCTCCGTTGGAGACCATACGATGCGATCACTGCCCATCGTGGTCCACCGACAAGTTATCGGTAATGATGCTGTCGACGAGGATTCAACCGTTCATATCAAGACGCCTTCCTTTGCTCGCAGTGTCTCGGCGCCGCTCATATGGCGCACTACTAGTAACACCAAGTATACGCCAAGCTCGATGCCAGTGGCGTGTAGTGCGTCCGGATCAGAGCATGATACCAATATCTGCATGATGCAATCTGGAGGTAAACCCAAGGGACACCAAATCCCTGGCTATGACAACGATCCGGATGAGAAGACGGCAAACGAAACCGGTGGCGCACGCGTCGAGGAGGCTTCTGCTGAGGCGCCACGGTCAGGAAAGCAAATCAGTCACTCCAATGGTTTTGACAGATTGCAGCCTAGCTCTCGTCCTCTGGACATAGCACGATCACGTCGTCAGGGCTATCCTTGGCACGACAATTCGTGTTGGCTCGATACGTCCCTCGAGTTGATATTCCACACTGCGCAGCGCGATTGGGACTCGTTTGAGTGCTGTTTCCCGAGCACGGGGCACCCGCTGACTATATTCCGGGTGTTCGAAGCAATCAGATATCGCCGAAAAGTAGCGGGGAATTGCTGTTCAAGTGACCCTGCGACCCTTCTGTCCGCTCAGCGGGATGCTCTACGACAAGTGCTACTAGATTGCGGTGCAATCAACCACATGCAGTCACGCGAGCCGGCCTTCGTGGGTGCTGTCGTTTCGGGCTATAATGTACAACTAATATCTGTCACAGGCTTGGTTGGCATCCCTGCTTCGGCCCATGGGGAATGGGATACAACAGCTTGCAAATCCATTTTTCCAGGGCTACAGCGCTCAACTGCGCACCTGCTCAGGCGCCTCGGATGGTATTGGCGAACCTGGCCACCATCAGCACAGGACACGACCCCGTCATAATTTCTTCTACCAGCTTTCGACCCAAGACCATGCGGATTTTGAGGGCGATGTCTCGTCCTGGTTCCGAAATCTACTCGACATACGGCGCCAGCCTGTATGTACATCGAGGTGCTGGAGATGCGTCGGTGACACCGTTATTTGCTATGGAACTGCGCAGCTCCTGGAACTGCACTTCGAACTCCCGATCATGCTCATTGTAGATATAGGATCCGCGCCGCACAAGACATGGAACTTCCCTCCCATTTTACAAGCGCTGCCATACGACGAGGATCAAGACAGTCCATCCGGTTCCCGCGTTCATGAGCGACGAGAAGTGGAGTATGATATCGTCGGACGTCTCTTTTACGACGAGAGGGAGGACCACTTCTTCTGCCGATTTCTCGAGCATATTCGGAAACTAAACGTGCATGAATACGACGGACTGAAGGCAAACGGTATGGAGCGATTCCAGAGCAATGGTGGTGCGATCGATCTGGCAGGTCCGCATTTTGAGCCTCCTTATGGTTCTCGCACACAAGCCGTTGTCTACCACCTACGAGGAGGCGCACGCGCGCGAGCGATCATGTCATCGCATCAAAAATCCCTCATACGGCGTCATCACTCACTGCATATCACTGCCGATGAACCTGGCCCTCCGAGGCTGGCGCTAGATAAAGCTGGATTTATCGCCATGCCCAACGAAGAAAGGCATTGGCTCTTGAACCCCTCTCGCGATGTGACGGTCGACTACCAAGCTGTTGTCTCCCTCAGCGGTGGCGATGTGGCCACATAGCATCACGCAATAGACACGCTGGGGGAGGCAGCGACTTCTAGCACAATATTCGATTGCGCAGAAGGCTTCATCAGGAGAAACCCCTCTGGGGATACCAGTACTCAACGTTCAACGTTCAACGTTCAACGGTGAAATCGTACCGCAAAGATTGTATATATTCATCAATTCAGGCTACATACTATGAATCTACATCAACATTAACTCTAGCACCACTTTCGTCCTGGGTCATCGGTGGGGGCAATTTGAGCTGGGCGCACCCGGAAGGCCAAGTCGTGTGCGTACCCACCTGACGTAAGCGGTATGTGTCCCGAATAATCGCAAGGTCGCATACGCGCTCTCGTTCGACAGCAACTCCTCGAGTGCACGAACGCGTTTCGTCACCGCCGTGGACGGCTTGAGCTTGAGATCTTGAGAAGCGAGGTCGAGCCGGGACGCAAACAAGGAATCGTTAGGTTCCAATGTAGGTGTGGACGTGATTGTGAGTGTCGCCAAAGGCGACCGAGGACGTTGGATGGGGAGTTACGGGCAGAGGCTTGTCTGGCGTCTGAGATCTGAGGTTGTGCGATGACTGACGAGGGCGGTTGTTGGCTCCCGGGAGGACGGACTTTAAGCTGGCTGGCTGTGAGTTGAACCCCAGTCAAAACTGACACGAACTCAGGCGAATTCCACAGATCTCTAGCGAATATGTCAAAGAAATTCGATTCTCTTCGGAATCCTTCGAGGCGCTGACGTTCCTTCGGTAAAACGGCAAAGCAGTATGAAGCACAACGAAGGCGAGCGAATTCTGGTCTACTGGACCGAATACAATCTAATTCGGGAGAATTTCAGCGCCGCAGCGCGACGCTCTATACGAATATAATACTTGATTTCTACTATTTTCTGCTCCTGGATGCGCCGCATCCACCGGCTGTATTTTGACGACACTCGTAGTGAATCTATATTGCGTTATTTGTAGACATGAGACCGAGACCGTGTTGGGAGTGCGAACATTGCAATGTAGTACGTACTGTGTGATTTTGTGCATTTTGCGTGGACCAGGGCCCGTACCGATTCGTACCTAGACCAGGTTAGATATACTCATTGCGACGGAATGAGGCAAGACGGCGGACGAGATGGGCGAGATGGGCGATGGAGCAGACAAGACGGCAGGGGATTCGAGAGAGACAGCAGATGGCATGGGCGAGACTGGAGATGGTGCGAGAGAGACAGCAGATGGCACGGGAAATACAGTAGACAGGGCGGACGAGACAGCATGCTGGTCGAGAGGGAGAGCAGACGGCTTGGACGAGATGGCAGGCAGTTCGAGATGGACAGCAGACGGCGCGGGAAACACAGAAGACGGCACAGGCGAAACAGCAGACGGGGTGGACAAGACAGCAGGCGGATCGAGAGAGATAGCAGACGGCGCGAGAAATAAAGTAGACGAGGCGGGTGAGTGTGCAGACGGGACAACCGAGACGGCAGGTGGTTCGAGAGAGACAGCAGACGCCAATGAGATTGCAGGCAGTTCGAGAGAGACAGCAGACGGGATTGACGAGTCCGAGAGAGACGGCAGACGGTGCGAGTGAGATGGCAGACGGTGCAACTCGGAGTGGGATGATGGTAGACGAGGGGCCTGTCGTGGCAAGCAAGGCATTGGCGGGTGTATCAGCCGCAGATCGATTTGACGGCTGAGGAGAGGCGGAGACACGCCAGAGTGCATTGTCCAGTGATTGATGGCCACAAATTGCGTCCAGTGCTGGCTGTGGTGTACCAGGTTCGTCCTCATGGTCGTCGTGCGCCGTGTGTCATCGCTGGCTTGTGTGTGCCGTCTCTCTGACTTGTTCATTTCACTGTCTTCAAGGCTGCGAACGTCTGGCTGTGTGGTAAAGCGAAGGTGGGCTTAGTCGTAGTGCACGGTAAAGTGTGGTCCACTGGGGGGACGTCCAGCGAAGGCGTACCTTTGAGTGTCGAGCCTTCGTGCTCGTGTTGTCCCCTGCTCTCACTGTACTGTTCTCCCCTCTATCCCTCCTTGTACTCTCCTCGCCCTGCGCATGTCACATTCCACACGAGTTCCACACGGTCTTATCGCTCGACTTGTAGTCGTGTCATGCGAGTCCTAGACCGCGTGGCTGGGTTGCCTGTCGCCAAAGTAGCAGATTATCTGAAAACGTCGCCAGTAGCCTTCGAGACGAGGTATCAACACCTATAGACCTTGAGAGTACAGATAGAAGCCAGAGGCCAGACTGCAACTATTAGCAGGGTAACAGAGCGCGACACGGCCACAGGGAGAAGTTTGAAAGCAAGGTGGTGGTGGTATGCAGTCAAGGTTTCAAGACACACTGCGACGGCGGATGACGTCGTGGAACGAGGAAAAAAAAGAGTTAGAGTCACGCGATCGTCATCTTACAGTAAATACGCAACTTCGGGTGCAGCCTGCAAGGAGACTCTTTGAACATCCCGGAGAGCGAACCGAACCTGCGCGAAGGCGACAAGGGCATGACGTCATCGGTGTCTGCCTGGTTGAAGCAAAGGAGAGATGCGTCGTTCTGGGCCTATGGATGCAGAGGAGCCCAGGAGAATCGAAGTAGAGAAGACAAGATTGGGAGAAAAGATGAGCGAGATGTGGTCCACGGCGCGCTTTTTGAAGCATCTGTGGTACCTGTAGCACTCCTGTAGCTCGACGGAGGACGTAAAGCTGCAGTGCAGAGCACGGGTCGTGGGAACCCACACAGGAACCGGGTCACATGACTGTGACCAGGACCGTGCTGCCAGTACTTGTCACTGACTCGGACAAACACCAACAACGCATGCTCTCGTGCCGTCCACAGCTCCAAAACGACGCGTCCGAGCACGACAAGCCCGAGCGCAACGCGCACGGACAAAGGAAGCAAAACACAGCGGTACGAGGGGCAGATCGGCGAAAAGTGAAGGTGAGCACTTGTGTACTGAGGTTACGATTCTGACACCACGATCGAGTAGGTGTCCGGTCACCTCTTGGTGCCCTTACTTGCCCACCAGTCTGTGCATCCCCCTCGAATGCGTGCGCGTCCGTCCGTGCATTCGACTTGCCCGCCCTCTCGCCCCACCCGTTTGCCTTCGCGCACGCACCCGCTTACCCTCTCGCCCATGCGTCCGCCATTTTGTCCTCCCCGCCCGCCTGGTCCTGCCTGCATTTCCTCTAGCTCTTGCTAGCCTGCTCGCCTACTCTCGTCGCCCTTCTCACCCTTGCAATGCCCGCCCTACACGCCCGCCCGTTCTTGCACACCCGCCCGCGTGTTCTTGTACGCCCGAGCGTGCCCTCTTGCTAGCTCGATTGCCAGCCCGCCCGCTCGCCATCTCTTCCCCACTCGCCGTCTCTTTCCCGCTCGCTCTCTCTTCCACTCTCCTACTCTTACCCGCCCGGCCTCTCTTGCCCGTCCGCCCGTTCTTGCCCACCAGCCGCCCTCTCCCGTCCGCCCGTTTTTTTGCCCAGCTGCCCACGCGTTTCTACCGGGGCGACGGCGCCCTCATGCCTCTAAATTCCACGGATGAGGGCGGCAGTACGCTAGCCTGCCGTGCCCTCAACGATGTCTTCTACTTCGGCGGCAACTTCTCCATTAAAGGAACGTCCGTAAGCTACATCGCCGTACACCGCGTCTTCAGACTCTGTCGCATCTCTCGGCTCCGATGACCCAATGGCCAGGTGTACGCCCTGTACTGTGACGCGAGGGATAACAATGTCTGCCCTCGCATGCCTTCTTGCTAACCCGACCTCGTGCTAGCTCGCCCGGCCACCCTCTTCACCACGAGTACGCCGGGCTGCGCAAATTCTGTCATCCCTCATGTCAACGGTAGCACCGTCAGCCCTGACGACCTTACCATCAGGCCCTGGCCTCCGCGACGACTCGCAACGGACCGCACTGACACAGGCCACGGACGAACGGGTGTCCGTTTTCCGCGGCTGTCGAGTACGCACATCTTTCATAATCGACTACTGGTAAACGTTCGCGCATCTGTAGATGCGGCATCTACGCCGGTCTTTCGGACACGATCGCCGTCTCTGTGAGAGGAGATGGCGAGGGACCACCGAGCTACGCTACGTAGCTATGATACACGCTACCTGCGACCGTCTTCAGTAGTATCGTCAGCGTTCGTCGGTCTACTGGACTCGCGCAAATCGTCGAAGAATCACGCACCGACGGCTCGCAACGCGTGCGCGAGACAAGGGCCGGTGGCGAGTGGGCTGTTTGGTTTGAAGTCGCGGCAGTGAGCTCGAGGGACAGCGCGGGTTGAAGAGGATGGAAGCTTACCGGGAGACAGGTGAGAGCTGATATGTACACCTGTGTTGGAGTTGAACTAAGCATCTGGGCACCAGCGGACGAATGGTACCACGCACGCTGCCATGCTGTACGTACCCATGCGATCATACACGCGTCCACTTGCCTATGGACCCGCCTGCCTGCCCGTGGACCCGCCTCTGCCCGTGGACCCGCCTCTGCCCGTGGACCCGCCTCCCCGCCCGTGGACCCGCCTGCACTCGTGCAGAGCCCGTACCCGCGCACGTGCACGGAGCAAGGCCTGGCACGGACTCCGAATTCTTCTACAGTATAGTGTCCGCGTTTGTCCCCCGAGGAACGTCCACGCCTCTTGTAGCGTAGATGCTCGTAAAGATATATAGATACACAATGCGATCACGCGACTGCGTGATTTCAGAAGTGGACAAAGGCGTCACGACAACGGGCCACCAGTGCCACCGCGTCATCTACCAGACTGCTGCCACATCCTGTGTGCAAACTTCCACAGGTCACAGCGACACTCAGTACAGTCTTGACACGTCTTCCAGCGTCCTCATGGCTACCACTTTGCGGAAGATAGCCGATGCCGACTCGGAAGAGTCGAATGCCCCTCTACCGCCAGTGGCACCCATGGTCGAACCGCGAGACGCAATCGCTGGCCCGGTTCGGGGGCAAATGCAGGAGGCCGTATTCTCTGCTGCGTCATCGATTGTGCTCTACATTGGGGATGCCCTTCGCGATGCCTTCTGGCTGCTCAAGAAGCCACTGGGTATCCTCATCTTTATCTTGGCCCTCACGATCGCGTGCGATTATGTCGCTGGGAAGTTGGGTGGCATACTTTGCCTGATTCCTGGCATGACATCCAGCATGTTTTGTACTCGCTACGCATCAGCCCCAATAGACGTGGACATTAATCGAAAGCCACTGGATCTGGATCTCGACAAGCTGGTTGGGCTGCACGGCAAGTTCGAGGACGTCATGACTACAAATGTGGGCACGGATATGATCCAACTGAAGCTCAAACAGTCGGAGATCGCAACACGCAACCTGGTCATACTTGTGCGGAATAGCGATCTAAGGAGCCGCGACGCCCTCGCAGAAGCTCTCCTGCAGTTTCTGGATGATGCCAAAAAGGCAGGAGAGGGACTCATTCGGCTCACTAAAGGAATCGACGGCGCAGTGAATCGGTGAGTCTTGTATCGGACGCCGTAAAACACATCGCTTACTGTGCACTTTAGCATCGCCGCAGCAAACGAATTCGCCTTACGGACGATGGAAGCAGCGACAGCCGAAAGCAGCTCGCTATCGCGGCTCGTGACGGCGTTGTTATTTCGCTCTACCACTAAGGCAATCGTTGCCCCCTCATACCGCGAAGTGATGGAAACACTAGCCCATGAAACCGACCTCGCCCTTCTGCAGGCATCTGCAAGCGCCGCGAGCCTTGAGCGGCTGGAAGAAACCCTCGATACGATCCATGCCATCTGCTCGCGCGAAGGTCTCTCGTTGAGCCGGAAGCACGCGGAGCTGCTCTCGGAGCTATGGACTATTCTCGGTGGCAACCGTGACTTGCGACGCAGCAACGAAATGCAACTTGCACTGCTCAAGGACATTGATTGGTACCGCACGCAGGCTCTCACGCGTGTAGTCGTGACACGCGATGTGCTGCTGATGATGACTGTGGATGTGGAGGAGTTGCGGGACCAGGCGGCCACGCCTCACCTTGTAGGTGAGCGTGTCCCCGTGGAAGCATTGATAGATGGCATTGGTCGTAGCATTGAGGGACTGAAGGAGGGGCGCCGGAGGGCGAACGAGATGCAGGAGGTAATGATGAGGAACCTTTTGCCGGCGCGACACGATCGCTTGGTCGCCGAAGGCGACTGACTGAACATGGATGGTAACTTACGGTACATCCGACCTCGTTGAATTAGCACAGACGTACGTACCAAAATCCGGAGGCTTACGCCCTGTTGTGTGTTACTGTAATGCAAATACGCTCCTCGCTGTTTAACAAATCATCCCGTTTCATGTCTCCTTTCCGATTTCTCGTTCATGGGTCCCGCCCGTACGTTGCTTCGCACGCGCGTCTGCTCCAGAGCGTATGACCGCCAACAACCTACGTCTATTCACCCCGCGTCGCTCCTTCCTGTCATCATCTCAGTCTACGCGGCCCGCTCCGTTAACTCGCTGCATCTCGGATACAGCCAACGGCAACGACTTGGACGACCTCAGCAGCAGATCGCCCGATGCGCGTTCCTCCCGCTGTCACGTCGCGCGCGAAGACCCGCTCATGAAAGGGAGCGGAGCGGGAGACGATCGTGGATCGAGAGGGGTGGCAAGAGTGCTACCGTTGTAGCTCCTCACCGAGTCGGTGTATCAGTAGCGAGGATCTGTTCTTGACGTCGCGCCACTGGCTTTACCAGCACCCGGTCGATGTCAAGGAGCGAGAATCTAGGAAACACAAGCCGGGCGGAATGCGCGTTATGTGGTGTATCGTATGCGGGTCCGTAAGCTGAACGTCCTGTAGCGTCTACACTCTCCCCGTCCTCGTCGACGGTGGCTGCCAAAACCTCTCCCTCCAAGTGGACACCAGCTCCGCTGACTCGAGTGCGTAGCTTACGTGTCTGCCTATTCGTTCGTTACTGATTGAGTGCAGTGGATTGCGTCCACGTTCCGCTCAAAGTCGTCATGCCTCCTTTGCGCTATCCTACCTCCGAGATTCAGTATGGGACGCCGTTTCGCTTGGTGAATACTGCATCACAAACGGGCCGCTAGGTGCGTACTTGTTGATCGCGCATCGCGTCAAAGAAGCCGATTGTTTGCCCACCTCACCCCTGCGCCCGGTCGTCTCGCCCCCGTCTTCCGCCCCGCCCTTCGCAGGCCATATAGGCATATGTTTGTACAAGATCCTTGTAGTGAGCATGGAGTGATCATACATAAACTCCAGTACTTACCTGCAGCCATTCTCATACATGAGCTACCACTCGCTCATGTATGAGCGAGGCGCCGTCATGTATGAATGAAGCGCCGTCGGTCGTTACCTGATATGGCAGCTACCCCGGGCGCCTGGCGCCTTCGTCCCCGGCGGGGCGGTACCACTGGCGGCTACCCCATATGGATGGACATCGGGGTCAGCGCATCTGAGATCAGGTACGATCTCGGATCCCCTGCCGCCCTGCCCTGCCCGCTGCGTGGCGTCGGTTTCGGCCAAACCCGGGAGCTCGCCACGAGCCGAGCGAGCGGCGAGCGCTTCCGCCCGCCGTTTACGACCTCCACTGGCACCACCCCGCGTCGGTCACCGACGTCGTTAGAGCACAGCGGGCACGACGACAGCGAGTAGCCGACACTGACATCGAGGTGAGCGCAGACGCACACGAGCGAGCGAGCTGACCGCAGCCACAGGACGCGGCGACGTGCAGTACGCTCGTCGACCGCGAGCGCGTAGGGCTAATGCCCCGCGTGAAAACGCAGCCGACGGATGGACGACGGGCACGGGTGCGAGCGCAAGCGGACGAGTGGACTGGTGGACTGGTGGATGGACGGGCAGGCGGACTGGCGGGCAGGAAGACGAATGGGCAGACCAGCGGGCAGGAAGACGGGCGGGCAGGAAGACGGGCGGGCAGGAAGACGGGCGGGCAGGAAGACGGGCGGGTAGGAAGACGCACAGACGAGCCGAAAGTTGGGCAACCGAAGCGGACGGGTAGAAGAGCGAGTAGACAGGCAAGTGAACAGGCGACAGCACACGCCCACCGCGAGCGCGCCGGGCGAATGCCCGGCACGCAGACACAGCCGACGAATGCACACGCAGACGGGTGGGCAGGCGGTCAGATCGGCGCGCAGGCAGGTGAGCAGACGGACGAGCGAGGCGGATGAGCGGGAGGGTAGGCGGACGAGCGGGAGGGCAAGCGGACGAGCGGGTGGGCGGTCCAGAACAGGTGGACAAGCAGACATGGAGGCGAGCGGGCAAGGAGGTGATTGGGTAGGCAAGGGCACCAGCAGGCGCGCCGGAAAGCGAGTGGATGGGCGAGCGAGAGGGCAGGCGGGCGAGAGGGAAAGCGAGCGGGCCCAGAGTGCGGATGCCATGAACACTACACGCACGACGACCGCGTGCGTGCCGGGCGAATGCCCAGCACGTAAGCACGGCCGACGAACGGAAGGCAGGCGTGTCAGTGAAGAGCGGGTGACCGCGACGGCGGGCAGAGCAGGGGCGCGCGCAACACGCAGCAATCGCAAACACACAGTGCGACTGCCTGCCCCTGCATGCAGACACGGCCGGCGTGTTCGTAGATATACCATCTGTAATGTAGTACGAATCTACTCTATAAAAATGAATTTGGTATATGTCGCGCTGGAACGCTCCTTATGATGACCGCCGAGCTTCAGAGAACCAGTACCGTATACTTAATAGCGTAGGCATCCCTACTGTACACGAGGACTTGGGGTTGTGTGTTGTACTACTGCATCCCATCTTATGTATTATATGCAACTGACCACATATATATTCCCTACGACATGCGTACACAGTGCGAAAACGCCCAGAAGGCGAGTCGCAGGTATGTTGCGGGCCTAAGTAGGACCATTAAACGTGTTCTGATTGGCCAGGAACAGCCCGAGCACATCGGGCATTCCTCATTCGGTGAGGCAGTAAACAGATACAAACGTTGAGTTTACGGGGGCGCCCGCAAGGCTCGCTTCACTTGCGCGTGCTACCGCACCTCTACTGTCTCGCTTTTACGCCTATACCTGCACGGAAGAGCACGATGGAGGCCCCAAGTCACATCCAGAAGTGAGTTAAACCAGGTAAGCACAACAACAATGTACTGGACATGCACGCACTAGACTGACCCTCTTGTTCTATCAGTGCTCGCATCCTTTCCTTGTCGCTCGCTGAATCGCTCGTCGACGAGTGCATCGGACCGTGACGGTGCATCAGTCAGCGTGTCCGAGTCGAATGGCACGTTGATCAGTACATCGGTGGGTGCGATCGACGGCACGTCAGCGGGTGCCATGAATGGCGACACGTCGACCAGCACGGGTACGTCAGCAGGTACAGTGTCTGTACAAAACAACACGAACGGCGTGTCAGCATGTACCACTGCGGGTATGAACGGCAGCGCATTCTAGCACGAATGGCGGTTCATCAACCAGCACGGCGAACGGTGCGTCAACGGGTACGAATGGCGGTATGGATACGAATGGCGGTACGGGTACGAATGGCGGTGCGTCAACGAATACGGTGAACTATGCACTGACCACTGTGGACGAACCATCAGCCGCTGTTGGCCGGGCGACGACAGGGTAGCCTGGCCGGTGCAACCACAAGCCCTTCGTGCTATGAGCCAACCGTTGATCAGGGCGGGCGAAACATGGGAGGTTACCGATGACGGGTGGGAGGACAACATCCGGGAGGATGAAATGCGGGGATCCGTGGGTGACGGGCGGGAAAGCAATGGGTGGGACAGTGACGAGGTGGGCGATGGACAGGAGGATAACCCGGGTGCAGTCGATGTTGCCGCATAAGGTGACCTTGCCCGCCTGTTCTACAGTACTCAGTATAGTGTATTCTGCACGAGTATTGAATATCCATAGCCCCCACATTTGACATTTGTCGGGGCCTCAAACATACCACATCGGGAGGGCTGCCGCTTAACCCTTCGCCATGTATGTCTGCGTGTTTGCGGACCTCAATGGTGTCCAGGTGCTATGCTACACGAGAAATGGGTTTATACAGCACCGTACCTAGCCCGAGAAGGTATGTCATGGCGCACAACATACAGGCTGTGCATATCTAAATCTGGATACATGAACTAATCAGGCACGGAATGAAAACAATTGCTATATACGGCACCCTGGAACACGCGAGATCTTACAGATCAAAAACCGTGATCGCACTCGCCCGATGGGCCCGCAACGGCACCCAAAGCGGAAGAGCGCGCGGCAGGACCTATTTAGGGTAGGCGCCGCTCTCCCCGGCGGGCAGTGGGTGACCCTAAAGGGCAGCTCCCCTTTCGGGTAGCAAGCGGGGCGCCCACTGCAGCCATTACAGCGCCTTTATATATGAAGGCTCGCTGTAAGCTCTGGAGTTTATGTATGACCCATTTGTGCTAAGCACAGGGATTCATACATGAGTCTGCCAGCATCTGGTGCCCTTCGTGCTACCGTCTCTCCGTGCCGTGCAGGTGCTGTCTCGTCCCTAGACGACGAACCGCTCGAACTTCTCTACTAGCGGCATCCTCGGGCTCGCCCTCGCCTCCGTTTCGTCCATCTACTTCAGTATCGCCACTGACGATGGCAACGCCCTCGCCGCCAACCTCTTCGGTATGGCGTCTTCCGCCAGCGTGCCATCCGCGCCGTTCTCCTCCCGCTCTCTTAGGCATCCTGGCTTCGATGACGTCTCTTCCGTTCTTAGTGTCGGCGTCCACCCTTCAAATCTCGTGCCCGACCCGAGCAAGGTCGGGTTCAGCGACTTCGCCACAAACTCCAACTACGACCACACGGTCAAGCGAGATCTCTGCTGCCTTCGGGATGACAGCTGTGCCTGACGAAACCCCTGACGAGGCGGTACCCTCTCGAGCGACGCCTACCAGCGCACAGGCGAGGAGGCCAACCCCCAACTTGGCCTCCTGGCGTTATGAGTAGGGCCTAGACCCTGACTGCCGCCTCTCACTCGCCCACCCATGCGCTGATGAGCCCTTAGCTCACCTACCCACCGAAAACGCCATTTACGGTCGATACAACGGTGCACTAAGTCAGAACGGTCGACGCACGGTCCGTCCGTTCGAGGGAAACGCCCGATGTTCGAAGCTCAAGCGTCCATGTTCGGGACCCTTAGTGGCAGAGACAAGCGGTTTAGAAGCGTCGCTACATTGGTAGGACTCCGGAGCAAGTACATGGCTACGTCAACCTAGCTAGTGACGACCCCTGCAATTCTCATATCTATGTCCTCGACCACCACACCCATGACCACCACCTCTACCCCTACGAACAGACGGACCGGCGTCGGAGCCACGGTCAGTGTTGACGCGCTCGAGCAGACTTTCGAGCAACCCGACGAGGGTGCCGTGCGTGCGGCGCTGGTCGACTGCGATGTTGTGAATCGCTCGACCCATGGACTCGAGGTTGTCGGGCAGCTGGCGAAAGTCGGACAGGATCAACGACTCGCGCTGATACTGCGGGTTCGCGAGGGGACGACGCTCGGCCTGGTTGACTTGTTCGAGCAGTACCAAGGTCTCGGACCACGCGATCGTAGGGTAGGGCGAACCTAGGATGTCTCCCTGGTTGCCATCGCGGTGAAAGACCTCGTCGAGGTAACGCATCAACTCGTCGATCTCGGGGAACGACCTAGGAGCAGGAAGCGTATCGTTCGCCAGCAGGATGGCCCGGCTGCGGGACTCGAACAAGAATCGCTGTTCGAAGGTCGGTTCGATGGTTCGAACGATAGTCTAAGTTCGGAGGCACGTACGATCATCCAACGGACTCCGTGAGCCCAAGCCAGCCACTCTCCGGGACTGTTTGCATCGTATCGCGGCTCGACAAGTCCCTCGGTCTTGAGGACCTCTAGGAGGCGGTAGTAGCGGGCAGCATACGCTTCGGAAGTTGGGTCGAGGTGCGGCATGTTCGTGTAAGTCAGGCGAACTCCTGCAGCTGTCTCATATCTTCGAGGACTGTCACCGGCCCCGGTTATGACCTTCGCCGTTCGGGGACGGTCGCCCGTTATGCGGAACCTGCGGAAGGCCGAGTTGGATTCTCTCATGTGTTAGTAGGTCCGGGTCGAGCGTTGTGACATTCT